GAATGGCTCAGCGTACCCACTACGCGACGGTCGATCGCAGATGAGTGGGACACGCCGGACGTGCAGCACTGCGCGTCCGCCGTATCGCCTTGCGAAGTGGAGGGTACGGTCTGGAGGTCGTCCCGTAGTACCTCGTTGGTTGTCGATACACGGGCTGGTGAGGGCACTAGCGAGAGGATGGGCACGTCGGACACGCAGTTCTGCGCATCCGCCGTGTTGCCATGCAGGGTAGTGGGTACGACATGTGAGTTGTCCCGAGATGCAGAAATCCCATCTTCGTGACCAGCAGAGCGCACGACGAGCTTCTCGTTCGTCGATACACCTGCTGGTGCGGGCACTGGAACGGGCAGCGGCGAGCGGGGTACATGCAACAAGGGCGTACCTCTGGTCTTCGAGCCTTTCTGCTCGCTTTCTCTACTCGCGCCGCACCCTTCCTCCTCCTCCTCTTTCGCATTCCCCTGCTCCTTTGGATTCTCCTTGCAGCCTCCTCGCTCCTCGTTCCTTCCGTTCTGGGTGGTCCTATCGCTCGGCGCTGGACTTGCACATGCGTGGTGCAAGTCCTGGGTTGCGCGGCTTGGTCGCGTGTTGCCAGAGCCGCGGGTTGTCAATATGGGGTCGTCAGAGTCGAGACGCAGAGGGTCCGAGTCGAGGAGTGGGCTGCTAGAGGACGGTCTGGTACCGCTTGAAGTGTCTTCACGCGCCGCTAGCTGAACTGGCGGTAGTTCAGCTAGCCAGTCGCGGATTCGTGCGTGCCTGCCCGTTAGGACAGGACGCGCGCCTTGCTGGTCGGTCAGGCAGTCGCGGTGGCTGCCCAAGTCGAGGTCGCGGGCGAGGTGGTGGTGGCGGTCGAGAGCACCGCATTGGGCGCTAGCGCTCAGGGCGCTCGCCATCGACACGGGCTCGTGTCGACGCTGAAGGGGTCAAGCGCGTCGTCGGCCGCATTGAGTGTGTCGCTCGATGCGCACAAATCATATTTCGTGTCGGGATTCATTTCTGAGCTCCCAACGCGCGTTTGTACGAGTCTCAACTCGTATTTGCTAGGCACAGTGTGAAATCGTATACCCTCCCGGGCGCAGCGGAGCGCCGTGCTTGTAGGCGCGGGCATACCGGCCCCGGCTCCGGGCCGGTCCCCGAAAGTTATATATATGAAAGTGTCGACTCAAAGTTATATATATATTGCTGAGTCGAGTTATAGATATATTGCGCGCCGTTTGATTCATATAGTATGCAGACTTCACTCGGTTTGTTATAGATACCATCGCTCGCTGTTTGATATATTTGACTGACTACAATATATATAGAGGTTATTTTTTCAGCAAACGGTACGCCATAGTAAGCAATACTGATCAGTGTTCTTCGCAACCTTACGTGCTACCGCAAGCTGGTCTCGGTTATAGTGGATGTTCTTCGGTGGCTTGAGCATGTCAAGGCAGTCTGTTGCACACTCAAATATTTGTCTCATCCGTGCATTGCGAACAAATAAAGTTTTTGTGGTGCTGCCAGACGGCGGGACATTGCAGTGGCATAAAATGAATATATATATTATTTATGTCCTATTATTGACGCGGTGCCGGGTCGATTTGGCCACTGTACATAAGTGGCGGCGCTTAGGCGTCCCGCACCATAGGTACTCAAACTGTCACTCTGCGCAGGGACAGCGGGGATTTCGCGGCCGGTAGCGGCCGGTCGATGGGGCGTACTGACACCTCGCCAGTACTTAGTAGAGCAACGTGCGCTTCCCACCACACATGCAATCCCCCATGCCCAACATTAGCGAGTCCGCCAGCAAGCAAGCAGCCGAGCCCAAGGCTCAGCGGGTTTATATCTTTCGGCAGGTGATGGAAGTCGAAGAGATAGAATATGTGTTCGTGGGGGACGTATACGTTGAAGCTCTGGCTAAGCGGAGCCCGCGGAGGCTGGTTGCAATGTTGACGGAAACCGCAAAGATTGTATACCCGGAGCTCAAGAGAATGGTCATATGGCACCTAGAGCTGGCAGGGTGATACATCAGCCCCTGTACTTAGAGTTACAAAATGATACATCAATCGCTGTAGTTCACAGGGCCTCTGGGCGATGTATCAGCTGTGTCGAGTGCTGACAGGTGATACATCATCATCTCTCGTAGCAAGTGCACTAATTCGGTAAGTAAGTGCATTAGCTAATCAGGCTATGTGTGGGATCAGCTCGTTAGTACTGATGGACCAGTAAGTATGTACTATGTACTCTACTAGTAGTAGTCTAGTGCTACTAATTGGGCATGAACTGGGTACAATTCCATCATTGTGCGCGCTCGCTATTGATGCATTCAGTTCGGGAGCCAAATAGCCCGGGAGCACGAGAAGCCGCACGGCGCAGGCGCTGAAGTTCGAACATTGCCGAATCGGGTATAGATCGCAACCAAATCAGGCTAGCTAGGCGATCATACACTACGGGCCCATTTCCATGCGTTTTCCACAGCCACTGCTAGATTGGTAGGTATGTATTAATCCAATTTGCATGCCTACATTCATCGGGACTGAGATCCACAGGAATGATGCACTGGATGCACCGGGACGAGGATGAGATTACGGCCCGATCGTGTATACCCGATTTGGCAACAGCTGTGGCTGGAGCTCGCAGAACAGCGGAATATCCCAATGCACATTGTAATATGGCTCTACACATACCAAAAAGCTTCGGAATATGCTGATAGTACAACAAGGTCTATGCACACGATGTTTTATATGTTTCTAACCGCTAAATCCATGTGAGCAAGTGTTTAGATGCGAGAAAAACATCGCCCAGCCAATCAGAGCCCGAATAGCGGTCAGCTGAATCCAAACATATGTTTGTGGATGCGTTCCGAGTGAAATATGCTACATAGAGCTATTCTAACTGAGGAGGATTGTACATCAACTGACCAAGCATGAGCACATTACTCCACTAGTCAGTCAATCATTCCCATAATGAACAGTCAGTGTTGACATAGATTACTGGTATTACTAACAATGTAACAAGGCTTCGAGGTATGTGTGACACAACATTGTCTTCGAGTGGCGAGTTTTTGAAAACAATCAAACCTTTGCACTATATAGAGCACCTGTGTATAGAAGAATGTCCGTGCTCTAATGCAGAGAGTGCTGTAGCGTATGTTTTTGTTGTCGGAATAGCCGCCCACGACCCAATCTGGCAATGATTACTCGATTAGGTATTGGGCGCTTAGCTTGCTGCGCCCATTGGTGCGATGTTTTGAAGCATGCTGCGAGGTGTTAGCCTAGTACAATGATTAGTGCATCACATCTATGGCAAAACACTGTCTCCATAACTGTCTCGGACCGATCAGGTGGCAGCCCCCAGAAGCCGGCGAGTTGCCTTACCAAGTAGGGGGTTGCCGGATTGGGTCACCGGAGTGCTCGTCGCGCCACAAGTTCGAGCCTTTTTAGGCAGCTGCCGACGAACCAGCCCGAAATAGTATCGGAGTAATACCCGATAACCGGTGTGCCGGGATCGCTCAATTAAGCTGAGTCAGCGCTACCTGATATGGCATGTCCAGCCATGCCTCATTTGGATGTGCCTCGGGTGGCACGCATATCCCCGAGCTAGTCCCGAGCTGCCACTTTGGGCAGTGCTTCATTACCAAAACGAGACCGGTCTGTCATGTATCAATCCCGGCGACCGTGATACATTGCTGATACATCCACAGACGCCTCTCATCTAGAGTGAAAGATGTATCATTCTGTAACTCTAATGAGAGGGGTATGATGTATCAATATGCCGGTGTAGGCTCCATATGGCGAATCGTCGAGGTACCTTCTCTCGTATGCACGCCCATTCGGAAGTGCAATTGATCGGTTGGTCTGGCAGAATACCACGCCTCTCAGCGTCCCCGATAGAGCGACCTGGAAGGAGATGAAGAATATGTTGCTGGACCAAGAGTCGTGGTCACATGCACGGCTTGCACATACAGAGTCCATCGGAGAGGAGATTGTTACTGAAAGCATCCCCGTCTTGGGGAGGGTTGACCTCTCAGGTGTCAAGAATCCGTTGATCGTGTTCTTCAGAAGGTCTGTGGCCCTATGTGATTGGAAGCGACATAGAGATCTTTACTGATGAGATCTTTACTCAGTGAATCCTCAGAGTTGATCTGACCCACGCTTTCAACTTTCAGGCTATTCAAGCTCCAAAAGAGCAAGACCGCTACAGTTAAAGCAAGGGCAAACCGAGGGCTAAGCCCGAGGGTACATATACATGGCCATTGTAGCAAAATAGTCTAGCCTCCGGCGAAATAGGGTACGTCTAGGTTGAACCTGTCCAGGGAGGTGAAGAGAACGCGTCGCAGCGCCCATTGTACTCAACTCTCTTGAACCTAAGACGTCGATTGCCAAAGAGGTCGTAGTACGCGCGCGTGAACATACCTTATGTCGGGCAGCCTGAGAAAGCACTTACATCGAGAAGAACATTGGATGTAGCGCTTACATGCGACCCATCGACAATCAGAATACAGGTATAACCACACAATACGGAGTCATACAGCGTCCTACTCGATACCTATTCACTGAGCGTACTGACACAAGTACCACCATCGCCGACATACATTATTACGTATACATATCCCAAACCTCAGGCTCACGCCACCTGCGGGCCCGTAATTCGGAGCCTGACCTTTTCCTCAACGTCCTGCTCGCACAGCATGATTGTAGCAGATCAGTCTGATTCCCAGCGAGGTGTATATGTCTAGACTGAACCTGTCCAAGGGCGGGAGAGAACGACTCGCAGCGCCCATTGTACTCAGCTCTCTTAAACCTAAGACGTCGATTGCCAGAGTGCACGTGGTTGTAGTACGCACGCGTGGAAATGGGCGCACTTGCGTCGAGAGCTTGAAGAACGATTGGAAGTAGCGTTTACATGCAACGCGGGCCCACTGCCAATCAGAATACAGGTATAACCATACAATACATAATACAGCGTCTTCCTACTCGATAGCTATCCAAGTGTGCTGCTACAAGTACCACTATCTCGACTCACGCCACCTGCGGGCCCGCAAGCCTGACCTTCTCCTCCACGTCCTGCTCATACAGCGCGAACGCCTTCTGGAACATCCCCGCCAGCTTCCTCACCTCCCTCTCAAACGCCTCCTTGTCCGTCCACGCCAAGCGGGGGTTCAGCAGCTCGCGCGGCACGCCCTCGATGTGGGTGGGGACCTGGAGGCCGAACGTCCCGAACGTCTCGTACTCCGCCTTGGCGAGCTCGCCCGAGTGCACCGCGTCGACGATCATGCGCGTGTACTTGAGCGGGCAGCGCTTGCCCGTCCCGTACTTGCCGCCCGTCCAGCCCGTGTTGATCAGCCAGCAGTCGACGTTATTCTTCGACATGCGCTCCGCGAGCATCTCGCGTAGCGCCGGGGTGCAGGACGATAAACGGCGCGGAGTAGCACGTCGAGAAGGTCGGGATGGCTCGAGGACGCCGTCCTCCGTCCGGGGTTTTCCTAAGCCAAATCAGTGCGTTCTCGCTCATGAAGCCAAGGCAACTCACGAAGTGTAGCCCGCGAGGAAATGGTAGCTCGCCTGCTCGGGCGAGAGCTTGCTCACGGGTGGGAGGACACCGAACGCATCGCAGGTGAGCATGATGATGTTGCTCGGCTGGCGGTTGACCATGCACGGGATCTGCGCGTTCGGGATGAACTCGATCGGGTACGCGCAGCGCGTGTTCTCCGTGATGCTGACGTCGTCGTAGTCGGGCACGCGCGAGATCGGGTTGTACACGACGTTCTCGAGGATGCTCCCGAAGCGCACCGCGTTGTAGATCTCGGGCTCCTTCTCCGCGGAGAGGTTGACGCACTTCGCGTAGCACCCGCCCTCGATGTTGAACACGCCATCGTCCGACCAGACGTGCTCGTCGTCGCCGATCAGCTTCCGGCGCGGGTCGGCGGAAAGCGTCGTCTTGCCCGTGCCAGACAACCCGAAGAAAGGGTCACATCGTTGTTCTCGATGCCGACGTTGGCAGACGAGTGCAGCGAGAGCTGGCCGAACTTGACCGGTTGGAGGTAGTGCTACACACGGGCGTCAGTCACACTCAATAGGGCGGGAAGGAAGACGCGCACCATGACAGAGAAGACACCCTTCTTCATCTCACCCGCATACTCGGTGCCGAGGATGACCATCTCCATACGCTTGAAGTTGATCTCGACAGACGTGGTGCTGCTCATACCCTTCGTGAAGCGGTTCGCCGGGAACTGGCCCGCGTTGTAGATGATGAAGTCCGGCTCGCCGAATTCCAACAACTCTTCCTCCGTCGGGCGGATGAGCATGTTGTTCTGCAACGCGTGACGTCAGCACCCGACACAGCGGTACGAGGGACAGGAACGACTTGCCATGAACAAAGCGTGGTAAGCCCGCGCGCAGATGACACGGACCTTGATGCGGTACTTCGGATCCCACTATGCGAGAGGGAACAGCGGATCAGCTGCACTGGTCCGCACTTGGCGATGACGTCGCCACTTACACCCGCGTACCCGTCAAAGACGTAGACGTTGTCCCGGGTGTTGAGGTAGTCGATGGCGCGCTCACGGTTGATCTCGAACGTGTCTGTCAAGCCGAGAGACGCGTCAGCTAAGGCCTTCGCACACAGAGCGGACGCGCGAACGTACGCTCGTCCATCATGATGTTGACGCTCCCCCACCAAATATCGTCCTTGCTCGTCTCCTCGTACACGATTCGCTTGTCCTTTGGGCTGCGCCCCGTCTTCTTGCCCGAGAAGTTGATCAGCGAACCGCTCGCGGAGATGACGGCACCCTCATTTCGGATGGCATCTTCGTAGAGCTGAGCAACGGGCGCGTTGCGCTTGATCTGAATCCGGTCCATGTCGAAACCGGCCTGGGAGAAGTACTCCAAGTCACGGCCGACCACTGAGTGAATGTCAGTTGCAGTACGGGAATGAAGTGGCTGGTGAGCGTACGCTTGGACGGCTCGGCATCGAAAGCCTGAGCATAGTTCTTGTGGAGAATGTGCGGGGTCACGTAGGGCGTGCGGTAGGCCATGGCTGATTCAGTATGCTGCACAAGACCAAGACGTCTCAGTACTAGCTCAGACATGCTGAAGAAAAGGCCGAAGTGGAATGAAGGTGGAAATTTGCGAGGCAGCCAGATCGCCGCACCAGAACGCTCGCGGGGATCAACGTAGATATACTGTGTAACCCGAGTATACACCACCTACCACGACGCAACTCGGGGCTACACACGGTCTGCCAGTGCGTTGCTTCGCGCATACATGGACGGGATCCCGCATTGAAGACTGCTCCAGACCGGTGCATGTGATAGTGCTACTGGCAACGCTCGCTCAAGCCAATCAGCGAAGATCAATTCACTGTGGCTGAGGAGGTGTTCCGCGACGAGACCCGAGGGTGCATGCATGCTCCACTCGCAACATCCTGGCCCGTGAACGTCGCGAGGGGGCAGGCTCCAGGAGATCCATAACAGGTGCGGTAGGTACCGCCCGTCATGTCGATGTGCCCGTCGACTGAGGCAGGTTGCATACATGCACCACTGCCCAGTGTTCGATAACACAGGCCAAGGACCAGCGGGCAAACCCGGGTCAGTGCGAGGTACGGAGGAGGGGCAAATACCTTCGGTAGGGGCAAAAAGCCGCACAGCAATTTGATAGGCGATCTATCATGGAGGCCCCAGGAAGATTTATGGGCTTCCGGGCCGTGCAACGAACGCATCGATGGGGAGGGAGACACGAGCGAGCGACCTCCACGAAAGGTGCATGCCCGCCAGGGCGTACATCGCCTCACAGCATGTCTGCATGCTGGACGAGCGCCGCGACAGACGGAAACGGCCCAACGCGAAGGACGACGCCCTGGAAGCTTGAACCGGAAGATCGCCAGAGGCATAGCGCGCTGCTCCGCGACAGACCGCCTCGGCGAAGGCACTACACACCGGGACGCGCCCAGGACGCGATGGGGGCGCATATACTAGGGTGATGGACTCCGAGAGCTGAGTACAATACACCGCCATCTATCCGCACGCGATGGAGGGCGTTGCAGTGGATAGGTCGCAGAGCACACGAGCGTCCATAGCGTCTGGAACATCGCACAGCACGACAGGGGGGAGATGACTCGGTACTCACCGGTTGCAGATGGGCAAAATTGGGGTATGGGCTGGTTGAGAAGCTGGATGCAGAGGCGAAACAAGTGGGAAAACGCGGGAGGGGCGGATGAGGGAGTTGGAAGTGGAGAGGGGGTCTTATAAGAGCCCAGCGGAGCGATCGCTGCATCCAGCATGAGTGTGCTCTTTCCAAAAAAGGCGATAATTGCGTCACGCGACTGCAGGCGAACAGAGGCAGACCCGGTTCTGCCCGCTGCGGGAGACCGTCGATGGCAGAGATCAGAGAGCCGGGGCGAGGCTGGCGAGCAGACAAGCCCCGTCCCGCGCAGAGAGAGCGCAGCGTGCGGGTGGCCGTTGGGAGCAGGAGTGCGAGGGAACATCGCACGGCCAACGCCTCGCCTGCGATCAACCACCTCACATGCCCCTCCCGGGCCCTCCCAAAACAGGCGTGATCTGCACCTCGCCGTACGGTGTTATATCAGCCTCCTTCACACCCTCATCCCCGTCCTCGTCGTCGCACATCGAGCGAGCTCACCAGTATGATGTCCTTCACGGAACCGCCGGTACTGATATAGCCGATGGCACCAAGGGCGGTTGACGGTCCCGGAGCGGGGCCCCATGTTCCCCGCACCCGTTGCACTTGGCGGCAGCACCTTTCAACCCAGATCATCTCTGTGCTCGTGATTTCCTACGACGAGCCAACAACATCGCTCTCGATCACTCACCTCCATCGCACTCCTGTACGTTTTCTCTTCAACTATGCGCGTACGTTACTTTCATCCTTCTTAGCACCTCACGGAGGCTCCCATACTTGGATACATAGCTTGCGGTCTAGTCCCATTGGCAACGTCACTTGTCGTAATTCCGAGCACATGTGAGCTCTCACGCGCACGTCGAAGTCCACCCTGCTAGAACTGCGGGTACCTTCGCAACTACAAATTCAGCTCCCAAACAACGGCAAGAGCTCTGTGTGCTCCTTACTTACGGGCTTCCAGGTCACTCGCGCACCCCAATTGTGTGGAGGGTTCTCAGAGCTCCCGTCCTTCTAGCGGGTCACATTTCCGACTTATATACAGCAAGTTATGTCGCTGGCATTTCCGTGAAACAGGGCCACCTTCCGGACCTTGCGACTCCCGATACCCGGCCGAAGGGATTGTGCAGATACGATATGGGGTTTGACAGATTCCGCACATCATGCAGTCAGTCACATCGTCACTTTTCCTCCGGGTCATTGGATGGGAGGATTTTCATCTTCAGCGTTCTGCGAGTCTTAGTAGAGAGTAGAGAGGAGAAGAGCTGCTCCTGTCTTGGTCAGGCATCGCATCCCAATAAGGCATGTCTTTTTCCGGATTTGGCGATACAAATTGACTTTCATTGTGACAGTTTCTGCCTAAACGACCCCAAGAACGTAGCTAACCCCTAAGTTATGCATGACAGTCATGTCGACGTGCGGTCGCGGCCTTTTGCGCTTTCCCCGAAGCCGCTTCAATGCGACCTGTCCCAGTGGGCCGTGGTGAGATTAGCACGACCACAGCTGTCACCGGTGAGCATTGCAGACGGTCGCAAACACGCTGAAGGGGGTATGATATGATAGTACTGTTACACCGCTAGGAGCTTGATCCACATTATTCACTCTACTCTTCACTTATCGCTCTCAGCGACCCAGTCCCCGATTGCAGCCAACACTGCCTTATCCTCAGGCTCGTTAAGCGGGAACAGCAAATGGTCGTGAATGGCCCCCCTCGCCTCGAAATACTTCACACCGTCCCTCCCCTCTCCCAAATCTCTTACCATCCTCTCCTTGAGCGTCACCACCATGTCCAGGAACCGCTCCATGTCCCCCACCTCGACGAACGTCCTCGGAAAGCCCTTGAAGCTCGCGTCCACATGCTTCGACGCCGGCGAGATGTACTCGTTCGTATTCATCGCCTCGAGCCCTAGCGGGCCCGGATACAGGCGGGACGCAGCCCACAGCGGGCCCTGCAACGAGTCCACCAGGTAATCGTGCACATTCCTCGCCGCCGAGCTCCCCGCACCCGCATGCGACGTCCCCATATCCGCCCACACGCTCAGCAGCACAAGGTGGTACGCCGGCACCGCCGCGGGGCTGGGGAACTTGGCGGGGACGCGCTCGTGCAGCTCCTTGACGTTCTCGACGAGGTAGCGCGCGAGCGCGAGGGAGAGGTTCGCGCCCGCGCTGTCGCCGAGGACCACGACGTCCTCCAGCGCGAAGCCGACGATGTTGAGGAGGTAGTCCAGGCCGGTAATCGCGTCGAGGAGGGCGGCGGGGAACGGGTTGCGCCCTTCTGGCGGAGGCGAGGGCGAGAGGTCCGTCAGGCGGTACTCCACGGCCAGCGCTCGTCGCACGCGGGAGATGTGCTGGAGGTGGATACGCGAATGCCTGCCCATGAGGTAATGCGGGTGCGCGGACGAGGATAAATATCCTCCGCCGTGGAAGAACAGTATCACGCGCTCGCCGGGCACGGGCGGGGCATTGGGGTCGACGTCCGGGCTGCTGGTCTGCCAGTACCCCGGAATGCGCGTGGGGTGGACGTTCGCCTGTGCAGCCCAGTGTTTTACACGGCCGAGGATGAGCGCGGGGTTGGGCTCGAGCCAGAGGGCGTGCATGCCGCGGCCACGAGGGATGGCGCGGTGCGTCGGGGAGTCGATGATGTTGCCCGTCCTGCGTAGCGCGTTGACACACCGGGTCGAACGGAACGTTCAGCGGACGGACGACGGGGCTGCAACTCGCGGGACTCACCTCTCCGCGATGGGCCCGAACTCCGACCAGACCCTGAGAATGGGCAAGAACACGCATTTGAGGAGTGACCAGCTAGGATGTGGCCTTCGTGACCGCGGCAGATTGGTGAGGACGAGCCATGGTACGCGGAAGAAGACTGTGAGGAGGCCTTGGTAGGCGAAGTAGATCGTGCGCCACGGCTGCGCGCGCCATTCATGCATCCCGCGAGAGACGGTCCGGATCGAGGGCCGGCGCCAAGGGTGTCGACTCGAACTGGATGTCAGTGCGAGCTCGAGGGAACGTCGACTGAGAAGGTCCTCACACCGACGTTTATGAGCTCCTCGCACGGTCTCTCACACCCCGGATCAGTTGCACGTAGAACTTCTCTGATTGGCGATAGTGACGGCGTTTGTATGTTTTCTCGTCTCAGCTATCTGCATCTGTGTGTACGGGGGTTTGCTGAATGTCCTTCGTGTATGCCTACTCGAGGTTGACAGGCTAGTACGACGCCAATGTCATGATAGTGTCCACCGCAGCGGCAATCATCGATATCTGCTGACCATTGCATAGTGCGAGTCTGAACTGCTCGCACCTGGGTTAGGCTGCCAGTGTTGTGGCGCTGCGGGATGTCCAGCTACGGGCGCTCGGGGACACAGGCATGGAAGGTCTGAGCGGTCACCGGACAATCCGTGCTTCGCAAGTCCTTCGCGGAAGGAAATTAGCCACCTGGCGTTGTGGAGCGTCCGATCGTACGATCAATCCTGAGGATCACGATCGTGCTGACTCTGCTTGACACTTCCAGTCAGCCCGAGTCAGGCACGTCTCCACTGCCAGTCAGCAGCTGGATACTTAGGCACGTCAAGCTACATAACGTTCTCCTGGTGACTGACATGAACCAGGATTCACGGTGTTCTGCCGTGATTCAGGACTGTTACGATACCGGTGGTCTCCACAGATAGAAGGTCGACAAGGTGCGTCACTCTCATCATGACTTCGGAATTCCATAGCTGCGACAAAGTTGTTCGGATGATTGCCAGGACAGGATACCGTACGAGATGCGTAGGCAAGAACGGAAACCCAAACTATGAGTAGATATTCAGTACATACGGCAAACACCAATACAGCTAAGTTATTACAAGACGACGAGTGACGACGAGATGAGATTTGCACGACCGGATGTGGTACAACAAAACAACAACAGGGCAAGAAAACAGATGTCCAAGATATCGAGGGCTAGAGGTGCTTCACAGTGCTCTTTCGACGCGGCTGCGCCACAGGTGAAGACGGATACGCGAACAGATTCAACGCGTCATCGGACGAGAGATCCTCGGCAGTGCACATTCGAGAAGGTTCGTCCTCCTCCGAGTCCTCAAGATCGTCGTCACTCTCTTCGCGAGCAGGCTGAGTGCGTGGCTTCGGCTGCGGAAGCACGCTGACAAGGATCTTGCAGGCTTTGGAAGTGCCTTTGTCTTCCGCTCGGGGTGCAGGGATATCACGCTCTGCGTCGCGTGGTGCGCTGCATTTGATGGCCTTTTGACTGCACGACCACGGGGCTGGACATAATGCTCCAGGCCTTCTTTTGCGGTACCTGTAGTACGCCGCTCGTCCTCTTCGCCAGCGCTGTCGACCTCTTTTTCGGGCTTCTCGGTCTTGAGACTACGAGGGGGACTTCGTCGCACACGCTTCTTGTTCTGGCTGAGCCCAGGGAAGTCCTCGAACTCCGAGCTCGCCAACGTCTCCTCGTCATCGTCATCATGAGGGGGACTGGCAACAATCGTGGGCGTCGACTGTCTGGATGTCCGCGAGCTGGAGGAGGCCACAGTGGCCTGGCCCGGTTGAGACCGCCGTGGCTGACGCTCAGGCTTTTTCGGACCAGACTGAGATCGCAGTTTGCGAGGCGCGTGCAGCTCGACAGCGGGGAGCGGTTTCGATTGCTGGACCTTCCTCCGTTTCGTAGGGCGTTGCACCTCGGGGGTCTTCTGCACCCACGAGCCGATCATGTCCTCCCAAACCCACTCTCCGGAGGACGTAGAAGGACCCGCTTGCGGGCCGCCTGCGCCCAGAATCGCATTGGCCGTCTGCTGCGCCCCTGCGCCCGTACTGAAGCAACGCGCCTCTGCGCCCTCGACCCTCCCCACGAGTTCCTCCCTCAGCGCATGCAGGTCCTCACCCGCCTCTGCACCGCGCCTGGGCAGGAACGGATGCGCGCCGCCCATCCCTCCCGTCAAGATCACGTCCTCGATCTGCCTGAGGGCGTTGCCCCAGAGGCTCGCCTCGAGCAGGTACAGTCGGTGTGCGCGCAGTGCACGAGCGTAACGTCTGAGCACCTGCATAGCCTCCGTCTGTGTGAGCTGAGGCGTAGGCGGGGGCGTGGGCTGGGGTGTGCTGTCTTCTGACGGGGCGCGCTCGAGCGCGAGCGGGAAGTCGAAGGGACTCGTAGGGTCAGCGGGAACAGGGACGATGAAGAATAGGCCGACGAGGGCGCCGTAGGTGTCCGTGTTGGGCGCGCAGGAGCGGAGGAACGCGGCGAGAGTCTCCCGGTCGCCGAGGGGTAGAGTGGGTAGTACTGGGCTAGCGAGGCAGTAGGTCGCTAGGCAGATGAGAGTGTCTGCCGCGCTGGGCTGTTTGGGCGAGCCACGTTCTGGTCGGACTTGAAGACCGGTGCTCGATATGTACAGCAAGAAGTCAACTGTGTGCTGGACGTCTTCTGCGTAAGGGCGAGTTGCTGCCGGGTCACCGCTTTCGGCCTGCGACTCTCTTGCAGCTAGATGGTCCAGCGCCGACTTCGTCCACTTGGCAAGCCGGGGCCTCAACTTGTCTTCGAGGGGCTCTAGAACGTGGGACTTCCTCTTGGACCGGCTTCGGGCCTGACCTTTGTCGGTCTCGACAATATCGTGCGCCAATCCTGAGCATAGCTGCAGGAACGCCGGTAAGTCCTGTGCGCGCAAGTCCCTCGCCAGGCGGGCAACAGGTTTCGACGTCCACGCGTCGACGCGCCCAGCCTGGGACTGCGAGAGCGCGTCCACGAATAAGGCCGCGAAGGTCGAGTTGTCAAGGCGATGGTAGTTGGCGCTCGCGCGATGGTCTCTGGAGCAGCATGATGAACGGAGAGTCGTGAGGTAGTTGGTGTGTGCGGGATGAAGAAGGGGACAAGTCGAGCTGCCAGTGACGGAAGAGCGGATAGACTCGAGAAACAACGCGTGGAGAACGAGGTGGGATTCGATGGATAGGGTGTGAGAGAGGCACACCTCGAGGAGCGCTGTCAAGAGTGTGGGATGGTGGGGACATGTCTCGAGAACAAGAGTCAGAGCATGAGAGATAACAGTATGGCTAGAGAACCGTTCAGTAACTTCATCGGCTAAAGTGGTAGACCGGCGGGCGTACCTTCGATAGTGAAGAGGAACGGCCTCGTACAGTTCCTCCTGGATGTCGGTAGTGATGTTTGTGGACGAGTCCTCAAGTTCATCCTCGAGTTCGTCTTGGCGAGCAACTATCTCAGCTTGGATGTTCTCGCCGATCATGGCGGCGCACATCGATGCCAGAGATCGAATGGGCGGCGCGTCGTTGCGCGGACCTGTCGATTCCGTGCCGAGGGCAGCCTGTACGACACTTCGGAATGCATCGCGTACTTCGTAGATCTTCCGCGAGAGCTGGACATTGTCAAGACTGGTGCGGTCAAAATGTATACGCGACCCGAGACTCTCGGGCGGCTGTAAAATGGCCAGTGGAGGCGCGTCGTGGTCCGTGGACGCGGTTCGTGGAAGGGGGCGTGAGCGATTCGAGTAGGTCACAGACACCAGAGGTCTTTTATGCGACCTCGGAGCCGAGAAATCTGCTAGGGTTGTGCATTTGGCGCGTAATGGTCGGAACAGCCGGTTGACGCGCGAAGTTGTGAGATGGGTGCCGTTACTGGTAGACATAAGTCTTCGTCACGGTCCGGTTAGTATTGAGTAGATCCAAGATATTGAGTAGATGAGCAATCAAGAGTAGGAGAAGGCGGGGAGGAGGGGTAACGCGCACGCAAGATGGCGGCGTGGATGGAGATAGGACGGCAGAGCACTCGGAGCAGCCACATTGAGCCACATCGAGATTCGACACGGTTCGAGTTTAGAGATCCCAGATCTCGTGATCGTGTTTTCCCACGAGCGCCATCCGGGTTTACAGACTCGGGGACAGTCTTCTCTGCCCGAATCCTGACCATATTCGCTCACTGTCAAGGTTCAAAATGACAGTCTGACTAGTCAACCCACAATTCGTTCTTTGAGCTGCTCAGTAATCTGCTATGATACGCCGAACACCACACCGGCCTGTCTATGTCAGCGTGGCGTCAGTGTGCCAGAGGCTATATATCTCTGCCAGTGAGCGGTTGGACATACGTAGCCGCCAGCGAGCACTTTTTTCGCACATTGAACTTGCAACGACGCTTCCTAGCATGACGGGAAAGTATGGCTCGGTGAGTTTTCTCCCAGACATCTGGCTAACGGTGCTGACGCGGCGAAGTAACCGGGTCATCCTCCGGCTTTGGACGACTCGTGACGGAGAGTGCGCTGAGGCACGGCGACAAGGTTGCCGCACATTGAGGAAGCAGAAGTGCTGTCGGATCTCTCGTCGAAATACTCCTCCTCGCAGCTTCTCACGCTTAAGCTCGACGTCACCAAGTCAGATGAAGTCAAGCAGGCCTTCAGCGCCGCGCACGCGCACTTTGGTCGGGTCGACGTCGTGTTCAATAACGCGGGGAAGTTAGTCCTCGGACCAGTCGAAGGCACCCCGGACGACATGGCGCGCGACTTATTCGAACTGAACCTCTGGGGCGCGGTCAATGTCACTTCGGCCGCGGTGCATTGCTTCCGCGAGCTTAACAGCCAGCTGGGGGACGTTTGATACAGAACTCTTCGGTCTGTGGATCTCGGGGTCTCCCCGCCTCGGTTTCTACTGCGGGACCAAGTTTGGTGAGTAGAAACGAACTTGAAGACTGCGGTGGCTTACTAGAACGCAGCCATGGAGGGCATATCCGAGGCTCTCGCTGTGGAAGTTGACCCAGCCTGGAACATCAAGGTAGGCGTCGCAACTACACCTCCGCGTTACAACAACTGCCAGTGCATGTACTAACGTCACATCACTCGCAGGTCATCATCTCGAACCCGGTTCATTCTACACAGGCGGTCACGGTAGAGGAGACGTCGCCCCTGCGCATCCTGCTTACAAGCAACCCGACCTGAGCAAGATGCTGAAGGGCGAGGGTATGTCAGACCCAATCAAGGGCGTGGAGATCATCTACCGGTTGGCATCTCTGCCCAATCCCCTCTCCATTTTCCGCTGGGCCAAGACTCGGTGGCCACGATGGTGACAAAGCGAAGAAGTTGCTCGCGGCTGCCGAAGAATATGCATCGTGGTCAGAGGCGTTGGAGCTAAACCCTAGGCTGTAGCCCCCTTCGCAGTATAAGGCTCCTGCACGCAGTAAAGGCGTGAGCAGAATAATTTTAAAGGGGTGTGTCCCAGATACAAGCTTGCGAAGGCGTGGCTTAGCCCCGAGACCCACTGATACTAAGCATTCAATTCAATACTCAAGCCATCTGCAATGCTGGTGGCCTCAAAGCATCTCCCCGTCACGAAGTGGGCACGATGCGCGTGGCATGCTATTTGCGGTTCATTCATCCTACCAGTGGTTCCTTATGGCTACGTGGCACAAGGCCATCGTATATGCCCTGAGGTACAGAAGATTTGGCGGCGGAGCTACTCATTTATGTGTCTTGGTCGGGCAGAGGGCGAGATCACGGCTGATCACCCATACTAATATAATAGCCAGTTGCAGTGGCGAACGGCGATGGGTGGAAGCAGTCACCTCTTGGCAAAGGTGGTGGCTGTACGCTGAGCCGACACCGATCGCTTCTGCACAGCTAAGACCGTTCAGAAACCAACTGAATCCGGTGAACCGAGCATCCTGTCTTGTCCTCTGCGGTGCGCCGTGTCCCAACCGTGCCCTGTGAAAGGTCTAAAACGCATCGAATGCATCGGTTCTGACAACAGTAATCTTTTTAGATTCTACGCGTGCGGCCTTCGGCGACGATCCAGGCCGTCATGACCTCCATCCAAGTCTAAGCCACTTCAATGTTCCGCCATGGAACCCTTCCAAAGTGCGCTTCTTCTTCTGCTTCGTTTAGTGTTCCGAGTCTGACACATGCGTCCTTACATCGTGCGGCTTTTGCTATAGGTGTCGCTTCCCGCGCCCTTCGTGTCTTGTTCAGCCTCGTCCAGCAACTTCGTGGGCCCCGTCTTCAATTCACGGCTTGCAGAACTGCGTCCTGTCCTCTTGCACTCCCGACGTAGTCATCTCCTCGTTCATTGCCCAAACCACCGAGCACCAAAATGCTGCGCCCGCTTCCTATACCTCCGAGGTCATGCAGCGCAGATATAGACCCACGGAAATGCGAACCGGGAGCGTGCATCGGCGCCTCCCGTCTATCGCATCCACAAGTACGGTCACCGACAGTCATCCTCCTCGGCCGCGCCCTCTTCCACGACCGAACGCCGAGTCGTCGTGCGCGAAGCCCGCGTTGAGGCCTCTCCCGACGCCTGTGCTGTCGGACACTGCGTCTACGTGTTCCGGCAACTCACTCGCCCGCTCGGCTTCGCTGTACAGCGCGGCCTCCGCCTCGACCTCGTCATTAGCCACCGACTCCTCATCCTCCGACTCCTCATCCCGTCCGATGACGCCGTCGCAGAGTCCGGAGGCGGACGACGACGTCGAGGTTGTTCTTCCGGATGACATGGAGTGCCTCGGGGGCAGCGGACTGTTCAGTTACGGGATGGGTACGTCCCGCGACGACGCCGAGAGTGGGCAGAGCCAAAGACTCATGTTGGCGGCGGCACTCGCAATCAGGGCGCACGATATCGTGGAACAGGAAATAGTGTGGAAGGCGTTCGTGCTGAAGAAGGGCAACCTGCTCCCGGTAGAGTAGGTCTGCATTCGGCGGATCATGAGTGCATACTTATCGCGGCTCACTAGTGAGTTGTTGCTCTCTGCTCCCTCTACGTAGTACACCACTTACTAGCGAATACCAACCAGAATCTTGATGACCTAGGCTCAAGTTAATCGAGACCCTGACGTCTGGCACGTTGGACCCGACATTCGTTTCGATCTCGCAACAAGATACCTGTAGATATTTCAATCTTCTCTTCATAACCTTCTGCTGTATTCGTAGATTTTCGTTCTTGCCGGTTTAAATGTAGCATTCCTTCGCTTGGCTGTCATTCCCTGCCCACACTACATAAGTTATAACATACACCTCGCCACGCTCCCTACCACTGCAACTGTTTCACTTCGTGCTCGGATTATAGGGCTCTCACTGGAGGGTGTATATTCAATTGCACACTATTATCTGACGTTCTCCAGCTCTGCTCTTACTTTAGTAGGGCTGTCAATAGCATATGGATGATCTCATCGTTTGCCGATGCGGTCCGCGACAGCATGTCAGCGCGATACGCACGTTTCCCTCTTCGTGCTTCTCCTAGAACTATACGGTGATTGGCGATCCCTGAAAGAATGGGCGATAAGGGAAGGTAGGCGCAGATCTTATCCGTTGCAGGATGCCCTGCGGACGCACACTTGAGCAAGCAAACTGCAACCTGAGCACTGACACAGACGTCGGCCCATACCACCTCCTGTCTTTCAACCGGGAGCCCGGGGTTACTCACATGGAGGATCCTCGGTGTCTAGAACGCGAGGGTCAGCTGTCCGAAGACCTTTCGACGAATTATGCAAACTGACACAAATCAGAGACAGACATACAGGCATGGATACATATCCACCCCTTCCCCCGACTCTGCAGACACGCTGATTCTCCTTAGGGGACGAACTGCACGCGCGGCGCGAGAGCGAACGTCACGCAATCGTGCAGTGCTCGGGGCCTCAAGGCCTCATGGTTGAGGGCCTTGCACGCCAGAAGCCGGTCTTTCCTCACACGCATGGTAAGAACATACCGTTGTAAAGGCTCTTGGTATGTCGGAAGATTTGTGGATGCAGTAACGCAGCCCCGGGCTCCACCGACGGCGGCGAGATCGTTGACGTTTCGAGGAGCTCTGGGAGACCGAGGTACTGTCTGCGGATGCTCAGCACACGTGGCGGTATGAGAGGCATAAACCATAGCAGCCCACGGTGACTCCTTCATGAGTGAGTGAGCACTTAGCGGTGTTAGGGTCCACACTACGTCGAGAGTCATATCGGGCGGACCTATGTGCAGGCCGGTTGACAGAGGGACGTGCCGATGCACGCCTCTGGGATCTAAGATATGTAATTTAGTTGAGAAGCGTACCGACACGAGAGTAGTTTCACCCACGAAGTAAGGTCATGATGCTGAGTAGTCCTCGTGTAGTTACCAGTAGTAGCACTGCAGAGATTGGATCGCGCCTCCTGCGTCACAAGCTGTAGTTGTGCTTGAGCTGCACAGGAAAAGAATTTGCGCGACTGTAGAAAGGAAGGAAAGGAGCACCGCGCGTGAACCTAGTCTCGAAGAAAGACTTGAACCTGGAACCATCCACCACATTCACATGTGGGGTCTGTGTCGAACCTATACTGACGGGGCTCGTGTGCACTATTAGGTTTACCATAGCGTTCTTGCTAGGGTCGTGGTCACTAGGCGATCTGAAGAGATGCGGCGGCACCTGGCGATCATCCTAAGGTGGGCATGGTCATTACTGACGGGGGGCGATGCTCATCGAATAACTTACGACTGGTCACAGGTCGAAGAAGGGCGTACGCGTGACCTTATACTCGGGCAATAGTGTTTGTTGACGAGAATGGTGCGTGCGATAACCGGGAAAGATGTCCATCCCGTCTCAAAGTCTAGGAGCGAGTCGCCTCCGACCCTATGTGGGCAGCAAATCGCACCGAGAACGGCACTTATCAGAGTACTGCTGGCGAGGAATCGTGATTACTACCACCCACCGACTAGCCTTGCCATTCCGAGTCGTCGAGATCACAACATCGACCCGTGCTAAGGCGCGTATCGTCGTGTTCATCATCTGCGGTGAGGTAGCATTATCATAAGACTCATCTGAGCACATACGAGATGAGCGCGTGAGTAGTTGTGTTCCGCGGCGAAGCACTACTATGCCATTTCCGAGGGCCTGAGCAATGGAGGGTACCACGCCTGTTCTGCGTTTCTAGCTGCTCGCAGCAAATGATCACGCGGTCCCGGGGTCGAAGGTGGTACTTACAATTGAGAAGAGGATCCGTCGTCCGGAGGCACTCCGAGTGCCGACATGGGCGTGGTGAACTTGCTCGGGCTGAGTCTGCATACGGTGCCTCCACGACACCTCGCCATCCTGGCTGCTGGCTGCTGTGCGGCCGGTTGCCTTGTTTTTTCGGCCAGAATACGTTGAGAGCAATATTGCTTGGCATTGGCGCGGGGACGAGGACGCGGTTGTGGCGGCGCTTGGGCACGCGTTTGGGGCGTGTTGGATGACATCAGCCGCATCTGGCGGTCGCCTGCCGCTAAAACCTGCGCTGCGCGGGCCCGTAGCTGCACGCCGCCGAGTGCATCGTTCTTCTTGATACCGACCATCGTGTCGCCGTCGTCGCCGCCGTCGTCGAGGCCGCCTGCAAGTCGTCGCTGCGTGCGCCAGGACCGACTCGCTTAGATCGCAAGGTTTGATTGCCCTCGCTTGCGTGCCGGCACAAGTGTTGAATTTTCTCTCCGCGCCGATCGTCCAGCCCGCAAACGGATAAGAGCAGAGCCACAGTCGCCCGCGCACGACATCCTCACTACCCTCACGACCACCCCGACGTCGAGCCTATCGACGGCGGCGGCAACGATGAACATCGCTACCACCGCGGCGCCCGAGCCGCTCCTTGCCCTGCGCATAGTCTCGCCTGCTCTCGTGCTCTTGTCTGCCCTGTCCATCGTCTTCATTCCCCACCGTCTCCGCAGTCTCCGTCACCCATTACCCCCGTCGTCGTCGCCAGCCGTACACCCCGCAGAGCGACCATCCTCGCTCTTCTCTCCCTCTCCGGCCTTACCTTCTTCCTTGATGGCTTGACGTTCGTCGTCTACGCCGTGCTGCGCAAAGTGTGGCCCGCATACACCGGCATTGAGGTCAATGCCGTTCTCGGTCTGATTGCATTTGCGGGACTGGCCGCCCTCGGTGCTTGGAAGGATATCCAAGGCGTCGACGTCTGGACGTTGACCAGGCTCAAGTTGAGCATCCTCGTGGCGTTTGCCTTGGATCTTGCCCAGATTGTTCTGCTGGGTTCGTCCCTGCACGGTGAGTTGGTTATCGACGGTTCTTCCCTTTCTCCAAGTTGATCATGTTCCCATGCAGGGCCCTTCTCCATTGAATCATTGCTCCACTTTGTCTTCCCCGCTTTCCGCGTCCTGGTCCTTGTGCCACTGTTCTTCGCGCTTCTCCTCCCCGCGTTTCCTATGTCCCCTTGCAGAACGGCGACCACTCGTCTCGCAGCGAGACGAGTCTGCTTCTGCCCGCAGAAGAAGGCGCAGCACCCTCTACCGGCCTCGCACCCGTCTCAGCTGAGAACGGCAAGTACGGCACCTTCCGCCCGACAGCGCGTTCGACGCTGCACGCATCGGGGCCGACTACGCGCACCCATACACCGGCGCCGTCGTCCGTTGCGGTCTCCCCGCTGAAGGGGAGGGATGTCAAGGAGGAGGTCGCCCTCGACCCGTCATGGAGCGAGATCATCGCGCGCATCCGCCGCATCTCTCCCTATCTGTGGCCGTCCAAGAGCTTCGCCCTCCAGACCCTCGCTGTACGTGCCTTGTCGTCGTCGTGGTGTATCTCCGTGCTTAATATTTGTGCAGGCATTCTGCATCGTCGTTGTACTTATCGGCCGTGTCGTGAACATCCTCGTGCCGTGGGTCTTCGCAGAGCTCGTGCACATGTTCGAGGAAGGCGCGTACACGACCAAGATATGGATCTATCTCTTCGCGTACGTTGGTCTTCGCTTCCTGCAGGCCAGCGGTGGCCTGTCGGCCCTGCGCGAGACGCTCTGGGCTCCGGTCATGCAGTACTCCGACCGAGGTATGAGTCTCAGTACCGCATCCCTTGGACGGCGCGCTGACAGGCTTGTGCTTCCAGAGATGTCCCAGCTTTCTTTCGAGCACTTGCTCAACCTCTCCTTTGCATTCCATCTCCGCCGCAAGACGGGCGAGATCCTGCGCATCCTCGACCGCGGCGCGGCGATCAACCGCGCATTCGAGCTGCTCCTCTTCAACGTGATCCCGACGTTCATCGACATCGCGATCGCGCTCGTGCTGTTCGCTGTCTGGTTTGAGTGGACGCTCACGCTGGTCGTGTTCTTAGTCATGGCTGCGTACGGTGCGTGCGGACATATGTCTATTGAGCCTCATGATCGCTGAGCATGGTTCTATAGTCTCTGCGAGTGTCATCCTCACGAGGTGGCGGACCAGGCTGCGGAGGCAGATGGTTGACCGCGATGTGGTGTGTATACATGAGTTCAATGTCAACGTCACGAGGGCACTGATGATGTTTCATAGATCACTCGTGGTATCCATACGGACTGCCTACTTAACTACGAAACTGTGAAGTACTTCTGCGGCGAGCAGCACGAGGCGGACCGCTACAGCGATGCCATCCGCGCGTACCAGAGCCTGGAGTACAAAGTCATCCGTACGTCGTGTGTGTTGCTCGAGCCTTGCCGTAGCTGACTGTGGACCTAGTCTCTTTGAACCTGCTCAATCTGGTGCAGAACTTCATCATCGTGCGTAGCCGGGCTTGTCGCGCGACGTTTCATGAGATTGACACCCTTACCTGTAGACCCTTGGCCTCCTGGTTGGTTCGATGATCGTAGCGCTGCGGGTGACAAGGGGACAGTCTAAGTCTTACGAGTTTGTGTTCTTCATCACGTACCTTGCACAGGTGAGTCAACTCTGCGTCGTTATCTGGTGAAGTAACTAACTGGGTATCTGTCCAGCTCTACGGCCCGTTGAACATGCTCGGCACGATCTACCGGTCCATCAACCAGACGCTGGTCGACACTGAGAAGCTGCTCAAGCTGCTGAACGAACCAACGGAAGTGAACGACAAGCCGGACGCACCTGACCTGATCGTCACTGACGGCGAGATCGCATTCGGTGAGCTTGTGATGACTCAGTTCCTGCACGGACGGATTGCTGACACTAGGCGCAGAGAACGTCAGCTTCTCGTACGACGGCCGCAACCAGGCGCTCAGCAACGTGTCGTTCAAGGTTCCCAAGGGCTCGTCCGTCGCGCTCGTCGGCGAGTCCGGTGGCGGGAAGTCGACCGTGCTCCGGTTGCTCTACCGGTTCTACGACCTGCATGAGGGTGACGGACGCATCTTGATCGACGGCCAGGATATCCGAGACGTGACCCAGCTGAGCTTGCGCAAGGCGATTGGGGTTGTCCCCCAGGATAGTGTTTTGTTCAACGCGAGCATTGCCTACAACATCGGGTATGGGCTTTCTGTCTTTCCACTTTTGGGTGCGGGGGCTGACGATGGAGTAGGTATGGCAGGTTCGGTGCCACTTCTGAGGATATCGAGGCTGCGGCGAAGGCCGCGCAGATGCACGAGCGGATCCTGAGTTTCCCGGACGGGTACGACACCCGGGTGGGCGAGCGCGGTGTGAGGTTGAGCGGGGGGGAGAAGCAGCGTGTGGCGATCGCGCGGACGCTCCTTAAAAACCCGCCCATTCTTCTGCTCGACGAGGCTACGAGGTGAGAGTGGCTCCGCTGCTGTGGGAGAGCCCGTCTCACGCACGTTGCTGGTACAGTGCGCTGGATACGGCAACGGAAAAGGACATCCAGAAGGCGCTGCAGCACCTCGCGGAGGGACGGTCGTCATTGGCGATCGCACACAGGCTTTCGGTGCGTGTTTTGGAGGATGGGAAGCTTTTTGTGGACTGACGACATTGCGCACAATCGCAGACCATCGCGACCGCTGACGTGTGAGTCTACTCATCTGTTATGATTTCGAGATGGTGGACTGATCGAACCGCTTCAGGATCCTTGTCCTGAAAGATGGACAGATCGTGGAACAGGGAAACCACAGCGAACTGCTCGCGCTGAACGGCGAATTTGCAAAGATGTGGGCGGCGCAGGTTCAGGGTGCCGAAGACGTGCCGTCTGCTGCTTCGCTCAAGAAGGAGGGTGCGAGTGGATATTCGGTCGAGGACTCTACGACGAAGGAGGGCACGGAGCCTGCGGTCGAGCACTTCGTGGACTCGCCTGGTGCGGTGGACGCCGAGCTAGCGCAGATCGACGCCGAGGGTGGGCACGAGGCTGCCGAGGGTATATCTGGGGATGATGTCGCGGATACTCCGGCGGTAGAGCCAGGTGCGGAAGCGACCGAGACCCCATCGGGTGCCGCGCCGGACGAGGCTGGAGCGGAGGTCTCCGCGCCCAGTGCCGCTGAGCATTCGCAAGAGGCTACCGCTGCCTCGGTGGGCGAGGATGATCAGGCTCCTGTGGCCTTCCCGTCTGACGCAGCGGATGGAGCGCGCCCCTCAGCTGACGGCGCGGCGCCCGTGGCCTTCCCGGGTTCCGGGGCGTCTGCACCAGTCGCGTTCCCGGGGGGCGACGATGGCGCGTCCCAAAAGGCGATGTCGATTCCTGAGCGTGCGCAGACGCCACAGCACACGCAGGGCGTGACCTTCCAGGACGCGCAGTCGCTGCCCCACTCTGGGGCCGCGAGCCCGGATCCCGACGGGAAGCGCAGAAGGACGCTGTCGACGCAGGGCATCCAGCGGTTCGCACGGAGGCTGTCGACGCGCGGGGACTCTGTCTCGAGCACGCCTGGCAAGACTGGCGGGTTCATGGCGGCGCTGCGGCGCGAGGGCACGACTGGGTCCAAGGACGACGGCAGCTCGAAGGACGCGCGGGAGAGCCCTGCGGCGAGCGTGTCGAGCGACATCGGGCAGACGAAGAAGCTGAGCAAGAAGCTGGACAAGAAGAAAGATAAGAGAAAGAGTGTGAGTGGGGGCGTTTGAGTTTGGGTTCGTCCCTCAGAGTTTCGTGGATTTCCCCTGCATGCATACGATTTTTCACGACTGTCACGATACTGTAGTAATACTGTTTCTTCCTGTCATTATCTCGTTGTCGTGCGCATCCCGCATCTATGATCCATCGTCTGCGGTATAATTGTGTCTGATATGTAGTTGGACGTCGACGTCAGCGTCAGCTGGTGGCGTCGGCTTATCGGTGTGGGAGGGCGGTGTTGCGATTGCCATCTGTGCGCGGTCGCTCAAGGCACCACCTGCCATAACGGGCCGGGGGCGCCAAGGGCGCGGGCCTAGAGTCACGCGAAGGGCCGGAAGTTTTGGGTTCGGCACCGGAGTTTGAAACGCGCAGGGCGTATATAAGGCCAGGGAGGAGGCCCCCTCTCCCTCATCACGGCTCTCCCCCAGCTCTCACCTGTCTGCTGTCCTGTGTCCGGGTTTCGGTTTCGTGCGATCTTGTGTCAAGGGTTCAACGGGTCCTCCATCTGTATTATAACAGAATCGCATCATGTCTGCAAAAGTTTACGTTGGGTCAGTTTCGTTGTGTCGTGCCTCGTGCGCCGCGCTCCTCCCGAGGAGTGCGCGACTGATGTGTTTGTCCCCGTGTTATTGTAGCAACTTGAGCTGGAATACCACCGATGATTCGCTCCGTCAAGTCAGTGTGATTTTGTGTCTGCGCGGCGTCCTTGTGGCGTCGCGCTCTGTTCCTGCATGGTGTCTGATATCCTCGTGTTGCGCGATCTTGCGTTTCTTAGGCCTTCTCCGCGTTTGGAAACATCCTTGATGTACGCGATCACCTATCTCCCATCGGAGATCTATCGCTGCGCATCCTCGCAAGCCGGTAGATATCTTGCATCATTGAGCTGACCACCGCCTTCCCGTGCACAGTCCATCGTGATGCGCGACCGCGACACCGGTCGCTCGCGCGGCTTCGGCTTCGTCACCTACTCCTCCAACATTGAGGCCCAGTCTGCTATCAGCAACCTCAACGAGCAGGAGCTCGATGGCAGGCGCATCAAGGTCAACCTTGCTAACGCCCGCGGCAGCGGCGGCGGCGGCGGAGGTATGGCCTTTTTACACGATCTATCCGATCGTTGACATTGACAATGCAACCCATTCAGGCTTCGGTGGTGGTGGCCAGGGTGGAGGTTATGGTACGTGGGCTTGAGGTTCTCTGCTTACATGTTGTGCCTTAACGATTCGTTTGGAGAAGGCGGCGGTGGCTACCAAGGCGGAGGCGGCGGCTACCAAGGAGGCTATGGTGGCCAGGGTGCGTACGGAGGCTATGATCAAGGTTGCGGCGCCCGTGGTCGTAATTCACGTCATGCATTGCTGACGATGTCTGTACAGGTGGCGCGAGCAGCGGCGGCTATGGCTACCAAGGCCAGGCTGCTGGTGGCGGCGGAGGCGGCTACGGCGGCGGAGGCTACGGCGGCTCGTACTAAACGCATCGTGTCTAGTATGTTGAATCATTCCGTGTTGGTGGTTAGATGTCTCATGGTTTTGTTCCATGTTAGGTGCTGCCCAGCTCGGTCCGCGCATGTCTCTCGCGTCTTGTATCTTTCGTCGGTGACCCTCTGCTTCTCGCGCGGCGTGTATCATTTGTACTGTTCTTGCCCGACCCACTCATCCACCGCATCTCCCGTCCCTCTCACATTGTGTGGTAGCAGTCGTCGTTTTCGTCCTGGCTCGTCTCGTCCCTGATTCGCGGTCTCGGTCCTCACAATCCGGCTGTACTTGTACGATTCTCCTCCCCCCACGGGCGTTCTCTCAGTATACGTATCGCTACCATCCCTCGTCGTCAATGTCCCCCGTCCCGTCCCGAACGCTATGATTCCCTCGTGAAGTGGGTGGGTGTGTCATCTTTACTGCTTTACTCGTGTATCACAAGTCGCCAAACACGTCTTCTGCGTCACTATTTCCCGTTGTGTGATGTTGCTTCGTGAAGGTGAAGCTTGATGAGGGCAACTTCGTCCGACATGGTCGTCAGTGTTCATTATATTCTCTCTGCACCTGTTGCTTGCATGCTTGAAATGTGTCGCTATGACAAACGGGTTGCAACCTTCACTGGACGTGAGTTCGTGTATCGCAGAGTGCACTACCTGGTACCAACTAAGGACATTGAGAGCCGAGAACTGCTCGCGCACAACATGCTTTCGAATTCAAAATACACTGGCATGATATTGCCCATATGCTGGTACAACAGATATAACAAGCACACAGGACAACATTCGTATAAGCAAGTGTGAAGGAAAAATGACTACAGCGGGTACTGCCTGAGGGCATGTTCACGCCCCGTGCGTGAAGCTTTTCTCGATCGCGTCGTCTTTCAGCTTGTAACCATTTGCTGTAAATAGGCGGGAACGCAGGAAGGGCGTGGTGTCGAAGATGTCGTGCTCCTTGGCCTGCGCCGGCTCGTCAGGAACAGCATACCACATCAGGGAACGGCACACGTACACGCTCGTCCAGCTCGGACGTCTTGATGGAGATGATTTCTGGCAGCTGATGGCGCTGCAGCTGGTAGAATCGCGCCTTCTCCTTCACGATCTGGCCAAGCAGGAAGGCGAGCAGCTCCTCGTGGTCACGCGCCTGCGTCAAATACTTGCGGAAGCCCTAGAGACAACAGTCAGCACGGAGCCGGAGCACGGCCGGGACATTGCCTCGCACCCGCTCGAGCGTTCTCTTGATGGACATCTTCTGCGCGTTCACGAAGCTGCCCACGGTCACGGAGATGGCGAGGTCGATGTCGTCCGCCCGTACGTACTCGCGCAGCGCCATCTTCGCGCTCGCCTCCGCCATCCGAATCATGCTCTCCAGGTGCCGCACTGTGATCGGGAACGAGCCCGTGGCCAGCGACTCGCGCCTGAGGTCGGAGAAGAGACGCGACAGCTTTTCCTGGTCGAGGTCATACAGCTTCGGCCGGATCTTCTCGCGAGCGTACATGATGTATTTCCGCAGGAGGTCCTGGGAGATGACCTGAAGCAGGAATGAGATCCATCCGCGAAGCAGCACCTAAGAATACGCACGTCTGCATCTAGAGTCGTGCCGACCTCTATCTCGTCCTTCTCCGCATCGAACTTCGGGTGGCTTCGCAGATGGCTGCCCACCACGAAGCGAGCCAGGAGCTCGTCCTGCACTGGATCGACCGTGTCCTTCACCACGCAGAGGACGTCGAACCGAGACAAGATCGGCTCCGTCAGCTCGACGTTCTGCTGGAACGGTATCGTCGGATTGTACCGGCCGCGAATCGGGTTGGCCGCCGCGATGATCGCGCACCGCGCCTGCAGCGTCGTCACGATGCCCGCCTTCGAGATGGAGATGCTCTGCTGCTCCATCGCCTCGTGGATCGACGTCCGGTCCGCGTCGTTCATCTTGTCGAACTCGTCGATCAGACACGTCCCCTTGTCCGCGAGCACCAGCGCGCCGCCCTCGAGCGTCCACTCGCGCGTCACCGGGTCCTTGCGCACGCTCGCCGTCAGACCCACCGCAGACGCGCCCTGGCCCGTCGCGAACACGGACCGGTGTGCCGTCTTCTCGACGTACTTCAGGAACTGCGACTTCGCCGTACCGGGGTCGCCCAGCAGCAGCACGTTGATGTCTCCTCGGATGCGGTGCTTACGGTTGATGTCCTTCGGCACGCCCCCGAACAGCGACAGCGCGAGCGCCGTTTTGATGTCTTCGTGCCCATAGATTGAGGGCGCTATGGACTTGACAATCCGCTTGCGGATGCGGTCGTCCTTTGCGAGCATACGAATCTCCTTCTCGTCCTCCTCCGTCAGGCGGAACGCGGCGAATTGGTCTTCTTTCTTGTTGACGTGGTTAGCCTCGAGGACCGTCGAGAAGACTGGGAAGCCGTTTTTCGAGTTAAGGGATGCGTCAAAGTTGTTGCGGTAGATACCTGTCACCTCCTGCGTGGCCATCAGCCCGCGATACAAATTGCAGGTCATCCATATAACTCACTATTTCTTCGCCGGGTTTTGCCATGTCGATCAAATCCCAAAGGAGGATCACCTCACGATGTCTTGGCAGCCGACCAGGAGGAACGGATCCCGGTGACTCCTGCAGAGTCATCTTTTGGTAGTTCCGGTACACGGTCTATACAAATACTCAGCGAAGCTGCGTAGTGCCACATAATATGACACTTACTTGTTCCGAATTAACTGAGAATGGACCTCTGCCCTCGCAGTTCGGGCAGTAACTGATCTTCACCTCCTTCGTCGCGTCCTGATAGAACGGACCCAGCACCGCACCGCATTTCCTGCAGTCAAACTTGACATACTTCAACTGAGGAAAGACGCCCGTCCGCCTCGTCACTACGCCCGTCACGCGCACGAGCGTGTTGAGGTTGGACCGACGCAGATCTCTCAGAGACGAGCTGAGTGGTAGATCCGTGATGCGTACGTGCACCTCGGAGTGGATCCGCTCGTAAGACGGGTAGTACACGAGGATGGCGTTCAACGCTACTTCATCGAAGATGGCAAGCATCGGGCTTGGTGAATTGGTTAGGAAGTACGCAAGGATTGGCTTCGAGAACGCGAGATGCAGATACGAGACTTCGAGAGACTCCGAGTTGTCTGAATGTGGACATGTCAGCCTAGTGGTAGGAAGGGTGCAGAGACGGGCTCACTTTCTCCTAGGTTGCGAATACGCTGACCGTACACAGATGCGCCATGCTCGTCCACATAAGTCATCAGGAACTGGCGGAAATGTCGAATGATAGAGCGGCGCACGCGCTCATTCGCGATCCATTCAACGATCGATTTTGCTTTGATATCGCTCAGCTGTTCAAGTGGGATTTCCTGCAGAGCCTGTGAGCAACGTTTGCCCGCCAGCAGGAGAATGCATAACCCACATCCTCCACACCCTCCATATCATCCATCTCTACCCGCTCATCGTACTGCCGCCGTGTGCGCCTCTTCGTGCCCGCGAGCAGTCCGTGGCCGTCCACGTCGTCCATATCATCGTCGCTTTGTAAGAAATTTGGCATATGACTCCGTCGCGCGGCACGTTGGCCTCTTCGGCCACCCTGTTCGCGGCGGTCTCTGGCAGCCATCTGCGCCTCGGCCGCGCGCCTCTGCGCGATACTCATCTCATCGAGGTCCTCCTCGTCGTCCAAGCCAGTGTCCGAATAGCGATCCAAAGCATCGTTGCCCGCATAATCACTGGATGCCGGGTTTAGCGCATAGGCGTCAAATCGGACATTTACGACTCACTTATTAAGCTGCTCCCCAAAGAGGTCCTCGCCGTCCTCGTCTTCCGCGTCGTCGTCCACATCTCTGACGGCGTCACGCTCGTCAACGCTCTCATCGGTGTCAGAAAAGGGTGGAGGAGGCGATGAAGGCGGCAGAGACGATTCAGAGTCGCGTCGCGCGTGCGAGGGACGCGCTGCGGCTGGGGGCGATGAGCCAGGCGGAGGGGTCACTGAGCGACGTCGTTTGCCACCGCGGGGAGTCTACGACCTCCACTCAGTTTCGGCTCGTCAATCGTGTCTTAAGAGAAAGGCATACCATACTGCTAAGTAGATCGCGTAGATTAGTTGGTAAGACTGAGGGACAAGGGAGAGGAGGAAGGACGCGCGCGAAGTTCTCGCGACGCGACACGCTCATTAAGCGGAGCTCGAAATCGCCACACTCGCGTCGCGTCTCGAGCGCGCGGCCGCTCACACCCACGACGACGCGCTCGGGCTCATGCACTCATGCACCTGTCTTGAATTCTGTCTGAACTTGCACTACGCGCTGCGAACAACGAATCGAGGGCTGATTGCTTTGGTAATGTTGCTAGGGTGAGTGATTGTGCTCTCCGCTACTAGCGAACGACCAGCTTACTACTTATGCTGCCATGTCTTCCGGGGGACTACATATGTTTTGGTCGACGTCTAGCACATCGCTCCTGCTACTCGACTGTTTCGTTGTACGGTCTCTTCACCGATGCTAGTGTAATAAATCCATCGAGTCTCAAGCCTGAGGCGGTCGCCGGTGTCTGCTCATGCCTCACGGCACGTACCTATGCGATACATTTCAGCCCATGACGATGCCCGTACCATGGATTCTACACTTCGCAGCTGTCATGTACTACCGTTATGATGAACTCTTATCGCATATATCCCCTTGACCTGCCCCGTCACATCGGTATAACAGCAAGCCTTATACATGGTACCTCAGTCATGCGACTGCGTCGCGCCTCTACGCTCGACCGTCATCAGACAGCCTAAGGTCACTGAGATTCAGGATGCTTTCGTATCGTTGCTAATGATATGACAGATACATTTGGACAAAGAGTCATCTGTACGACGGATACTGGATCACTGTTCGTCTGTGCGTGAACCATGAGCACAATTCTCGTCTAAGAATGCAGCTACGTACTAGATCTCAGTGTCACAGTCTGTCCGCACTGCTCCGTGCGCCTTCTATGTCCTTTTGACGCTGACGCTCTTTACGCAATTGTCTCTTGTCATTGTATTGACGAGGGTTGTGTGGAAATCGAACACAATCGTTTTGATTGTCGACGCGAAGATTGGGAAACATCTGGATGATGTAACGGGCGTAGCATGCCATGCATGCCACTTCTATGCACTCCAGAAGAAGGGTACGGAGGTGACTGTGAGGCTGAGGGACAGGGAGGTCCGAATGGTCGACATCTGGATCGCGGATAATGGGGAGCATAAGTTGCTCCAAGTCCGGACAATTCGTTGCGAAGTGCCGGAGGTATGCGACGAGAGCAAGGGCAGAGCCACATGTCGCCCCAATGAATTCCCGCTGATTAGGAATGTGGTCAGCTTTGGCCAGCTTTGACTCATCACCAAAGCGTCGTCGTCGTACCAAACAAGAGAGGTATCCCTCGTATGCACGGTGAGTTCTTGCAGGTCATGAAGGCCCAGGACAGGTTGGATCAGCGGCATGAGATGCCACGGAGGTTCTTGGAAATCAGGCCTTGGCAGGCCTGAAATGCAGACACGGAGGATACGCAGTGTCGACGACCAAGAGCTCCAAGGCAGCTGGTCTACCCTTGCAGAATTACACCAGTGCAGGGACAGCTTGCAGAGCCGCGGGATTGAAACGACCTTGAAGAGGCTGACAAGCGCATCCATGTGAACGACGGTCAACTCCAACGTCTCCAGCGCAGCGAGCGCTCGTTTCGGTTCAACTGAGTCGACGTCAATGTGTGATAGGCAGAGACGTAGGCTGGCGAGCCGTGGCAGGTTTGAAAGGGTGTGGATGAAGCGGTGGCTAAATGTCGACGTCCGCCCGGGTACATCGAGCCGACGGAGATTCATGTACCTCGAGAGAGCTGACAACGCACAGTTGGGCGCATCGGGTGCCAGTGGTACATGAGACTGTCCATCATACTTATTGTGAAGCACAAGGGTATGCAGTTCGAGAGCTAGGAGTGATATCCCAGTGACGATGCTCTCTAGACTGCGATTGGGTCCCTGACTAGAAGAGCTGGAGTGCAGCACCAAATGCTGGGTAGATGGACCGATCAGGAATAGTGGCGACGGATAGTTCGGTATGGTAATGTCCCTGGGAGGCCAGACCAAATGGCCAAAGATGCCGGTGGACACCCACGACAGCCTGTGCATGTGAGGTAAAAAAAGGCTTGCCTCCGTTGGACAATAAGATGGCTTGCTGCAGGACATGCTCAATGAGCTCCCCGCGGTATGGCTCTGGTTCACAATCAGGTCGAATGTTGTCGTGCTGGTCTATGACCTGAACGTAGCGAGCATAGTGGTGAAAGCGCTCCCACTCCTCGGCGACGACGGCTCGTCCCAAGACCTAAGCAGTTTCCAGATGTCAGCATTGGACCCGGAGACGCATTATTTCGGCCCAAGATCCGAACACTCACGAACTCTGTGTAATGCTCATGCCTCACCACGTCGACGCAGGAGAGCAAACGCAATAGCGGCCCAGCTCCTGGGAGCATCCTCCACAGCACGCGTAGCGCGGGATCGACGAAGGCCGTGCATACACGGGCTAAGCGCGCCAGATCTGCGCGACGCTTCCCTCTGAAGCGTCTATTGTAACGCTCCACGGACAGCTGCTCGGAGATCGCGCACAGTATGTCGGTCGTCTGGAGGGCAGTTGCGACAGACATGGGGGAGGCGGCCTCTGCACGGCGGGGTAATCGATGCGTTGGCCCATGAGAGCGAGGCAGGCGCGTGCTGTAGAAGGCCCACGGATGTCAGTGCGAGGAAGACTCAGAGCGGAGCCCATGGGCGGCAGGCGAAATCGCCTGCGTGTGTCTATCGAATCCGAAGTCATGCGTGATAGAACTCTATCGATTCGGGAGCAGAAAGTAAGCTGCATGGCCCGGAGTGTATGGCGCTGGACATACCTAAGCGCTGCGGCGGACTGCGTGTAACTTAAGACAGTTGTTTGCGTCGTCGTCTTGAGCAGGCCGCGGTGCACTAATAGGTGGACCACCATTGCGGGGCCGGCTATGTAGTATCAAATGGTCAGCAGAGCGATCAGCATCGCAGCAGATGGAATCGGTCTAACAGTGGATGAACGCAGACACATGAAATAGTTAGTAAATACACGAGAAACCCCGGGCCTATCCCAGGAGCAGATCACACATTCGGTGAGTGTAAAAGCCCGTAGACGTCTACCGAATGCGACTCAGAAGAGTAGGCTTGTAGCTCGGAATAGACACACCTGAGCGCTGCGGCAGACTGCGTGCAACTTCAAGCTCGTGCAAGACGGCTGTCCGCATGTCAGACAAGAATATCCGGAGCGCGCGGAGGTTGAAAGAATTACCTACCCTGCCCAGGGAGACTAGTTCGCCGCTAGTCTCCGTTGCTGACCAGAAGGAGTTACTCTCGTAGTCCGCCGCATCGTTGTCTAGAGCAGACCGTTCTCAGACGCCGTTGCAAATCGAGATATGTTATGCCGGCAAGACACCGAATGGTCAGCATCGCTGCAGATGGTATTAATCGAAAAGTGGATGAAGGCAGACACATATGTAGATTAGCGCGAGACCTCCTTCCTCCTCCTCCTCGGGATTCGATCATTGCGCGTCGGACAAGTCGAAAGATTGCGCGGATCGTGTAGTTCTGTTCAAGTCTCATGTCACGCAGCCCGAATAACCTCCAGTGACAACGTTTATGCCGTACAAGTATACATGGTACATACCAAACAAATGAAGCGCATGACAACCCTCGCGTACTCTCGCGTAACGGTATTCAATCCTGTAGACTCCTACAGAGCACATCAGAGCGAAAAATATCAGTCCAGAGCATGCGTACAAGGTGCCAGTGCCAGTACATGGCTACACACCGCAATCAGGCAGAAAAACTTCGACCTGTCACATCAACGTCCTCGTCCCGAAAGTCTAGATCGTGGAGGGCACAGCACCTCGCCCTGCGGCAAATTGGAAACGGCAACGAAATGCTGAGAAATCATTTCGCTTGATGCAGTGACGCCCACGATTCGTCACTCTGCCTTGGAAGCAGCGTCTCGCCCTTGGCCAGTATCTCCGGAGGGCAGCCCGACACCAGCGAGGAAAGACATGCGCATGGATGCGCCGGCGTAGACGAACCCGACACTGCCCCACTCCATCGCGGACCACCGCGGAAAGTCCACGAACACGGCGAGGAAGCCCTTCTCGTGCGCGAGCGGGACCATCGTCGCGAGGTGGCCAAAGTCGGCGATGAGCAGCCCGAGGAGGAGGCGGCGCCAGACGCGGCGGTCGGAGGTGCTGGAGAGGACGAGGTGCTCGTTGAGGGCAAAGAGGAGGTAGAGATTGGCGAGCTGGAGGAGGGAGACGAGGGTGGGCGTAGGCGGAGAGGTTGAGGCGGTGGCGAGGGACGTGGGAGCGGGCGCGAGATAGGCGAGGTAGTCGGCTGGCTGAACCGCGGCGAAGTAGGCGCCAAGGAGCGCAGAGACGGGCTCGACGTAGAGGAAGAAGAGGCGGTACACGAGCGGGATGTACGGCGCACGGGCCATCGGTGTCGTCGGACGCTGCGTCGGGCGTGGGCGGCAGGACGGGGAGGATGGGCGTCTGTGGAGAGTACGGGGCGTGCCAGGAAAGGCAGGCAAGGAGCCATAAGGGGCAGGTAGCGTGCGTTAATGAAAACGCGATCGCTGTTGCGACCGCCATCGCCGCCACGATCAATCGAAGACAAATTGACGGCCGCGTGTGGGGGAGGCGCCGGCGCAAAGGGGAAAGGCTGGCGGAAGCGTTGGCCCCCGTCGGCGACGCCCATCACGGCTAGCCGCCGTCGCCTGCCTTCGCACGTCACTCTGCAACGCACGTAGCCGCACCGTGATATGCACGCGCATATTTAGGCAACGTTCCAGGGCTGCACGACGGCAGCCATCTCTGTCTCCTGTCTGTCTCCGGCCGGCCGTCGTCCCTCTTTTATATGTTGTTCTGACACTCTCCCAGCGCGCTGTCTCAGGTCGGCTCCACCTCCCGTCCTGCCCTCATCCTCCTGCCACCCAGGCCATGCTCGCCCAACGCTCCTTTCGCCCCCTTCCGCCCTCGCCGGCCCAGTCCAGCCCGCCGTCTCCGCGAGACCTTCTTCCTCTTTCCGCCAGTCGCGCGACTCCCCCGCGTCCTTTGCCCTCGCCCGCGACACTCACCCGATCCCGTTCCTCCGCCAGCCTCACCAGATGCCGCCCGCTCCCCGTCCCTCCCGGCGAAGTTGATGCCCTCGCGCCTCTGCGCAGGCTCCCCATCCCCTTCCTCGAAGACGCGTCTGGCGCCCGCTCTCCACCGCGGCCAACAATCGACCCCTTCGCGAGCCCACCAAAGCCTGGTGTGCGTCCGCTGCCCACGCCCGTCAGCCCCAGCTCGGACTCGGCGTCCAGTCCTCCCTTCGCCCCGACGTCTTGGCGCCAAGCCTCCGCCCACGGCCGGCAGAGCACGGGCGCGTCGCGGGCGCTGAGTCTGGACGACGTCGAGTGTTTCGGAGTGCGTCCCAAGGACGGCGACGCGCTGACCCCCGGGCACATCGCGAAGGCGAAGAGCCAGGACTTCCAGCACGACGACCGCGACCGCCTCCAGCGCCGCGTCTCCCGGAAGGCCGCCCTCGCGATCATCGCGCGGGACAAGATTGAGCAGGAGGAGGCGTGGCGCGCCCTGGTGGCGAAGAAGGGCAACCAGCACGGCAGGCTCTAGCAGGACCGACACATCGGACAGAGAGAAGGTACGTGCACGACCTGGTTTTCAACTACACGGTGAATAGAACTTTGTCACAGGGAAAGAGTCGTCCGCATCCGACGAGGGTGCTGACTTTCACCGGCAGACGTCGAGCTCCCTGCGTGATCGTACGCTAGGCTCGCGTCGTGAGCGCAACTGGGGCTCCACATCGCACTCGCGACCTTGGTCACCGCATGCACATTCTTGTCCATTATAAAGCCGCGGGCGTCAGCAGGGCGGGTGCAACCTGACACCGCAGGCCACCGGACGGCCGGACGCGCGGAGGTCGTGCGGTTCCGAGGATGAAGACAGCCCGTCTTGTACTTATCAGGTCGGCCAACGGCAGGCCGTCCTTTTTCGATCGGTGAGCCTTTACTCAGTGACCATGGCCAAGTCATCCGTACTGACGAAGGTGCCTGAATTGCAGCGCGTCGCAGACTGCTGGAGCGCGGTCCTCAGGGCCGTCCTGGAGTCAAATTATATATCACTATATATCGGAACGCAGGCAAGGCCGTTCCCGTCATGTTGTGTTGCCGATGAGCCCTGCGATGCAGGCTCCGTACGGAGTACGATTTGTCCGCGAGGACGTTCTGGATGTACGATAGCTTACTCAGGTGTTGTACACCATTCGTTTGATGTCGTCGGTGCGGATGCGCCCATTTATGTATGCAATGGTGCGCTCTGGATTCTGGGAAAATACAGCGGGACGACTGGAGCCTGTCTGGAGCTTGATATTCGTGCTCAGAACGCGGCGGTCAGCCTTGGATTTGGCTGCGCGATTCCTACACTGAGAATATATTCACATTATTTAAATATTTTAGTGGGTATGGAGCACGAACGATCGAGAACAAGGGGGAGGCACATCGGAGACTAGTTGGCGCGATGATGATGTACACGATCGATCAAGCTCAAGTACGGAGTCCCACACCTCGTGCGTAAAAGCATTTCCTCAACGGTGAAAAAACAACGAAAATACAATACACATGCACAATATGCTTCTATGTTACCACAAAACATTCGGGGTTCCAATCCCCCGATACTTAGCGGGTACCCTGGAGTCGACGTGTCGACGGCCAGATCCAGCGCCCAAAGGCGCAACGCTCCACCCAAAAAAAGAAAAAAAACCCCCGGCAATAAATAAGGCGTTGAAGGGTTCCAGGGCGCGAGTGTCGCCGACGTAGCTCTGATGTACGCATGTTCCTGTAGTAAGTCATCCTTTTCATGTTACCAAATCTTTGCAGATCCCTGAAATGAAAAAAGTTGAGTGCCACAGAGATGGTGTACATACCAACGGCTGTAGCGCGGCATAACAGTGCGCAGCACTTTTGGCTTCCGCAACCTGAACTCTACAGGGTCTTGCATAGTTTTTTGACGGTCGCTTCGCGCGAATCTTTGTTTGTTCCGACCAAAGGCACCCAAATCCGGCAGGTAGCACGGTCAGGCATGTCACGTGTGGAGCGGCTTGGGACCAACACCTACCGGATATGGCTGACTTTGGTCGGAACAAACAAAAATTCGCGCGAAGCGACCGTCAAAAAACTATGCAAGACCCTGTACGCGGGCGGTGGGATATACTTCGGGATGTCCCTGTACCAACTACGGTGTGATCACGGGCCATCCTCGCACTTCTTCGCTGTCAATGACATAGCCTATGTACATGCATGTGGGGCTTCGCCTCTTCATCCGACCACCCAACGACCACCATCGATAACCCCGCAGAGGTCGCTTCTCACCATGTCCGTTGCGACTGCACTCCAGGATTTCGATATCCTCTGCGCGATATTCGAGGAATTCGCCGTGGAGCGTCATGAACGCCGACAGAGACCAGCGCGTCGTCGCGATCTGGCGCGCTCCGCCCGTGTATGCAAGGCCTTCACCGAGCCTGCGTTGCGCGTGCTCTGGAGGGTGCTCCCCGGAGTTGAACCATTGTTGCGCCTGCTCTCCTGCGTCAGGAAAGTGGAACAGCGCGACAGAGCTGCGCAATTTGTAAGTAAATACCAGTGCTGTATCCGGATGCCTGCGCTCACTCTTAGCAAGCTTTTACAAGGCGCACTCTGTTCCAAAGAATGGCGTAAATTCCAAGATTATGCCGAGCGCATTCGGGTTATGGACCAATGGGACACACTTCTCCCTGACCGTGGAAGGTTCTATTCATGGACGCGCGCCGAGCTAAAACCAGTGCCAGTGGAGATTGAGCCCGTTCTGCAACAGTTCTTCTCATTGTCGAATGGAGGCAGACCGTTGCTGCCTTACATACAGAGGCTGTCTTGGGAGACAGCGAGTCCAAATCCAGTCTGCCCACCTCCCCTCCTCTTCATCGGCCCGTCAATCCAACGACTGTCGCTGCGCCACGACCCATCGAGCGAGGGACGAAGTCATAGTTTAGAGAGCTTCTTGACTGCGATATCGTCCCTGGTTCTCGGTTTGCACACGCTCACAGTGTACGAACAACTGCCGCACTGGGGAACAACGCTAAGCCCGGATCTCGCAAGTGCTTACGAAAGCGCTTTATTGGCCGTCTCGGGATGCGTACATCTCCGTCGGCTCAAAATTGCGGGGCGACGCATCGTTCTTAGTCGTCGCTTCCTCCATACACTCTCGTCCTTGCCGTTGCTTGAGAGCCTGCGTCTCCAGGTCGCACGCATCGATGTCAATACCGACGTCGAACAGAAGCGAGTCCTCGCTGCAATGGAGACACTGGAGTTGACTGCGCCCGGGAATGTCGTCGCCGACTTCTACAAACTCGCCTTCGTCCCTCGCATCCGCAAGCTGTCACTGACATTCGCTAATATGTACCCCGATGGTGGCAGAGCACTCATAAGTGCGTTCCCGCGCATGTACAGGGTGAGGCAACTCCCCACGACGTTATGGGCATCCACACTTCGTATCCTCCACCTCTCCTTCTGCACGGCCCGGAACCACATTCCACAGCAAGGTTTTCTTATGCCGTTTGTCCAACCCTTCCTCAACCTCCAGAACGTCGAACAGTTCACTGTCATCATGGACTCGGAAGCTCTCTCTTGGTCTGATGACGACGCGCTGACGATCAGTCAATGTTGGCCCAAATTGACTGCATTCCTGGTCAGGTTCGAGGATATGCCCAGCAATGCCTTGCTCCAGCCCTCATCGCGTGCGCTTCTGCATTTCGCGGAGCACTGCCCAGATCTAAAGCAACTTGTAATCCCTTACGTCGCCGATGCAGATGTCGATCACCTTAGCCTCCCTAATCCTCGCCCTCACCGCCATCTCGAAGTCCTCCTTCTCAACTGGGTGCATGTGAAGTGCAAGGGATGCTTCGCTCGCTACCTCGTCAGGTTATTCCCCCATCTTCGTGTCGATGGGCGCGCCAAAGACTGCGTCCGCTTCCCATTTCACAAGGATTATGATCATGAGCTCTGGAGACTTTTGCGCAAACAACGGGAATAGTAGGAAAGCGGTAAGATATACGGACGAGCTTGGAGTCACGGGGGTGGGTGCATCGTCGTGCGCGCTGTTTTCTTGACTCATCATCGAGAACATTGTATTGAACTGCGATATGGACCATAGCATAACACCGGGGAAGCTGTCGAGATTTAGTCCGAGTCGTGTTTGCGATTGTACTTGGGCTTGTCGTTGTCGTTGAGTACTGAGTGCTTGTAGTGCCTTTGAAGCGAGATCGTAGTTATCGGGAATGGCGAATGAGATACATACATGTACACTACGTTATGCATGATTTGACGGCGTCGCGATGTATAGTCACGGTGTCCGCGGCGGCCTTGTTAGAGACGCGAGAAAGGAGTGCCAGACGATCACGTGCCCGTGACTCCTTTGTGACGCGACGCGTCTCTTCCGATGCTCAGGCTGCAGTTGCTGCGACGCTATTCACTTCGGGACATCCATGTCGACTTCACACGCGTTCGAAGTATGTATCTTCCTTCGCTCTCGTGCAAATATTTGACGCTGCTGCAGTATAGTAAGAGTAGCAAATCAAAGTGTCACGGCCCACCACCATGCAAAGGATCGCCCATTGAGTTAGGAGCGCTGCGGTATGGGCAAGTAAATTTTGGACCATACGGAGAGACGGTAGAATGGCGGCACTGGTGAGTATCTTGGATTCCTTGGAACGAGATCGTATAGATAACGGGCTCGTTATGCACAGGGGCTGCGTTACACACGATCTATTACAAGGGCTGTCGGGCGTTCAGCTCGAGCGCGTTCCGGGATTCACCAATCTTCGGTACGTCACATCTAGTCCAGTAATTGTATGTTGAGGCAACGCAGCCGCCACTCTTGCCCTGCGCACTGCGTAAGATACGCCGACGATTACCCAAGGTCGTGTAGATGTCACGGTCTTGACATTCTGTGTCGACACCCATGGGAGGACATACGAATCCTCTGGCCCTCACGGCTTGTGCACCATACAACTTCCCATTGTATTGGTCAGTCGAAGGGTAGATTCTAGGCAATGGCCAACTATCGAGCAGGAGTGGCAAGCCTGAGGACACTCGCAGCAGGCGAGATGCGCACATCCGTTTTCTCAAAGATTTGCTGGAAGTCCGGGCACTGAATGGGTTCCGTACAGGCAAGAAGACCAATCAAAAATACGTCTCGCTGTGGGCCTTCGTCGCATAGATCCTGCAGATGTACCCAACACCGCCAGAGAATTGACCTTCAGTCAGAGCACAGTGCCGAGCTTGCCTCCCGCACCGAGCTTGCCTTCCGCACCGAGCTTGCCTTCCGCACCGAGCTTGAGTCAGACGCCTAGCACCGCGATGGGTACTACCGCACCGGGTCCAAGCCAAAAAAAGAGGAAGGCCGCCTTCCAAACGACTATGGCATCATCACAACCACCGCGATCTCAGTCTAGTACGAGTCAACTGCCCGCGAGCCAGCCCTTGCGCCGTCTCTCAGATCGGTTTGAGGAGGAACAGAACAACGAGGTCATCGACGTCGACGAGGCGCAGGATGAGCTGTACTGCATGCTCAAAGTCCCAGCTGTCGGTCTGCAGTACTACAAAGGTGTGTTTGAGCGCCTTTGGTAAACGCCTGCGGCGAATCATCTCTACTTCATACAAGGACTTGTCGGCGCTGGTGAAGAAGTCCGGCTAGTCAGAGAGCCAACCAATGCGTATGACAGAAACGCAATCCAAGTAAAGAACATCGGGGGTACCCAAGTCGGCCATGTCAAGAGAGAGTTTGCGGCCAGGCTTGCTCCACTTTTGGACCAAGGCCTGATAACTATAGAGGGTGTCATGCAGGAAGGGAACTGTACGTAAAGCCCATCTTCGCACTCTCGTCTTCCCTTGCCAACTAACGTGCGTACAGTGAGAGGCAAGCACTTTCAATTGGACATGTAAGTGGCCCTACTTGCAGGCCGTCTGAAAAACCTCACGGCTTGTGCACCAGGACACTAAAGATATACGGCTCCGGGAGCCAGAGAGCAACGCTCGAGCCTAAGCTCATATGGGCAACACCTGGTCAACGTGGATTCCCTTCGAGAAATGGGGCAAGTGCCCAGATTCCAGGGGCTCCGGTCAGGTCCGCAGGCATGCCTTCAGCCTCACAATCAACCGTAGGAGCAAACAGATACACTGGGGCACCTCCTGCTGCCTATGGTGCGCAAGGTGCACATGGTGCATACGGTGGCTACGGTGGCCGCGGCGGCTACGGCGGATCTGGAGGATATGGCGGGCGTGGCGGGTATCCGATGTCAACTCAACCAAGCTCTAGTCATCCTGCGAGTCAAATGACCGCTCAACAGCTAGCTGCTCGAGAGGAGGCCGCGCGCAAGCAGGCAGAGGAAATGACGAAATCGACGGAACTACGCCAGATCTTGAACAGCTTGGAAAAGGTCGACGACGAAGTACGGCGGGGTTCGTTGCTAGATACCTTGTGCTCGGTATCAGACGTGCTAGAGTTGCCGGAGCACCCGAGCCCGCCGGGCATGGCAGGTGGCGATTTGAGAGTTAATCTGTTGAAGCATCAGGTACGGTGGTGCCGTATGTAGTGGTGCGTACAGATTGCTGATTGCTGAGGAAAACGTAGAGTCAAGCCTTGCAATGGTGTGTGGAGCACGAGTACCCTGTGTTGCCGAAGAAGGAAGCGGACAAGCCGGTGCAATTTTGGAAGTACATGAAGACCAACGGCAGGGTACGTATTCTAATGCTTCGCGTCGTCCCGTTTAGTATTGACGATGTCATGCGTTACAGCCTATCTACTTCAATGGTAGTGTAGTTTCGTCGTGACTGAATCGTGCCACTGACTCAAGGCATGTAGTTGCTACCAAGACGCCGCAGAGTGTGCCACCCTTGCTTGGTCGGGGTGCCCTCTGTGCTGATAGCATGGGTCTAGTATGTGCTGTGCTCTTACAACGCAACAGACGGTTCACGGCTATTCTATGCAGGGAAAAACATTGACCATGCTGGCACTTATCTTAGCAACAAAGTCTGATATACCGCCCGATTTTACGAGGACAACACTCATTGGTATGTAGCAATCGCACTCCTTGCTTCTATCGACTTTAGCTCATGATGTTGCACGCGTCTAGTCGTTCCATTGTCAATATTGTCCAACTGGGAGAAGCAGATCGAGGATCACGTTCAGCCTGGAGCCCTGACTTCGTGTGTGTACTACGGGACCACACGCTCGATGACGCCAGAGGATCTAAAGAAATACGACGTCGTCATCACCACCTATCAGACGGTCACGAAGGAACATGGCGATAGTCTTGTTACCTCTGCCGGTGGCGAAGGGGCTGCTAAGAAGAAGAAAAAGACGGAAGGCAGCTTGTTCCGGTTGTCTTGGAAGGTCGGATACCGTGGCATCCTCGTTGTCTCTGTACAGATGCAAACTATTGCCTATCTCACAGCGTGTCATTCTGGACGAAGGCCACAGTATCCGGAATCCTCGCACAAAGATGGCGAAGGCTGTATGTGCGCTCGAGGCCCAACGCCGGTGGGTTCTAACGGGAACTCCCATTGTAGGCATCACTAAGCATTTGGTTCGGCGATGTACTGACATACGTCGGACAGATAAACTCTCCTAAGGTCACTTCGCTCGAGTTTGATACGCGTTCAAGTGATAACGCGACGATGTAGGATCTTGGTTCTATCCTCACGTTTTACGAATCTGCCATCCTCTGGACAATGAGGATATGTACAAGCGCCTGGTGTTGCGACCATTGAAGGACGGCGAAGCAAGCGGTGCAGAACTGCTACGAGTACGTTTCTATCTGTTTCGACTGATTGCATGCATCTCAGCGCTACCTATAGGCCGTCATGAGCCACATTTGTATACGGCGCACAAAGGAGGCGAGTATATATGTGATGCACGACAGAGAACCACGTTCTGACTAATATTGTAGATGCAAGACAAGGATGGAAAGCCCTTGATTCCTTGCCACCGGCATGTGCTTCAGCGGGCCTCTGCAAATCTTAACTGATCTTAGTCTATCTAGGTTGACATCACTGTTATGCCGGTTACAATCACTGGCAAAGCCAGAGTCAGTACTTATCGGATAGTCTATCAGCAACGCAGCTCACAATTCTTAGGAATTGTATGATGCCGTTGAAGAGCTATCCAGCGATAGAATCAACAATCTTGTGGATCGACACGGACAGAATCCGCTGTTGTGCGTGTTTCGGTCATGACAGCATATCGTTTGTTCATGACAAACTGCCTAGGTAACTCAAACATTCTATCGCTACTTACGCGCTTGCGGCAGATGGTACTACATCCCGGTCTCGTGCCACGGAACTATTTGGAACAACTCCGCCTTGCTGATGCCCAAGAAGACGCTCCCGTGCGGCAGTTGAGTGCTCAGGACAAGATACGATTGCAAGCTCTCCTTGCTCAAGGTATAGAGGACAACGAGGAGTGCCCTGTCTGCTTCGACATTCTCAGGGATCCGAGGATCACCAGTTGTGCCCATATGTACTGTTTGGAGTGGTATGTTCATTGTATGATAGTCAATGAGCTGGTTGCTGAAACATTTGCAGCATATCTGCAGTAATCACGCGGGACCAGAAATGTCCAATGGTGAGAATGATCGATTACTACATGTATGTCTTCACAGTTCTGAATATACTACAGGATCGGCGTCCTTTGACGTTAGGAGATCTCATCGAGCCTCCGCCGCCACTGACTTGACACAAGCCCGGTTCCGCAAGACGACGATGATGACGAAGATTTGGATGATCTGCGTACAGGTCCTCCGCCAAGATCGACCAGTTGATACATCTGTTGCAGCTCACGCCCGACACAGAGAAGTCACTCGTGTTTTCGCAATTCACGTCATTCTTGGACAAGGTTCGTGTCGATGATCTAGCGGTCCTCTGTCAAACTGACGTCCACTTTAGATAGCGGAAGCATTGGAGAGAGCAGGGTGCGTGAAGACAGGAGGAGTTTTGAACCGTAGTCTCATCCCTGATAACAGCATTTCGTACATTCGATTCGACGGGAAAATGTCCGCTCGTCGGCGACAAGAAGCCATCGCACGATTCTCCGTCCCGCTACATGGTTCTGCACCTCCGACAATTGTCACTACGGAGGCACCAACCGAAACTCAAGAATCAACCGCCCTCCCTGCGCGCCGCCGCACTCGTAAGTCGACAGCGAGCACGTACGCGGAGGGCGACGCGGCCATGGGCGACAACGACCAAGACGGCAACTACACGTTCGTTGACGACGGCGACGATGACGACTTCATCGATGACGAGGATGACGATAACTCCCCGAGGAAGAAAGTCAAGGGAAAGAAAGGCAAGGGGAAAGGGAAAGCCAAGAAGCAGGCTAGGATCAGTACCGCACCGCCTTCGACATCGACATATCTGGATGGCTCAGCGTTTGGGAACGAGGTAAACCCGAAGGTCATGCTCATCTCGCTCAAGGCTGGCGCTTTGGGTTTGAACCTGACAGTGGCCAACAATGTGTATCTGTGAGTATGCCCCTATGCGCTTCGGAGATACTTGATGGTCTGACTACCGCGCCTGCGTCGTAGGATGGACCCGTAAGTCTCGCGTTCAGCCCCTGGAGCTCGACTAAACTACCGTCGACCTGCAGGTGGTGGCAAGAAGGTATTGAGTCTCAAGCCATAGACCGATGCAATCGGTGCGTTCAAGATCGGCGGCTTCAATCTGAGATGCCCTTGCTGATGTGTGTTCAGTATCGGTCAGACCAAGCCTGTGCACGTCTACCAGCTGATCGCCGAGAACACCGTAGAGTCTAAGGTGCGATAATGCACGGGTGTACCCGTGAAAGCGAATTGACGCAATGCGGCGCAGGTCATCGACATTCAAGAGAAGAAGAAAAAGCTGATCGACCATGCGTTCTCCGGGATCAAGAGTAACGAAACGCAGCGCATGAAGAAGCAGGCGCGGCTTGCTGGTACGTAGGTCTGCTGGCTTAGTGCGACATCCCTGCTCATGGTCGTGGTCTGCAGACCTGGTCGCTTTGTTTGGCAGGAGGCGGGCTGCGCAGGACCAGAACGAAACCGACGAAGCCGACGGCCGCCAGAGTACACTAGACGAGTGGCGGCAGTGAAGCTCGCCTGCGCGGTCGTCGTAAATCTTTCGTACCATCTTGCTAATAGATTAAGACCACCTGATCATTGCATGTTAATGCCCGTACCCATCGCTGGACCGTAATTTCCATCGTACATAGATTGATAATGTACATGTCGTTCGTGCACTACATTAAAACACAAACGGCGAGATGTGATGAACTGGCATGTCGGCATCGTATTACATCGGGGCATACTGCATGATCATGAGCCTAGGGTAACTATAGAGCATGAACAACGGTCCATCGACTATCGTACACGCCCCTGAACTGCAACGCTTCACTCCCAATCGCTGTCCTCTTCACCGTCGTCCTTCTCCTTCTCACCTGCCGCCTTGCCCTTCTCTTTCACAGCGGCCGGGGCCGGCTCCTCCCTTTCCTTCTCCTCGGCGACGTCGACCGTGCTCGCCGTCCGGCTCACTTGCGAGGAGACCACGTCGTAGCTCTCCTCGCTGCTCTGGCGGGGGCTGGCCGTGGCGGGTGTGGACGCCGCGGGGGTCGATGCTGCCGCTGCCGAGTTGGGCGGGACGGCGGATGCGGGGCTGGATGTGGACGGGTTTGTGAGCTTGGCGGGCGACGCAGTTGGAGAGGTTGCGGGAGCGTCGTCGTCATCGTCTTCCCAGCTGAAGTCGTCTTCGTGCTCGGTTGTACCTGTGTAAGGACAAGTCATGAGAGATCAATGCGTGAGGGAGTGAAGGTAGAACATACCCTGGAGGAGTGCTCTTCTCCGTTCCTCCTCGCGCTCGACCTGGTGTACTCGGAAGAAATAGCGTGTCCAGAACGTCGACGCGTCGATCTCCGCAGGAACTGGGAGGTCATTGAGCACGAGCTCACCATCGTCCATCGGCGAACTTACCCAAAGGCTCCAGCAATGTCGCCAACTCTTCCCTCTCAGCCGTCTCATCCTCGATCCGCTTCGACCACACTGCCCCGTCAATCCCGCCCTTCGCATCTACCTCCCTAGCCGTCCACGCTGCGAACGCCTCCCGCTCCGTCGGGTTCGCACTCGGGTCCGTGCGCACAACCTGCGGGTCATGCCGCAGCTGCGTGAGCATCGCCTGCGCCCTCGTCGCCGCTCTCGCGCTATCCACCGACCGGCGCTCCCTCCCCTTCCCCTTGCCCCTCTCGCTCGCCGGGTCCTCCGTCGGCGTCGCCGTGGGCGAATATGCCGGGATCATCCACACGTCCGTGCCGTCCCACACTACGCCCGCAGAGCCCTCCGACGAGTCGGGCGGGACGACGCGCACGGCCTCGCGCAGGAACTCGCCCGCCTCGCGCAGGAACTCCTCACCGCCGCCCTGGACCTGCTTGAGAAGGCCCTCACCCTTGTGGAGGAGGTCACCAGCCTGGACGCGCTGGAGGAGCTCGCCGCTCTGGCCCTGCACGCGCGCGAGCTCGCCCGCGAGTGTGCTCCTGAGCGCGGCGAAGTCGGGGGCAGAGAGCGACGTTGAGCGGGCGTGCGTGAGCGACTCGGGAAGCTTGTCTTGCACGGCGGCGACGAGGTTTGGAGGGAGGGTCGCTTGGAGCCGGGAGAGGAGGGTCTGGGATTGCGAGGTGCTGGGTTCGGGGGTTGTGTCGTCGTCGTTGTCGACGTCGTCGGGCGTGCTTGCGTGTGGTGTTGCATTCTTGTCCTTCTCGCCGCTCTCTGCGTCGGCGGACGGGTCAGTTGCACCCTCCTCAGTAGATGATGTGCTTGGTTCAGCGGGAGCTTCCGCGAGCTTGCTGAGCTCCTTCTGGGCTTGGGTGACCGCTTCGCCCAGGTCCTTGCGCGCAGTCTCAATGACTGCCTGGCTCTAGATACACAGGCAACCGAATCGTTACACCCTACAGCCCGCCACTATCGAGCGAGCGCTACGGCGTACCTGTTTCCTGAAACCGCCCCAGAAACGGGAGAGCTGCCCAACGACCTGCTGGACCTCCTCGTTCAGACTCGTCTCTGGCTGGTTCGCAGGCGGGGTGGGTGAGCTTGCAATGTCGTAAGTATCGAGAAAGTTCATGATGACTGGGACGTGAGTTTCATGCGGACTGGCGGTCGTATGCAGAGTCGCGTACGGGCTACCGGTTGCGAGTGTCGCTTGTGATACTGCTGCGCACAGTATTACAGCCGTCGATCAACCTGTCTGACCGTCCTTAACGCCGTACAATTCCCTCTCTCAAACTTATCTCACACAAACAGCCGTCAGCCTGCGTACAAGCGCAGTGAACAAGTACTAGAAGTAGGTCAACTCTGAACTTGCGGAGCGGTTCATGCATAGACTGAACGCTCCTGCGCACCGCCTCGCCTCTGCGAGCAAAGATGTCTGGCTCCACTCACAGAGCGCTGCGTATGGATGATATCCTCCAGTGCATATTCGAATCCAGTTCAAGCATGCAGCGCAAGGATGACCTCAACAGCCGCAAGAATCTCGCACGAGTAGCTCGTACCTGCAAGGCCTTTTCGCGGTACGCGTTGCCACAGTTGTGGAGGAGCCTCCCATCGGTCAATCCCTTGTTATCTCTTCTCGCCCCCCTCCGACTCGCGCGGACTGACGAACAATGGCTTCAATCGGGTTGCTACGAGGCGAACAATCCTCCTGAGCGCAACAGAGGGTATTCTTGGGTAAGAGAGCGGTGCATCGCGAGCTACATAGTCACTGATATGTTCCTCCAGGTGTTTGATGGGACGATTACACCTGCCAACGTTTCACGCTTTCAAGAATACGCCGCTTTTGTCCATGCACTCAACATCCGCCGATTCCCGCAGCTCGACCCAACTATATTCTCATGTGTTGGACATGTCGGCAGCCTTCGCGGTGCCTTACTGCCAGCACTCGAGGTACTGGATTGCGAGACCTCGCAGTCTATGTATCAGACGGTCAGATTGGTCATGGGGCCATCCTTGCGCTCTTTCGCATGTAACCTGCGCGCCAGCCCAGTGTATTTGGCTGAGCATGCGGAGAGTGATACCGGGAAAGCACACATGTTGGAGACGCTTCTCAGTGACCTCCATTTCTCTTCACCCCACCTCGAGACTCTGATGTTGTCCGCCTTCATGCTCTGGTGGGATCTGCGCCCTGCTCTCGCCTTCACGGAACTCCGCACTCTGGATCTCTCGAAATATGTGTCCTCCAAATTTGGGACCGACTTTTGGCAATCACTGGCTATGGTTCCTCATTTGCACACGCTCCGCTTACCCACCACCGTCATTGGCGAGCTAGCACCTTTCCCAGGTGGATTTGCTCGCCTAGAGGACTTACATGTCACTGGCAGCACACACGACATCACTCGAATACTGCGGTTCATTGCCCCCTCTCGGCTGCGCGTTCTCTCGATTTCGGGCACCTTCGACTATCCCAGATGTGCGCACGAAGTGCTCGAACCGGTATGCGATCGCTGCTCCAACACGTTAACGGAGGTTCGTGTAGAGTGTGCGGGTGGCTCTTTTCGAGACCCTGTTTCTGGCCTGATGGACGTCCTTCAGCCGTTCGTGCCGGCACGCAGAATCCGCATTGTCGTGCTGCAGTTTCATGACGGTGCATTCTCCTTCACGGGTGCAGATCTATGTGCACTGACGCAATATTGGCCGGCGTTGCATATCTTCGAGCTGGCGAATGGCAGTGACCGGGTGGAGGCCATGACAGCACCACCAAGCCTACAAGCAATCGTGGATTTTGCACATGCCTGTCCGGATCTCGAGGAGGTCAGCCTGCCCAAAATTGCATGGCCGCTTGCTTCCGCGCCCGGAGACGAGGAACAGTACACGTGCCGCCCGAACAACCTCAGGGTTGTGAGGACGGATTGTATCGGGTTCGGTGCTGGCAAAGGAAGGGAGGAAATTGCAGCGGATAGGCGCATGGCAGGTCGTATTCTCTATCGTCTGTTCCCTGCGTTGGATGTCCAGCGTTCAAGAGAGGTATATGGATCTGTACACCCGATCTTCTTGGGTCGATTTTGGCTGGATGCGATCGAAGAACTGCAAAAGGGTCAGTGATTTGATGGTTCCGGCACTGCAATACTAGATCTGCATACTCTCGAAGGCGCTTGAAGCTTGAGGCCTTCAAGCTTCAACTCGATGCTCGCAGTACCATACTATCAAAATCGTACTACATGGCATTTTATAAATTTGCTTTGGCAGTGGACGCTCGCCTAGTAGCGTTCTCCTCAGGTTCAGCAGCCTCAGGTACGTCCTACTCTCGACAAGTGTACACAGGTTGTCTTGCTCTACTCCGAGTCTACGGGCAATATCCTCGGTCTTATCCTTTCTGAATATGATCACTGAAGCCCTGGTGGCTCATCGAGCTCTTGTTATGGGCGATATCATACAGGCCATCTTCGAACATATATGTATCAAAATCAAGAACGAGCCGGAGGAGCCCAGGAGCCTTGCGCAGTGGTCTACTTCTTCCTGTTCTCGGGGCTCTGAACCGTGAACGTTCTCCGTTCATGGCGATCGCTGCGAAGTAGGTCGTCGGGCCGTCTTTGCTCTCGTTCTCCATCACATCGCCTGTCGGTCAGTTACCGCTCATGCCGACCCCGCCCTAGGTCCTCGGCCATGGGAGAGCATCCCCGAAGGACGATGGCTGGAGCTGGATACGTTAATCATTGCGCGGCGAAAGAAGATAGAGACCTGCCTCAAGATGGCGAGGTTGCTCAGTGCCACTATGATCATCTTCGACTGCCATGGGCTGCCCTAGCTCGGGAATTGGGGAGCATGTCCAGCGGGGGCAATCAGGGCAGCGTGTCGTCAAGGTCTCAACGTCGCCGAATACACGTTGAAAACAGGATGGAGTTGCCAATACAATCAACAGGGCTCAAATCAAGGGGCAAGCTCAAATGGTAAACGAGTGTTTCGATTAGTCAGCAATAGTAGGAAGTAGCACACTGTCCGTTCTACGTGTCCGCACATCATACACCGCATCGTTCTACGTACTCACTGGCCGCCTACGTGGCGCAGAACACCGGTGATAAATCGGCGCGTTGCCAATGTCGCTGTCGCGAGCGATCGTACGGGCACCTAGCGGTCACTTCGGGAGTGGAGGTAGCTCCGTTCCAGCAGGCAGCACTGTAGTCTCGGGCATCTGAGCATCAGACTGACGCTATGACTTTCTCGTCCTGCCCGGGACGCTGGTTCAGTGCGTGCACGGTGATTCTGAAGTCCTCCAGCCCGTGTTCGTGCCCATGCCCCTTGATGACGCTTCCGCCCGAGGGGGTCTCCGTCTTCGTCCGCTTCGAGCCCGCACGATTCTTGCGGTCCTTTTTGCGGGGGAACGGGTCGAGTTCAACCTGTGCATGGTGCTCGATGGTGACACCGACGCGAACGGGCTCGATCGGGCTGTTCAGCTTCGAGTTGCTATTAAAGTGGTCATTGCCATTGAAGTGGTCGTTGCCATTAAAGCGGTCGTTGCCAATGCGGGTCTACAATGAGGGAGGTGAGTGGATGCGGGTGGGGGTCGAATGAGTTTTGTGGGCGCACCAGACGATGGGCGTCGAGGTCGGTGACTCCGTGCCATTCTTCGCGCAGTGATACTTGAGAATTAATCAGCTGTGTTGCGCTGTGAGCGGGCATGCGATGGAAACGTGCAAGGGACACCTTACAACCAGGATAGAGAATCTATGCAACAGCGTCGCCTTGGTCAGTGCTGGCCATCATGCACGGGAGATTCGAAATGACGGACGTGTATATGCGGCCCATGGGCTGACGACACAACGTTCCAGATCAGTCATCGCTCGCGAAACAAACGAGCGCCTATGCGTACGTACATGAGCGACGATCAATACGTAACCGGTAGGGATGGTGGTTTTCTGTCGTACGTAACATGAGAAACGGCGACGTAGCATGATGCTACGACCTACGAATACAATGATGTCGATCAACTGCAAGAAGGGCACCTTATCAGCTCGTGCATACAGGAGAGGAGACAGACTCCGTTACGCACCGACACGAGTGCATTCAACAGAGGTGTTTCCACACAACATACAATTAGCTGGCGAATAGCGCTGTCGGTTCCTGTCGGGTCAGATCAGTCTCTTCCGCTGTGCTTCTGAGCAATGGTTAAATGATCACTCTTGAAACCGGACCGGTGCTTGAGGAGGTAGTATAATAATATGAACCTGCATCCAGAACCCTGATGAGCAGACTCCACGGTAGCGGAGGAAGACGTGCGCTTACGCGATTACAACATTCACAAAGACAGCAAGGGCGAGACTAGTGTCGACTAAGCTCAGCTGCAGTCCCAGGGTGAAGTCCCTGCCCCCGAAAAATGAGCATGCACGGAGTGGCCGTGGCTAACCGAGATAACGGAGAGGGAAACAGACGCACATTGGATCGTCAAGCCAGAAGGCAGCGGTGGCGACTGCGAGCGCGCTCGAGGCCAAAGAGCAGATCGTGAGGAACGTGAAGAGTGCCCACGACCGACTGAAGGTTTTCACGCGCCAGATGAAGTACTGCTGTACCGTAGCGGCGATTCTGTCACGCCACGACCCCAACGCATCGTCCGTTAATGAGGTCGGTAGAATGAGAACGAGGGTAAACGCACATAGCCATCAGGATGCCTAGTGCAACGGGTGTCGGCCACGCCGGAGTGAGCAAAGCTTCGTAGTTGCCGAAGTTTTGCACAGAGAAGTACCAGACGCTGTACACCGTCACGACCTCCTGCGCGGTGTCCGCTATGAACAAGACCACTACTATGATCCTGGGAATAGCGGTCAATGACACGCTGTCCATACGCTTCGAGGGATATAGTACGTACTGTGTCCACACCGAGTCTCGCCTGCCAATCATAAGGTACTTTGCGAACTGGCTGATGTTGACGCCATAGAGGAAGGTGCTGATCACCGTCCCCAACAGCACCGGCGCAAAATAATCATGTACAATCTGCTTGGGCCCAATCCCGGTCCCGAAATCCTGGACCATGGTACCCTGCCTTCCTGAAGGCGCAGATGCGCGAGTACGCCCTGGCGTCGAATAACTTACCGCCGAGGACGTGGCACGCTCAAGCTACGAACAACGAAGTGGAAAAAAGGAGAGAATGCATCGGAAGCCCGCGCTGCGTCCCGTTACATATAGTGAGGCTCGGCGAGCGCATAGGCGGGCAGTAACGAGAGCGAATGCCCGGTGATCTGTGATGCTATTGGTCTATCAGTGGAATTCGGTGTCACGGTCTTGCAGGCAGCAACCCGATGGTCGTGCTAGTCTCCATTTGGTGTTTCTGAAGCTCATCTGTGGACGTCATTTCGAAATCTGGACTTTCGACCGTCGGAAGGAAAGGAATCAGGAAGACGGTTACCGCGACCACCAATGACAGATTAAATAGGAGGGTGCAGCAACGTAAGACTCTCGTGAGGTGATTACGCGCGTCTCACGCCTAAATAGAGGTGCGATCACCTATACACCGATCACCCACATACGAGCTACTGTGCCCGGCTAAGTACGGGGTTGCAGGCCCGGGGTCTCCATACTTATCGCCTCTTTGAGCAGGGACCATAAAAACCCAAGCAGCAGCGCCTGGCCTTCTTAAGTCGAGAGCACCGCCATAAGCATTCATATGGGCGACATGGAGCGTCATGATAGTGATAGCAATAGTGAAAAAACATGCAGTAGACCCATAGCCAGCCACGGCGTCTCCCCGATCCGCCTTACCGGTTAGACTTTGCGACACGCTCGAGCTCGTCCTTTTTCTGTAGACTCGCGGGTTGGCAAATGAACGTACGGGTGAGAGAGAAGCTGGGACGGACCTTGATAGCATATGAGTTCGATGAGCCCTTCGCCGCGTTGATGAGCTCATCCGCCAAGCACTCCGCGACCGACTTCACGTTACGGAACGCAGACTCGCGCGTCTGTAATCAATGCCATAAGCACCAATGAAGCAGGATTGCCACGCAGGATCTACTTACGCCTGTGGTCAAGAGAGAGACCGCCTGGTTCACCCGGCGCAAGGGGGACACATCGACGGCCTGGCGCCGGACGGTACCCTGCGAACCGATACGCGTCGAGTCCTCACGGGGACCAGTGTTCACGATGGCGTCGACAAGGACCTGGATGGGGTTCTGGTCCGTGAGGAGGTGGATGATCTCGAATGCGTGTGCGACAATCCGGACGGCGAGGAGCTTCTTGCCGTTGTTGCGGCCCTTCATCATCAGGCTGCCCCGGCTCGTTTGTAACCGTTCGTGAATAGAGGTGCATAAAGAACGCACCTGTCGACAAGACGCTCGACGATGGGCATCTGGGCCTTCTTGAACTGCTTCTTGGCGTAACGGCCGGCGGTGTGGGGGAGGTAGACGGCATGGCGGATCTGGATGTAGTCCGTGAGGGAGATGTCCTTCACCTCAACGCTGTTACATCGCAATCAACACAAATTCCAGTCGGACACCGTCAGCTTGTGTGTGTGGAACATCGCCAGACACGAATACGCACTCCTGGGTCTCCCACTTGCCGAAGAGCTTAACTTCGCCGTTGAGCTTGGAGAGATCTTTGGGGAGAGCTGATACCGTGGCCATTTTGATGTCGTGAGTCTTGAGGCGACCGCGAGGGAGTGTCGGGAATGGGGCGATCGACGACGAGCAACTATGCTTGCTGCCTGCGCGCACCGGGCTTGTTTGATCTTGTTGTGGTCCGCCGCCACAAGACAACAAGGTTTGAAGCGCCACCGGGACTTGCCGAACATACTGTACAGTTTTGAGTCGCGCTTGTGGCTGTACTTGGAACGCGTCTCATTCTCAGATCTGTCTCTTTCCCAACTTCTCATTCTTGTCAGTGCTTGCAGCTGGTACCTTGAGTTGTCTGTTCCATAAATTTTGCCACTCTTACATCGCCAATGCGCATCTTGTTGCCCGGCGTGATGCTGTTTGCCTGTTGTGCCTGCCCTTGTATTTCCTGGACCTGCGCTGTATCCGCCTGCTTGAAAGCCTCTGCGTTGCGTACGTCACTCGCTGCCGTCCTTCGTGGGCAGCGCGGTTCTCCCACCCCGACAGTGGACGCATACTCCTTCGATCGACACAGAGGCAGGTTACAAACTCTCGGGACATTAATTGAGGCCTCGCCGTCAATTGCCACGGTCAGAAGCGTATACAGAATTCAAGCAAGACACCTCCAACTACCAGGCTGAGCTGGGTTCGATGGTTCGGTGCGAATCGTTCAGTAGGTGGGGCGGTGTTCAACCCGACACGCCCGTACGGTGTGAAGAGATCATTTTGTTCCAGAATGTGACACTACGACACGGTCAATTCATGGTTCATAGCGCAGGGTGAACTACGCACCAGTCGTGACCGTCTTCCTGATCAGGAAATCGCGGGGAAGCATAGAAGCTGGCGGCGTTGGTGGACCTTGCAGTGACGTGCCGCGACATGTCCGCGACAGTCCGTCTCCTTTTCACCCGTCGATGCGCTTCCAGAAACCAGCCAGATGAGGGCGCGTCCCCTCCTACATAATCCGCACGGGAGTGTCGTCTGCTCGTCGTCCACTCTTTCATCCACTCATGCCGCCCTCGACGTGCGACACAATGCCCAACCGCGTTGACCGCGTCGTCTTCGTCGATACCTCCATGTCGATGATGCAGCTCCGCAATGCCTACGCTCAGTGTGGCAGCATGTACGTCCCGCTCATGTCCCAATCTGCGCTGCTCGTTAACACGCATACACCCACCCAGACTCTCCATTTCGCCATGGGGAGCCCGCGCTGACCGCATACATCTCACTTGTTTCGTCGAGTTCGCGGAGGAAAGCGCCGTGAAGCGTGCCCGTGCAATCCAGCTGCCCGACACAAAGTTGCACATCGTCTCGTTCTCTCCTCAGCTCATCGCCCACTTTCTCTCAATTGCCGAACCAGTGCCACCGCTCCCGTCGTTTCTCCCCTCGCCCTCGCCGTCCATCAATAATCTGCGTCTCCCTGGGGTGAAGCAGGAGCCGCGCGACAGCCCTCGCCCATTGAAGCGTCTGACCGAGGACGGTGACATTGCGTCGTCGACAGAGTCCACTCCAAGAAAGAAACTGCGCCGGAGTGAGAAGAGCGCGGGGACTAGACCGTCAACTTCCCGATTGCACGACCGTGATGGTCCCCCGCAAAGCGTCCGCACCGCTGACCCTCGCACTCCCAGAGCAACAGTGAAGTCGCCTCTGGCTTCGCAGCCTTCGTCTAGTCGGCAATCGAGCGGTAAGGAGAATGATGCACGGCCTCGGGCGCCCCAGACGCACACTGCGTCCCCAAAGCGCATGCTGCCTTTGCCCCGGCGGGGAGACACTGTCGACCCGACTGCGGGTGCGACGCCGACCCCTCGCAGAGACGCTCATGCAGGAGCACAGAGTCTCACCAAACCTGTGCACGATTCCTTGGAGCATCCAGCATTTGTGGCCGAAGTCGAGGGCACGACAAAGGATACTCCGAATGCCAGCGGAGTTGGAGCAGGCCAGCTTGCCCAAGCGGCACTAAGCCTTACTAGTGCAGGCGTCACGTCGCATATGGTCACCTTAAACTACAATGGCATGCCAGTGACTTGCGACCTCCGCAAGCTGGAGGAAGACCCGAAGAAGATCATCGCCGTCCTCAAAGCTACTGCTAGCAGCTCTCCGGAACGCGACAAGTGGATGGTTGTTGCGGCGCAATACCGTGTCAGGGGACACTTCATGGCTGCCATTCACGTTCTCGACGCGATGGTCGAAGGTACGTGCGACTGTCTCGATGGATGCGCGTATCCCCGCTCAGATTCATGAACCAGTGATGACCGGCAACCCGGTTTCGCTCGCAAAGGCCGATCTCAAACCGACGTTCCTCATGTTGTCGAGCTGCCATCGCGACATCGTGGCTCAGGGCGATTCTAAGGATGCTGCGTTTCATGTGCGTCGGGCCACAGAGTGTTTGCAGCAGGTGTATGGCGTGGACGTCCCGAGGGCCCAGGTGACGTCCGAGTTTGCGGAGGCGAGGGCACGCTCGTGCATGGACATTCCTGGTCTTGTTGCATCTGGCCAAGATGATGGGACTGCTCACGTACGTGAATATCTTGCCGACGCCGGAAACTTGCCAGCAGCGCCATCTGCACAGGAGCAATCTCCGAGCAAGAAGAGAACGCGACAAGATCCTCCGACACCCAAAGGGCCCGACAACAATGTCAGCGAAAAGCACAACAGCACCTCAAAAGACGCCGCACATCACGATACCGGTGTCAGTGCCCCGCGCACCGAACCAGAGAGGGACCGCGAGCGATCAACTTCCCACTCGTCGGCCTCGGCCTCGCGCTCGTACTCCGAACGCGACAAGCACGGGCAGGTCCAGCTCCTCGAGCGCGAGATCAAAGCGCTCCGGAACCGCGCCGCCGAGGCCGACTCGACTCTCCTCAACGTCCGCACGGCGAAGCGCAAGCTCGAGGAGGACCTGGTAATTTCGCACGCCGCGCGCCGGCGGGCAGAACGCGATATCGAAGCGGTCACCTCGGAGCTTGCGCGGGTGCGGGAGGAGCTCGGACGGGCGCGCGAAGAGCACGCGCGGACGCGGGAGGACGTCGTGCGGCTGAAGGACGAGCTGAGCAGGGCGAGGAGGGGCGAGGAGAGCGCGCTGGAGCAGGCGGCGGCGGAGGTGGAGAGCCGGCGGGCGGCGGGGAGGCGCGTGGAGGAGATGGGGGCGGAGATGGGGAGGTTGAGGGACGAGTTGAGGAGGGCCGACGCGGAGGTGGAAGTGAGGCGCGAGACGGAGGTGCTAGTGATGGACGCGTTTGCGAAGCTGGAGGAAGCACTGGCGCGGCCGGCCCCGACGAGGACGCTCAGGCTTACGCAGGGGTCGGACGGCGACGCAGGGGTGCCGTCGGGGAGGAGGGGTGAGTGGCCTGCGACTCCGGTCTCTGAGAGAGGTATCATGGAGGACGTTGGGAGGAGCAGGAGCGTGTCGGCGTCTGGACGGAGTGGCTGGGGACCGATGGCCGGGATCAAGAACGAGCGTCGGTGAATGTGACGACCTCGAGTTCGCGTGTGCGCCGATGCACGACTAGGGTTTCCTCGGAGGTTTACTTTTCGCACATTGCAAGGATGGTTTGTGTTCGTTTTTCCTTTGTCAGTATCGATCACCAGCAGTAGCTCCGAGCATGGACATCGTAGGACTTTGCATGCCAGCTAGTTGCAGAACATTAGGCGCAGACGAACGCGCGCGACATATGATGACAAATAAGCGCCGCGCCTTGGCCGCGCCACAGTTGACGTTGGTTCACCCACTTCTGCACCATCATGTTTTTGCGGCTTCACAGTCGTCTGCACTAGCACCTGTACCGAGCAATAGCGACGCGGTCACGTTCCTCGGACATTCTATTAATGTATATTCCATTGAGAGTAGTAACAATGCAATAATGCCTCCCCTACACCACTGCTTGCAGTCAGCTACAATGGACGAGTCCGACAGACGTCGTAGACCTGGGTGTAGAAGGCAGATACACGTTCAATTGTCTGCGGGCACTAGCCGGTACTCCTGCAAGGCGTCCACGGGATCGTGTTCAGCGAGTCGCAAGACATGTCTCTCATGACGGTTGCTGCAGGACAATCGATGCAACGCAAAAACATGGTGGTGCGAGGTGTGGTGAGGTGGGTAAACCGACGTCTTCGTGTGGATAGCGCCTATTTGTCATCATATGTCGCGCGCGTTCGTCTGCGCCTAATGTTCTGCAACTAGCTGGCATGTATTCTGCATCCGACTCGCTGTAGCACCACCTGTACATGTCATATCAAGCCGCCTTTGTAACGTACGGATGGTTCTCAATACTTCCTCGACCTCAAGGCCTCATGAGCGAAAGTCGATCCCGAAAGACTGGATGCCCAGATTTGTATACCTTTCTCGAGCGCTGAACGTCCAGCGCAGGGAACAGACGGTGAAATATGAGCTGCCATGACATCCCCTGCGTGCTCCTCTCTTTCTCCGCCTGCGTCATGACTCGGACCTCCATGAGAACCGGCACTCATAACCCTAAGGTTGTTAGGTCGGTGCGTGGTGACTGTTCCTCGTTCCCCCCGGGTGCAGAAGCAAGGCCATGATGACTCGGATGCAACCTTCGGCAGGCCACTCTTCTTCGCGCGCGAACATTTAGTGTGCACAAGTCGAAGACTCGAAGTCGCCCACAATTCGAAAGTACGCACAAACTTCGGGAAGGGCCCGGAGCGATTGTCACTTTGTACCGCGACTAGTAGAGCAATTAAATGTGGTCTGTACTTCCAGCGTCATGTAAGTTCTCTATGCACCGACGAGACTAGAGAGCGCAGAAACTTGGTGTGAAAGCTCAGATCCTGCCAGTGAGAGATCGAGAACCCGGAGATCCGTAAAGGCGAGAGGTGGGCGCAGATCCCAGTCGAGCATGTCATCAGAGATCCACATTGTCTAGATCTCGAGGTGTGGACAAGGTGTGGAGAAGATGGATGAAGATCGCTGAGGGGCGTCTCCACCGCAGTGTGTGCGCACTTCCCGGGTCCACGGGCCCGGGAACGGTGTCCACATCCTGGAAGTCTTCATACGCATCAATTGATTCGATGCACGAAAACGAGCGCAGGATGGCCCGTCGCATGACCCGTACGATTGTCTGATAGTATACATGACAGCCTGAGGGGATTGTTCGCGATCAAGTAGGTATTGCAGATCACACTTACAGGCCATCCAGCGACTCGGAGAAGTATTACCGTTTAGTCAAAAGCACACCACGTCCTCGGAGTCGATTGGGTCATCGATGGCAACGTCGACTTTTGCCAGGAGTCATTTGAACCGCCGACAGAAATAGCACGCTCGCCTACCGAGGAACTCAACACAGTCGTCAGGGCCTCTGAGAACTGGGAATCCTATGTTGACTTACTCGTGTATACGTGCATCGCGCGTACTTTGCACGAGGATGAACGACGACGGAGTGGGCGCGTCACAGAATCAGTGGAGGCAGCACCCACCGGCGGCGTGCGTCCCCCATGGACCCACAATGGAGCTCACGACCTACTAGAGTAGCCACGCAAGTGGAGCGCGATCGTATAATTCAGTAGCACTCGATTCTCCGGAGGCAAATGTTGTTACATAGGGGAACCACTACACGAAGGGTCGACGCGATCGTCACGGAGATCCAGTGGGCGCGTTGCGTACGGTCCTGCAGTCAGTTCTAAAAGTAAATGGTACGGGTTGAACCTCGCACCTCGGTAGTCCAATCCTATTGGCTGTTTTACAGAAATGGGGGTAGGATGCTAGAGCATGTCGTGTTGATAACGTTGTCGTGGTCAGTGTATAGGGAGGCCGTCTAGGCGCTGCAGATGGTGCAAAGCAAAACAAATGAGGAGAGCATGATGGTAGATCAAGCAGACAAAATCGATGCATGGTCGGAGATCCGTTGTTTGTCTGTCTTCCTTTCCTTGTCAAATAGTGACCTAGGTATAGGTGACGTCGGTTGGCTGCCTGCCGAAACAGATGCTACAACTTTAACCTCACCTTCACGGACGCCCATTCCCGAACGAGCACCGACACTCTATCACGTAGGGCCCCTTTGCACAGTGGGCACGACAGCTCGCGCTCGAGGTGCAGCAGCGGCGCCTGGAGCATGTTCGTCGATATATCTTATCACAATCAGCCCAATCATCGCCGTACAACGATCCAAATAAATTTGACACTCACTCGGGCGTGCATCCCAGGCGAGATGCGCAGAGGCGAGAGCCCACGCGCGGGTGAGCCGCTGCTGCTGCGTAGCGTTGCACTCTCTGGTCGGTTCGTGCGCCTGTGGTGGGTGCAGGAGGAGGCGTTTGAGGGCCTCCATCCTACCGTGATGGAGGAAGAACAGCCGCTTGAGGTAGATCGGGCCGATGCGCGCAGCTAGCTCATCCGTGAGCGAAGAGAGCGTGTACGAGAGGAGGTGCGCGGAGATGGGGATCGCGAGCGCGAGGAGGTCGTGATGCGCTGCGAGCGCGTAGGCGTCGATTGGGCGGAGCGGCGCCTGGGAGAGGACGAGGACGTAGAGCGGGCTGCCGGGGAGCACGAGTGTCTGCAGGGGCACGCCGTACGTGATAAGCGAGTCGAACGCGGCGGTGACAGTATCGAGGGGCGGCATGAACTGGGCGACGGGGAGGCTGTAAAGGGCGTGGACGACGACATTGAGAACTTCGGCGGGCTCGGGGACGGACACGGTCTGGGTGGAACCATCGTCGGGCGGGGGCGTGGGCGTGAGGAGGCCGTTGAAGGTGTTGCAAGAGGCGGAAAGGATGCGGTGGCTGTGGGCATAGAAGTAGACCTGGTCGGAGGAGATGAGGACGAGGTCGGGCGAGAGATTATCGACGAGGACGTTGGGCTGGAAGGTGGTGGAGACATCGACAGTGACTGCGCGGTCTGCATTGGGACGTTCCATCGGCGTGCCGACCTGTGAGTGGCGGCGTGCTCAGCACTCAGTACTCCGACTCACAAGGACATAGCACGAGCGTGCGGACGACTTACCGGTGTCCTCTGTGTCGGTTCTCCTCCGGTGAAGCCAAACTGTGTCGCGTCAGGGCCCTCAGCTTCAGCGGGGAAGTTCATGTTGAAGTCGAAATAGTCCATGGCTGTGAGATGGAGAATGGCGCGGCTGCAGAGAACATAAAAGGGGCGAGCAACGCGGCACGGGTGCGCTGGATGGTGCGTCAGTGCGTGCGTGATGCATAATAATAAGCGGCCTGGCAGCCCATAATAATCGGCGAATCGTTGCAGCGCTTACCGGCCGTTCTTTGCACCGCATGCACGCTCGGCGATGACCAGGAGGACGACAATTCGCGTTCGCTACCACCCTCATCGGATACTGGCGGCATCTGGCAGGCGCTCGTCAGCTATCCTCTCCGCTTCCTTGTCTTTCGTCGTCAACCAACTCACTGTTCACCCATTCCAAACCCATACCTGGCCACCCCCGCTGAGCAGCCCTCGTGCACAGTCACTGTCAGCCAGTCTCGGACACCATCCTCTGCATGTGTTCTGCATGGTGAATGTCGAACAGGAAAACAAATACTCGGCGGCGGTTGTACTGCACGGTTCAAAGAGTCTGAAACTAGGTGTATTTGCTGATCGCCGCAGCCGCGATGCTCCTCACATCCATCTGCAGCTGTCACCGTCAGGAAGACGACGGTATTTTTTGAACCCACCAATGACTGTGCGTCTCCAGGCCGATAGCTCCTCACGAAGCTGCGACCTACGTGGGTTATCACGCTGAGCGGGCCTCCGTATCGCCCGCACAAGCATGCACAGCACAGCTACGTTGGGGCTGGGAGGAAGATTTCGGGGCATCGACGGATGACCACTGCCCAGGATGTCAGTGAAAATTTCCGCTGTAGCATCTCTGAGCCAGTTAAACCCGACTGTGCGGGCCTTCCTTCAGCCGGAGGCTCAGCTTCCGGGACAGGGGTACGCCTCTACACGAAGTCTGCACGCGCTGCACAGCGTAGACGGAATTGAGCCGATATATGGATAGGACACCCTCGGACGTACACACCTTCGCCAGCGAACGTTGGGACGAACCACGCTTTCCTACTTGCCCAATGAACTCATCCGCGCACTTTGGCCCCTACAGGAGCCACTCGCCCCACATCTCGGCATGCCCCGGAACGCGTCGCGTCGCGTCGACGCGTGACGTTGACCGACGCGTCTGTGGCGGGAGCTCCTCCGTACACTGTCCGTGCAGCGCGTGAGGCGATCTGCAGCAAAACGTACCTACGAGTCACCTTCCAAATCCCATACCTTACCCAACAACGCAACACTTCTTGAAATCGTGCACGGATTCAGACTTCAAGCTCTTCAAGCTTCAAAGCTTCAAGGCTCAAGCCATGCGTCATCTGTGGTAGTGCCTGACTGCGGGAAACACATCTCGGGCGAGCACTCGGGATCCCGAGCCTTGGCCGGAGATATCGGGCAAGTCGCGGTTGCAATACCGAATGATCATCGATGCCGGTGAATGCTGTTACCTCTCTGCTCACAGGAATCAACGCTGACGTGTCTTCCTCACCTTTTCCCGCACAAGTCACAAACACTGTGGGAAGGGGGAAGCATGAAATTCAATGACTATCGACGTTCGAAATCAGCGCCTTACAGCTAATTTCAGAACGATAGTCACTTGCAAACGCGCGCGACAGACGATGACTAAGCGCTCCAACCTTCAAGAAGGCGGCGCGCACCGCTCTTCTGCACCACTGTCGTTCATCGTCTCCTGTCGATTTTGCGCGAGCAGACACAACAGATGATATATGATCTGAAATCTGAATTATGGACCTGTCTCTCTACCATTTACAGTAGTAGTGTAGAGCTACCATGACTCTCGCAGAGTCCGAATAGTTGAACTCTTTCTACATGGCTCGCGACTGGCAAGGCATGGGATTCACTGGAATGTCAGTGGTGTTGTAGAGCAAGGCTGACCAGACACATTCTGCATAATTATTGGTTCGCATCAACCTGATTGCTCACGGGATCGTGTCGTGTATGTCGTTGCGAGGGGCTGGTCCTGGACAGGTCGCTGTGTGTGGAAGATCTCGCGCAGGTTGCAGTGGTGCAGAAGAACGGTGCGCGCCGCTCCCGAAGCGCGGAGCGCTTAGTCATCATATGTCGCGCGCGTTCGAGAGTGACTATCGTTCTGAAATTAGCTGTAAGCATTGATTTTTCCAATACGAGTGTGTCGAACATTGAAAATGAGTGTTCAAAATGAGTGTTTTCGTACACTCAACCGTGGACATTTTGTCTATTGAAAATGAGTGTTTGACTGTCTGAAATTGCTCGTCGCGCACAATTCTTCTTGCTGTAAAATTTACATGCTTCGCAGCGTGTTTTCGAGTCATTTGCATAGTGCGACCACTATGGATTTCACGCAGAATTCACACTAGATATGAGCGATTATGGGTATCATTAATAGCATAACAGGACGGCTTCTAATTCTCATACGACTCAGTCGTAGCTGTATCGTAAGTAGTACGTGATCTAGCAGGATGACAGCGGCCTGAGCCTGACATGTATACAATACCAGTGCCATGACGACGCCGTGATTTGGAATAAGAGTAAGTTAGACAGTGACATCGATACAGTGAGATTCGGACGTACATCGCGCATTTGACAATTCGTCATGACCAACAATTGCGGAAGGGCCGGGAAGGCGACGGGAATGTCGGACTGTCCAGACTTGCGAAGTTGATGACGAGGCAAGGAGTCGGATAAACACGAGTGACAGAGCATTGCAGCGCGGGAAACGCCAGAAGTCGTAGAACGGAGTACATAGACAGTGAGCTGAAGTGGCCAAGGCGAGAAGCAGAGCGAGTTTGATGCACTCACATCAGTTCAAAGGTGCTATTTCGGAGCCTTCTGAGACCCGGCGGCGGACACAGAGGAAGCCTATACCAAGACGGCCAACAGCGAGTCAATCATCAAGGTAGCGACGTCGCTATCGCAAACAAAACTCATACAGGAACATGACTCATTGCTTACCAGTGCGACATGCACATTGGAGTCCTCACAATTAATCTTGACACGCTTTGTCCTAACTGCGAGAGGTTCCGAGTCCGAGTCTGGAGTTATTGCGTCTGGCTTTGAAGCTCGCTTGCGCTTAGCTGTGCGTGGCTTTGGTAACGGCGGTGGCTGCATCATACGGACATCAGCTACTCGCCCACATTACTGCAAGATTTGTCCTGAATGCCGCGTGCGTCACTCGAGTTTATGCATCGGGCACCATCCCGATGGTCAAAGCACGATGTTGTTCTCCGGCGCGTTATCTGCCGAGAAAAGAGTGACTATATGCGTGTGCGAAGTTACCTATGTGTACCATCCAAGTACAGGTCGCACGAGTCGAAGGGCCGGAAACGGTGTAAGGCATAAACCGAAGAACTTGAACAGTAGCTTACTGGATTTTGCGACAGCGAGCTTACAGGTCGATCCGGTCGCACAATCGCAGCAGGACAGATACCGCAATGAATTAGAGTAAGTCAGGAAGCGCGTCGAGGATGCCGCCGCCACTACGACGGCGACAGCGAGATGAGGGAATGGGAGAGGAGACTAAACAACGTTGCGCGCGGCGTGAACGAGTGTTGGAGCGACGCGCGTCGGACTTTCAAAGTTGTAGTCGCGTCGGTCACGCTTCGTCACGTGCAGCGAGCAAGTCAACGCACAACTATCCTGAGATATATATGCACACCGAAAACAGCGACACGCGTACGCAATCGATTCCGTGTCTCCGTTAACAGTGCATCGTGCTGTAACTAGTGTCTGTGGTACAGTGTACCATAATGACTGGCCTGGATTGAAGTCTCGAACTGGTCCTCACCTTGATTAGGCAACTCGCCGACTTCCAGGGTCCGCCGACTTGCCGGTTGTACTCAAGTAGCCTGTCCATTGGGACAATGTTAATAAACGGGCTTTCTACTACTCATCATTGATATGCAGTGATTTTCAGTGTTTATGTCATTGGATTATAGACTACTGTTGTAAACAGTCGAAATAAGTGTTCTCGACAGTACCGGGTTAAACACTCATTTTCAGTGGGACCGGAAACAGTGTGTGAAACACTCATTTAAGAAAATGAGTGTTTTCGGCGCTGAATTTCATGCTTCCCCCTTCCCACAGTGCAAACCAGTCAGAGCAGCGTTACCAAACCGCATTCAGGGCTTGCGTCTCGACGACGTTCACTGTGACTTGACGGATGCAACGTGTCACTCACCGGTCACTGCCACCGAGACTTCTGCATGAGCGGATCAGTGCAGTGCAGTGCCAACTCCTGGATCCTACAAGGCCACCACGAGAGACACATCGTCGACATTCGGTGACAGCGATGTTGCGGGTGAGTTACGGGCATGTTACGGGTATGTCTCAATCATGTCGTGCGCGGAGGGGAGTATGCCTGCTCGCGCAGGGACGACGCGCGCACACGCATTGGCAGTCGTCTGACACGTCCTAATGCGGTATCTATTGGCTTACCAGCTCCTGGTCGAACGTCGAATCAAAGGTCGCGTCTGGGGAGCGTCGCGGTAACCTATGGCAGCTACGCAGCATACGGTCCGTTGCATGGGATGCGGCTGTATGACTTGGTCTTGTTGTTCAATGCAAGGGTAATCGAGTTGGCGCTCACAACGCTCACCCAGCTGTCCTTCTGTCGTTACCGAACAGAAAACTGGATGCGAACATCCCGGTTCCGGTACGGTACCATGACGCGACCCTGGATACCCGGATACTCAACAACAACCCATGTACACCAGTTCAGCCTACCTCTCACAACCCTTCTAGTCTCAGGCAGCGATCTCATGCCCTTTTGTCCACATGCGGCCACACAGCGCGTCAGTCTCGTGAACCGTCTCTCCTCTCGCTCGTAACTTCGTGGCATGGCGTGGCTGTCGGATGCGACGATGCGCATGCCCCTCGTGCTCTGCCTCAATAACTCAGGCGTCGTCACCCCTCCTCCGATGGGCCGCATCGTTGCATTGAAAACACGATCGCCTCCATCTCCCGGACACACCAGACACTCTGGCTCCTGGCTCAGACGCACTGGAATCGTTTCTTCCCGCTTCCTCGCAACCCCACTCGCGTCTTCCGTCACCCGGAGAATCCGATTTGCACAGTGTCTTCCACAGACCTCAGATCCGGAGCACGCATGGGTGTGCGGGCCGGCAGCAGCGGTGTTGCCACTATACAACCGTTGGCCGAGGTATGTAGGTCTCTGGCTCCAGAGCGGCGGGCGCTGATCTCAGTGTCCTATTTCCCATCGCCGAGGTCGCCATGTACGCGAGCTAACTTAGAGGTGAATTGGTAGTGCCCACGCCATCCGCGGAGAGCGTGGATGCTTAGGCGCCGTGACAGTAAGTCAAGAATGTAGGATCCGTGGCCAGCACGAGCGAGCGATCGGACGCTGCGAAGATCGCGGAACCGGACACCCCGCTGTTATGTCGGACATGGCTGGGCGAGCTCTGGACACGCACAAAGTCGCGAGCGCGGGCGGCCACTGCTCCCAAGTATGGACATCGAAACGCTATATAAACTCTGAGCGTTCTGGGCCCTGGTGACCATGTATGTAGCAAGGTTCACCTCGAAATGGAGCGACTGTTTCCTGATAGTCACGCACAAGCCATGCACCCTAAGGACGACGTCTCCTTGTCCTTAGACGATATGCTTTCCTGGGCGAGAGCGCCTCCACCGCAGCGTCTCGAGGCGTGGTTATTGCCCTGTATGAGCGCGTAAGTTTAAGGGGTCCGCTCTGCAACATATTCACCTGATGACGAAGGTGGCCGCATCTACCGTGGCCAGTACCAGAGTACTCGAGTGCCATTCTATCACTGTGCAGACGAACGCGACGACCCGTTATTACCTCGCCACGAGGCTATCAGCCCAGTGCATCTGATATGCCTGCCGACCCTCGGACTCCAGACACACTTCTCGGACATTGTCTGCCAGCCGAGTCCTGATGCAGACGTGTTGACGGACGCCTTCCTCGGTAGAGACGTCTTCATCGCAAGACTCTTAGAGCGTGCGTGTTGCTGACATAGGCATGCTCTTCCAAGGGGCGCCTCGGCAAGGTCATCCAGCTTGTGAGGAAGGTGACTGCGTCCCCCCTGGCAAAACCACTGACTTTCAGTTTCCGACCTTCTGTCTCTTCACAGTAGCAAGCGCGATACCCTCTCTCGAATCCGACATGCGACCGTCAGCCCAAAGCATGAAACGCTCCACTGGTACGCGCCGTACTCCCCGGACTCTGTGATTAGGATACTACACCTCGGACATCCTCCACGAGCCGGCTACTGATTGTGATGCCTAGCTCCGAGCCCGACACGGGCCGTGGAAGACCGCGGGGTCCAGGAAGTCGTTGTCGGGGCTTGACATGCTGTTTCTGTCCTAGGCAAGGCGCGTCGAATCGGCATCATTACCACATCCCACTGACTCGCTGGTGATGTTAGTATTGCCTGCCTATGTAACAAGTGGTCGATAAACACGGTCGTTCACGAAAGATACTGATTTATGACAGAAGGATCCGGCGGCATCGGAGAGTTTGCCGAGGTCTGCGTTTGTGTGCAGCCTCAGACTGAGATGATGCTATACTCGTCTGAAGCAGGATGTAGGTATTCGACATCGATATCAAACATGTACACAGTACAGACGTGATGCCGTAACATATTTAAGTGGAGTTCCGAGTCCGCTAAGTTAAAGATAGATGGAGAACGTGTCGTATCTCGATGTCGTGATCATTTTACTTATACCGTGCTCGCGAAACAGATGTGATGACTACCTACGGCTGAATCAGGACCGAGATGCACTCGAGCTGGGCGCCTTGCCGGGCTCAGCGCGAGCTTGGGCGCAAACATGTTCAACACCCTTGAAGCTTATGTCCTGAACCAAGGCTCCCAAAGTGATCGGTTTTTATGAACCCCCGCCGATATGTCCGCACTCAAGAGTTCCATAATTTAGCTCCCATGATCTGTACACATTCATCTGTGCAATACTGTGACAATTTCTGTGACAATTCCTTCCCGACAACTAAGCCAAGCATCGTAGTTTGCGATGGTCCGCCCGGCTAGCGATACTCCGCGCCACAATCGCCAATAGACGTGATGAGCCTCCGTCCGTTGCTCCGATCGAGCACCGCGTCGATTTCTGCATGGTCCCCCGCGGTGAGTCGGAAGGTGAATACTCGCCGGTTATCGTCCGTGTGTTCAGACAACCCGAGGCGCGCTCCTGCTCGGTTCGGTCCCAGGGAGGAGTTAGGTACATGAGCGCGCGGAATGATCGACGTACATTAGGGCTGATGCAGGGAAGGGGGGGACCACTCACCGATGATGACGGCGCCGACGCACGGATGGTCCAGCACCCATCGTGTGGCCACGTTCGCGATGCTCGCGCCGCCGTGGCGGTCCCCGATCGTACGCAGGACGGAGAGCAGGCTCTGGAACAGCGGCCAGTCGCCCCACGCCTTCAAGATCATGTCGAGATACTGCCGGTCGGACAAACCGCCCGGTGTGAGTCACCTGCAGAGTGCGGGAAGGAAAACGCATGCGTCGTGCTCACCTTCCTCTGGGATGGTGTTAGGTTGCCGGAGTACAAATCAGGCTCTGGCTGACCAAGCCATTTATCTGCGAGGAACCCGCCGCACTGAAGGCGACAGCGTCAGATGGCGAACGGAGCAGACGAGAAGCAATAGGAAGGTAGGAATGTGTAGATTGCGTACGCGCTGGGCATACAGCGAAGCTTGCGGCGACTCACCACAGTACCGTACGTGAGAAGCTTGACATGGTGCCGTTCGCAGACGTCTGCCATCCCATGCAGGGGCCTAGTATCAATCAAGGAAAACTATCAGAAAGAGTGACCGTTAGCGACTACACTGACAGTTGCGGCGGCAGCGCGAAAGAGGCGGCACCTGAACTTGATTCGACACAATCGCGCCGGGCCCGAGCTCTGTGCAAATCTCGTCCGTCCTGATCGCGTCAAAATTGCATAGCCCAAGGGTCACGATCCTGCCTTCGCGCTGGAGGTCCTGGAGGTGCCGCAGGGCGGTCAGGTAGCCCTTGTCGCTGTAGTCCTGCCAATGAAACTGGGAACGAGGCGCCGGTGTCACCTGTCAGTCCGCCGGGGTGCCAGGAAAATAACGTACCTGTAGGAGGTCGACACGCTGGGACTGCATGCGGTCTAAACGTTCTTGCACGGCGGCCTCGACGACCGCCCGTGTCGGATCTGTCTTGCGGAATACACACCACTTGGTACCGCCCATGATACTTCCCGGTGCGCGGAAGTTCCTTCTGAATTGTCCCTGCAATGTCACAGACACACAATTGTTCGCTGCGGCTGTAGATAGGTGCAGAAACGGTACTTACAAAGATGATCTCTGCACTGCCATAGTGGTCAGCTGTGAACCGGCCAAGTCTGCTGAGTGTCAGAACAAGGCTGATACAAATGGATGCATACCCTAAGGCGCCACATGAGAGCAGCCATATACGGTGAGGAGGGTCCATGCAACGATTACAATGGCTGCGTACCATGTCTATATTCGTGTAATTTGTCAGATCGCACAACTAACACGTAGTGCAAGCGGTACATACCAAAGGCGGTGTATCCTGCTTCCGCGTACTGCGCCATTTGGCTGCGTATCTTGGGAGTAGAGGCGCTGCCCCAGGCATTGCTGGACAGCTGCCACAGGCCTGTGAAGAGCCTGGGTACCCTAAAGGGGCCTAGCTGAAAGGTCTCCAATGAGATGTCTGTGGTCATACTTCTCTGCAAGGCAGGAAAGAGATTAATAAAACGGGAGGGGGGTAGGGGAGTTTCGGTACCGACTCCGACACTGGTTATATATGTGGCTATATGTACTCTGGACGGCCGACTCAATACGTATACCAGCAAAAGATGGAAAGGAGATGGTCCGGCGATGTGTCGATGCGACGAAGACTGTGCCCTTACCGGGGGCGGTGGGAGACCTCCGGAGCGGAGGGATCAGATCCGGAGCCCCAGTAACTTTCGCCAGAGATATTGCGGACGATATGCGACCAGAACTATCCTGTGCTGTAAATTAGGGGGTAGATTAGACACAGCTGCGCCAATTGGGATGGGACAGGTGCTCCGGAATGTCTGCCCAAGTAAAGCTTCATGTCTGGATTCAGATCTCGGTTTTCAAGACCTCAATTGCCGGGGACATCCGGCTTTTGACAGGACCGCGACGTGGTTCCGCCGAGCCGCTGGCCAGGCGGTCATCAGATTGGAGGCCGATGCTTCTCCCGATCTGTAGCCCAAGATCTTGCCTCTCGCGTGCGCCTTTCATTCAGGCACGCTCTGCTTTCTCGCGGTCATACTACCGCTGGCGCATTTTCTACCACTGCGCGTCAAGCCAAATTTTCTGACAGGATATGTTCCGGAAAGGCAAGATTTCCTGCGCTTTACCGTCATGTTTCCTCGGAGGATATCAGGCGAAAAGGTGCAGGTAAAACAAGATTTCCGACTGATTTCCGGGCACTTTCCCTGCCCAATCCGACAGGTGTTCTCGCTCGCATCACTAGCTAGCTCGCGTCTCTTGCTTCACTTCAGTTTCGTTATAATAGATCATTGGTATATGTATTTTATAATGCTGTGTACACATTGGACAGGCCCAACCGTCAACGCGTTAGCAAGCTGCCAGGCAACTGTAGTAGGACCTAGATAGCGCCGAGCACGAATGAGATGCACGACCCGGACCTGTACCTGCCTGTGTACAGGTTCGGCGCGGTTCGGCGCGGGTTGTGCAGGTTGTGCAGCTCGTCCTGCATGGGCCAGGCGAGTGGCTGAGCAAGCGGGTTGGCTAGCTAGAAGATGGGTGGACGGACGAGAATGGCAAGCGGGCAAGAAGATGAGCACGAGCAGGCATGTGGGAGAGCTGGCTAGAGGGGGAGCACAGGCGGGCAAGAACGAGCGCGCGCCGGGCAGGAAAGCGAGCGGGCAAGAGGCGAGGGGGGAAGAGAGCCTGAGGGTGAACGAGCGGTCAGACGATAAGCCGAGTGGGCGAGCAAGCAGGCGGGCGAGCTGGTTAGCACGAGGGAAAAGGAAGGCAGCCTTAGGCAGGCCGGCGAGGTGACGGAGGGCGAGCGTGCGAGAAGGACGACGAGAGTAGTCGAGCAGGCGACGAGGGCGAGCGAGCGAGTGTGCGAGCAAGCAGGCAGTAAGCAGCGGCAACATACTCGGAGCCGTCGGAGCGAAAATTACAGTATCAGAAATGTGCTGTAGGGCCGGAAGATCATTTTCCACACCTGGGAGTTGTACGTACCTTATCTGTAAAGCTTTCTCGCGAGTTCGCATTTTCTCCTCCCCGGCCTGCGCGAGGAGCGGCTGTATGACACCGTGTGCGTGCTGTAGAAGGCTGATATTGAGCTCACAAACGATGGCAATCAAAGCGGACGTACTTACGAGCAGACAGGAAATCTATACTTTCCCGAGTTTGTCAGCTGTTTTGAGCCATGGACTCCGGATGATCATCACTTGCGAGACGGTGCCGTGGCGGCGTATGCTCACATTGGGTAAGTCCCTCCCTCTGATCGAGATCGCAGACGTGCTCACAGAGTGGCGATTTGCACTCGAAGACGAGCGCGCAACTCGGACCAACTGTCCAGAACCGACCAGCGCGGACGCCGCCGCTGGCCGCCCACCTCCTGCAAGTCGAGCCCTGGTCAGTCCGTCGCTGCGCGCATCGCAATGCGCCTCATGCAATCCGAGTCGCACTCACCTACCTCTAGTAGATCTTCTGTGTACCCGCTACTAGCTCCTTGATAACATCTTTCTTGTAACGGTTGAGATGATCCCGGACGTTGTGTATCCACACTGTCAGAATGGCAGCTGATCCAGCCAGTCATAACAGTGTAATTCAGCAACGCAATGGAGGGACCGACATATCACTCGACGCACCTTACACCTTAAGTCGGTCCGTAACCACCACCGTGTTCGAATCCAACAAAGCAGCAACGTTCTGCCACTTTTTCTCAAACAGAACCCCGCTCGCGCTCGCGTTCCTCAGGTCCACTAGCTGCGCAAACTGCACCGTCTTCTGCGCCTCCTGCGCGCCCGCACCCCTCTCCTCCCGGGCGAGTAGGGCCGGGTTCTGCGTCACAGACTCGTCGATCACGGTCTCGATCGTCAGGTTCTATGCAACGACGCGCATGACTCGCCTGGCTACGCCCTGCACCGCATTGCATACCGTAAAGGGGCATGCTACCTCCAAGTGGTATGGCTTGGACTTGAACACGCGACTCGACGGTTGAACTTTGAACGTTGAGACTTTGCATGGAGGTGAGGGTTGCAGATCAAGGATGTCGACGGGGTGGATGTATGCGCGAAAGCCACGACGCCCGCGACGCGTCGTGGTAATACGTCACGAGCTCGCGTCATGGTACTTAGCTCCAATCGAGGAAACAGGCTGGAGATCGGCCAGGCGAGATATAAATAGGTAAGGTACAGGATATGCCGTCTCTCCCCACGTTATCCTACGTGGAAATTTCGCGTTGAAGTGCAGTGGTATACGAGCACCGCTATGTTCTTGCAACGGACGTCCCGAGGATATGTGCAAGGAATGCGACATACGACGCATGGGCGCTGCCACATACACGTACTTGGCACACGCGCAGCTGGTACAGTTTCACCGCCCCGGTGACAGTCCAACGACAGCGGCACGCATCGTGATCCTCACACGGACGGGTCGATTGTCAATCTGCCGCCACCGAGTCGTCTCCAAGCCTGAAGGCGACAGCTTTGAGACCGTTCCGTGACGCAGTCCGAACCCGGGTATGTCGCATCACCAACGTCCTGGACAGTCTGAACCTTTCCTCCACCGCATCTACAGTCGTGGCAGCGGCGCCCTATGATCTGCCATGTCACTTCTCGCACCGTGCAAGTAGTATTCTCCGCAGGAAATCTTTCCTTGTCTCTTTCTAACACCCGCCAATATGTTCTACATACACATGTCTCGTTTGCTTATTTGAGCTCCTCAGGGGCCTCGTCGATACGGAGGCGGCCACCCGGTGGTGGCGTGGCGCCTGTGTAGGGTTGCGATGTATTGGTGTCGGTCATCAATGGCTCCCTGTGCCTCCAGCGTGACAGAGGCTCGAAAGGGCTCACACGCTGTTGTCTCATCAATCCTGATGAGTCATATCCTTCTCCCATCCATGTTCTACAGAGATATGTTCGTCAATCATGCAGTTCAATACGAAGAACACAGCATGGCGCAAATGACGAAGATGCACACATCAACCAAAAATACCTTAACTCTATGTCCCGGTACTAGTTAACCTTGAACAAGTACCGTTCTACGAAGTACTCTACAGGCTCCCGCCGGGTGTTCCACCAGGTAAGCTAATTACCAACGGCAGCCAACCGATACGTTGGTGCACTTTCTTCCGTCTCGGAAGATTGTACATACCTTTCGGAGGCAGCCCAGAACATCCAACCACGGAACGACGTACGTACCACCGAGGGAACCCCGGTACTTCAACTTATTCTCCCGCGCGCGAGCCTACTAATTTGAAGACCGTGCCGCCGCGTTTGCTGCTGCATTGCGATCTGCGCGGACAGCTGCTGCGGATGGTCATTCATGCAGTCTTCAGATACCGAATATGCGCCCCGCCTAGTCGACCGTTGATCAACTTCGCGAGTCATGAACAAGTTGTTCAGACGCGATGCTGTGATATGATAGGGCTTCGTAACGTGAGTGTAATGCGTCGTAGTGATGCGCCCTAGACGCCACATTCGTCTGAGGTCTTACATACGTGTTCGCCGACTTTTATGTTCACCGTGGTTGAATGTACGGCGCGGTGCGGTCCAAGTGCGGTCAGTGCTAACCCGGTTGGCTTGATCAGCACCGTCCCGCGACCGAGGCTAAGCGTGTTTGAGAACGGACGCTGGCATGCAATAAAGCCAATGTCGGTCAAGTCAAGTGGGTTTATCCCGCTGCAGGACCGTTGAGCCTGGATAAGAAGGTTGTGCCGCGCGCTTGGAGCCCGGGTCCGTTACGAGACGGTGAAAGAGGAACTGCATGAACGGCCCGATCGGGTGGCGGCACGGCGGGGCACGAAGATGCTGATCGGAGCGATTTGCGGAGAAGTTCGCAGATCCAATTCCGCCAGCCACCCGCACACTGATTGGGTAGCCGCTCTGCAGGCTGCGCGTGTCCGCCACAGACGCGTCCGTGCCCTCAGGCATAAGTCACAGCCCGCATGTCAGCAGGCCCCGGACGACGACTGTGATAGCACGTATGTCACGTCGCTGTCACAATCCCTTGGATGCATGAGGGGGAGATGCGAGGATGGCGAGTTCACTGGCAGATCGGAGTTTGTGCATGGCGCAGATGCCAGAGTCAGATGCGGTCACCGAGGGGGCCACCACTGCTTGGGATTAATGCTCGGCGCGACGGATTGACTGCTCGGATCACAGTACAACGCCGGGCTGAGGATATAAGTTTCTCTCTGCGCCATGATAGCTGACATTGCACACAGCCCTCTGAGTAGCCTTTCCTCCTCGACGCCACCGATACTCCCTTCTCCCCTCCAGCATGCCTGCTTTAGAGACCGTCCACGACTCCCGCCCCGTCCTTGGGCATGTGTATGTAGTGCACAGTGATCATGACACACCCTATGCTGACGATGTACGCACAGCAACCTCATGATGGATAGCTTCATCGCCAATGCTGATATCGACGAGTGAGCACCGCTCGTGTCTACTCACCTGCACCCGCTTACAGCAAGTGCCAGCATGCGAGCGGTCATTCGCTCATTCCTGGCGACGAACCCACCAAGCGTCACCGCCGCCTTCCACGACACTGCGCGGAGACGACTGGACAAAATGAACGCGAAACAGCTCAGCCCCTCGACACAGCTCTTCTCTAGGTCTTCCGACGGCTTCTCACATCCCACGCCCGAGCTCGCCACCGTGCTCCGCCGTGCACGCTCGCTATACGGCGCAGGCATGGGCCTCGCGAGCCTTTCCCTGCTCACGCATGTGGTACGAGCGACGCTCGGCATGCGGTGGCAGGAGGACGGGGACACCGCGGACATCCTCGCACATATCGACGCCGACGTGACACAGGCGATCCAGAGCTCGAAGGAGGAGCTGGCCGGCGGGCGGGTGACGGACCTGAGCGGGGCCCGGGCGACCGTGAGCGAGCTGCAGAGCGCGCTCATCCACAGCGATCGCGAGGCGGAGATCTGGGGGTGCGAGTCGCCATTCGAGCGTGCGCTCGCGAGTGTGCAGTATTGGAAGTTCTAGGTGATGGACGCGGTGATTTCGCTGGATTGGGTGGGATGGATGCATTGGATATACTTACATGATCCGCGTCCTGCTAACTTGGCTGTATCATAGTAGCATTCCGGCACGGTTCGTACATGGTGCCCCGGACTGACCTCATGGCTGTAATACGACATGTTGTATTTTCTATTCATGCATACGCCCCTGTGAAAACCCGTGAAAGCTTCTTTGACATGCGGTGCAGTCCGTTCCGAACTGAGGCCGGAAACCTGTGCTGGATCTGCCAATCCTTGGGAGGAAGGACGCACGGTATCTGTCTGCTTCCCTGCGATGCATGCGAGCGTGAGCGACGTAGCACAGCGATGTCCGGGGCTAAGTCCTGAGTGGAACATGGGCCGAGAAGTGAAGCATGTCAGGTGCATGATTGTCGGTCACCCACTTCACTTTGCCTGGTGCGTCGTCCCCTCGCATTCAATATCGCGGCTATCCAAGTGTTTGCCTATGGGATATCGACCCTATGAGGCAACTATGAGTGTGACTCTGATAGGTACGAGGAACACACCGAGGACATATGCATGCCAGCGGCACCCGTGCGTCGCCGCGGATTCATACAGCTCGGTCCCATCAGCCGAGCATGGTCCTTCGTCCGCGCTTGGCCAGGAATGACAGAGGGATGCGTGGAGAACAGGGACACAGGAGAGGGACACGGACACGGAGTCGACGCCCCAGACCAGGTCGCAACACAACATTCCAGATCCGGCGGCGCCCATCAATCTGCCGTGACCCGACTCGCGTCCGATCAGGATCGTACGTACCCGCGGGGCATCTCCAGCCCCCCTCTCCCGCCCCTCTCCCGCCCCTCTCCTCGAAGTCATCGCCGCCAACAGCTCGAGGTCGCGCATGCACCGAGGCAAGCGTGAGGAAGGAAGACAGACAACGCTCGCGTCGGCATGTGGGGGTGGCTCTCGGAAGCCCCAGAATGGCAACCGGCTACGCAGCGCTCGGCATCCGCTGGCATCCGCTGCGGGCACAGCGGGCAGCACTGCAACGACCCACAGGCGCGTCAGCTGCTCCCAATTCCGCCCACCGCTCCTTTCTTTCTCTCACCTTCATCTTGACCACCTCCTGCAGCCGGGCTGCCATTCACTCAGCTCCCACATTTCTACCCTTGCTTGCAGTCGCTTTTGCTTTCTCTTCTCGCCGATATGTTCTCTACGACCAAGATCGCTAAGTATGCTATGATGGTGGCGGCTGGCGCGCATCTTACCTCGGCTCTGTCGTGCGTCCTAACATTCTCTCTCGACGACCGCATTCAACTAAGCTCGATCCACACGACAGGCTTTCGTCGAGCTGTCAATCTACCCTCGCTCAGCTCGTTACGTCCACCGAGACGACATGCTTGAACGCACAGAGCCTCGTCGGGCTCGTCGTGTCGACGCAGAACACGTCTGTGGTGCCGACGGTCAACAGCTGGCTCACTGGGATGTGCTCGCAGACGGTGTGCTCGAACCAGACGCTGTCGGACGTCGTCACGAACGTCACCTCGGGCTGCGCGAGCGACCTCGAGTCGGCAGGCCTCAGCACGTCGGACACCAGTAACCTCGTCTCGATGGTGCAGCAGTACTACCCTACTGCGCGCAAGGCCGCGTGCTTGGCTGAGTAAGGAGCTGCCTTCGCACGGAGTGGCACCCGGCGCTGACCCAGGACGCATCTATTGTAGCACGTCGAACAACAAGACACTCTGCGCCACCGAGCTTTTGAACAATATCCAATCGCAGGTGGGCACGATCACGAAGGATAACCTCCAATCGGTCGTGTCGGAGATCGAGGAAGGTAGTGTCAAGCTTGGCAGCAATGTCACCTGCACGGATTGCACCAAGGCGATGTACAACCTTGCTGCGCAGGCTGATCCGAGTATCGCAAGTACCGTCAATGGCACGGTTGTCGGCCAGTGCGGCGCCAGCTTTGCTGGTATGTAGCCTTCCATGGTATCGTGTTCCCAGCAACTAACATTCCGCACCAGATGGCTCCGAGCCGTCAACGATCACGCAGACCGCGAACAACGCAGCCTCCAGTAGCACGAGCGGTGCGTTCTCCGTTTCCGCCGTGCCTTTGGCCGCGGTTGCGATGTCGTCGCTTGTTGCTGTCTGCTCCGTGTTCGCTCTGTTCGCTTGATCGACCTTTGACATGCACACATGGACTCGGACTCGTCTCTCGCCTTGGACACCATTATTATTGTAGCGCCTAGTCATCGCACATAGTCATCGCACAGCCTATCGGACTGCTCTTTCTCTTGAATATCATCTTTAGTAAGCTGCGTGGAGTGCGGAGAGCTGTTCAGGATTGTCTACCCTCGAACCCTATCATTAAAATACTTGGTCGGTGCAGATTGCTCCAGCGGTGCATGATTTTCAGTTTGACAGAAGATAGCGTGTTCTCCCTGCAGATTTAGCTCCGCGTCTTGTGCACAGCCTCACGTCCACAGTTTCGTTCTTCCCTTCTTGATTTCGATCGTGCGGCTTCTGACCACCGTAGACAGAAACTGAGGGAACGGTCCTGTCACTCGCTGCACAGGGCTGTGCACGTCTGTCATCCCCTTGATAGCTGTCCGGTAGCTGTCGCCTACTTGTCCCCGAGCGGCGGGATCCCTTCAATTGGGGGAGCAGGTGCACGAGACACGACCTCAACTGTCGTGCAAGTGTTAGTGGCCCCGTCACTCACTAGCTCTGATGCATTTGCAGACGATACATATGTCTCGAGCGACCTTAATCATCTCACGGTGACTGATACAACAACTTTATTGCCCAATAATGTAACACCTGGAACACGCAGTGAACGACAGGAAGGGGGTACCGCCTTCAGCACTACTGAAAGCTCGCGTGGAGAATGTCCGATGGCCGTCGGAGGACCACCTCACCAGCGCGCTCCGTCTCCGACGGAGTGCAGTACATCGAGGTAGGTGGGAGCGCATCGTTGACTTGGATATCAGCAGCTCGTCTTCGGATTGAAGGAGAACTTGGTCTTGCCGGAGCTGCTGTAGATGCCGTACCCGGGCTCCTGATCGTCCGAGTAGATGTGCGCGAACCACCCGATGCCGCCGCCGGTCGCGTTCTTGAAGTACGAGCACTGCGAATCCAGCAGCTCGTAGTAGGCCTGTCGGGACGGAGGGGGTAAGCGCACGTCCGAGATACAGCAGCGGGTGAGACGGATGGCATGCGCAGTTATGGCCGAGAAGTATTCGTACGGATGGAAGGTAAGATGCGAATGGAGTGATCTGAGCTCACCTTCTCGTTTGCGACGTTCGCTACTGCGTCAGGGCTGTTCGGCTGTACACCTTCCGACGTCTTGGAAGGCCACCCGTTCTGTGAGCAGGCACGGACGATCAGCGCGTCCGGAGAAAGGCAAGTCACCGTCTGGAACACACCTCGTCCAGGTACATCTTCTTCCCGCTTCCATTCTTGGTGAAGAACTTGAGGTTCTTCTCCACAATTGGCCATGACTTATTCGCTGCACGGCACTGGTCAGTCCTTGGACACACGAAGGTGCGTACAGAAGAGATCTTCTCTCACCGGTCGAGGCCGTCTGGTCGAAGAACGGTAGCATATGGATGTTGATGTAGTCGATGGCATCCAGTACGTCCTGGGCGCCCCCGCGCTCCTGGTAGCCATATGCCAGCTCACTGACGGTGACCGGGATGTGCAGACTGGAGAGGTTCGTCTTCGCCTGCTCGACCTGCTTCGCGAGCTCCGCGTGCGGGAGGACGTCGTCGAAGAGCGGCTCCGAGCCGAACTGCACGCCGCGCGTGACGAACTGTGCCTTTGGGTTGGAGTGCAGCGAGGCGAAGAGCTTGTTGCGGCGTGTCTTCCACTTGTTGTCCCCGTCGAAGCCGAACTGGACGGGTGGTGTCATCGCGTGTCCGAATCCTGGTCCGACTGGCGTGTACTCACCCAAATGAGGGCGTGCACGCCTAGATCGTTCTCCCAGGCAGCGTCCACGATATCGTCGCTGTTGTCCAGGTGAGTTCGTCTGATCTGAGTGTGCGAAGAAAAGCGTCTTACTAGAAGCCGTCGTTATCACAGGCTCCGTAGAGGCGGACGTATCGCCCATTGAAGGTCTTGCGAATGTCGGCGAAGTCCCTCTTGAGCTGGTCAGCACTTTGGCCTGCAGCAGACGTGTCGGGCTCGGATCAGTTCGCGGGGCATACTGCATTGACCACTCACAGGCTGTGACTTCGTAGCTGAATCCGAGGAACGCGTATTCCGTGCTGGGATCGCACCACCAGTCATTGACACTCGATGGAACAGAGGATGGCATCTCGAAGTCTAGGGCTGGGAAGCAGGACGATGCACGGACTCCAATCCCGCCGAGGTCACCATATTCAAAAAGGTTCGTCGAGGCATCCCCATAGAGTGGCAGGGCGTAGCTAAGGTTCAATACAGATAGTAATACGCTCAGGGAGAGTGAGAAGAATGCCATCCTGGCGAAGATCGTAACAACTTTGTCCACAGGGCTGCCCGCACAGCGGCGTTTTATGGCCCATGGAGGTCCCCGACGGGAGTCAAGTGATGGCGAGCAGGCGGGGAGGACGCTGCCCAAGAACGAGTACCGCGTGCATAGGTTCACTGCGAGGTGTCTGCGCCATGCGCCTGAGCAGGTTTCACCGAGGAGCAGAACTGCAGTGTGGCTGACGATGCCTATGTCAGCCTCCCTCTCTCGTTACATTCCGACATTGACGTTCAGCAACGTTCAGCCTCAGATGCATTGGCCGTTACTATGCGGGCACGTAGAGAGCAGATCGAGGAAGGAGTGCACTGGCCGGAGGACGCCAGGAGCGTAAAGCCGGTCTCAACCTGAAGAGCACGCCGTCTGAACAACCCGAGCGCGATCACGGGCAACACTGGTCCCGAATCACGAGCGCTCCTCGTCGACCACGGCTGAGTGAATGTTGAGTTGGTTCAAAGTTAAGTACGACTCCGATGGTGGTACAACACTCCCTGGCACGCGAGCAAGTTGCCAACGTACTCATGCTATGCACTACAGGACGAGCGCGAAGTGCTGTCAAGAACTACTGGGAGACAATGCACCCACCTTTGATCTGATTTTCTTCCCGCGGCAGGCCACTGGAATCGGAAGATGGACTCATCAGTACTCAGCAATGATGAGAGTCAGCCCACATATAGGTGGAAGGGACCACGCCGCGCCCCGGATAACGGTAAGCGTGCTAAGCAGCACGATGTTTTCCTGACATAAACCCAGCCTGAGACCGGCCGCTCATGGTCAGCAATACCATTTGTATCGCCCTGGACCGCATCTGAATCCTCGAGTCGTTTCACGTACCAACCAAGGCGTCAAGGTCTCGTGCAGCGGTACTGGAAACGACCGCTAGTACACTGTTGACGGAAGTCAAGCGCATCACACATGGAATGCATGCAAAATCCCACCTGCTGATACAACGTTTACCCGGGCTTTACGGCTACTAATCGCCTCTTCACCTCTCAGTATCGACATCAAGAGGTGCAATGCGGCGCCGGTGTTTGATGCCGCGAGCATTTCGGTGAGCGCACTCACCCGTAATGAACAGATACATCTACCGAGCCGCGGTGTAGACTGAGCAAGAACATGTGATAGCACAATATACAATGGAAGCCCAACGATACTTCACCTTGAGGCGACCCAACTCACCATTCAAAAGTGCTAGCACTCCGTTCGTGGGTGGAATGGGAACTTCATGTGCCCCGAGCTGTTGTAGATCCCGTATCCTGGCTCCATATTGTCCGAATATATGTGAGCGAACCATCCCACGCCACCACCCACAACGGTCTTCAAGTATTCGCACTTGGAGTCGAGGAGCTCGAAGTATGCCTGGAGTGGTACGAATCAGTACACCACAAACGACCAACCGCTGGGCAGTAGATTGTGCGGGACGTACGTGTTCATTTGGTATGTTTGAAACTGCGTATGGACTGTTGGGCTGGACATTCGGCGACGTCACCGATGGCCAGCCGTTCTTTGCAGAGGCATGAATTTTCAAGAATGCATCAATCACAAATCTTGATTGACTGACCTCGTCCCAATACATCTTCTTTCCGTTCCCGTTCTCAATGAAGAAATCTAGGTTCTTGTCGATCACAATTGGCCAGGATGCGTTCGCTGGATGAGATGGCTCAATGTCGGGCATTCAACGAGCATACGAGACTCTCAAGGACACTCACCCGTTGACGCATCCTGGTCGAAGAAGGGTAACATGTGAATGTTGATGAAGTCAATCGCATCGAGCACATCCTGTGCACCGCCGCGCTCTTGATATCCATACGCAAGTTCACTGACAGTGACAGGAATGTTGAGGCTCGATAAGTTTGCCTTCGCGAGGATGACTTGTTCCGCGAGTTGCTGGTGAGGGAGAACGTTGTCGTACAGCGGCTCCGACCCAAATTGGACGCCGCGGGTGATGAACTTCGCCTTAGGATTCGCATGTAGCGAGGCGAAGAGGGTGTCGCGGCGTGTTATCCAGATGTCACTCCCGTCGAAACCAAACTGAGTTCCCGGGTTAGTGTGTGACTGGCGCGGGGTAGATGAAACACACCCAGACGAGAGCATGTACTCCCAGGCCATTATCCCATGCAGCATTGACGATATCATCACTAAACACTATATTTGACTCTCGAGGTCAGTGATGATCGTGAAAGACTCACTAGAAGCCCTCCCTATCGCACGCCCCATACAGTCGGACGTAGCGAGAATTGAAGTGATAGCGAATGTCGGCAAATTCCCGGTGCAGTTGTTCGGGAGTTTGACCTGTCCAAGCCAAGATAAGAAACTAAGTGATCACACCCAACATAGCGGACTTACATGCAGTGACCTCATAGCTGAAGCCGACAAACGCGTACTCGGTGCTAGGATCGCACCACCAAATAGTGTTGTCCGGGGGCAGTACCGGCGGCATCACAAACCCAAGGGCAGGAAAGCAAAACGGCGCGGGAAGTGCGGTCCCAGTTCGTCCGCTCAACTCGCGCACTTCAAGTTCGGCTGTCACATCGTCGACGAGGGGATGGGCGAAAACGTCTAGAGCCAAGGAGGCGCTCAGTACGACGAGCACAGAGTGGGGAAGGCAAACCATCTTGACCCCGTCCACGCCTTCGAGTGCGAAGTCATTGCAGATTAAATCAAGGTTTTATGGACCATGCCTTACGTCCCAGGGCCGATTAGAAGAGTCGAAAGACTGCATCCAAATCTCCCACGAGAAAGCACCGTATGTTTTGCAAGCAAAGGTGGTACGCGATAAGGCAAGATGACCTTCAGGTATGGGCTGGTGAATCAGTGAAGCTGTCACCTTGAGGGCCGAGGCGTCAGCTGAGACTGCTACCGATAAAAACGGCGCGCTTACATTCCTGTATTGGACCATGGTCTCATTGAACGTGCAAGAGAGCCCCGCTATCCCCGCGATTGAATACCACCATCGTGGGCGAAGTGGTCACGCTGTGAGCAGCTACAAGGTTCGTGCATTGAACACGGTCACGAGTCCTCCTCATGGTATCACGGGTCAATCTCTCGGAGGAAGTCAATGCGAACTTGAATCGAACGTCCACGTCCACGCGTTTGCTCTGAAATCAAGTGCTCAACTGGGACTGGAGCGTGAGCAAATCCGGGAGTCAAACAACATAGCTGAAGGATGAAGCACGAGAACTGCGATAGATAGCATTCCACATAAGCATAGCTTGGTTAGTCCAGCGGAGGTATATAAAGCGAGTGGTGCGGGATGGAGATAGTGTTCCTGAAATAGTGAATCAGATCACCTCAGATCCGAAACGTGTACGCCCAAGGGCAACATAGAGGGGTCTTTCGTGATAGCCCTTTCCCATGTAGTTGTCTTCAGCTATAAAAAGAACGATCAGATAGACGTTCAAGTAACGAAATCCTAACGTACATGTTCCTCTGCATCCCCTGCAGCGAGGAGATTCATATGCTCTGGTATATGTCCGGCATTCTGACAACGGATGAACGTCATCAAGCCATGACTGCTAGGGAACAACGTACCACAGCAGCCTCATCAAGGTCTCGGAAGTGAAGCCTGAGGTCGGTAGGCAGTTGTGAAGGCAGGATCAATGCATGTACCGTTGGGGTAAATGGCCTCGATGAGGCCGTGATATCAGACAATTTCTGCATCAATGTCTCAGAACCCGGTCGCACAGCACAGGGCGACGTCCACTCGTACCGTAGCTACTGCGAGTGCCAGTTTGATATCTCTTCGTTTGCCACGAGCTTCACTGCCGACGACGACGAAGAACTCCCAGACACAGTCCACGAGGTGAACAAGGTGGTGGAATTCTGGGTGATCCGCAAATGCAGGGACAGGTTGGATCTAAATCACGGCAGTATGAGAGGGATAGCCGAACAGAAACAGGGACGACGCACCGCATCATCTCCCTTCGTTGCATCTACTGACCATATGCGTGGGTGAACAGACGGAGAAGATGCCTTCCACTTCCAATAATCGGCCTTCGCATACTCGCCATCGCCAAGGATTAGCCAGAACATCTCGTCATCCGCATCTGACTCGCCCTCGACGAGTTCAATGACACTTGCCGACGAAGCAAGGGCCCTCGCATATTCACAAGCGGCCGCGCGCTCAGCGTCAGCAGAACCGCATCCGTGCCAGACATACAACGATCCCAGGAGGGACAAGCAATAGCTGAACGCTGAGCATAGGTTCCGGATGCCCTGATGATATCGGTTGAGAAGGTGCATGCATATGCTTTAGTCTCGATGCACTCACTATGTCGACCTCGTCTATGAAGGTTACCCCATTCAGGGACCGAACGAGATGCATGGCGGTATTCTCGGGAGACCAGTGCGACCGCGAACCCTACGTACGGTTTAGTAAGAGGCACCTACACAGCGGTAGACACATACCTGACGAATAGCAAGCTTCCCGCCCAGGACCGCTACTAGCTCCGTGGGTTCACAATATTGCTGGATCCTGACCTATGTTCGGGCAACGCAATCATTTGAAGTTCTGTCTTCACAATCAAGGACTTCTCTTACCATTTTCGTCCCGTATTGTCGCGCAAGTCCCTGAAGCTTTTGCTCCTCTCGTTCCCCGAGGCGGCCGTGCTTCCCTTTCCATCCCCACACCTTTGTTGAGACGAGACCGGTAGACCGCACTTTAGCGCGATGTATGATAGCCAAAACGTCGTGGTCGTAGAAGATGTAAGTGTCACGAGGAATGGCGGTCGCCACGTTCCCCACGATAATCATGACATCGACCGAAATCGTCTGCACATCTGCATCCGGCGAGTACGGACTGCAGCCTGAGTTGAGCAGCGCGGCGACATCGATATTAGGCAATGGCTCGTCGACAGATTCTGATAGCAGCCATAATCAGCCTTATGAGAGCGCGAAATTTATGAATGAAGACAAACCAATGTGGATGATCTTGCTTTCAGCGGGCGCTGCTGGTTCTGACACGACCTCTGCCAACGACGCTGAAGACTCTGCAGGCCCTTCCACTGCAGGAGGCGCGACCTCTTGCTCTGTTTCAGGGATGACGTCTGGCACCACAGGGACAGACGAACGAGCAAGTGTCCCAGCCGGCGAAGGTGTAGGTGTCTTTTCCTCCTCTAGCGGGGGCATCATGATCGCCGAGTATCTCTCGTAGCTAGATTTCCGCTTATCAGCGTCGGCCCTGGCAGTCCCGTTCCTGGGTCCCCAGTTCGCCGCGACGATCTTGACGTCCGGCGGTGGAGGTACTTCAGCCTCCTGCTCCTCTCGCGGCTGCCTCTGTTCAAGGGCGGTCTGCACTGCCAGGGCCTGCGCGACATCCATGACTAGTGCCCGGTTTCCAGTGCTCGGAATACGAGTGTGACGTCCGGGGGACGCCGGAGGCTTCTCCTTCGCCTGCTGTGAGGTCGGCGATGGGGTCAAGCCACGGTTAGGCGTGACAGGGGAAGCGATGCTTTGCGTAGGAGCCACCAGCGACTTCGGCATCACTAGCTGGCTGAGCTGGCTAGGCTTGTTTGCCACCGGCGGGGACGCTGAAGGGACAAAGTCATCCTCGAACCTGCTCTTCAGCGGCGAAACAGGCTTTTGCTCCTGCTGCGAAGTCGGTGCATGGTCCGACGACGGAAGAGAGACCACAACCTCCGGGGCCGGTGCAGTCGAGATAAGGTGAGAGAGCGGCGCCGGCTCTGGCTGCGAGGTCTGCTTCACCTCAGCAGAAGCTGCTGAAGAAGAGACTACACGAGTCTCCTGGACAGGGTCTTGCGCAAACCTCGCCTTCCGAGGCTTCTTCGCCCTGTCCTTCGTCAGCTGAGAGAGAGAACACACAGCATTAGCGCAAGTCCAGCTCAGGCAGCAAACCGAAGGAACTGCAGCCCTAATCACGCGTGCCCCAACAGAAGCAAGCAAACAATGTCATTACCAAAGGGGACCTACATGACTGAGTGGTTTGCCCGCTGGCGGAAGCCCCGCAGATGCTCCCCCGCCCTCCCGCTCCTCGCGCGGCGCCTCTCTGCTCTTCGAGCGGTGCCGGCTCCGCGAGCGATGCTGGCTCTTGCTGCGCGTACGCACCCGCACGCCCATCTCGTCCACCACCTCTGGAGGAGGCGGCGACGCCGTCATCGGTCTGTCGCCCGTCTTGATGGGCTTGATGTACGAGATCATCGTCGTGGACGACCCGAGGCCTCGCCCGCGCGGAGAGCCGTCGCCCGCATCGCTCCTGGCTGAAGACGATGCTGCGTCTGAGTGGTGGAAGGAGGGGACAGAGGAGACGGACTTGAGCGACCTGCCCGTGTAGTCCGTCTTCACCGAGCGCGGGGGCGTCGTATCCGGAGAAGACGGGTCAACCGTCCACGACTTGCGCATCGCAGCGGGCCGAGGAGAGATAATTGGCGGAGGAGATGGCGTCGAGCTCGTGGTTCCGGTGTTCTGCCATCGGTCTAGAACAGGCGCTGACTTTCGCCCTCCGGAATCCTTCTTCTCTGGCAGGGGTGGGGTGGGAGGCGCTACAACTGAAAGTTGAGCGGTCGCTTGTACCATGCTCTTGACGAAGCCGCGTCCTTGCAGACGGCTGATACTCGGCGTGGGGTCTTTAGGTGGAGGTGCACGAAGGAACGCAGGCGAAGGATTTAGGGAGATTGGGAGCTGAGGTCCGAGAGAAGCGCGCGGTGACGGTTGGATTGGTCTCGCCAGGGATGGCGTGCTTATGGTTGCTTTCGGGGAGGATGAGGTGGTTGGAGAAGTTGGGGCAGGGCTGCGAGAAGAACTCGAAGGACGTGATATGGAGGATGAAGATACAGGTGGTGGGGTTTGTATAGGCCTCGCGGGTGTGTGACGGTCCTGTCCAGGTGTTGCTGAACGTAGGCCAGGGGAAATTGACACTGGCCGGGATGTAGCGCCGTTGTTGTGCTGTACCGTGGTCTCCCATGTACGAGTCGGAGGTGCGCTTATTAGGGGGGCGCTACCAGTCGGTGTACTGATTGTACGCTGTCGCATCGTGTAAGAAGAAGCGGTTGAGGCTCCGGTCTTCTGCGGCGCTACTGTCTCCACTTCGACTTTGTGTACGATCGACTGCACGACGGAGGGCGTACTCTGTTTGCGGTCCCGTCCAGTGATATGGTTGGCCACCGAGGCTAGCCTCGCTCGCTCCTCCGGCTCCGGCGTAGATGGCGCGGGTGTGCGATTTCTGCCTGTCATGCCAGGCATAGCGACGCCGCCACGGCCAAAGACCGGATGAGGGGTGGTGATATTCCTGAGCGTACGCTGCTCAAACTGAGTCGGGTCATGGGCATCCTGTTGGGGTGCATGCCGCGTAAGTCGCGGACCAGTCGCACGACCTCCCATGAATTCCGCGAGCGACATGGGGGCCTTGGAGGAGACGGATTTCACAGGCTCCGTTGTGGATGGCCGTGCCTCGCCAGTCAGTCTCCGTAAGGCGTCTTCTTGACCCTGCTGCCTTCCAGCCGGGCTCGCTGGGCTGTCCGGCGCGGGCGATGAGGCCACACTGGACAGGTCGCTCTTAGCTGTCGGACAAAGCCTATCTGTTCACTTGCTATTATATAATGCCAATGAACACTCACATAGGTCGACGCTCCCGATTTGACCGCTCCTACGCAGACGAGCCATCCTGGATGCCCGGATCTCCTCCTCAAGTCGCTTATGTTCCGTCTCCTCGTCCTGGTCGACCTGCCGTTGTAGCTCTTTGATCTTGCTTGTCCATTCTGCCAATCCGGTCTCTGGCTTGGAGGGAAGGTCGAACGTCCGCCGACGAGCAGCACTTGATGGTCGATCCATGAGACGTTCCGTTGATCAAGAGAATTGGAGAGTAGGTGCCTTTGACTCGTCTACCTCGTCATACGGATATACAGACCTAGGAGTATCAAGCCCGGATTGCAAGTGCGGTAAGAGTTCCAAGGGCCAAGAAAGCTTGTGTTGAATAGAGAGCCCTCAGTCCACAGTCGCAGCTGCATCCCGCGTTGATTCGCTGCGCGCCCACACGCTAAATATTGCACGTGACAAAATGCTACATAGTGACGTAGATACATGCGAGCCGTTCATGAATTCAGGCCATTGTATGCACATCAATTCAGTGAACGCATTGAGACTGCGTACTGAATGATGTATCAAGCTTAGCTTGAAAGCTCCAAGGAAATAAGGACTGTAATCGGAGGTGCTTACCAATTTTGTGAGAGCTCAGTAAAAGATATGGACTGACTACGATGAACAATGGTCTGAACAGCGCCCTACGTATTGCGGACCTGAGAATGGGGAGCTAGGAAAGCTCATGCAACTTCGGTCATTCGCGGCGAGCAGCGACCAAAGAGTATACACGCGGAAAATGCCTCAGATCGTTCGATACTGACGAGCATGAGGGTGCCGCAACCAAGCGTCGGAATGACACGATGACGGTAGAGATATTGCAATGTGGGCACAGGGCAGTCCTTCAAGAATAATTGCGACCTACCTATCGGCAGACAGGAGGAAAGCGAAGGAAATAATGGCACATGTGCCTTGCTGTCCAGAGGGTTGCAGGCAGTCGCGAGCATGTTCCAACACCAGCGTATTAGGCTCAACTCCTTCACATAGATGTTTCCGCAAGCAGATAGACCGATGTTGTCTTCTCATACTCTAGTCACATAATGCGCAATGGTCCGTCTATCAGTGGTGCTCTTCGTGGTGACCGGCTTCATTGTGCCCATGTCCATGTGCCTCCCACGGGTGACTCAAGCCCTACCGCAGCGTTAGTTAGCATCACACGCGCAGATTGCGGCCACTTACCAACAGCTTCGCACCGTCCTTCCTGCGAGAAAGTCAGTCCCCGCCTGGGAGTGCATAGGCGTGACGCACCTGGCACGGTAGAAGATGAAGAACCACATGCTCGCGCCGAGTGTGATCGCGAGGAACCTGTGCTTGAAGCCAGGTAGATGCGGGTGAAAGCCCGGACCTAGCGTGCAGCACTTCAGAACGTTGAAAACATGACACACAGGTCGTAGCACATACTGTAGTGTCCGGCCATGTTGGAGGGAGGTAGCGAGGAGAGTATTTGTGCGTGTGATGGTTTGTGGGATCTGCCCAAATGCGGAAACACACCCCCGTCTTGCCTCGGGCAGCTAAATATCTTCGCCGAGGCGACCTTCGCGTCGGCTGTGGCTTTACGTTCAAGTTGAACGCGTCCGTTTGCACGTTGGACGTGTCCCACATCACGCTCGCATCTTCTAGACATCGGCGGCGATGGCGAACGGAAGGCAGCCAGGGCCTTTGATCACGTTCTACGCGCCCGGAGGGCGGACCTTTCAGAGGATCTTCCGAGGTGAGTATAAAGTCGCATTGAACAACTGCTCAAAGGTCTGATGAGAGTTATGGATGAGATGCCACCCTATCGCAAACGAAGGACGCGGTGAGGCAGAAGCTCAAGCTTTCTGCCGATAAGGCAATACAGCTGGCGCGAATCGAGAATGGGAAACGTATTGATCTGGACGATGGTGAGCGCGCTTGTTCCTTCCCGCCGCTCGTCTCCCGAACAGGTATTCGCAGACGATGACTTCGACGCATTTCGTATTGCTACACGCTCGAAGACCGCAGCAGAAGTCTCTGTGAGCGTCGGTAGCTCATCCGTCGGTGCTGGAACATCCATTAGCCATGCTCAACCGGCCACTAGCGTGCTCAGTGGCCACCCTCAACCGGAGTCCACTAGCGTTCTGGTGAGGGTATATTCTTTCATACCGTACGGTGATTCTAAGCGTCTGTAGACTGGGGTGCGTAAACGCAAGAGGAAGCGAACTTCGATGGCGCCTTCACCTGGGGATGGCCCTATCGCGTCAACTTCCTACATGGCTGGTTCTCTGATGAAGCCAAATGAGACCATCCCTCCAGCAACTCATACTGGTGATGGCGCCGTGTCAGCGCTTCCGAATGTTGAGACAGCGGGTCCGCATGACTTCGAGGTCGAACGCCCCCGGAAGAAGCAGAAGAAGCAGAAGTTCAGAGACTCGAGCATACAGGACCTAGTGGATCGTTCCGCTTCGAACCCGCCCCCAAGTTATGTCCCTCGTATGTTTCTGACTACGCTTTACATCACCAGTCTACTGACAGACTCGCTCAGCCACTCCCGATTCGCTGGCTTCGGGTTCTGGTCCTGCGCGCACACATCCCAACGAGGATGTCGATCCTTCTGGTGTGTCACTGGACGCAGTGCGCCCTGAAGCGGGGTCCAGAATGCATCGCGACTTGCTCAAGAAGAAGCGAAAACGAAAGAGTGTTGTGGACCCAACAGTTCTTACTGACGCCGACGCTGCTGGTCCTTCAAACTCTCCCATTGACCATCCCTTACCCCCTCCAGTACCTCCCGAGACACCGATGGACGATGCTGAGCCATCGACCGCTGTCATGGTCAAGCATAAACTGTGGAAACGCAGGCAAATACCCAAGCCTGTGATGCCCACGCCGCAACCTGGTCCCTCTGCAGATACTGGTGGTTTGACTACGGAAACACCGGATGCTCCGCCTGGCGATTCTCCCATCAAGAAGCGTAAGAAAGAGAAGGTGCCGAGCGAGGTAGTCGTGCCTGATCAGCCTCAACCTCCATCGGAATCAACTCCGCCCGTCAAGACAAAGGATGTTGAAGCTAATGTTCCAAAGACGAAGAGCAAGAAGGGGAAGAAAGCTGAGAGCAGGCGAGACGAGGCTACTGAGCATGAGCAGACCGAGGTGGCACCATCCTCCGAGCCGCCTAAACGGTCCAAGAAGGCGCGGCCAGAAAAGGTCGAGCAAGCGGATGACCCAACCGTCTCGGAGACCGTTCCTGAGACCGTCGCCGCAGACAGCGTACCGCCGGCCACGGAGACGAAGCCAAAGAAGAAGAGCAAGAAGAAGCGAGGAGAAGACGAGAGCGCGGCTGCTCCTCCAGAGGCCGAACCTGCCGTTCCTCCTGTTGTCGCTGACCAGCCTATGGATACTGCGGAGGCAGTAGCTAACGCTATGGCCGTCATACTTGCCCGATCCAAGAAGGCCGATAAGCCTGCTGTAGCAGCAGGTGATGCTAATGTTCCTGGCTCCTCTACGTCAAAGATGGATGCCAGTCATGCGCAGGAAGGTTGGTACGATCGTTCATCCATGTATGTCTATCTGATAGCATCTGTAGATCCTATGGCAGGGCCATCTCGTTTAGACTCTACGTCGACCAGCAAAGGTAAGTGGGACGGCTATATGATATAGCTTTCTCGACGTGACTGATCCTATGTTCTTGCAGAGAAACGTAAGTCCAAGTCGAAGAAAGCAAGTACAGCGGTCGTAGAGGACGGTATGCAGTTGGACAGCAGGAGGTACACAGAGAGCTAACAATTGAGATACCTTCCTTCAGCGTCCACAGAGCCGGCCGCTCCTGCAACGGAGCCCACGGCTGTCGCGAAACCTAAGAGCAAGAAGCGCAAAGGCGACGACTCAGCCACGAACGTCACTGCTGTAGCTCCGCCGTCAACACAGGCGGATGGTAACACATTTGCGCGTTTTGAACGAATAGATCGCTCATCTCGTTCTCTTAGATGATGACAAGCCGTCGGACAACATGAAGGCCGTGCAAGCTGCCATTTTAGCCGTCATGCGCAGACAACACGCTGGCACTCCTGCCCAATCAAGGTAGCTCAGCAACCCAGCATACCTGACCCTGTACCAGAGGTTATACAAGAAGAGGCTCAGGAAGCGCCAGTAAAGCCCAAGAAACACCGGAAGGAGAAGGCGAAGGAGAAGCCCGCCGACCTGAAGCCCATAGACACTGCTGACACGGCGGCAGCTGATGATGCGGAGCCTGCTTCGCCTGCGGGAACATCTGTGACTGCTGTTGAACCGCAGCCCTCGAAGCGGCAGCGCAAGGGAAAGGCCGTCTCGGCTGAAGCTAGCAATATGGACGTGGACTCTGCTAGCGGACCTACTGCTGAGTCGAACATGCCTGTTCCGCTTGATGCTGCTCCTGTTCTCAAATCGGCCGCTGCTGATGAGCGTGCAAAAAGCTCGACGAAACGAGCGGTAGTCCCTGTCGCTCCGACTGTCTTTGGCCGGCCTAGCTCTCCCCGGCCTCCGCCGAGTCTTGCTTCCCGACTGCTGCGTGATGTCCAGGGCTCTTCCCCCCCGCGACCGCCTGCGGGATCTGACGTAGATGAAGTCACCGTTGAGAGACGCGGTGAAGGCAGCAGCGACGAAAGCTCATCGAGTGACGAGGAGAGCGACGAGGAAGAGGAGCCTGGTCCCGACTTATCTCAGGTGGACGTGGATGCATTGCTACGGGGCCCAGCACCTAGGAAGAGCATCCTCGAGGAATTGCCCTCGGATAGCGAGGAAGAGGATTCCGACAACGAGAAGCAGAGCGAAGCGGACGACGACGAAGAGGAAGAGGCCAAGCTTGACAAGAAGTTTCGACGTCTGTCGAAACGCTTTGAACGGCAAGGCTCGTCTTCAGATGAGGATGAGGAACCGGGACCAGATGTTGCCGCGGAGGAGGAAGACGAGGTCGTTGCAGCCACACTCATGGACGTCGATCCCCAGGATACCTTTGAGGGACAGGTATGCTCAAGATTGCCATCTAACTACGAGTACTGATGTGGGTGCTAGGTCTATACAAGGGATACTCCTACAGTTATATCAGCTAACCAAGCTGTAGACGATTTCGCACCGACCGGAGACGACGGACGGCAATCGCCAGAGGGTCCCGCGGGAGCTGTGGGTGGACCGGTCTCACCCACTGTGTCCATGATGGAAGTAGATCATCACGAGAACGATGAACAAGACACTTCAAATCAGTTACTCGAACAGGATGGAAACCAGTCACAAGAGGTACCAAGGCCGGGATCTTCAAGCTCAGAACGGGCCGAATCTGCAGCTCGCGACGCTGCCGACTCACGGCAAAGCCCTCCTGTGACACCGTCAGTCGAGCTCGACGCTACCACTCCAACAGCAAGCGCAACTCGCCTCCCGTCCCGCAGTGCGAACGACAGCGGGCGAAGAACCCGCCGATCCCATAGAACCCGCGGAGGACTTCATCATCCCCGAGTCGCCACGCATGGACGATTTTGACCCCATCGAACCCGAACCGGCCGCACATTCACCCGCAATGAAAGGCGATTGAGCACTCCGCCGCCTCTGCCCGTTTCGCGGCCAGGGACGGTGAAGCGCATGAAGGACAGGGAGGGTAAAGTCGGCACTCCGCGGCCGTCCTCGCGTCAAAGCTCGAGTTGCCCGCGGTCCCGCACGTCATCCCCTCGTTCGCGGAGCTCGACGAGGACGCGACGGCTTCGCAGCCTGCACGAAGGTCGACGAGAACTAGCTCTGTTGCGTCGATGCCGCCCCCGCCAGACCCGGCTCCGGTCGCTGAACCCGCCCCCAAAAGCGAGGCCGCCCGCGCATCTCTCAGGAGGAGAAGGACAGGAGGGCAGCTGAGAGGAGCGCCTGGCGGCGGAGAGAAGGCCAAGCGGGAGGCGGACAAGGCGGCGAAGGAGGCCGAGAAGGCACGCATACGCGAGGAGAGGCGGCTAAGAGGGAGGCAGAGGCGGTAAGGCGGCGGCGCCGAAGCCTGCGTCGGTCATCGAGTCGGAGGACGAGGACGGGGAGCCGGCGGTGGACGCGGACAAGTCAAGCAGGTGGCGTCGCCGAGCCGCAGAAGACCCCGAAGGCGGCTGGGCAGTCGCAGAGGCCGGGATGGACGATTCTCAACCAGACGCCGCAGACGCAGGAGGGCTCGCTGCCGAAGGGAGTCGATGATGATCGACGAGCTGCGGTCTAGCAGCCCCGCGCACTCGAGTCCGCTCGCAGCAGAGCCGGAGAAGACATCGCGCAAACCCGTCTCTACACGCAAACGCGCTGCATCAACTCGGAAAGCTGCTTCGCAATCGCAATCTCAGTCGCATCCAGAGAGTTCGCAGCCGCAGGCTCAGCCCGAGCCCGAGCCCAAATCCCAACCAGAGTCCCAGACGCAAGACACCGTCCCGAACTCGGACCCGCTCTTCCTCCCGAGCAGCAGCCAAGTCCCCTGGACCCCGCTCGCCCCCGGCCCCACTTCCACACCGGCCGCCGCCGCGCCGCCTCCCTTCCGGCTCGTCCTCCTCTGAGGACGAGCGGCCCATCGCCGTGCGGCGCTCGCAGCGCCCCTGGCTGAGGGACGCGCCTTTCCGGCGGCTGTCCGATATCGCGACCCAGGCGCTGTTCACGCCGTTCGCGCTTACGCCCGTCGCGAAGGACGCGCCATGGTCGGCTAAGAAAGCGGCGGAGAAGGCGGGGGAGTCGGATGACGATGACAGTGATGACGATGATGAGGACGAGGAGGACGAGGATGAGGGGGGAGGGGCGAAGAAGTCGCACATCCCGCAGGACAGGCGTGCGGGCGCGGGCGTGCAGAAAAAGAAGACGAGCGGGCTGGCCTCGTTCTCGAAGTGAGTGTGGGCGTAGCCGCCGATATCTAGGTGCGAGGATATGGTTTCTAGGTGTTTGGTTCTTTTCTTGTATGATCTTGATGTGTGGGGTGAGATGAGACAGGACGAGAGACTACGAACATCGCTTTCTAATCTAGTTTTGTTACGCATCGCTTGCTTTGTCTTAGCACGTCTGGTTTGAATCGAATACTGTTCTACGTACTTACACGGCACATCTACGCTAATGGAAGAAAATACAGACATACGGACTTCAGGTTTAACTCGCGAAACAATGCATTGTGTGTGATGTATGAAATGAAATAAGTGTATGCGGAGGGTATGCCGGAGCTGTGATAGGGATACACCAATGCGAAGACATAAAGGCCCAGAGACTACGACGAAGCCGCGCTCCCAGGAGTACAGTAGACATGGGGGAATAAGAATACGAGGGAACACACTGTCCACCAAGCAGCACAACCCTGGCAAGATACTTCAAGAAGCTGCAAGCAATGCAGGACGGCCCCTCGCTACGTCCGGTGTCCCGGGAAGAATCCGTCAAAGGGCCCGTCGATGAGTTTGGGCTGTCCGGGGCGTGACCGGACGGGCGCGCTCTTCTCAGGCGCATTCTCGCCCTGCGCCTTGGCGACGCGCTCCGTAATAGACTTGAGCGCGAACACCTCCGTCGGGCGTGTCTTGCACTCCGTGCGACACGTCGGGCATGTGTACTTCGGGCGCGGGAACGCCGCCTCGACCTGTGCGAGCTGCGCCTCGATGTGGCGACGGGCGTGCGCGGTGAGGTGCGGGCTGCGGAGGGGTTGCGGTAGGCCGCCAGGTCGGGTCCCGCCTGTTGCGGGTAATTCGTGAGGTGCTGCGCCTGTGTGGAGCCAAACCAGTCTTGGAGGCATGTCTGGCAGAAGGTGTGGCCGCAAGGGAGCGCGAAGGGTGCCCACATCTTGAGCGTGCAGATCTCGCAAGTGACTGACTCTTCGAGGTCGGCAAGCAGCTGTAACACAGTTAGTCAGATACAATGCACTGAGGCGACTAGAAAAGCTGCCATATCAGGGATTGGGGACACAGGGCGTGTGGCAAATCTGTCAGCCACGGACACTCCTGGGACTGAGAGCCGTAGACCACAACGCGACCTTGCGCTTGCAAGGGCCCTTTCCCCATCGAGCAGCTAGTAGAACACACATACCGTTGGATCTGGTGGTTCAGCCACCGCCTTCTGTTTCTCAGCTGCGCGGGCTTCTTTACGCAATCGTTCGACCTCCTATAGGCGCCAAGTGTCGTCGGTAAACGCGAGTGGCACACGGTGGTTGTGGGTGATGACGCACCTGCAAGGCCTCCTTGAGCTGCCGCTGGAGATGCGCATTGGCTTCATGCTGGGACCGCCGTGCAGGCTTTGGCCGGGAAGCCACCGCCTCGTCGTCGGACGAAATTTCCACGACTTCCGCGGCTTGGGGCACAGGCGCTCGGTTCTTCTGCTTCGACCTCGCTCTTCGTGGTGTAGAGGCATAGTCTTGAGCTCGTCGTCCGACGAGATGATGATGACGGAGTCGTCAGAATTGGATGTCGCAAGAGGTGTGTACTGTCTGCGCGGACGCGCACTCGTCGCACGAATGGCGGGCATGGTGTGGGGGGAGGAGAGACGCTGCTGCGAGACGGGGGAGGTGGTAGTGGTTGGGGGGCAAGGGGGAGTGGCTGCCTGTGAGAGCGCGGTGACCAAGAGTGGCCGTTGGCGCTTTTTGGCAGTTGAACCTTGGGCAAGCGCCCGGGCGCGCCGCTGCTGTTTCCAAATCAGGCTCCGACCCCGCCGTCCGATGTGGCTGGATCCCGCCGGGTGGCTGGTAAGTCGGCTGTTGCTCGAACTCAGGCGACAACTATTCGCCTATGTAGTATACGCTCCTCTGGCTTTGGGTCATGCTGTGATCCATGAAACCGCGGAGACGGTTCCCCTTGCGGTCAGTGTGGTCTTCATCATGCTCAGTTGACACGGCGCGGCACAAGTAGTGAGAAGCTACCCACACAGAAATGTACAGACCGCTGATATCATTCTCATGAAGGCTACTCCAATCCCAAACTGTGCTGCTATGAAATAGCAAAACCCTCGCGAGCTTTCGGTGAGGATCCGGCGACGGCTGCAGCGCATTGCCAATGCCTGGCGAGCTCCCAATCTGCTGCGATCGGCCATTGATATTGTGCGGCTCCCTCAGAATGTAACCGGGAAAATCGAAAGTACTTCTGAGGAAACACCTGTTACTGGATTGTAGAACACGGACCGCGTCGTTTGGGCTCTGGCACGCCTCACACACACAGGTAATTAGAAAGGACACGTGCGCTAATCGGCGCCCCGTTAAGGCGGGAATTGCTTAATTCGGGATGTGGCGGCTATGGGGTCATGCTGCGCCGTGGCTGCTTGCCTGCAGCCTAGCTGCAATATCAGTTCATGCGCGATAACTCTTGAGTATCATACCATGAACTATAATGGTAAATGAGACTGAGGCCGCTTTGCAGCGCTTTGCGATACGCAGCTAGTACTGATGGTCTAAGTAAGTAGAGTGACAATGGGAGCACCTGTGTACATTTCTCGGCCGCTAGGATATAAGCTGAGGTGACCGTTGGGGCACAACTGTCAAAGCGGTACTTAGGGTGACTACGAAATCGAGTCATCGCCTGTCTGTTCGTATTAGTATCATGCCAGGCGTAAGTAGGCTACGGGTTCAGGCTAAGCCCGGAAGCTCGACACTCGGTTATTTCGATGACGATCCATTTTATGCCGAAGTAGTCTGCGTTATTGTCTAAAACTCCTCAGACATAACGCAGACCTCCGGTCGACCCAACCTTGTACAAAACCGCCATTTCATCGTATCGTGAACAGTGGAATCATGTATCTGACGCGTGATGTGTTCCATTATTGAGCCTCTATCGATATAGCGAGATGTGGGACGCTGGAATGATGCGAAGGCGATGATAGTAACAATGCTACAGCTAGTACAATGGTGGGCAGATGTGACAGTCCAGTGAGATGCATGCAAGAACAAACGAATCATCCAAAAACCATATTTCTTGACGTCAACGTGATGTCCTATCCGCGATATCACCTTTTCCTCCCCTTCGTTTTCGACCCCACCTTCGCTCTAGGCTTCTTGCTTGCGCGCGATGGGCCCGGCCCCTCGATGACCTGCACATCGTCGTCGGTCTCCGGCCTCCGCTTCGCAGCAGCGCTCGTCGCCGTACTCCCGAAATCCAATGCATCCACGTCGATGGGCTCCGAAGCCGTCGACACAGACAGTCGGCTAAGCGGATGCCCGACCGTCGTGCTGGTCGCGGGGCTCTGCCTGCGGGAACCCGCCGAGCTCGAGCCTGACACACGCGCAACGCCCGAGCGGATGGAGAGTGCGGGCGACCCGCGGCGCGAGGCACCCTGATGCTGTCCTACGACACCAGCAACAGCCCCACCAACTTGATCGTCTTCATGGTCCGTCCCTGATCTCGATCTGGCGGAATCGTCGTTCAGCGCGACCCGCGCCTCCCGCCAATCCCTCGCGAACACGCTCTCGCCTGCATGGTCATCCTGGAAGGTCCGCAAGGCGGCCTCGACGCGCTGATCACCGCCCGCGTGCGCCGGGATGAGGACGTCGCCGGTGAGGCGCGCACCGAACAGCTCGAGTGCGACGCTTGCGCAGTTGCGCACGCTCGCGTGCTCCTCGATTCGAGTCCCTGCGCGCTCGTCTGTCCGGGGGTTGATCTCGCCGGGGGACACGTCTCCGAGGTACTCCGTCCACTCCCAAGGTCGGTTCTGCACGGGCTGCGTCAGCGTCAGCACTCCTGAGGTGTCGCGCGTAGCGTAGGCGAGGTCGGCGACGGCGGGGTTGAGCGCGACATATGGGAGAAGCGTCCGGATGCGCGTGCGGTACTCTGGGGGCATGCCTATAGGCAGGTGGGAGAGTTCGATCTCAGGGTAGTTCCGGGATGGATCAAAGGTGGCACTCTTCGGATCCACAGGTGTTTCGTCTAGGAAATAGAGTAGGGTGTCGAAGAGAAGTGGGAAGGCCACAATGTCAAGCCCAGAGCCCTCTGCGTGCAGCTGAGGCGCATGTAAGGCTTCAGTCGGATCTTACGAGGAAGAGACGCACCAGAACCAAGTCAATGAGGGTCCTACAGAGGGGCGTGCTGAGTTCCATGGCTTGTGGAGTCCACGCGCCTGGGAAGCCCAGGTCGAACTGCAGCAGTCGAGATAGAAAGATGATGCAATGAGATGCCTGATTGAATGAGTCGTCTGCGTCGTCTGACTGCCCTGCAGCACATGCTTCTTTCATCTGTGCGAATTTACCAACCAGGCCCGAGAAGAACTTGTCCTGAACAGCAGGATCTAATATCGGGAGGGTCGCGTTGTCTCGGAAGCGCTCCACAATCTTAGATAATAGCCTCAAGACTTCGCCTGTATTGGTGACGAACGCGTGGACATCGTCTTCGCTCGTTGAATCGAAGGGCACTTGGAACAACTCAATGATGCGTTGGAGACCAGCATTGACAAACTAGGAATCGGTGAGCACGCTGTCCTTAGCGTCGAAGAGCGGTCTTACCTTCCCTGCGACATCTCTGCTGACGTCCGTCATCATCCCTGCTACGAAGTCAACTTCCTCGGTTGACTTGCATTGGTGGAAGACGAAGTTGCCGAGTCTGTCTAGTGTAGCTTTCGCTGCACTTCGCGTGGGCTCCCTAGTCAGTCCTTCTGCGAGCTGCTTGAGCGTCAGGCGCATCTCAATAGCAGTAGCAGCCAACTTCCAAGGTGTCAGCAGAGATGACACGGTGGCGAAGCCATCGCTATCTTCCGCTGCACCTGCATATGGCTCAGTTCTCGTGAACATCGCGAGCGAAGGGACCGACCTTGACTAGGATCACGCAACATCAAACGAAGTGCTGTGACCAAATGAGCGTGCAGTTCTTCGGATACGCTTCGGGATTCAAGAAGCTCTCAAATGCGCGTCTCACGGCATCAAGGTCTCGATAGACCCCAAGTCTGAACACGCTGAAGCGGCAAATTGACTCTCGCAGGGCTCGTGAGCCCTGCCGCAGGGTGTCGGTAAGGAAATGGTTATGCTCGACGAGAACCAGGGCGGGAAGGTTATCCACGAGCTCGGAGAAATGGGGCTCCCTGAACACGTCCCTGCGCCGAGTCTGGAGGCTTTGGGACTCGAAGATATCAGCCGGAGGAAACCCAGTCCCGCATTCGTCCCTCAGGAGCAGGTGCTCGAAGAGGAGATTCACTGCGGAGAGGAGAACCTCCAGGCTACGTCCTTGCTCAGGAGTGGATGCCGTCGCTGCACTCTGCCAAACGGAATAGATGAGGCCCTGCAAGACCGTGGTGGTAGTGAGAGCGCCATGTATGCAGAGTTGGAGGAGGACCACTGTGACGACGTCCCAGACTTCCACGGTGAGCGCAGCAGCTTCGTTTTTCCCCGAGCCAAGGAACCACTTGAGCACATGAGAGTCGAAGCCCTGCGGGAGATGCTGGTCGACTTGCCATAGGAAATGCGCGTACTTGAGAGCACAGGCCACGCGCCCCTCGTTGTCCGTGATCATGACGGGGATTTGACGAAGACTGGCAATAGTGTTGTCCCAAACAGTCCAAGCCCAGTTCGATGTCGTCATGTACTTGTACCACAAGCTCTTGGCAAGGTTTGAGGGAGCTTCCATATTAGGGTCTGTTGCGAGCAAGAGGACCTCAGGAAGGTGCACCGGAACAGTGTTGGAGGTTTGGCTCATCGGGTGAAGTGCCTGTGGATGGTGTCGTCAGCGTCATGATCGATTATTGAGTGCGTGACACCGACATGACTGTATGCGGATATGTCGTTCAGAACTTGATCTCGCTGTGTCTGCTCGAGATACCGACCCTTGTCCACTTGCGTAAGGAGCGATAGCAGCTGACGGCTATGAATTCCGCGCCCTCGCCAGTATTGATGTGTCGCATACAAAGCAACGGCGATAGTCCTCATCACGTTCATGCATGCCCAAACTTCCATGTGTTGGGAGAGTGTTTCAAGTACTCCGACTAAAAGAGGGTGAGTCGTGGCCCGCTCAAGGGTGAAGAGGGTAAGCTGAGAGCCACGTCAGTCGAGAAGCGTGTGGATGCATAACGCAGCAACGCACGTCGAGCAAAGAGCCGTAGCACTTCGTACGTGCCATGAGTTCCACAGATAGCGTGAAAGTCTTCAACACATCACTGCTGCCATTCGCCAAAGCCTGTTCCTGACTGCTCATCGTCAACACTGGGTGCCAGGAACACTATCCACGATTGACATACCTGGTTATATGCTTGCGAAGTATGGGGAGGAACCACTCTCGGATCGTTCTAACTTGTTCGTACCGGGGCGAGGAATACAAAGTGGGACAACTCTCCCAGAACCTGGTTGGCACTGATTGCGCATCTCGCCCCTGACCTGCGGAAGTCATGAGTGTCGGCAAATCTCGATCTCAACGAGGATCGCTTCGTACCGTTGAACACCTCCGGGAGTAGTTGACGAAGCTCGCTCCGCATCTGGTGCTCATGCTCGTCCTCCGGCGTCTGTCGCGCGCGCACGCCATACAGAGTGACCTTGCGCTGGCGAGTCACCGATGCATCCGCGGTATGCAGACACGTCCATCGCAAGAACTCTCTGTGGCGTGAATGGCCCTCCTGACAAAGCCGCACTCAATCCACCTGCACAGGTGACGGACGTGGCGCGCACCTGACTAAACGAAAGGCCGACCTCGCCGCGCGCGATGAGGCGCTGCACATACTGCTGGTAAGAGAATAGACCCTGCTTCACGAGCTGACCTAATAGAAGCGAGACGGCGGGCAGGTTCTCCGGGTCGGCGGCATCGCACGAGCCGTCAAGCCAATCGAAGACCTGGTCCTGAATGAACTGGTCCGGTGATTCCGCCTCATGGCGGATTGCCCGCTCGCCCGCCTTTCGCCGCCACTCTGCGAGGATACACGCAGCAGCGTACGGCCGGTGGTCACCATACTGCAGTGAAGTCACGCTCCAGGTGAGGAGGATGTCGAGCTTGCGCGCGAACGACGGGTGCGGGATCGAGACGTCTTCGAAGAAGAAGACACTGCTAATGTCGGTGTCCCCGGTCAACGAGTTCAGAAGCTGCGAATTACATTCAGCCCTGCGCGATCTTCTGCACGAGTCCCGGGCCTACCTTGATATCTGAAAGCGCTGAGGTGAGGCTTCCCACAATGCGGGGAGGCAGGTGGCGAAATAGCATGGCTTCGTTTCGGCGCTTGACATCTGCGAAGAGCTCATGGAGCGTTTGCTGAAGCGCCTGAGTGTTCTGTGGCGGAGTGCCCTCGGCAGGCGCTACCGCGGTCGAGAGTATCTCGCCCAGCAGCTCGGAATGCAGCTGCCATGCACGGGGACTGACAAACGCGTCGGGAAGCGCAAGGAACGAACGCTGGCGATGCTGTCAGCTCACAAAGTTAGCAGTCGGTCATGCGGACGCACCGCTACCAAGTTTCTCAACGTGCTCTCAAGACTGCGAGAAGGTCTCGTCCCGAGGTCGATCGGATCTGAATTTCTCATGTCGGCATCCCCACTCCCTTGACCAGCCACCATGACTCACCTCCTCAAGTCGATTCAAAGAGGCGTCGACGAAATGATGCGTGAGAGCGCGGTTGATAAGCATACCGTCGAGTATTCGTCAGCGAGGCGCGCGACGAAGCCCAGCTGCGCGAGGTTGCACGTCCCCATCTGCTGCACGAGCCATGTCAGGAACGTGCGGTTGTCGACCAGGCCCTCCGCGTAGAACGTGCGCAGGAGCTCCAGGCTATCGTGTCCGCCGGAGGATCAGGGTGCGGAGTCCGACGTTTGAGCGGAGAGAACTGACCAGTAGCTGAAGCGCGAGATCCAACGCTCGCGGGGCTGCGGATCGGCGAGCATGTTCTTGAAGGACATCTTGATGTTCAGCCCGGGGCGGGGTGCGATTGGCAGGGCGATGTCCGCGAGCAGCTTCTTCATGTAGCTCGTGACCACGTTAGCCCATTCGATGCTGTACTGGGTGGGGTTGTACCCCGGTTTGTTGCGCAGGCCTGCCTGGACGACGTGTTACTCCCAATTGTACTACCGCGGAGGCAGCGGTACTCACGGATTCGTTCCCTCCGAAGACACGGAGGAACCAGACTGCCCGGGAAATGGCGACGTTGTTGTACTGCAGGAGGTCCAGGAGGTCGTGGCCCTTCGCTCCGTGCGGCACGTTCTTGCCGAGCTTGTACAAGGGGACTTCCGGGTTCGCGAGATCGGCGAACCACTGAGTTCGTTTAGTATCGTTCAGGGTCACCCGCGACGGCATGCGGAAGGTGGAGGCGCTGTACACTTATCAGCATGGAAGTCCACTTCTTTGGAGCACAACCTACGGGACGGGCGGGACATTCTCAGCGCGGCGAGAGAAAATCTTGTGCATGAGGTCTTCCAGGTGGTGGAGCTGCTGTGGTCCCTGGACCTGCCCGACAGCCGTCCAGCCCTCTGCCTGTGGCCTGTTGTGAGCAAGGCATGAAGTGAGAGATAGCGTACAACTTACCGACACCACTGGTTGAAGAATGAGTCCGTTCTGTACGGTGACATCGGTGAGGACCTCTTCAACGTCGTCTGGGCGAGGAGGGTGGAATCCACTGTAGCCTGCACAGTGTTAGTTAGATGTAGCCAGCTGGAACGAGTGTCGACCAACCCAAGTCTGCTGAGGTATGTGTCTTGGGTAACCATGGAGGAGGGTGTAACTCGTATATTGGAAGCGCTTCCTTCTCGCCTTTTGCCATCTTGGGACGGCTAAATGTCAGGCCTCAGTGTAGTTTACCACACCGATGAGCTAGCTGCAACATCAATCGTAAGTTCAATCGCACCGCTCTCATCAATGAGAATGGCGGGATCACCTCAACCTGGCAACGACGGCCGAGGCCTATAGGCCGCCTATGCTTACGGTGTCCGGTGTTTGATAAAATGTCTCAGAAACGTGAGCGATGCTGTCCGTCCGAATGTTTCTCGGATGCTTCACCGCAATAACGGTGATACGGTTGAAGTCCGTGTCTCGATCCGAGCGGTGTCTGACGTCCTGTATGTACCCTCGTGGTTCAGCTCGGTATGTTGGCAGTGCCAGTGGCATTATTGCATGCCAGCTGCCACGGACATAATCCTAACTGCGATACCGTGCCACACCCGTTAGCAAACTATAAGACCAACGGTGCTGGCGTTCTCACTTACCAGCGCATGCCCGGTCTGTCCTACACGCACACTCGACACTGCCTAGCGAGCGCAGGACGACCTCGCAGGACGGATTGCCACCGGAGAGCAGCACGGCAGGACCCGGCACACGCGGGTTGCACGCGGGACGCGCATTTCGCGGTTGGGCGCCTCGGCCTCCGCATCACACGCGGTGTGATTACACGGAGGAAGGGAGATGCGATCGGGCGAGATCTAGATCCCCAGCGGGGCGGCGCCGACACTCAGTCTCCATTCCTTCGAATCCCTTGCACCTGAGACAGATATGTGGCCCACAGCGGCTCGGGCGACGTATGGTAGCAAGTCGAACGTGTGGAAGGATATGGTTATTATAGGGTCGTCAGTCTCAATTGTGGGGTGCTCATAGCTACATCGAAGCCAACGGCATTCCATTTCCTGCGACGGAGAGGCTCCTAAGTATGTAATAGCGTATGCACGCGTACTTCTCTCTGGAACGGACATAGGAGCGCTTCCTCCATATCTCAGTCTATGGACACCGAGCACGACGAGATAGCAGAGCGTACTGCCTGATGAGCGCGTTGAGCAAGTCTCAATCGGGGTCTGCTCCGCAAGTATAGACCCTGCCAATAGACTGCTGGTGTGCGCCTCGAGCGCGCTCCGACAATACACGTAGGATGCAGCAAAGATAAGGCCCTGGGCTGAGTCGGGATGTAGGAGACGGGAGATTCGAGTCGGGATAATTCGCGACTCTATCACTCGACGCTGTCGGAATCGCGGACATGACGGTGCGTCAACCACGTCGCCTGGAACGCCGTAACTTAAGTAGCGTCGACTTCAACTTCCTGTCAGATGCGCTCGTGCGCAAGCGCAGCCGTCAGTGTTTCCAAGGTGCTTCTGTCAGCGCGCAGACGGCGGGCGCAACCTAACTCTTGACATCATCCAGGCTGTCCGAGCGATACGGACGTCCCCGTCGGGAGGACACCATCGCGAGATCTACGCGGCTCAGCGTCCGGTCATGCCAGTCTGTCATACTTTCCCCGCAGCCATTCAACGACGTGGGTGCATGGGAGCGCAGCGGGATTTGCGAATAGAGTCGTGCGGCCGGATTTAGAGCGACGGACGCGAATCGCAGACGCGGCCTGAGTGGGAGCGTGGTGGGAATGTCCGCGTGCGATGACAATGTCGGGCAGTATATCCCAAGTATATCCTGTCGAGTGTTCTAGTCCCTCTGGTGCTGGACTGGCCTGAGTCTAAGAATAACGCGGGTGCTACACTAGGCCCATAAGCTTAGGCTTCACGGGGCCCCAATACGTACGTACGACGACTCGCCCCTTTGCGAGTCGGAGCGACATCCTATCGAGGCCAGCCAGCCGTGCAACGTGCAACGCCCTCGAGCGCGCCACGCCGTGGCCCGTATACCAACACGCATTCACGGACAATCACGGTGCACATGGCCCTCGCACCCGCACGGTGCCCGTACCGCCGCTATCTATAGGTAAACGTTTGGTCAAAGCCGGGAGAACTCGAAATGACAGATTCGCACGTGTGAGCGCGTATGACCGAGACGATCGTCGCCTTCAACAGCTCCCCTCAGGCTCCCCCGCGCATACCAATGTCGTCGCGGCTGCGGCTGCGGGTGTCGACGCTGGCTGCAGCGAGCGTGCGGCGCAGCGGCCGTCGAGCAGCCGAGGCGCGGGAGGGCGGCTCCGGCGAAAGAGAGCATCCCGATGAGGCAGGTCCGGTGCGGGGCTCAGGGACCGATCACAGATCTCTGCAAGTAGCGCCAAGCCCGAGTGCCTGCGGCAGGACGCGCTCGTCCTGGCGGAAGCATACCGTGCGCTAGCCCGTCCGCGGCGCACAAACCATTGGGCAGGCCCCTGCGTGTTGAGCCAGCCAACCAGAGTGCTTGCCGTCTCACCCAGGCGGCTCTTAGGTGGACGAGTCGGGGCGATGGCCTCGGTGGGGGACGGTCCAGACGCGACCTGGCGGAGCGGGCGCGAGGCGGCCGAGACCACGCCGCGGGTTTGTGGAAGAGCGTCCTGGAGGTGGACAAGACACCGATCGGGCTCCCTGCCGCCTGTGCGTGCCAAAGCGTCTCCCCACACTCGCAATCGCCGGGGTCGCGCAGGGAATGGACAAAGCTCGCTCGCTCGCTGGTCTACCACAATGGAGTGTAGGTTAGGGGCACGGGCCGCCGAGCCTGATAGTGCTGTGGCGCCTTGACCCTAGAAAGCGTATCTTTGCGTGAGAAAGAGGATAATGGACGCACCTTGCTTGGTCGAGGATGCTGTGTGTAGGCCGGGGAGCGCCTGCCTGTCCATGTAACGCGAAACAAGTGATAGGTCCGGGCTAGCAGCAGGCTTGGTCACCGGGGGGTGGGCGCAGGTGAATGGCGAGCAGCTCATAGGGAGGGAGGAGCGGTCGGTGCGTGCATCCGTGCATCCACCCGCCGGATGCGAAAGGGGTGGTGCTTTGGCCCTTCCATGGGCTCGTTCGTGGAGGAACGCGAAGCGAAGCGGGGGTGGCTGGTACGTCACAGCGAACGGGGGCGCTTTGTGCCACCGTCGCAAATCGGGCATGCCGTCCGAGGCGAGCTGCTTGCCAGCGTCCAACGGCTGGAGGCGCTGTCCGGCGCGCTCGTGTCTGTCCGAGGACGGCTTGCCTCCGGAGTCATGGGCAGCGGCACACTGGCGGAGGGAATGAGCACGGGGTACGGGGAAAGGGAATACGTCGAGGTAGCTTACTGCATTATGTAAGTTCGGTACAAGTCGCGTCGAGGAATTTCAGGTCCTGGAGTTGGGCGGCCTGAGACCTGCAGAGTGGGCGCACCGAGGTGGCGGTAAATTCACCGTGAAGGCTGCATTACCAAGCTCAGGACGATACTAATGCACGGCGGATGAGTGATGCAGTCATGAGAATGGAAGGGTGATGCGCACATGCAATATAACGCAGGACTGCCATTTCCAGCCTGCATATGGAATCGGGGCTTGACGCCATCGATCCGGGACCGCCGAAGGGGCAGCGTCTGCTGGACGCCGGTGCGGGGAGGCTGAGGGGCGCACGGACCCAGCGAGGGCATCGACGCGGGCGGTGCAGGCGGGCAGGGCAGGGAGCGTGGCGACGGCTGGTGTCGCTGGGGCGGGGAGGCGATGTCCAGTTTATTCGCAGGGATGGCGACGACCCGACCGACTGGGTCAGCTAGGCGCCCGTGCAGCCGGAGCCCACACAACCTGTGGCCAATGCGTTTGACCCTCCGGCCTTCACGCCATTGTTGCGGCCCTCTTCTTCCTTCCCACCACCACCATCTCATCCTCACTCATGTCGCGTCCAGCCAGCGCCGCATCGTCCTCGACGACCATGTACAGACCCAAGAAGAGGTATGCACGCCCTGCCCCGCCCCTCGTGGCCGCCCTGCTCACCCGCCCCATCTGCAGGAAGATCCAGCGCGTCCTCCTCGCCGGGACCCTCCAGGTCTCTGCCCTTCCTCGTCCCTGCCTCTCCCTCGTTATCTGACCCGCGTTTGACAGGCTCTCGGCGACCTCACATCCATGATCCCACCGACCCTCCCCACGCCACCGTCCCCGCACCCCGCCCAGGCCACCGCAAGACCCAAACGCAAGCTCGAGGACGTCGCCACCGACGAGCCACTGTCCAAGAAGCCCCGCACGGCCCCCGCCACCACCCAGCCTGCATCGACCCGACCGCCCGTCCCACTGTTCCCACAGTCTCGGTCAGGCACTCAGGCCCCGGCATCGTCCGCCTCAACACCGTCCGACAGCCCAGAGGACGGCGAGGTGAGGGAGGGCCTCCCGATATACCGCAACTCCATCGCCGTCGTTTCAAACGTGCCCGTCCGCCGGCCGCGCCGCCGCCAAGTAGCACAGAGCTATTGGGAGGACATGTACGCCAAGTACCAGGCGGAAGGCGTACGCCTCAAGTACTCGGCCAAGGCGAGGATCGACTCGACCTATCCATCGACGGACCCCCGCTTCAGGGCGCTGCCGAATCCGCCACCGGCGGGCACAGCGTACCACAAGTTCGGCCACTTAATGGCGCGCTTGGAGTGCGTAGACGCCCTGCTGTGTTTCACCTATGCACTGTGGTGTCTCGACGTCGGCAACAACGCCTGCTTCCGCAAGAACTGGCCACTGGTCTTCAAGCTCGTCGAGCATGCAAAAACGCAGTGGAGGTGTGACGACGGCGAGGACTGGGAGCGAGCATTCCACGGGCTTATGTGCGCTCCTCTCACATCTCATACACTGCGAACGGCGACTAACATTCGAGTAGATGCCTGGTGGAGGCATACATCCATGGCCGCAAGTGGCGCTTCAACCTCTCGTTGACGAGAGGGGATAGCGCGAGGCTCATGATGCGGCTGCATATCTGTCAGGACGCGGAGGATGATATGCGCCGACAGGAAGAGAAGCAGAAGGAGGCACAATTGGAGAAGCAGCGGGCATCGATGCTGCCGTCACCGGCGAGCAGTGCGGGGTCGACGCCAAACAGCGTGGAGGGCACCCCGAATGCGGCGCTTGCCCCCGCTACGCCCGTACCGGCCGTGCCGCCGCATACCGAGGCGCCACAACCCGAGCAGCGCGAGCGCTCTACCCAGATCAACCCCGCACACACTGTGGCCGTCAACATCAACACGGTCGGGCCGTATCATTCGCAGGCATTCGGCCTCTACGACGCAAAGCGCGCAGCGGACGTCGCGGGGCGGCTGATCACACTGCCGATCATCGCGAAGCACTTCCCGCGGACATTCGCACGCATGGCGTACTCGAGTCTGTCGACGGCGGACGAGCACGAGCCAGATTTTGACGACGAGGAGGGCGAGCTGTTCTGGCCTGGGCAGGTGGTCGGCAGCGAGGGCCTCGGTTGGATATGCTACATGGGCCGTGCGATGGTGAAGGAGTATGCGAAGCAGTATGGCTACAAGGGCGTCGACGGCGCGCTCCCGCTGCCCGCTGGCTACCACAACTCGGATGACCCGCGACACTTCCCCCACTCCCAAGACCCTGCGACGAAGGCCGCTGCCTCCGCACGGTGACGTCACGGTCCCGTCGCCCTCGCGCACCCTTGAATGACCGTCGTCGGAACCCCATCTGGATGTCGCTCGTCATCAACATGCCCACTTCCGCCATGGTGCACCCGGGTCCGCAATTAGAAGGCTCCCCTCTGTCTGGGCCATTCTGCGACCTTGCGTGAACGCACCCTCTTTTGGCCGCTGCATCTTGCTGTCATGCTGCTTTCGCGCCCGCATCCTTGTTATCATCGCACATCTGGACTGTATTGCTCCCTGCCACTTGTCGCCAACGCCGCCACCGTCTCTACACGACGGTGCTGAGACGCCGCTGCTCGCAAGTGACCTCAGCCACCGGGCGCCTGGCCACCATATGTATCTCTGCCGTCAACACAGCCTGTATCCCTTTCGCCTCACCATCGCACGATCTACATGCATCGCACGCACATTTTGTTTCTCCTGTGTACATTATCTGTAACATCACCTTCTTCCCTCCCTACCCCCGCACCGCATCGCGTCGCACATCCCGTCCCACGCAGCACGCCTCCCATCAAAAGCCATCGCGTCGTGTCGTCGTCCATCATCATCGCATCACCCCCGGCACGGACTGCATCGCCGACTCAATTGCATGAGGCGGTCGCTTAGGGTCTCAGAGCGTGCCGTCCGGCGGCCGCGGAGAGCGAGCCCGTTCTTCTCACTCATCTCCGTCGGGACCGCACCCACTTTGGCTGACGACATGGTCCTCATCCTCGCTCGAGCGATGAGCACGAACTGTGGACACCAGTGGTGTTGATGCTAGCACCATTAGCCCGACCGCAGATCCCGGAGGCTCGCGTCCCTCGCCTACCCATCGTCAACACATCGCATCCACTCGCACACAACATCTCTGGCGCAGTACGGTTCTATCTTCTCTGTCCATATCATACCCTCTATATCCCTAATTTTATCGCTTCCTACGCTGCATCGATCCCGCTCGTCCCGCATATCTCCGTCGCACTCGCCCCACTTGCATACTCCCGTCCGGCCTGCTCCTCCCCCACACGTCCCTCCATCCCCCCGGTCTTCTTGGTGCGCATGCATAACACGCAGCGGCGAACATCTGGTATCTGGAACGTTATGTTTTCGTCCCACTCGTATCCGTATCCCCTCGTCCTCACATTGTCTGCAGTAATTGTGTTTCGTTGGCTCACGTCTCTGTCGCGGTTATTTAAACTTGTCGGATTCGGAATAAACATCGATGGGCCGGCTGGCCCTTGGAACTCGGAACTCGGAATTGTGTGTGGGCCGTGTGATGAGTGTCTTGTTCGGTGGGGACGAAGACTGGCCGAGGCATGCGATTGTGTCTCCGGTGGCCGGTTGTTGTTGGGAATGAGACAATCAGGTTTGAGTGTATCGCTTTATTGTGAGACTGCTTGTGTCTGATTGCTGTGCGTTCCTGGAGCTCAACGATGTAGACGGAAAGGACCTTCGAGTGTCTACAATTGTGAGCAACGACAGTAAGCACGGATGTCAATAACGACAAGGCCGCGCTCAGCTACTGTAAGATGTTCCGCCGTTCCGCCGTCTTGCCATTTTGGAAGAAGGTTTTGGCGCGGCCTCGATCAATTGAATGCGCGCACTTGCTTGATCGGGCTGATGCGCCTCTCTCAGGCGCTTATGATTACCCTCTCTCCGAGGCCGGAGCGATGTGAGGGCGTTCTGTGCTGCCCTTCCGCCACCGTGACTGCGCACAACCTCCTTGTCCCCCTTCCACATCAATCCTTTTGCTGCACTCAGAGAGACTCAGCGGCCCTCTGGCTGCGATGCAGACCGCCACGATGCTGAGGCCGCCTACGATGTTCTCGGACAGCGATATGAGCGACGCTACCGTGACCGAGGCTACGCTCATGAGCCCGCCCTCCAACTTCCACCCTCTTTTCTCATCCTTCTCTGAAGCAGACATCATCCTAGGCTCCAGGGAGCGAGTCCTGTTTCGCCTGAACATCGCCACCCTCAAGCGGACCTCTGCCTGGTTCCGCGCCATGTTCTCTCTGCCGACGAAGGCCAACCCCCGCCCGGGTCCGCAGAGACGCTCTTCCTCGACGAGGACACGCACACGCTCGAGGGGCTCTTCCGGATGGCGTGCGGCCTGCCCATCCCGCCGCTCGACAGCTACGACGAGGTCGAAGCGCTGCTGCACGCCGCGGAGAAGTACGACATGCCTGGGCCGACGAGCATCGTCCGCATCGCCGTCATGCGCCCCGCCTTCCTCTCAGAGCCGATCCGCCTCTACGCGATCGCGTGCAGGTACGGGTGGGCGGAGGAGGCCCGCCTCGCGAGCACGCACACGCTCACGCTGGACATCTACGCGCCCGAGCACAAGCCCACCCTCATGAAGCTCGGCACGCCCGCACTGCTCGGCCTCATCGAGCTCCACCGCAGCCGCCGCGAGGCCCTCCGCCAGAGGCTCGACGAGCCGCCGTTCGTGAACGACACGGGCGACACGGCGTGCAGCCACTGCGGCTCGATTGCGGACTACCATACCTGGCGGATCCTGAAGTACGCGATCATTCTGGAGATGGACGTGCGGCCCGCGGGTGACACAATTTGCAGCCATGGGTTGCTCGAGTGGCCCGCCGCGCGCGCGTGCTGGGATGCGCGGTGTCTGACGTGCAATCGGGTGCTGTATGACAAGGCGGAGACCCTCCGCGTTGTGCGAGAGTGCATCGACGCACTACCCCAGACTGTCGAGTAAGTCTGCCTGATGATCCGTGTTTTGATCGCTGAGTAATGCCATCTCCTTTCAGCGATTTGGATGTTGCCCTGCCTATCGCCTGACGTGGCTCTCGTCCACTGCTCCACAAACATTCGTTCTAACATCACCATTTTTCTGCTGATCTCTTTTCTGCTGTATCTATAACTTCCTCGTCCTCCGATACCCACTACACTGTACCATCAACTACGTACCAATCTAATCAGCATCTCTAATAAATCTAATAATGAAGACATGCCCCTGTATGTGCTCCTCTGCTATGCATGTCAATGCGCGAACCCATGATGTAGCCGAGGAACCAGGTGCGTGGCTTCGTATCGACATATCGTGTCTCACATCTCTAGTCCCTCTTCTCGCAGACGGTCGGTGAAGACAGCTACTACGATACTTCACTCCAACGCCTGTACATGTGGGCCCTGAAGGCCTGACCAGCCTACCGATCAGTCGTAGGTAAGGTACGTTACTGTCAGGCATGTCAGTTGTCGACACGCCTTGTATAATCTATTGATACGGCACTAGAATCCTCCGATCGCCCTTTCGTCTGTCCGGGGCACTCAAGTACTCATGGCTGACTTTATGTTGAAAGTAGATTGCAGCCGCGCCGGTCTTTCGTAAGTGACTGATGATTATATGTGCATCCCGGTAGGCCCACCAGCCTCTTCTCCAGTGTCTACCGTATTGTTTCTGTTTGTCTCTGTCTCTGGCGTTGGTACCGGACATACTGGCTATTATGGTATCGGTGCATCCCCCAATGCTTACATTGTTACAACTGCTTTCCTCTCCCGCGATCGCAAGGCGTCACAGCATACCTTAAATTTCAATAGAGTGCGTGCCAGGGCTCTGTAGTGTAGTGGTTATCACAGCGGATTCTGATATCCATGGATCAATGTCATTCCGCTAACCGAGGTTCGAGTCCTCGCTGGGCCTGTTGTTTTACTTGTGGGACGGGCGGACGGACGACATGGAGGACAGGGGGGGCCGCGGACGTACGGGTCGCTGGAGGTGAACGGTCGACTGGGCAAACGGCACGATTGGCGCGAGATGGACGGAGGGCGAGGCGAGCGAGACGGGGAGGCATTAGCAACATTGTGGGGTACGGCAAGGCGCGAGGGCGCGTCGTCGCGTGAGCGGGTGCGCGGGGCGACGCCAGGGGTCGGACTTGGGGCGTAGATACGACTGACCTCCAACTTGCTTTGAAGACGGGAGTCCCCTCGCCTCAAGTGGCTGCTCCATTGCCCATCCGCAACCACTGTAACTCATGAATATATGTGGTCAGTGCCTCATACTACACCATCACAATGCCATCGCGCCCAGTGCGCATCCCTCATTTGGGTGGCATGCGACGGTGACTCGGGCGAAAACCCAGTAGTATGTATCTCACCGACATAGCGTATGATTCCCCGTCTGCGGGTTAATCTTCCGCAGGCGGTGAGTCGAACTTGAGATACCAACGGAGATACTGAACAGCTCGGGACCTAGGTGGGTCGTTCCGATCGACGGTAGTTGGACCTCCGGGCCCATTAATTCCTCCTGTGGTCAACACAACACGTGTCCGCTCACTTGGAAATGCTGGTGGGTACAATTATCATTCAGGTTCTCTTCCATCCGTAAACCGAGCATATAAGGGTCGTCCGTTCCTACCAGTTGTCACCACAAGACTCCGCGATGTCTACTGATCCTTTCGCTTTCACCAATAAAATCGCCCTCATATCCGGCGGAGGCTCTGGCATCGGTGCATACGTCACCCAGGGCCTCGCTGCCGCGGGTAACGGCACGAACCGTATCTACATCGTTGGTCGGCGCGTCGCGGCGCTCGCCTCTACTGCGTCCTCTTCGACGTACGCGTCATCCATCATCCCGCTGCCAGGCGATGTAGGCACCATCGCGGGATGTAGGAAGATCGCGGTGGGCTTTGTCGAGGCGGAGAAGAGAGCAGGAATCGCGGAAGATGAGATTCAGCTGGACCTGCTCGTGAATAACGCGGGGATTGCCAGACGAGAGGGACACGCGTCGCCCGAGGCTACCGTGAACGAGTTGGCAGAGAGCCTATTGAAGGCGAGCGACGACGACTGGCGAGACGAAATGGCTGTGAACGTCGGGTCCATCCAGGTCAGTACGCCCACGCCCACCTACCTGCATCCCGCCATCCCTGGCACTCACAATCGCACAGTGGCTATCCGCATGCTTGCTCCCGTACCTCGTGCGCGCGGCGAGCTCCGGGAAGCGCGACGGGCGTAGGAGCATCGTCGTCAACACCTCCGTCTCCGCTTTCCAGCCTTCACAGTCGATCCACCTCTACTGCGCGTCCAAGGCGGGCGCGCACAGCGTCGCGCAGAGCCTCGCCCGCGAACGTACCGAGCGAGATGAACAGCTTGAGCGACCCGCACAGCAGGCATGCCGGTGGGCAGGATCGGCGAGCCGGAGGACGTGGTAGCCGCGGTGGTGTATTTAGCGAGTCGGTCGGGGAGCTATGTCTCGGGGGCCGTCATTGGGGTGAGTGCGTCCTAGGTCGACCGACGGGGTGGATGGCTGACAGGTGGACCCGTAGGTCGATGGCGGATCCTGTTGAATTGAGCTTGTGAAATCACATCGATAAATGTACGGTGTCATAGCAGAGCACACCTGTGTAATTAATGGGGGTTGATAAGTGAGACTAGGTCAACAGGTTGATTCCCATCAAATCAGTCAACCCCCATGCTCTGCTGAGATCAGATTGGGTGACTAGTTTTGAACGACGCATACGGTGACATTGTAGTGAGTGGTTATGAAAGGTGTCCCCCCGTTCGGCAGCAGGTAGCGAGGATGCATCAAATCGGGATACTCATACAGACACTTCCGACACCAAGAAATCATACAAATACAAACCAAGAACAGTATAACAAAGCACCTACAATCATCCGCGTTCTCGACGCCTCATGCCTGCACCACCAACTCACCACCAACCCAACCCAGCTCTAAGTCTGCACTTTCAGGCTCGGCGGTCTCGCCGCCTACGAACCGCCGGACGAGCGGCTGCCAGCAATCGTCTGTGAGGACCATATGCTCACCCTCACACGTCTCGAGCACGACCGCGCCCCGCTTGTCCAGCGTCCGCAGCCCAATCCAGTCCTCGATGTAGAGCGGCTGCAGGCGCATTGGGACGACCGTCTTTTCTTGAGGCTGCGCGCCCACCTCCGTCGCCGAGTCGTTCGGCACGGCGTACGCGCCGAACCAGCTGCTCTCCTTCGGGACGACGGTCTCGTCCTGGAGGAAGAGCACGAGCACGAGCTTAGTGAGGCTCGCGAAGTTCGCTGCGTAGGTCGCGTTCCGCTCGGCGGGCAGCTCGTTGTTGAACGGCGCCAGGAAGGTGTTCGCGGCGAGGTACGGTCAAGGCGCGCGGGGTCGCGGAAGTACTGTGCCTGCGTGCCGCGGCGCGTTTGTGTGAGTAGCAGAGACAGGACACAAGTAGTCAGTCAACGAAGTGTGTGGGCCGGCTGGAGGGGAGAGACGGACGGACCTGGACGAGCTGCTTCTGTGCCCACTCGGTGTAAACTTCGTGGAGGGCCGCGCGCCGGGCGAGCTGGCACATCACGTCGAAGGGCCGGCAGCCTGGGATGTCGGAGATGCCCATGTGCTGCGAGCCAAAGGTGATGAGGTTGTGGACTGGCGGGGCGTTGTGGCGCTCGATGTAGGCTCGGAGGAATTGGCCGCCTAAGGGAAGTTCAGTCTACTGGAAGGTTTATATGCCGGTGATGATAGGAGCTGCGAGGCTGGAATGGCGGGTGTGCTGTGTACATACCCTGTGAGAACCCCATCGCGTCGAACCCGTCCGCTATTTCGGTGATATTGGCGAGTTGGGCTGCCACTTGCTCAACCTGTTCGTTCACGTTTCCATACTGTCCACGAGCGGACCTCTATATCAGCACCCGCAACACGAGGAAAGAGACAGCATTCCGGACATCGCGACCAGACTGACCCGCCGTCCAGGCTGGTCTGAAGGTCTCCGGAACGACTGCGTAGACGATGAAGACTCACGAATGTCGCCCTCCTATCATCGTCCAGCGCATCAGCGAGATATATAGAGTGGACAAAGATGCCAGGGTGTATGGTCTTGACGCGCGCAATGAACTCCAGAATGCCGGGCGAATTGTAGGAGTCGCCGAGGCCATGCCATATGACGAGAGGGCGGGGCTTCGTCACGTTCGAGACCTCAACGAGGGGTTCCCATGCGCCCGAGAGCTTGACGACTTGCGCTAGGTTCTGGCTGGGGACTTGGCGCTGCGCTGGGGAGCACGCAGCAAGGGGCAGGAAAGCGGGAGTGACAGGAGGAGCAGTTCGCGGAAGATCATGCTGGAGAACTGAGCAGGAAAGCAGAAGTGGACAGTTAGAGAGAGTCGAGTAGGCGACCCAACTCAGACCAGCACAACGCCATAGCCGCCACATCCAAATAAAGCAATTCCCGCCTCAAGGTGGCACCAACGAACGCACGTGCCCTTTTCAATGTGCGCAACTGCACGGCATAACTTGCTGTGGTCCAGAAGGCAGATCCGTTCATGTTCTACTCTTCAGCACCACAGCCGTACAGCCGAGATCTTTCATTCATTCGTCCTGAAGATGACAACCACAACACCCACTATGGCTCATCGAGCTCTGTTTACGGACGATATCATCCAGGATATCTTGGAGCAGATACTATGCATGGAATTCAAGGACGAACTGGAAAGGCGCAAAGCCTTGCACAGCTAGCTCGTACGTGTAGGAAGTTCTCGCGATACGCGCTGCCAGCGTTGTGGAGACATTTACCATCTCTGAGGCCGCTGCTATCCCTTCTTGCGCCGCTGCGATGTCGACCCATACTAGGGGACGAACTGCCGATCGGACACCGTGGGTGGCACGGCCTTGAAGTTCCTGAGCGCGGCACAGACTACTCTTGGGTGAGAATCACATCGACCATTCCTTCCGAGAGCCAGTTGTTCATAAAGGGCATATGTATGTGCAGGCGTTTGACGAAGCGATTACACCTGATGGCAATCTACGATTCAACCATTACGCCAGCTTTGTGCGCGTACTCAACATCCACCGATTCCCGCCACTCAACCCCTCCGTGTTCGATCATCTAAAGGATGCGGGTTTACATTGTCCACTTCTTCCTGATATTAGGGAGCTTAATTGCGAACACACTCCGTTCACGGCAATCGCTGCGAAGTGGGTCGTAGGGCCATCGTTGCTCTCGTTCTCCGTTCTCCATCACACTTCATGATAGCGATTCGTCGATGTACATGCCGTCCCTACCCTTAGGATCTCGACCACGGGAGAGTACCACCGATGGCACAATGCTGGAGTTGGATACGCTGGTCACCCACCTCCAATCTTCATCGCCGAATATCGAAACTCTGAGGGTGATCGATCAGCCATCCCACTGGGATTTGCATTCCATCCTCGCTTTCACGAACCTCCGTATCGTGGACATCTCAGTCTGGCATAACTGCGATACCGATATCCTGCGGTCCCTCGCCACATTCCCGCATCTACACACGCTTCGGCTCTCTGTGGTCGCCTTTCTCGGCGAGTCTACGCCTCTCCCAGGTGGCTTCGCGTATCTGGAGTGTCTGGCCATTTCTGGCAACCAAGAGGCCATCGCTCGGGCGGCGGAGATGATCGTCCCTCCTCGATTGTGCACTCTGTGGATTTCGGGAAAGTTTGATTACAGAGAAGTCATGCACAGAACCCTCTATCCTCTCTGCAATCGCTACTCCAGCACACTCACGGAAGTTCACCTGGAGTGCGCCGAACTATATGGGCTCAACCTCATGGAGATATTGGATCCACTTCTCCCAGTGTTCAACCTACGTGTGTGCATGCTGTCCGCCGCCTTGGGGAGGGTTTCCTTCACGGACGCGGACTTGATGGTGCTGGCAGCGCGATGGCCAGCGCTGTCCGTTTTCAGTGTCCTGTGCAAGTGGTACCGAGCGCTGCCTACATTGCGAGGCATCGCGGAATTTGCGGACGCCTGTCCTTCTCTAACGCAGGTCAGCCTGGAGTACGTCGCATGGCCACTTATCATCCCTGAAGCCGAAGGAGAGCGCCGCCATCGTAGGAATAAGCTGAAGCTCTTGTCGGTCCGTCAAGCAGCCGATCTCAGGGACATTGGTGACAATGGTAGTACGGACCTTTCCAGGGTGGCACATGTCATGGATCTCCTGTTTCCTGCCTTGGATATCCAGTCGTCAAAGGCAATGATTCGCCCAGACGGCTGGGCGTCGTTTTGGACGAAGGTCTTCGATGAGACTGGAAAAGTGCAGAAGACTCGCCGGGTTATTGAATGCTATGACTGACTCCGAAGGCTATCCTGACCGTTTTGTCAAATAAATGGTAGTAGAGATGACGAAGGTCGCATCAGTACAGTTGTTTCAAGGTATTGTAGTACTCGCGTGGACGATGGTTACGCTGCTTTCCTCTTCAATATATGAGGAGGCTACCTACATCCTGCATCCAACTTCGTGCTAATTGGCGAAGATCCAATCACCTCCAAGAGATACAAGCATGCAAAAGTCTCCAACAGTGAAGGGGTTTGTATCGAATCTAAATGTATCCCGAGTCTCGACAGTGCACGACAGGCAGGCAATGGCTAAATCCGGTAGTCATCTTACCGTTTTGGGTGACTATCCCGCCCGTAGCTGCGTATCGCAGAGCGGCCTCTGTCTCATTTACCATCGTGGCTCATGGTATGATACTCAAGATTTATCGCACACGAATTGCATTGCCAAGCGGTTGGTATACAGCCTGAGCAAGGCGTTGTCGATGCCAGTGATTGCCGCATCAGGTAAACCTGACGTAATCGAGCGTACGAGCTCCGAAAATTTGCAGGCAACACATTGGACTCCAACTGTGACTCGAATAATTTGCTCTCGACCGCCTCCCTCCTCTGAGCGACCCCGCTCGTACATGATCTTCACGCAGAACACTCGCGACGAGTGAGTCTCTTCCCGTTCCCCTTCTCTCCTCCCAGACATACTCATCGTTGTCAGTTACCTCAGCGACCTCGTTTTCTCTCTGCTCAGCCATTAAGACGGCCGCCATGATGTTTGCGCGAACCCTCACCCGTGTTCCGCGGTTCTACCGCGGTCTTGCTACGCATGCTAAAATACAGGGCAACGCGTCGGTCCCGGCGGTGTTGCACCTGAAGACGGGCCAGTCGTTCCAGGGTCGCTCCTTCGGTGCACCGCATAGCGTCTTTGGCGAGACCGTGTTTTCGACGTCGATCACATCTTGTGTGTGCTTTCACTTTCCTCTCCTATGCCGACTGACGCCTCTACAGACACAGAGTCGATGACAGACCCGTCATACCGGGGACAGATCCTCGTCTTCACTACACCTCTCATTGGGAACTACGGTGTCCCGCACAACCGCACGCCCGTCGACTCGCGCGACGTCGGAGTCGTGCTTGAGTCTGAATCCATACAGTGCGCGGGCGTCGTCGTTGCGGATGTGGCGGAAAGGTACTCACACCATGCTGCCGCTGAGAGCCTCGCGGCGTGGTGCGCGCGGTACAACGTCCCCGGCATCACAGGTGTCGACACCCGCGCCATCACGCGTCTTCTCCGCGATCAGGGTACCACACTAGGCCGACTCGCGGTTGGACCTGATGCTGGCCTACCATCTCCCCAGTCAGAAGAGTACTGGGACCCCACGGAGGAAAATCTCGTCGCACAAGTGTCGACCACGGAGCCGTACGACTTGAACCCGTCGGGCGACGTCAAGATCGCGGTGCTGACTTCGGCGCGAAGGCGAACATCCTGCGCGCGCTCGTGCGGCGAGGCGCCGCGGTGACGGTGTTGCCGTGGGACTACGACTTCAACGCGATCCGGGACAGGTACGACGGGCTGTTCCTCTCGAACGGGCCGGGCGACCCCGCGCACTGCATGCCCGCGGCGCTGCACCTGCGGCGGACGCTGCGCGAGTGGGACCGCCCGATCTTCGGGATCTGCATGGGCCACCAGGTGATCGGGATGGCGGCGGGCCTGGACGCGTACCGGATGACGTTCGGCAACCGCGGCCACAACCAGCCCGTGCTCGCGCTGGCGTCGTCGGGGAGCATCCGCGCGGGGCGGGTGTACGTCACGAGCCAGAACCACCAGTATGCGCTGCGGTTGCAGGACCCGTTCCCCGAAGGCTGGGAGCCGTTCTTCATCAACTGCAACGACTCGAGCGTGGAGGGGATCAAGAGCACGACGCAGAGCGGGAAGAAGGTCTGGGGGGTGCAGTTCCACCCTGAGAGTGCGGGCGGCCCGCTGGACACGATCGAGGTGAGCACCGGCGTTGACGGCGTGGTGGTGTGACTGGGTGTTGACGCTTGTGCGCTTAGATGTTCACGGACTTCTTGGCGGAGTGCCGAGCGCACAAGATGCAGCTCGGGCTGAAAACGGGCGACGTCATGGGCTCGAAGCAGGAGGTACCGCAGCTGGCTCCTGAGCTCGAGGTGTCGCGGCGGATCGCTGCGGCTGCGTGATCTCGTCGTCTTCAGTGCTGTGTGCTGCATCTGGTTCTTATGGTTCTGTTGCTTTGGTCTGGGATGTAACTAATGTTTGTGCTATCCGACAGAAGGGAAATGGCCATTCGTGATACTCTGTACATCGTGTGCGTGATGATGGGTGCTTATTGTATGTGATCTATTGGAAGAGACTGCAGACTCAGTGCAGACGGTCATGGCTTACGGATGAAGACCACCTCCATCAATTAGGTCTTCTTTAGGTATTGCCCAGGTGAGATAAAATGTTCAGGAGAGACGGCGCACTTCGCCGCGCCACCGGTATCATGGAACGTGCGTGGGTTCTGCACTTCGCACTGACAACAACCTGACAGCGGCCGGCTGCGGCCGCCGGCGACTGGCAGGCAGCGACTTGCACCTGGGTTCTCTGCTCCCTCGGTTCCCTACTCACCAGTCACCAGCGCGCTGTCTCTTTGCTCTCAATGGCCGCCCTCCGATGACGATTTATCGTTCATATCTGCTCATTTCTTGGCGCGACAAGACCTATCCTGCTATCCCACGAGGGCTAATCTCGGAACCGTATACATGTATCGCACCAGACTCAGGCTGGGGGTGTCGAACCCGTACGATGTCCTCCTCGACCTCCTCCACATTCTCTGGGTCGCGGCAGTCAGTTTCAACGAAACCGGCACATTCAGACAACACGTCAAAAGGTGCAAATGGCCCGACGCAGCTGTAGCGCTCCAGGTACGCTGTTTTCCGCCGTGCATATCGTGAGGGACGCCTACGTATACTCAGCGCCGCAGCAGTGAGCAACATGCGCAAGTCAACCACGTCCTGCTGGTCGCAGACCCTCAGCTGTTGGATTCTCAGTCGTACCCTGGGCGCAACCCATGGTTAGTATGGCTGAGCCAGCTTATGGTCGACCTGAATATGCGCAAGAGCTGGCGGGCTTCTCTCGCTCTACATCCGGACGCGGTGGTCTTTCTCGGGGACATGATGGATAATGGCCGCATGGATCAATCAGACGATGAGTACGTCTCCCTTAGATTTGCAATCCGGCCGTGCGACAACATTTTCCCTGCTCGCACACGTTGCCGACGAAGGGTGGCAGCACTAGATGGTCAGTGTTCGGAACCGCCGGCTGGCCGCGATAATCTCGCGACTGCACCTCGATGGAGTCATGACCCACAAACGTTTTGGCCGCGTAGTCATCCCCACGCAGCGGGTTCTGAGTACATGATGGAACCAAGCCATACACGATGAACTGGTTTTGCCGCAGCCACTTTGTCCTTGGAAGCACAGGCGGGGGAACCCGCTGTCCAGTGGCTGGCATTCCCGGGCCGACCAAATGTCGTCTGCTGGGTGCCGTTTGGACCTCCGAGAAACCATTTTCCTTGCCATTATTGCCTTGCCAAATGGATCGTCGCGACATCTAAGGTTGACCCTCAGTGAGGTCATGAGAGCTGACACCTTTTGCGTAGGTACGAAAGATACTTCCAGAGATTCCGCCAGGTCTTCCGAACCGACGAACCAGTGCCAACCCAATACATTCCTGGTAACCATGACGTCGGGTGCGTATGTACACCCTTGAGTGTCTATATATTTCTCATACAGGTCTACTAGGCTCGGAGCCTCAACTCGTTTCTCTCAAGACGCCGCAGAGCGATATGTGTCGCATTTTGGCCCTCTCAATCAGCTCGTCGAGCTTGGGGACCATACATTTGTGCTCATAGACGCTCCTGGACTTGTAGCGGAAGAGGGCATGCGCCTGAGGAGCGGACGAAGCTACTCTCAGTGGGTGGACGTGAGTCCGACTGGCGTGATCGCGTTCATACATTCGTTGGCCGTTCGTGCGTATCTCGATATGATCTACGCTGTTCTCCTCGCCGACGTTTCTGATTTAGATGAGGATGCGAAGCCTCGAGTGCTGTTTACACATATCCCGCTCGCGCGCCCCGAGGATGCGCCTTGTGGGCCGTTGCGTGAACGGGGTACGATCCACCAAGGCAAGGGGTTTGGGTACCAAAACACGCTCGCACCGCACACGACTGAGTTCGTGTTGCAGCACGTGCGACCTTCGCTTGTGTTCAGGTATGTTCTGTCTACTGTCGTCACGCTCGCGACAGCTCATGGACGCCCCTCAGCGGTGACGACCATGATTATTGTGATTACACGCATACATACGGCTCCTCCGATGTCGAGGACACTCCGAGTACAGGTACTGTCCAGGAGATCACCGTGAAGTCGTTTTCTATGGCGATGGGCATCCGCCAGCCGGGGTTCCAGCTCCTCTCCGTAGGCACACCTCCCTCAAACTTCACCTCATCGCTCGCGACGGTTCCATGCCTCCTCCCGGACCAACTAGGCATCTACATCAACGTCTATGTACCCCTCTTCGTCTTCAGCGTTGCCCTGCTCCTCGCATCCAACATCCACCGCGTGCGCACACGCGGCCGCTACGTCAACTGGGTGGCCCTGCCCCGCTGGTGCCAGTGCCTGCGGGTGTCCGTGAGGTTCGTGCTCTTCGGCAGGAGGATGACTCTGCGGCTGCCTTCGATCAGCGAGCAGCCGTGCGACGGCGATGACGTGGAGCTAGGGGGGAACAGGCCCTCGGTAGGAAGAGGCAGCACTGTGCGTGCAGGCGGTGCGTTGGGCGGTGCAGTGAGGGATGTTGTGAATGTGGCCTGGATGCCGCTCTTGCTTTTCGTTGGGCTTGCTTGGTGGGTTTTCTAGGTGACAGCGTATCTGTGCCTGTATTTTTTGTGCTCTGTTTGTTGTGCTCTACTGTACTCATGGATCCTTGCCGTGTTTGTTGTCATCTGTTGTAGAGATTGTAGATCGTCGTCGATCGTGAGGTTAGATACAGATACAGGGTGAAGATGTACAATGCTCGGTCAAACTGCACGCGAACTTCGTCATATTCGCTACTGTGTTAACAGTCGAGATAGCCCGCGGAATCAGTCATGCATTATCAATAACCCGGCGAGTCTTCTGCACCTCTTCAGTCACGTTCAAGACCTTCTCCCAAAACATCGCCCAAGTGACTGGGCGAGTGGGTTCGATCATCGCCTTCGACGACTGGACATCCAATGCAGGAAACAGGCGATCGACGACAAGTGCCGCCGCGCGAGGGTCCGTCCTAACAATGTTCCCGACATTGGCTCCTCGACGGAGCGTCAAGAGCTTCAGCTTATTCTTGCGATGGACGTGCTCTCCTTCTTCGGCTTCAGGGATAAGCGGCCACGCAATCTGCTCCAGGCTGATTTGCGTAAGATTAGGACAAGCGTCCGCAAAGTCCGCGATGCCTTGCAGTGTAGGCAGCGCTCGGCCCTTTCCGCACATGATGCTGAAAACGGATAGCGCTGGCCATCGCGCTGCCAGTACCATCAAGTCCGCGTCCGTGAAGGAAACCATCCCCATTTCTGTGGACAGCATGCACACGCGGAGGTTGGACACCGGGAGAAGCGGATCCAATATCTCCATGAGGTCGAATCCGTATAAGTTGGTGCACTCCAGGTGGACTTCCGTGAGTGTGCTGGAGTAGCGATTGCAGAGAGGATAGAGGGTTCTGCGCATGACCTCTCTGTAATCAAACACTCCCGAAATCCACAGAGCGCACAATCCAGGAGGGACGATCATCTCCGCCGCCCGAGCGATGGCCTCTTGGTTGCCAGAAATGGCCAGACACTCCAGATGCGCGAAGCCACCTGGGAGAGGCGTAGACTCGCCGACAAAGGCGCGCACAGAGAGCCGAAGCGTGTGTAGATGCGGTAATGTGGCGAGGGACCGCAGGACATCGGTATCGCAGTCATGCCAGACTGAGATGTCCACGATACGGAGGTTCGTGAAAGCGAGGATGGAATGCAAAGCCCAGTGGGATACATTGTCGAACACTCTCAGAGTCTCGATATTCGGTGACGACGATTGGAGGCGGGTGACCAACGTATCCAACCCCAGCATTGGTCCATCGGTGATACTCTCTCGTGGTCGATATCCTGAGGGTGGAAACGGCATGTACATCAACGGATCGATGTGAGGCGTGATGGAGAACGAGAGCAACGATGGCCCTACGACCCACTTCGCAGCGATTGCCGAGAGCGGAGTGCGTTCGCAATCCAGATTCGTGAGGGCAGGAAGGAGCGGGCCATGTAAACCCGCATCCTCGAGATGAGTGAACACGGAGGGGTTGAATTGCGGGAATCGGTGGATGTTGAGTACGCGCACAAAGCTGGCGTACTGGGTGAAGCGTAACGGTAAATCGCCTTCCGGTGCAATCGGTCCGTCAAACGCCTGCACATAATATGCGCTCTGTGAACAACTGGCTAGGAACTTGGAATATTGACCAATGTGGCTCTCACCCAAGTGTAGCCTAAGTCGCGCTCAGAAGGAGCATGGCCCAGGGAGTGCTGCCACCGCGGCGTTTCGTCCCCATTGGCATCAATTCGTGTGGGTCGCAGCGGCGCGAGGAGGGATAGCAGCGGCCTCAGAGATGGGAGATGTTTCCACAGCGCTGGCAGTGCGTATCGCGAGAATCTCCTACACGTACGAGCTAACTGCGCAAGGCTTCTGCGTTTCTCGAATTCGTCCTTGAATTGTATGCATAGCATCTGCTCGAAGATGTCCTGGATGATATCGTCCGTGACAGAGCTCGATGAGCTATAGTCGGTGGCACTGCGGTTGTCATCGTCAGGACGGATAAAAGATCTCAGCTATACGACTGTTAGTATAATGAGAGCAGGAGAGCCGGTGTACAATCGTCGGCTAGGATGTAAGCTGAGCTCGAGGTGACAGTCGCGGCACTACTGAGGTACAAAGAACGAACTTACCGGTGCTTGAAACTATGGTGGTAAGTATGTCACATGCAGTGTAGATTAGTAATACGTACGATGTAGACGACAAATTTCAACTGCAAGTGCTAAGACGGTATGTCACACATTCCCTTGAAGATACAATACAACGAAATCATGGCGGTTTCCAGTCTTCCGGTCAGGAGCATCCTTGCCATCATCACACCCTGGCCAAGCTTGCTCGAAGGTTCGCTGCGGCAGATCATCGATTAACCATCCAACACCCGGGAGCACCACTGACTCACGCTCAGGACCATACAACCTATAGCAGAATACATACACTTAAAGCGATCTCGGCGCGATCGACGATAGAGGGACGATCAGTCCGGAGGGTCTGCCTCCGATCCACTTGAAACCAGGCACTTGGGGCTGGGACGCGTGGACCAGCATCTTCGGCACTTAGTCGGGATCGTCCACAGACTCGGAAATTGCACGCTGTCTCGCGGCGTTGAGAGGGCCTGCGGTGGTCCGACATCGGCAGATGCGGAACGCTAAGTCGAGTCGAGGATGATCCGAGCATATACGGCCAGACCGAGGACAAGTGGGACGCGATCGGACGACGAGGACGGCCCGGAGGGCTAGTGCAAACTTCGCCATGCGCACTGACTGGCACCCCGGACATGACATGCACGCAGATCACGGAGTAAACTCTGCAGCGTATTTTCCGCAGCTCGATGATCCACTCGTCCGTCCTGATCATGGACTTACCTGCGGGCGCTTGAGCGATCGTGCCAGGTATGGAAAGTCGCAGTGAGACGACAGGTGCTCTGTGGTTTGATTCTGTCCACTCCGTGGCAGACGTGGGAGAGGGCGAATGGTCGACATGACCGGTCGGTCTCGAGCACGTCAGCTTCAGCATCGGTGTTCAGTGGCGCGATAGAGATGGGTGCCTTGCGCCGTACGCTGTTGACCGTGATGGCCGAGGCACTCAGGGACGCTCTGTATAGGAACACTGCAGAAAGGTTCAAGGAATGCCACGCTGGATTGGTTTCGGAGGGAACTGACAAGAACGGTGGATGGAATGCACGTACAGCAACCTGTCGAGTGAATTGCGAGATGCTCAGGGCGAGGCACGGGATGTCGAAGCTTCAACAATGCCGATGCTGCAAGCTTTTTGGGTTATGTCACGCGAGGGTGGTAGCAGGGTATGCGTAGCGTGCACATCGCTGCGGCGAACCGTGCATAAGCGTATATAATGAAGCTTGCGGGATGGGAGAGAACGAGAAGACGTATACCTTCTTTGAAGTGAGGTCAATGCATGGTGATAAGCTTTGCGGGAATGGCGTCACCAGCGGCCGGCACGGAATGATGGTCGCGTTGGTGTGCAACAGCTGGAAGGGTGAGCAGAATGGCCGCAAGCGGGAACGTGTCGGGGTGCGAGGGTAGCAGCGACAAGGCAGCCGGCGGAAGCATCATTCGCAATAGGCGATCCATATGGAGAGAGAACGGAGAGATGTCGCCGCACAGGCAGCGGGGCCGCGACGTGCGTAGAGAACTGAGCGGTGGTTATCACGCCCGCGCACGGAGGAAAGGACAGGGTCGCGGAGGCCACGCTGTCAGATTGGTGGTGTGTTCGCTGGCCCGATAAGGGCAACGGGGGAGGGCGGCGAGGATATGATGGGGCCGGTCTAGAAGCACGCGGCTTGGCGAGGGACGTATCATGGCGCAGACGCGTCGTGCGTGGGCGCGTGGACACTGGTACAAAAGCTGGCCGGGCGCGGTCGCCGTGTCGCACAGAGGCCGCCGCCATGCACGCACGTTGCCAGCAGCTCGAGCACTTGCCACCGGCCGTGCAGCCGCGCGCGGGGCCGGGCCCGGCGACGGCGGCGTCCCGCAGGAGGGCGGCGCCGATGTCGTCGCCGATCGCGCGGGTGTCGCTGGCGGGGGACGCGGTGCTGACGGCGGCGGGGCCGGCGCGGGCAGCGGAGGAACGGCGGCGGCGTGCGGGGTCCGCGCGGCCGAGCGTGGTGCGGCGAAGAACGTGCCCTGTGCTGGGATCGATCTTCGAGCCCATCAGCGAGGAATCTGCAGCGTCCCCGTCGTCCGCCCCATATCCGGGCGAGCACCTCGACATATATAAACGTCATCACACGCCCCGTGCCCGCCCCAAGCCCCTCCACGCCCACTCTTCCCCAGAGCTCATCTCCACCTCCACCACAAGGCCTGTCCACATAAACCCCTCCGCGTGCGTACCCTGCCCTCCCTCTCGCGCCCCGTCGTCCTCACCACCCCCGCAGCGCAGCAGCAGCAACCATGTCCTCCGACAGCCTCATGCCCAAGAGCGACAGCTTCAACGCGCGCATGCGCGGCAGCAGCCACATCGACTTCAAGACCGCTACCACCGGCGTCGCCGCAAAGGCCATGCGCAACGAGCTCAGCAACCTCGTCCGCTCCGTCAGCGACCCCGAGACAAGCGCGCCTTCGACACGGAGATGCAGTCCTTCTTCTACCTCTTCACTCGCTATCTCGCCGAGCGGGCACGGAGCCATGAGCTGTGAGTGTCCTTTCTCTTCCCCGTCTTCGCGCCGCCCTTGTGTTTCGCTTCGGTTCCTACGGCGGGCGTCCCGCATACACCTATCATCGTCCGTTCAATGCTGCGTGCATTCCTATCTTCGCATCATTGAGCCGGATGTATGCGATGGTATGCGCGATTAGACGCGTCCGCTAGGGGCGCTTCTAGCGCGTACTATCATGCACTCCCCGGAATGGGCTTCGGCTTTGCACACGCGACGTCGCTTCCGACTGTTCGAGGAATCTGGGGTGCATTTGCGGTCGCTGTGCATGCGGAAACAGTTGAACGGGCGAGCACGCTTGCGTACGGCCTTGTAGGCACCGTGTTCAGCCATGCAGGTCGCTCTGCTTGCCCGTTGAGCTTGGGCAGGTCCATATACTTTGCATTCCCCTCGACGCGCTACGTCATGTCCGCTCCGGGCGATTCGATCTGCATCATCACCATGTTGATCGCGCCCGATCATGGTGCGCGTCGGTACCGAGCAGATTAGGGCTAAGACGTACAAATGTCGGTCCGGTAAACTCTGAACAGTGGCCATTATTTATTCTTGTATATGGGCGTCTTGCATTCTGTCTTGACCCAACATATTGACGAGTGCGCATACAGTGTATGGGACAAGATCAAGTCGCCTTCGGATGACAAAGTTGTGCCCTACTCGAAGCTCCCTTCAGGCGATGTTGCCAACCTCAACAAGCTCGCTGTCCTGAAGGTGAACGGTGGTCTCGGTACGTCCATGGGTATGACCGGCGCCAAGTCCGCGCTCGAGGTCAAGGACGACATGACCTTCCTCGACCTGACCGTGCGGCAAATCGAGCACCTCAACACCACGTACCGCGTCGACGTACCGCTCATCCTGATGACGTCCTTCAACACACACGAGGACACGCTACGCATCATCAAGAAGTACGCGAACCAGCAGCTCAGGATCACGACGTTCAACCAGAGCCGATACCCGAGGATATTCAAGGAGACTCTCCTCCCGTGCCCGAAGTCGGCGGACGACGACAAGAAGCACTGGTACCCCCAGGTCACGGTGACTTGTACAATGCGCTCTACCAGAGTGGTGTTCTCGACCAATTGCTGAGCGAGGGCAAGGAGTACTTGTTCGTGTCGAACTCGGACAACTTGGGTGCCGTGTGAGTAATCATTACACTCTGTGGGCCGTCAGACGGGGATGTTGAACGGCGATTTAGCGTCGATGAGAAGATCCTTCAGCACATGATCGATTCGCAATCGGAGTTCATCATGGAAGTGACGGACAAGACGAAAGCGGACGTGAAGGGTGGTACCCTCATTGACTACGAGGGCAACATTGAGCTGCTCGAGGTCGCGCAGGTGGCGTCAGAGCATGTTGAGGACTTCAAGTCCGTGCGGAAGTTCAAGATCTTCAACACGAACAACCTCTGGCTCAACCTCAAGGGTGCGTGTCTCCTTTGGTATGGCATATAACTCAAGGCATTGACACTCGTATATAGCGGTGAAGCGTATCATGGAGAAGGGCGAGATGGAGCTCGAGATCATCGTCAACCCCAAGACCACTGACGACGGTCAGGCCGTCATCCAACTGGAGACCGCCGCGGGTGCCGCGATCAAGCACTTCCAGAACGGACACGGCGTGAACGTCCCGCGCTCGCGCTTCCTTCCCGTCAAGTCGTGCTCAGACCTGCTGCTGATCAAGAGCGACATCTACTCGCTGCAGCACGGGCAGCTGGTGATCAACGAGAACCGGATGTTCGAGACGACGCCGGTGATCAAGCTGGGCGACCACTTCAAGAAGATCGCGCAGTTCCAGAAGCGGTTCAAGAAGATCCCGAAGATCATCGAGCTCGACCACTTGACGGTGACGGGGGACGTGTACTTTGGGCGGAACGTGACGTTGAGGGGGACGGTGATCGTCGTGGCCAATGAGGGGCAGAGCATCTATGTCCCCGATGGGTGTATCCTCGAGAACCGTGAGTCGCGGTGATTTCTGGACGCGTCCGCATCGACTGACGTGCTTGTGTTCTGTAGGTCTGCTCTCCGGAAACCTCAACATGATCGAGCTATGAGCGCTTCTCTCCTCTCCATTCGACATTCTCCTCAGCGTGCATCTCAACTTAGTATACTCACGACGGACATTGTTTTCCACACGCGGCTCCCCCTTTCTGCATCTATGTTGTTAGACGAATGTGCGACGGGTTGGTCATGGACTGGGCTGGTCTGGCAGGCAGTCGGCAAATGAAGTGTTTTCAATTGTGTCACGTACGATACCGATACCGATGTGAATAGCATACTATACGACTGGCCTCCGTCGGTCGAACGCGCGCTTCAAATGTTTGAGGTATGTAAGTACGTCGCGACGTCGTGCGGAGGGGTCGTGACCGTGTTCTGCGCGCCAGATCCAGATCTGTGCACGTATTCGCGCCCAGCGGCCGCAGTGCCGGCGCTCGCTGTGTCGTTCGTCTCTCCCACCATCTGCGATCAGTGTATTCGAGCGGGCGAGTTGGGTCAACGACTCTGACTTTCGACACTGCAATTGTAGACCTAGTACGTTGCCAAGATGGTGGTGTTGGGGGACGCGAGGCCTAATAACCGTGCCAGAAGCACGATGTACTTGAATCAGAACAATCGTGGTCGCCGCGCCTCACAGCCTGCTAAGAATGGCCGCGCGGCCCGCCCTGCCAACGGGGCTGCCGCACCACCCCCGTATACCCCATACCAAGGAACGAACTCGTATGTGCAGTGCGTAGGACAGTTAGACATGCGCTGATATTTTGCTAGCGGGCATAACTACCAGCCGAATACAGCCCGCCGCCAGTACAATCCGTATGGCCAAAACAGGTATGCCTCGATACCTGCATTACTCGGTGAACACGATTTGTTGAGTCGCTGTTGATTTAGTGGGCCTAGCGAGAGATCGCCCCTCAACGGCGATCTCCCTCGACATGGCTATCGAACTGAGCCGCCCCCACCGCCGATCAAGCGTCCGAACAAGGCGCGGGCGGTTCCCAAATGGGTCTGGATCCTGTTTGTAGCGGCTTTCATCGTGGGGATCGTGGTCACGGTCTTTGGCATACTACAGACCTGCCGTGCCAACAGACAGACCCACCGCGCCGACGCCCTAGACCGCCGCCTGGCGGAGTACCCACCCACGCGCGTGGAGCTCGACGCGCTCAAGGCAGAGTGGGCGGAGGAGCGCACGACGCACGAGGCGCAGTACGAGACGTGGGCGCACGACCGCGGGGTGTTCGAGGAGGAGCGCGAGGCGTGGCGCGTCGCGGGGAAGGAGCACGAGATGGACAAGGAGCGGTGGGTGAGGGGGCGGCGCGCGTACGACGCGGATACGGGGCGGTGGAGGCGCGCGATGCAGGGGTATGAGGCGGCGAAGAGGAGGTGGGCGGAGGAGCAGGAGGGGTGGGCGCGTCAGAGGGAGACACGCGAGCGGGAGTGGACGGAGGAGGCGGACCAGCACCGCGTGCACGAGGGTAATGTGCTGGGCTTGTCTTGGGGGCAGATTGAGAGCCACCAGTGCGTCCGCTATGGGACTCGGGAGTATACGGCGCACCTTGCCTTTGATGTGAAGGAGGCGTGCCAGCATATGCCCATCGTTGTCAATGGCGCTGCGGTCAGCACGCCTCACGAGTGCGTCATGGTGGGTCGCGACGTCCATCTGTTCGTATGATTATTGATGCACGGACTGCAGGAAGGAGACACTCTTGTGAGCCGCTGGAACATCGACCAGGGCGAAGCAGCATGCAAGCCCTACTGGGGCGACCTGTATGACAAGGTTCGTCAGTTCGACAATCAGACTCTACCGGTGCAGGGTTGATTGGGCCGTGTTGCAGGGTTGTATTGGCCAGGGCTCTGGCAAGCACGTAAGTCCTCCCTGTCTCCCGTCATCATACAATACGCGCTCACCCACTGCTGCAGCGCTTCGAAGCCCGTCTGTGGGATCTTCATGGTGACATGGATTGGATGGTCATGTGTGCCACCACCCCCACCGACATCCGTGGCCAGCGTTTTGATGGCCCGACGCATTGCGAAAACCGAGTATGTCAACCTTTGAACCCATACCCGCATACAGCTTGGCTTACTTGTTTGCAGGGCGCATTCTATGGGATGGTCGGCATGTGGGACGTCAACGACTCTCAGTGCCAGTGAATGAATCCCATTCAGTAGAGCTTCAATACTTTCCGGTTTCAATGTGAGTACGTCGACGTTTTCCGACTGATGATGCTCGTCTGACAAAACCTGGGCAGGTAACGACGAATTACCTGACTACAGGTTGTACTATACGTCGCAATCTCTCGTCTCTCGCTCTTCGCTGTCAGTTCTTGTTCTGTCTACGCTGTCGCTCTCCGGTCACTGTTGTGTGTACCAATCACGCTGTCCGCTCGCACGTCCGTTCGTATGTCGCCGTCTCATACATGTATGGTCGTGAATGTGAACTTGATTATTAGTCGAACACGCTGTTATGGGAAGGTATCGAAAGTCTGGCTCTGCTGCGCGACAGCCTGACTGGGAGACCCAGCGCCCGCCCGCCAGCATATCCTGTTTTGAATCCTTTTATTGTCTGCGAGGCCGCCCTATGTAGACAAGGCTCGAGCTCTAGCCTACAAGGGTAGGTAAGGTTCGTGCTGTCGGAGTCAGACCTGGGTATTCGCTTGGCATATCCTTGTGAGCGCAGGACGAATCACAGTGGTGGTTCTCGACGACCAGCCGCATAACTGACGCGCCACCCACGTGACCGCATGCATCCGCGCACCGGTAACAGACAACTTGGACAACACTGCAGTCCAGTACTCTGCACCCCACCCGAAGCCGGTAAACACTACTGAAAATGTGTCAGTGAACAGACTGACCCATTCGCTTCGCACCATATAGTCATATAAGGGCGGTACGAAGTCGCATACCTCCACCGTGGCCCGAAACTCCTGTTCAAGGCATAAGACTTGTACAATAACTTTCGGTGTATTGCAGAGAGCATATGTGTGCCATGCATGCGCCCAAGAAGAGGAACATCTGTCTATCAAAGCAATGCGCCGAATTTAGTTGGCTAGCTTCCGTGATCGTATACCCGTTCGTAAGTGTGCGTGAATGTCCGCAGAGGCGAGCAAGACTGTCCAAACTGGGGTATCTCGTGTGTTGAGGGTGGTCCGTGATGGATTACCGTCGTAGATGCTTAGAGCTCCTGGGAGGAAATGAGAATCGGAATTATAGGAGGATCAGATTTGCTTACAGTCATAGTCAAGTTTCCGGAGAGCAGTCCTAGAAGAGAGCGGTGTCCGTCAGCAGTGTTTCCGTTGAATGCCACACCCTAGAACGTACTGTTTTCCAGCACACAACCGTCGGGAATGTCGATGCGCTGACCCTCATTGGCAACAACTACATCAATCAGTCAGCCTTCACTCGAGGAACACCACAAATCACGCACTGATCACAGTCCCACGTAGCGTGACGTTACGCCCAAAGTAGACATCCCCAGTGACCGTCAAGTGGTCGAGCTCAATGATCTTCGGGATCTTCTTAAACCGCTTCTGGAATTGAGCGATCTTCTTGAAGTGGTCGCCCAGCTTGATCACAGGCGTCGTCGAGAACATCCTGTTCTCGTTCAGGACGAGCTCCCCGTGCTCAAGAGAATATATGTCGCTCTTAATCAGAAGCAGGTCCGAGCACGACTTCACGGGCAAGAAGCGCGAGCGGGGAACGTTCACGCCATGCCCGTTGCGGAAGTGCTTGATCGCTGCGCCGGCGGCGGTCTCGAGCTGGATGACCGCAACGCCGTCGTCGGTCGTCTTGGGGTTGATGATGATGTCGAGCTCCATGCCTTCGCCCTCCATGATACGCTTGAGCGCTGTCGGATGTCGCGACAATGGTGAGCATCTGAACGTTCTACGAGCGTGAGACAGCACGGACCCTTCAAGTTGACCCAGAGGTTGTTCGTGTTGAAGATCTTGAACTTCCGCACGGACTTGAAGTCCTCGACGTGCTCCGATGGCACCTGCGCGATCTCGAGCAGCTGGATGTTGCCTTCGTAGTCGATGAGGGTACCGCCCTTGACGTCCGCCTTTGTCTTGTCAGTGACCTCCATGATGAATTCCGACTGTGATTCGATCATGTGCTGCAGGATGGTCTCGTCCACCACTGCACCCAAGTTGTCCGAGTTTGAGACGAAGAGGTACTCCTTGCCCTCGCCCAGCAGCTGATCGAGCACACCGCTCTGGTATAGAGCGTTGTACAGATCACCGTGGCCGGGTGGGTACCACTTGCTCTTGTCGTCCGCCGAATGCTTCGGCGCGGGCGTGAGGGCCTCCTTGAGGATGCGCGGATAGCGCGACTGGTTGAACGTCGTGATCCTCAGCTGCTGGTTCGCGTACTTCTTGATGATGCGCAGCGTATCCTCGTGCGTGTTGAAGGACGTCATCAGGATGAGCGGCACGTCTACCTTGTGCGCCGTGTTGAGGTGCTCAATCTGGCGCACGGTCAGGTCGAGGAAGGTCATGTCCTCCTTGACTTCGAGTGCGGACTTGGCGCCCGTCATGCCCATCGACGTGCCGAGGCCGCCGTTGACCTTGAGCACCGCGAGTTTGTTGAGGTTCTTGGGGTCGGGGTTAGTGGGCAGCTGGTCGTAGGGCACGATCTGGTCCGCGCCGGGAGACCTGATGTTGTCCCAGACGCTGGAGGGGTGGCGTAAGCACCGCGGCGCGATCGCAGCATTTGCAGGCACGACTCACAGCTCCTTGCTCTCCGCTTTCTCCGCCAGGTATCGAGTGAAGAGATAGAAGAAGGACTGCATTTCTGTGTCGAACATCTGCCACCGCGCGGCGGTCAGTGCCCCGGAGTTGCGCAGATTCGGAGGGATCGCACCTTCTTTGTCTTGGAATCCGAGACTGTGCTCACGAGCCTGTTGAGCTCATTGCGCATGTTCTTCGTTGCAACACCCGTCGTCGCGGTCTTGAAGTGCTGTTTCCGGTGATGGAAGTGCCATAGGACACGGAAGGACGCCGTCAGTGCGACCATTGCGTACAAGATAAGAGAAACACAGCGAATGCTCCGAGAACGAGAGTATATGGGACTCTAGAGCCCGCCATGCTTCCCGCACGAGCGGCGCAGCGAAAAGGTTGCAGGACGCACGTACCATGGCAGACACGCCCCGTGTGCGAGGCGTCTTCTCGCTGGGCGAGGGGGAGAGGCGGCTGTAGCCGGACTGACCGTTGCCGAGCGGGTTCAGGAAGCTTGCCATGCTGCGGACGAAGAGACAGAGGGAGAGGAGGAGGAGGAGTGGGCGTGTCGCGGTGAGGCCTTGAGGCTGGGCGGCCTTGCGCGACTGCTGTGCCTGCGTGTCCCAAGCGCGCTCAGATCGTGTACGATCTCAATCGTGATCCTACTCTGTATGTAGATCCCATCGGGCGTCCCCTGTAGACTCGGAGTTGGTACAAGTCCTCGACATACTGCAGCAGACTGGTGCAACTGTCTAGGCGAAGGGGCAACATTCATGGGAATCCACTTGTGCTCCTAGTCTCCCAGTGAGGCGCGCAGCTAATGCTGGCGAGTGTGGACATCTTCTGCGGTGAGTGGTTGCACATTGAAATGGTGCGGAGTCTCGAGCTCCCCAGGGACGTGCTCCGAATCAGCTGAGTGCTTCCACAGATGCAAGAGAACCACTGGGTGAGAACTGGAGCCCCAGGCATCCTTCAGAACACACTGGACCTCCGTTATACCGTACAGCGCCGGTCGGAAGAAAGATCGTCACAACCTCAGCCACGAAAACGTGTTCACAGCAAGGCAATTGGATACAGTTACGTGCGCAGAGGCACTACATACCACGCAATCGAAAGAGAGAGAAAACACTAGACCACTTACGACTGTCAGTCACGGCGACATGGAAGAGTTAAGAGAGCAATGTAATGTAAACAAAACCGTACAGATTGCGTGCTCTGACAGCTGTTTGACAGAGCAAACTCTTCCAAAGGCGGTGGACGAGCAGTCATCGGACCATCACGAAGATTGAGGCTGCCGTTCATCTCGGTGAAGCGTATGTGCTACTTATCTGCGCGTGAGAAGTCACAGAGACTCTGATGAGCGGTCCAGGGCAATTGAATCCAAGTAAGTTCAAAGACATCCGAATCACTGGCAAAAGTCAGCTGAAGGCAGTGAGATACACACGGCAGCTACTGACAGACATGGCGAACTTTGCAGTGAAGGCTGCTTACTTTGTGCGTTTCCCGTAAGGATAACAAGAGTGCTGCGACAAAATCCATACCGGCCCACTGAGTTCGAGCTCATGGGCGAGATACAGTACCTCTGCCAGGCGGTATCCGCAGAAGAGCCGACCGACGTCGACTGTGCTACCGAGCACTTAGCACTGCGATGAAGGCATGTGGGAACCGCTGAATGCAACTCTGATTGACAAACCAATAGTTGTTAGGACTGGTCGAGAATCAAGTACTGTAATCACTGCGCGTCAAGCGGAATTTTCTGACAGGATATATGTGGGAAAGGCAAGATTTCCTGCGCTTTCCCGCCGTATTTCCTCGGAGGATATGGGACGAAAAGGCGCAGGTAAAACAAGATTTCCGAATCATTTCCGAGCACTTTCCCCACCCAATCCGCCAGGTATCCTCGCTCGCATCCCTAGCTCGCGTCTCCTGCTTCACTTCAGCTTCGTTATATTAGATCATTGGTATGTATTTTATGATGCTATGTACACATTGGACAGGCCCAACCGTCAACGCGTTAGCGAGCTGCCAGGCAACAGTATACGTAGGACCTAGATAGCGCCGAGCACGGATGAGATGCGCGACCCCGACCTGTACCTGCCTGTGTACAGGTGCTGCGCGGTTCGACGCGGGTTGTGCAGCTCGTCCTGCATGGGCCAGGCGAGTGGGTGAGCAAGCGGGCTGGCTAGCAGGAAGATGGGTGGACGGCCGAGAAGGGCAAGTGGGCAATAAGACAAGCACGAGCAGGCATGTGGGAGAGTGGGAGAGCTGGCTAGAGGGGGAGCACAGGCGGGCAAGAACGAGCGGGCGCCGGGCAGGAAGGCGAGCGGGCAAGAGGCGAGGGGGGAAGAGAGCCTGAGGGTGAACGAGCGGTCGGACAATAAGCCGAGTGGGCGAGCAAGCAGGCGGGCGAGGTGACGGAGGGCGAGAAGGACGACGAGCGCAGGCGAGCGGGTGACGAGGGCGAGCGAGCAGTGTGCGAGCAAGCAGGTAGTAAGCAAAATAGCAAGAGGGCGATGTCTCAGCCTCGTACCTGGCTCGCTGCTGGACCCATAGTCATCATGTCGAGTGCGCACAAAACTAGTTTCCGAGAATGCCGCACCTATTTTAGTACCGCTGACTTCATTCTGTTACCCATGTGCGAAACCAGACTCGGGGACCATGCCATTTGCAGCGGCAACAGACTCGGAGCCATCGGAGCGAAAATTACCGTACCAGAAATGTGCTGTAGGGCCGGAAGATCACTTTCCGCATCATGGTCAGCGATGTACACGTTCCGAACCTGGGAGTTTTACGTACCTTTTCTGTAAAGCTTTCTCGCGAATTCGCGTCTTCTCCCCGGCCTGCGCGAGGAGCGGCTGTATGACACCGTGTGCGTGCCGTAGAAGGCTAATATTGAGCTCACAAATGATGGCAATTAAAGCGGAAGTACTTACGAGCAGACAGGAAATTTCTACTTTCCCGAGTTTGTCAGCTGTTTTGAGCCATGGACTCCGGATGATCATCGTTTGCGAGACGGTGCCGTGGCGGCGTATGCTTACATCGGGTAAGTCCCTCCCTCCGATCGAGATCACAGACATGCTCACAGAGTGGCGGTTTGAACTCAAAGACGAGCGCGCGACTCGGACCAACTGTCCAAAACAGACCAACGCGGACGCCGTCCTCCGCCGCCGCCGCTGGCCGCCCACCTCCTGCAAGTCGAACCCAGGTCAGTCCGTCGCTGCGCGCATCGCAATGCAGCTCGTTCAACCCCAGCCATACTCACTCACCTGTAGGTCTTGTGTGCGCACGCCGCAGTGCCACACTAGCTACTCGATCTCCAGTCGTGCCTGCATGATTCGCCTGACTCGGACTGCTACGCCTTAGGCTTGAACCGCATTGCATACCACAAAGGGGCCTTGAACACGCGACTCGACGGTTGCAACTTTGCATGGAGGTGGGAGTTGTGGATCAAGGATGTCGATGAGGTGGATGTATGCGCGAAAGCCACGATGCCCGCGACGCGTCGTGGTAATACGTCACGAGCTCGCGTCATGGTGGCTCCAAATCAGGCTCCAATCGAGGAAAGAGAGGGAAAGAGGCAGGACATCGGTCGGGCGCGATATTAATAGGTAAGGTACAGAATATACCGTCTCTCCCCCGCTTATTCCACGTGGAAATTTCGCGTTGAAGTGCAGTGAATAGAGGCGGAGTCGATGATGGTCGGCAGCTGCCCAAGGAGTCACCGAAGCGTCGCCGAGGCGAAGAGCGCGGGTGGCTGAGGGTGGCTGACCTGTGGCTGGGTTTCACGCCCCGACTGATGTGTGTGAACCTTATTCGAGGAACTGCAATCGCCGCCATCCACAGTTACTGCAAGCAGCGCCCGACTTGACCAACCCCCAAGCCTCAAGACATTCAACATGGGTAAGTGCTGCCCCTGTTGTCAGCGAATGCACCTCTGATGGCCATGCCTCTCTCCGATTACATTTGCCGTCCCAATTGTGCTCCCACCGCAATCTTTGCACCTGCGATGCTTGCTCGACCGACGGTACACTGACTAGGTATCTCGCGTAGCTCGCGGCACAAACGCTCGGCGACGGGTGCGCAACGCCCCGCGTACCGCAAGAAGAGAAAGTTCGAGCTCGGCCGCCAGCCTGCGATGACGAAGCTGGGCGCAAAGCGGATCCACAGCGTGCGGGTTCGCGGCGGGAACCTCAAGTACCGCGCCCTCCGTCTCGACTCGGGCAACTTTGCGTGGGGCTCCGAGCACGTTACTCGGAAGACGAGGATTATTGGTGTCGTGAGTGTCACTTTCTGCTATTCGGGTGGCTAGGGCATTAGACCGGGGATGGGTAGATTACGAGGGACTAATTGCGATTGGTTAATAGGTGTACAACGCCTCCAACAACGAGCTTGTGCGAACAAACACGCTCGTGAAGAGCGCTATCATCCAGGTCGATGCGACGCCGTTCCGCCAGTGGTATGAGTCTCACGTACGTACAGTGGTCGATTATGGTGTAAATGCGGTTCTCACGCCGTGCTTCTCTTTCAGTACGCGGCACCCGTGACGAAGCGGGGTGCGAAGAAGGATACGACCGAGACGACGGAGGAGAAAAAACTGTCGAACCACGCGCAGCGCAAGTACGAGGAGCGCAAGAAGGGTGAGCGCGCGTGTGTGCAGGCTATAGTGGGGCGCAAAATTTCTGACCGTGTCCCGTGGCGATACAGAGGCGAAGGTTGACCCGTTGCTGGAGACACAGTTTGCTGCTGGACGGCTGTACGCGGCGATTAGCAGCCGACCGGGCCAGTCTGGACGTGCGGACGGGTACGTGCTGGAGGGCAAGGAACTCGAGGTGGTGGTTGCCAATCGGGGCGTTCTTAGAGATAGTGCTGATGAGATCTGGGGTAGTTCTACCTCCGGAAGCTCCGGACGGGCAAGCAGAAGCACGCGCATGCGGCATGAGTTGGGTGTGATGTTGTGGGGGCCTGCGAGAGGGGTGGCGTCCGGCGGCGGGTGTATAGTACAAAACTGCTACTGCTATGTCTGTCCTATGCACCGCCTTTCGATGATTTTCTGTATGTCCGTACTGTATGCAATGCGTGCCCGCTGTCGGAACGAAGCAACGAGCGAGTGGCGAGCGTGAGCAGCCAAGCCACAGGGCAGAGCGAGCGACAGTGCCCTGTCCACAAAAGCGGTGAGATGATGTCAGCGCCTGCGACGGCGCACCAGGCCACACACACAGACGCCCGCACGCGACTGCCACAAGGCCTGCCGCCGGTCGCGTCTTGTCCGCGTCTTTCACCTCCTCTTCACCCGCCACCTGCCTCCCCCTCGCCGTCCCTCCCCCTCCGTTCGTCCCCTCCCCCTCCACCGCTGAGGAGTATGCCTCAGCCTAAGGCGGGCACCAGCTCGTTGTCCAAATGGCGCCCCACCAAGATCATGAACATGCGCGACCTCTCCCGGGACGACGACTTTCTCAGCCACCTGCTCGTCGAGAAACTCGGCACCGGCGCCGTCCCCCTCATCGTGCACAAGATGGACGCCAACCGCTCGATCCCCAAGGCCGACCCCGACGATCTCATCCGCATCGTCCGCCGTGTAAGCCCGCCACTTCACGCCCCTGTCCGCGCCCGCGACGCGTCGGATTTAATGCTGTTTTTTTCCCAGCTCGTCACCGCGCGCGGCCAGCCGCAGAATGCGATCCGCGACGCCGTCGACGACCTCCTGACGTGCGTGTGCCCGCCCCTGTCCGCTCTGTCATCGCCGCTCACATGCCCACCCCACCCAGCCTCGACGCGGTCCGCTATTACCTAAGGGGCTACGAACCAAAGCAGATCAACGCGTTTGCCACGTACGTCCCTCTTCCTCTCGATAGACCTGGAGGCGTCCGACGCTCTGTCGCCAACTCGACGCCCACCGCGGGAGGCTCGGGAAAAGACGCGGAAGGGCTGGCAGCCGAGATTGAACGAGCACGAGAAGCCGCGGCACCTTCTCGCCATCTGCGCATCGCGTCCCTGCCTTTTGCGCCGCAAACGCCGACCCCGTTCGCGCTGAGAATTGGGGTTTCACCGTGGCGCATTTCGACGCGCCTGTGCGCGATCCGAAGTTCAACTCTATGCGCCTAATGACCCCGCGACGGGTTTTGGGTGTTGCGTTTCGCTCGGAGTGTTACGTCGTTGGCGCCGCGGCTTTTGAACCTCAAACAGACTGCGTGGTCAAGGGACTGCGCGGTGGCATTCGGCAGGACAACCCTGTATGTGCGCGTGCAGCGATCTGACATCTGTGTCCGCGTCGCTGTTTCCTGTCACCATACTGTGGTGACTGGAAGCAGTGGTACAAACGCCACATGTCGAGACGTTGGTGAACTGGTATATGCAGCTTGACCTGCATATGTGCGCACAGTTCGTCGCATCCACAAGTGCACGCGAGGGACCGCATTGTATCGTTCAGCTGCCGCGGATGACGGAACACACTCGTGCATGCCACTCTGTCATCTGTGGCTACGCCGCTGCCTTCCGTCACCGCGCTGTGATGGCTCGGACCAAACGCCAAGGTGGCCGAGATGTAGATTGATCGGAGTGATCTGCGTATACGAACATGGGTCGTCGCGCCGCTATTGGATGCTCTCCGGGCTAATGATCTGCATGTCTGAGCGTTGTTGCTGATACTCTAGCAGACACGCATCCCGCTACTTCGAACTCTACCTCCCTTCAGGCTCAATAGAGATCGCGCACACGTCGCGATACTCGCACAAGACGGGCAAGTCCGAGCTGTGCATACTGGCGACGCGACCACTCATGCCGGGCATGGTGATCACCGAGCTGAAGGGGTCGATGGCGGACCTTACCGAGGAGGAAGACCTGGAACTGAAGCGCATTGGCGAGGGATCCGACGGCGTGGCCATTAGGCGCGATTTCAGCGTCATTCATTCGAAACAGCTCAAGAAGAACCACCTGTTCCTCGGACCTGCGCGCTTCGTGAACGTGAGTCGCCCGCCTAACCTGGTTTATGTGCGCTAACATGGTGGTGGCGCCTGTAGCATGACTGCGACCACAACGTCGAGCTGTTCCGTGAGGGGCGCTATATCACGTTTCGTGTCATAAAGCCTATTGGCGTCGGAGAGGAAGTAACAGCGCATTACGGGATGGATACTGTGAGTCGTGTCTCTGGTACTGTGCCCGATCAGTGTCTCTGACGCGAGACGCCTCCGTGACAGTCGGCGGGAAGAACAGACACTGTTTGTGCGAGACGTGCGAGAAGCATGGGCGCGGTGGATATGCAGTGCACTCGTCTGACGACGAACTCTCCGACTCGGCGTCGGGCTCACCAAAGCAGCCCCGCGCGCGACGGGTGGCCGAGTCCAGTGATTCGGAGGAGTCCGAGCACGAAGAAGTCGATGTGAACGAGCGACGCACACGACGAGGCGTGTATGCGGTCGTGAAGGAGAGCGAGAAGGGGAAAGAGAATGAGTTGCCTGGGCAGAGCGGCATTGAGCTCGAGGCAGAGGTGGAGCCGGACGTTGCGTCGGAACTCACCTCCCTCGGGTCATCGGGCGCGTCGCTGCCTGATCCGTTGTGTGCAGACGCGGGTGCCGGCCCATCGAAGGGGAATGGGTTAATGACGCCTGACCCGGAGCCCGCCCCGTTGACGGAATGGCTTGCTTCAACAGTAGCCGCGGAGATCCCGAGAGAAGACGATGTGATCCCGCCCTCGACACCGATGATGGCCACTGCGTCGATCAGTGTTGTGTCCACGCCGACATCCACGCCGTCGAGGCATCGCTCGATGATATCAACACGCAGCCGGAAGGCGAAGGAGGAAGCGTCCGCATCGGAGCCTCCAGAGAGCATTAGCGCGTCGATATCGCGAGGACGCGGTCGAGGTCGTGGCAAGGGTGGGCGTACATCCACTGGACGTGGTGACCAGCCGCAAGTCGAGCATAACAGTCAACTGCCAACACCGCCAGACTCGTCTACGTCTGTGAGCGTGCGGTCCTCTTCTCGGATACGAAAGAGCGCGGGCGACCGGGACACCGACAATTCGCGCTTGCCGACGCCTCTTAAAGACAAACCGGACGGTACGACCTCTGCATCTGCCTCAACGGCGGGGGACAAGGGCAAGGGCCGCGAGGACGTCGAGCCTCATTCTGAGACGCGCACTCTCCGGCCGAGGCAGTTCCACCTAGGCGCGTTCGAGGCACAGGCGAAGGCGAAGATGCCGGAGGAGGGGCCGAGAGGTGTAGATGGGAAACTGCTGCCGACGTGTGTGACCTGCCATAACGTGCTGCCTGTGATCCATGTAGAGGGCAAGCCGGTGTGGGGACTTGCGCTGGGGCGGACGGGAAAGCGGGGGAGACCACGCAAGAACGTGAATGTGGAATGCCCCAGGTATGTGAATTTGTTCCAGTATGACAAGTTTGGTGTGCTCACAAACGGTGTACATCTACCAGGTGTATGCGCCATTCTGAGATATACAACCTCAAGTGGCCAGAACGCCTACCTGGCGACGGCAGTACCGCGTTCCTCCCGACGCCCCGAGACACGCGAAACAGCACTCCGATCACGTTCGCCGCCCTCGCCGCACTTGACCGCAAACTCAACTTTGCGACCCACGGGTACGCTCCACCGAAGCGGCCATACAACAAGCGGAAGCTTCAGGAGGTTGAGGAGGACCCGCGCCCTGCGAAGAAGCTGAAGCCCGCCGCACCGACGAGCACCGGCAAACCTCGAGGCCGCCCGCCAAAGAAAAACAAAGTGGGCATGTCGACGAATGCGCAGCTCATTCTAAAGGTCAGCGCGGGTGCGGCGAAAGACAATGCGAAGCCCGTGGCTGCGTCGAAGGGCAAGGAGACAGAGAAGGCGGCGGAAGAGGAGAACAGTCGGCGAAGCGGACGGACCCGCGTGCCCAGTCTGAAGCTCCGCGAGACTGAAACCCCCAACTCCAGGCTTCCGTCGAGGTCAAGGTCGCGCCTTGCTCGGCCTGTCACACCGCCACCGTCTAGCTCGAGTACGGGCTCTGCGCTGTCGGGATTGGAAAGCGAGGTCTACCCGAGCTGCCCCAGACACCCGTAAAGAAGCGGCCTGAGGGTGAAGAGTGGAGAGCCCCAAGGTACCGACGCCCAAGTCTTTGGCAGTCGCTGCGCAGCCGAGGGAGTCGAACGGCAGGTTCGGACGGAAGAATGCCAAGAAGCCGATGGCGTTCGCTGTCGGCGGTCGGAAGAACCGTGCTAAGAGGGTGCTTAAGGGTAACTTCCGGACCAAGGTCAAGACCTCAGGCAAGAGCGACGACAGTGAGTGGGAGTCCGCGGATGAGGGCGCCCCGCATTCCCGGTTGAAGTCATCGACGTGGAGGTCGCGATGGAGGAACCGCTGCCTTGAAAAGGTCGGCGCGTGAGATGGTGGAGGAAGAGGAAGAGGAAGAGCCATCATCAAAGAAAATACGCATGGAGGAGGAGGAAGAGGAGGAGGAAGAGGAGGAAGAAGATGAGAATGCGCGGACGCAGCGATAGCGGCGAGGAACCAGTTTACTTTCGTCCGTCTCTCCTGACCGGAGCTAAGCCTGGAATCGGTCTCCTGCGTGCGCCCAACCCTGTGTCGTTCGCCCGTCGCAATTGGGCGACGGCCCGCGCTGACCCAATATCTAGAGTCACGGACGAGGCGCGTACAACAGATGAAGAAACGGACCTGCCTGTGACTCCGGGCCTGCCCCTGTCGTAGTGTATCACCCGGAGACGGACAGCGCTGAAGAGGACGCGGAACCTCCTTCAATTGTGGCACCGGCACCTTTCGTTGGAAAGTGACGTTGAAGCCCTCTCCGATCAACTCTCTAGACGACGCTGGGCACCACCTCCGCCTCGGTTCTCGACAGAAAAGCAGGAGGATGACTCATCCGCTGAAACGCTGCCTTCAGTGGACCAGCTGGATAGCAGTACGAATCAAGAAGGTTACTGGTCCGATGAGGAGGAGTGGGGTTGGCCCTGGACAGAGTCGGAAGACGGCGGTGAGGAGGAGTTGCCTCGAGTGGAATACCGCGCACCGACAATTATCCCCGAGTCTGGTACTCGCCGCGCACCCGTCAAAGGACTCACTACTACCCATTCTTCCCCTCGTTCCGAGCATTCCGTCGACAAACTCGGTAAAGGCTCGCCGTCCGGTTCATCAGTACTGTCAAAAGTCGCAAGCAAGTCTCCATCCATGAATTGGAAGCGGACTGTTCTCCTCCAAAGGCCCTAAACTTATTCAGTTTGTCGAAGTTACATCCAAGTCGGACAGCAACGCTAGGAGCAGACTATTGACGATAATGACTCGCATCGGAACGTGGACTCGCACTCTGATTCGTACGTATTGTGTAAGCTATCGCGAACGGTACTCTTTCTTGCATCATCCGCTGTGCTAGCCTGAACTGTGTCCTGCATGCTGTTCTTATTGCTCCTTATTCCCATATCCTATCCTATTGGCTCGAGTTGTACCTTACTGGTCGACGCAAAGTCCGTTATTGTGTGTACGATACATACCTTGCCTTTGTAATAGACCGAAGATGCGTCGCTGGCCGTGGATACCCCGTGTAACAGGTTTCAGATTAGCGAGCAAAAGTTGTTGTGATATACATGTGTGATGAGTCTACTGCTGGCCTTCTGGTTTCAATGAACTACGCCCGCACGCAAAATCTCGTCTGTCGACAGCAGTTGACGGCAATACCGAGCTACGGATGTGTTAGCGAACACTTCGACAATAGTATGCGTGTACTCACCAGGAGTGCAGCATCTGTCGCTTAACTCGATAATTGTCCCAGATGCCCTCGACGGTAGGGTCGATGGGCTCTCCGGATTGCAAGTCAAGCCCGACGGCGTTGCCTTCTGCTTGCTCCTCCTTGTGTAGGTGAAATGTCAACACGATATTGATGATCATATACCATACGTCTCTACCTGCAGTGCGACAACCACGTCCTGCACGTCAAACCCACCGTTCGCCGCCAGCGTCTTCGGAATAATGAGCAGTGCCTCCGCGAACGCCTGCACACCCATCTTCGCGCGCCCCTTAGCCGCCTTCTTGACGGGGCCCGTCAAGTGCGCCGCACACGCAACCTCAAATGCGCCCGCACCGGGAATGAGCGCACCGTCCTCGATCGCATTCTTGACCGCACGGAGCCCGTCGCGGAGCGCATCCTGCGTCTGCTGGATCGTGTGCGGGTTCGGGCCCTTGATGAGGAGGGTAACGGACTTCGGGTCCTTGACGTCCTCAACGAAGGTGAATTTGTCCTCACCCAGGGTGTGCTCGTAAACGAGGCCTGCCCAGCCAAGGTCATCGGGCGTGAGATCATCAACTGAGTTCTGGGCGTTTCCACCGCAGACGAGTTGCAGCCTAAGCATCACTTGTTAGATAAGTTCCTGCAAGAATGCACAGGGGATGCCTACCGCTCCATGTTGCGCCGCTTGGCTCGCCGGAGAGCAAATATGCCGTTCTTAGCGAGAATATCAAGACTGAGCGGGTCAATACCCTTTTGGTTGATGACGACAAAGTTTTTCTTTTTCTCATTGGAGTCGACGGCCTGGTCGCACACAAGGTTCTTCAGCTCGACGATCTTCTTGCACTTCGCGTCCGTGAACCGCCGCTCCGACTCGACGAGCTTTTCTCGCTGCTCAGTGGAAGAGTAGAAGAAGCCGGAGTTCACCTCGCTGAACGAATGTCAGGCAGGGAACATCGACGTTGTGAAGCGAAGACTTACGTCTTTTCGTACTCCAAGCTGACGTTGAGGGTGAGGATATAGGCATTCTCCACGCGTTTGGGCATGTCGGGATGCCGCGCACCGTGGTCCAAGACCAGGCCACGAACGAGCTGAGTTTCTGATGCAGTTCTGTGCTGCATCTTCATAATCTCTATCATGTGCAAGTCGATCGGCTCCTGGAATTGGCTCGAAGAATCTAACATATGTCTGAACGAAATGGCCATGAGTCACGACCGGCTGGACTTACCAGGCGATGGGGGAGGAGGGCGGATCGTCAAAACCGCGTCTACAACTGCGGCTGCAAGGGTTTTCGCGAGAGCGGAGTTGACCTTCGTTGCAAGCGAAGTGTGAGCTACGTTGATCAAGGTCGCGCGGTCCACTTTCGATGGCCGTTTGAACGTCTCCAAGAACTATTGGAGGCGATCTGATAAGTCCGTATGCATGACAGAAATGCCATGGGTACGCACCGCAAGAGCCTCCTTCTTAGCTAAGTCAAAACCTGCTGCAATGACAGTTGGATGTACACCCTCTGAGATGTACCGGTCGGCTTGCTTAAGCAGCTCTCCGACCAACAGAACAACAGATGTAGTTCCATCGCCGACCTGGTCATCCTGAGCGACCGCAGTCCGCGCGATCATAGCCGCGGTGGGGTTTTGGATTTGCATCTCGGAGAGGAGCACCTTTCCGTCCTTCGTCATCTTGATCTGACCTGCGCCATCCACGAGCATCTTAAGAGTCCCTCGAGGACCTGCCACCGAGTTGGCCTTAGCAAGTCGCGAATCAAAGAGGCATTTCAGCACGCACCAAGATTGCCTTTCACGACGTTCGCGAGACCCATCGCGCCGGTCGTGTTGACCTGCAGCGCCGCTGCTCGCCGCACGCTCTCCGCTTTCGGGTTGATAAGCTCGATGCTGGACGACATGACGCCGACGACTTTTCGGAACGAGAGAAGAGAGGAGGAGAATTCGAGGAGGATCGCGTCCGTCTGCTTTATGCTGGTTACGTAATCGGCCTCATTTGGGCGACGCGTTTACGACGCGCCCTCGACGCGATCGAACTCGCATGCAGCCACCGTGCCACTCTCCTCTGTCCATGTCTCTCTCATAACGCTTGCCTCATCTTCTCATCACGGACACACTATCAATTGTCTGTGACTTCTAGTGATTTGCGCCGAGGTCGCAGTCCGGTTCCGGTCAGGCCACTCCGAGGCTTCGTTCGTGGTAGTTCGCAGCGAGAGTGCACAGACCAAGGGTAGACAATCAGAGTGTTCCCGTCCGGTACGGAATCCCACTCTAGAACTTGAACTTCTGCCTTACCTGTGACAGAGCAACCATGAATCGCCCTGAACCAGTCCTCATCGAGCTCAACACGCGCTCAATGACCTCGGCCCTTCACTACTATTCGCGAATCACTACGCCGAAACTAGAGCAAGTGCCCCAAGAGTCTGACCTTTTGAAGGCCATTCGACAAAACCTACGTGGAAGTCGCTCAGCCTCAGAGACATTCATCAATATTGCCCGGTATCCCGCCGTAGAAGACAGCCCCCTTCCTCGCACTCCATTGTACACGGAGCCATATGGCGAAGAAGAGCTCAGTTGGGACACGTATAGCGTGTCGTGGACCATTGGGGGTGTCATGCGCAAGAGGTGGGATTTCCGCGAGGACGACCAGCCTGTTCAATGGGCCTGCATAGGCTGGTTCGACCAACCTGGCGCGATCGTCTCAGCTTCGTCACTGCGTCCGCCGCACTATGCGTATGACTACCATGACCAGACCACTCCCATGGCCGAGTCCTCGGACAGGCCAACTTTTGGGCCTTTTGCTCGTGCTCAGCAGGATCACAAGCGCGAACAGGAACCTGGCTCGCGAGCTCGCGCGATATTCATCTTCTTGCGAAGCATCGGTAGGGTCTTCCTGATGAACGGGATGGACTATACCTTTCACATCCCATTCATTGTCCGAAGAGCATGGCCACTCAGTCCGCACGGCGTCATGATGCAGCGCCAAATGGACCCCTCCGAGCTGGAGGAGGCAAAGGTATCTGGCGAGCCCCCCTTGCCGACAATATTCGCCTTTACAAACCCCTTCGCGGAGCCGGCTCCTATAGGCCTAACCGACAAGATTCTAGGAGGCTTCAACAAAATCCCTGCCACACTGCAAGATGATGACCCTCACAAGCCTATGGTCACAATTCCTCCTGAGGAGCAAGTCGTCTTTGTGTCACAGCGCACTGACCACACGTGGGACCACATTGTCGTCACTATTGACGCGATTCAGAAGAAAGTGTCAATTTGGCGGTATGCCTTCATCAAGCCCAGAGACATACCCTCAAGACCCTTCCGTCCAAAGCCGTCCAAAGCACACAATCGCCGGTCTTCTGCGAACCTCCCACCGAGCAGGCGCCATACGGTCGGCTCGGGTGAACGGCTTCCTCGCGTCGCAGGAGACGTCCACCCACTCAATGCCATCCATATCCCCCAGCCGGTACTAGCGAACCAGACGCCGATGGAAGCTATGGTCGGCGCTGGTGCTGGCGCATCGGCAGATGCTTTGTGGGCATCGCAACCGGTACGTGGCAGGCACGACAGACACGAGTCGCTTGGCCGTCATGACCTCAGTCAGACATTGGATCGCATGGCTCTGGGCGGTGGCGGGGCAGTGGATAAGGGCATAGAACGTGTAGACGCAGCTAGGATGCAGGCTGCGTTCTGGATGGAAAGGTTGGCTAGCGCCGATATTGCTCAAGAAGAGTAAAGTTCTTCCCATTCATTATATATCTTGATATTCACCTATCTTCTACCTGCAGCACGCAGGCAACCAGAGGCATCACGTGTGCTTTGTTCGACCAACGCTTCGACGGCACGCAATTCCGAAGTATGCTCGCCATCTGCCTCGTCACCACCCGCAAATTGCTCATCCACAAGATATCCAAGGAGAATAATGCCTACTCCGCGCAACTCCTCGAGAAGGACATCTCTGCGTTCTGCGTCACTCCCATTCGTGGGACCCGAGACGTCATCCGCGACCTGCTCATGGTCAAGTCCGACGGCTCCCTCTGCCTCCTAACCTATGGGCTAAACGAGATCCCCTCGAGCTCGTCCGTCCCTGGAAAGAGGGCGACGCAGTCGTCATGGACGTCGACGGCGTCCTCCAGCCGCCTTCACCACACGTGCCGGCTGGCAAGCAGATCCTATCTGCCTCATCCGGGATCGACTCGCAGGTGAACTTGATGTTCCAAGACAGGTCGCAGGTCCGGGCGACGATCGACCTGGTTCCGAAAGACCACCTGACACGGCAAACCCTACTAATCCTCGCGTTCATGCTGCCCATAGACAAGTTCTTCAAGCTCCACCGCAGATTCCTCGTGAAGTGGTCGAACAAGGGCCTGGACTCGACGGAGGATGTGCCCTTTCAAATGTTGGTGGAGGCGTTGTACGAGACGTTTGGGATCGCGAAAGACCAGCCACCGGTTGTTTCAATGCCAAGTGACGGGAACGATGTATGGCAAGCCATGTCACTGACGGGTTCTGCGGCAAGGTTCCGCGAGGATCCTGTCATGAGAAAATTGCAGCAACCAATGCGTCCTACCGCAAAGCCTCCTTCGCAGAAACCAGCGAATGGGCGAAAACCAAACGCTCTGCTCGCCCCGATTCTTCTCGGTCTTCATCATATCGCCGAGGACATGCGCTTCATGGCGTTCCGATATAAAGATCTCCTCCAGGTCGTACCTGTGCTGTGCAAAATTGCACTCGTTATTCGACCCGAGTGGGCAGATTACTGGAAGCGCCTTTGTCCTGATGCGCTGCCAACTTGGCCTTCTCCTAATCAGACCGGTATGTTCGGACATTTTATGTAGAATCCGACATTGTCCTTTAACCGTTCGCCTTAGTCGTAGAAAACGTCGACGATCGCCTCCCCGTCTGGCCGCCAGACATGTCCGCCATCCTATATGGCCGTGTCAACAACCCCGACTGGGCCCTTCCTCCCTTAGATAGCTCGACGCTTGCAGCCGGATTCAATATCGCTCCCGCTTTCGCCTTTGGCGACGGAGAGCCGTTGATTTACCTCCGCCAACTCACCGAGGTCTACATGCCCCTCGCCGACAACAAAGTACTCGAGACTCGGAAACGAGCAGATAATGCGTTGCAGGCAATGGTGCGGGTCTCCATCACAGGACACCTCATCAAGTGTATGGCGCTCGGTGTCGCCGCCCCGCTCAGAGAGGCTTGTCGGACATGCCAGCTATCTCCTAGTGGCGAATGGTCTATTCCTGCGTACTCTTTGATCGGGCGGGAGGACTTGGCTGAAGTGATGAACTCGTCACCGGAGCCGCCCTATACTCGTGGCTATCGGCCTATCAGAGAGTTCATCGTGAGTGTTTAGGCTGTCTTTCGTCTTCCTCTCCGCTAACAGCTATCCATGATGTTCAGTCACCCAGCATCCCTCGAAGGACAATTAGAGAACATGTAGTTACAACAGTGAGATCCATCACCGGCGAATATGCTGCCGTCACGGGAGTGGAGATGAACTTGGACGACTTCACACAAATCCGCTTTGGTCAAGACAAGCGATTGGAAGAGGTGGCACGTATGCTGTGTTCATCTCTCATCCCGACCGTTAGGGCTATTGAGAGGCCGGAGTTAAGGTGCGCCTCGAGTGGTGTTTTCATGTGACTGTATGCACACGCTTGTTTGGCAGTGAACACGACCAGGCAAAAGAACATCAGCACCAGGTCATTCGACTTGCAGAACGGACACTGGCTCTGCCCCTAGGGCGAGCGCTCTTTACTTTCGGCTCCGTCCCGACGCTCACTCGTGAAGCCTACGCAATCCCAAAAGTCGAGTTCACAGTGCGGCTCTCGCCAATGAACACACTGCTCGCCCCTGAGGTTGGGAAGATACCGATCGAATGCACAAGCTGGGGCGAGTTCCACAATGGGGTGGCTGCGGGATTGCGGATATCTGCGCAAGCGAGCACAGTGGAGAGCACCTGGATCAAGTTTAACAAGCCTGCTGAACTGACGCCCGAGCACGCTGGTTTCCTGTATGCCTTGGGCCTCACCGGTCACCTACGCGAGATGCTGACATGGCATACCTTCGGTTACCTCACTCCCAAGCATGACATGACCTCGATCGGCGTACTCTTGGGACTGTCGGCCGCGAACGTTGGCACTGGCAACCGACATGTCACTAAGCTCCTGGCTGTGCATACGCCGGCTCTACTGCCGACGCCGAACGTCGACCTCAATGTACCTCTCATCACTCAGGCAGCGGGCTTGATGGGCATCGGGATCCTCTACATGGGTACGAAGAACAGGCGTATGGCCGATGTCTGTCTAAATCAGATCAGTCGTAAAGATTTGTATCAGCCGGACCTCAGCAACGAATACCGCGAAGCCTACACACTATCAGCTGCTCTCGCGTGTGGCATGGTCATGCTCGGCAAAGGCTCGGCAATCCCAGCGGACTTGACGATCCTTGAACGTCTCCGCGTGCTCGTGCATGGAGAGGGTCACATCTCGTTGAACGGGAGAGCTACGCGCCCGTCGTTCGACGTCAACCTCACTTCCCCTGCCGCGGCCCTCACCCTTGGTTTGATGTACCTCCGCTCTGGGCGACAGGATGTTGCTGACATCCTCACTATACCTGACACGCTCGTCGCCCTCAACAGTATCCAACCAAGTTTCCTTATGTCTAGGGCAATGTCACGATCTATCATCATGTGGGACAAGATCGCCCCAACGAGGGAGTGGTTCGCAACCAACTTGCCAGCAGGCATTCAAGCAGCAGTCGACGCTCGCATGAAGGGGGAGCTCGAGGACGACGCGTACGAGTTGGCCTACTACAACATTCTCGCTGGCCTCTGCTTTGCGCTAGGCTTGAAGTATGCAGGGACCGCCCGGGAGGAGGCCTACCTCATCATCATCAGCTATTATGACATGTTCAGCCAGATAGCGTATACAAATAGTAAGTCGTCTCCTGCTTGTGTTCTTTACCTCATGCGAATGACGTAGGGTTAGGTCCGGCCTACGATCACAGAATCAAGCGCGCCGCAATCAGGGAAGGTCTCAACGCCATCTCTTTAGCTTTGAACATGGTCATGGCTGGTACAGGCGAGATCAACTGCCTACGCAGACTTAGGTACGCATACGGCATGTACAACCAGCCAATCCGATATGGTGCGCATGTCGCGACGCACATGTCTCTGGGCCTCCTTTTCCTGGGTGGTGGTCGCTTTACGCTAGGCACGTCAGACACGGCAATAGCATGCATGATCACGGCATTCTTCCCTCGGTTTCCTCACGTATCCTCGGATAACAAGAGTTACCTGCAAGCATTACGACACCTGTGGGTGCTTGCGACGGAGCCAAGATGTCTCGTTGCCCGCGATGTCGATACGAGAGAGGTTGTCTACCTGCCCGTCAAGTTGAAAGTGAAAGAGGGTAATGAAGTCGGGACAACGCAAATGATAGCGCCTACGCTCATCCCCGACCTGGATAAGTTGCAGTCCATCCGAGTTGATACACCCCGGTATTGGCCATTCTATCTCGACATCGCGCACTTCCCAAAACACAAGGAGACACTTCTCCGCAGTCAGACCCTGTACGTCAAGCGGCGGACGGCCTTCTTGAACTACAGGGAAGACCCCAAGGGGAGCCGGAGTCTGTTTGTACGCTCAGGATCGTCAACTGGAGATGCGGCGACTCTTGAGTTCCCACAGCTCACGGACTTCAGGACGCATCCTGCGGGCGATTTGCACCAGTTCATCTCGTCATACTCGAACGACATCCTATTCCTCGCATTCGCCGACCGGTTCTGCCGTGATGACGGGGAAACCGACGCCGAGAAGCTCCTGCAAGCTTATTGCCACGCGAGCCTGTTCGACAGTATCCTGCAGGACAAGTCGCAGATGATTCAAGCGCACCTCACGCTCTACCAGCTCCGCCGCTCGTCACCCGACTCTCAATACTTCAACCTGAGAATGCAAGATCTACGCTTGGCCACAGACTTTTACAACAGGGTGTACGACCGTCGCTTCAGCGGGAGAACGGAGAACAACCCCAGACCACCGCTCATCCGAGAGTCGACACTGTCTGGAGCCCTCTTGGCTCTGGATCGCCACCTGGACGATGTCCGCTCCGACGAAAAGTTCCTGGCGATGCTTGGGTTGTACGCGCGAGGCGAGATTATCCCCAACTTCCCGGTGGGGACACCGGCATGGACGCTCGCTCGGAAATTGGCGTGGTACCTACAACGGAACAGCGTACCTGCATCTACGTTGCTCATGTTGTTGAAGCGGCTCGCCGACCAGGCGCACGAGCAGTGCCTGAGAACGCCGCCGCCGGAGGGTACGGATGACATTGTACTGTTGGACCAAGGAATCAAGGAGGTCCTGCATGCGACGGGCACGCAGCTGACCACTGCACTGGGTTCGGCCTGGTCCATCCGGTCATTGAATGAAATATTGTCTGCGTGGACTACGCCTACTGCTGCGCTACATGTGGGTGGCTGACGGTTCCCTTCACGTTCTGTTTGCTGCCCACTAGGAACAATTGGAGGTTTTCCTACAACACTGTAGCCATATCAATTGTGTGTATGTAAAATATCACTGTAGTACGGTCCTGTACTGCTCTCATCCCGTCTTCATATACTTAGTACGTGAGTGACGTGCATTGTCTGGTCTGTGAGACCCCCGGAAGGGCATCGCAGCTGCGTCCCGAGGCCATGCCTAGCATTTAAGTCTAAGCAGCTTTATTGTGACATCGAACAGCCATATGCATAGTGCCTCACCGTATACTACAAGCCAGCCCACCGCTACCCCAGCCTAGTCTTCTTCCTCCCATGTCCACTCCCTACGCCCGTCGCTCCTCCACTCAAGCTCGTAAAGCTCGCCGCGCCCGCGCTGCCCGCCTTCCCGGAATGCGGGTGCGTCGAGAGCTGTTGCGAGAGGTGCGCTGCCTGCGCCTGAGCCTGCACGAGCTGTTGCGCTTGCGAGTTCGCCGCGGGGAGGGGTATCATCGACGGCGCGTCGTCGTGTGTGATTCGTCGCTGGGGGTAGCCCTGATTCGGAGCAAGAGAGGCGAATGCGCTGTCACGGCGTGTCAATACGGGGGGGAGGTAGACACGAGGATAGGAGGGGCGCACTTCAGCGTTGGCTTTGGCTCTTCTTGGAACCATTTGTGTTGGAGGGCTTCCTTGGCGGTGAGCCTCTTGTCGGGGTCGTACTCGAAGAGCTGGCAGAGGAGCTCGAAGCCCTCCTTGGAGTTGATGCGCGAGTGACACCACTCGTTGAGGCGGCTACGGTACCTGCCCGTGCACGTCAGTGTTGGGCGTCGGCCTGAGGCGGTCAGCAGCAGCTACACTCACACGTCGAGACGCTTCAAGCTTTGGTACTCCGGCAGATCCTTCAGACCGGGCCAGTCTCTTTCTGCGAGACCTAACGTCAGCGACGCACATGTGAGGCACTGTGACACAAACCTTGCGGGGTGCCCAGAACCTCGATGATCTTCAACATCTGGTCTTTCTGAAACGGCACGTTCTTCTTCGCGTCCAGCTTCGCCTCCTCGCCCTTGAATATCGGCCGCAAGCTCGCAAGCTCCGCCATGACACACCCGACTGCCCACACGTCGACCGCCTTGTTGTAATGTTTCGCGCCGAGGAGGAGCTCAGGCGCGCGGTACCAGATGGTGACGACGACCTTGTCGCCCATGAAGAGCGGCTGGAGGGGCTGGTACGTAAGGCGGGCGAGGCCGAGGTCGCCGATTTTGACGACGCCGCCGGCGGTGATGAGGATATTCGCGGGCTTGAGGTCGCGGTGGATGATGTGCGCGTCGTGCAGGTAGAGCAGCCCGTTGAGGAGCTGGTAGGTGAGCGACTTGAGTACGGGCATGGGGACGGCGGTCCGGGACTGGGAGTGGTGGTGGATGACTTGCTGCGAAGAGTATCAGCATGCATGAGTGCCTCGAATGTATGGTAAGTAGGACGCACCAGGAAGTCGTGTTCTGCGTACTCGAATGCCATGTAAATGGACTTGTCCTCCAAGATGACCTCCTTGAGAGCGACCACATTCTCATGAGACATTTCTCTGTTCAACTAGCATATCATTTCGTCCGTTAGCTCGACTACCACTACAATCTCCACCTACTGCGATTTCCCTTATAGCACTCTGGCTGATTCCCGTATACGTGACGACGTCGCCCTCCTTGTCGGGCTTGAACTTCTTAATCGCATATATACGCCCATCGCTCTCCTTGCTCTGTGCCTTGTACACGCGCCCATACGTGCCCGACGAGATGAAGCCCTGGATGGTGTACTTGTCCGTGACCCGCTTGCGGGCTGCGTCGCGCTTGGCGCGGTACATCCGCATCGGGTCGTTCAGTAGGATGTTCGTGGACCATTCTTCATGCATTTATTGATGTCTGGGGTTTGCGAAGACTGTGGTAGACTCGGGCTGCCGCATGGTGTTGCAGAGGTGAGTGTGAAGGAGAGCAATTGTGGCGCGCAGCGCGTCTCCTTCGCGCCTGCTTCAGACTTCGAATTCACATCGAATTGCGTTCAGTGAACACGGCTTTGTCAAGGGCCTTGAACGCTGTTTCCAGCCACTGGCCTTACATGTGCATGCATGACTCGCCGACGCATCATCGGTAAGTACGACTTTCACGTCTTGTCTCCTCACCGCTTCCAGTCATAGAGAACAGGGAACATCTACACGAAGATGCGTCGCAGTATGAGTTTGCTGACGCGGGTACGGGTTTCACTGGGAGGCGGACTACTATTAGTATTACGCAAAGCTCGGGACACGACATCCGTTACATATATATGGGCTCCCTGCTCCAACTTGCTGATGATGCCGAGCGCATGCGCAGGCCCGATTCAGTCCACACGAATCCTCACCTACCCTCGTACGCTGGAGCTTTGTTTACATAGGGCCCGCGCGGCCCTCGCAGACAAGTAATGATCCAGCCAAAGGAACCGCCGTCTTCGACGCGCGGGTGCTGGGTCTCCGGACCAGGCAGGCTGTCGCACAGCAGAGGCGGACTTTCGATACCCTTTCATGAACACCGTGTTCGACCAACAATTGAGGTTACGACTATACATGTATGAGACAGCGACAGACGAACAGACGTAGGAGCGGACAGCGAAATTGGTACACACAACAGACATCGGAGAGCGACAGCGGTAGACAGAACAAGAACAGACTGACAGCGGAGAACGAGGAACGAGATATCATGACGTCGTATACTATACAACCTTCAGCCAGGTGATTCATCAATACCTGGCCAAGTCGTGTCAGACGAACATCACCAGTCGGAAAAAGCGACAACGACAAACTCACATGGGAACCGGAAGGTGTTGAAGCTCTACTGAATGGGAATCATTCACTGGCACTGGTAGTCGTCGACATCCCACATGCCGACCATGCCATGGAAAATGCCCTGCATACAAGTCAGCCACGCTGCATGCGGGTATGGGTTCAAAGATTGACACACTCGATTGTCGCAATGCGTCGGGGCATCGAGATGGTGGCCACGAATGTCGGCGGGGGTGGTGGTACACATGGCCATCCAATCCATGCCATCATGGATATCCCACAGGCGGGCTTCGTAGCGCTGCAGCAGTGGGTGAGCGCGCATAACTTGACGTTGTACGATCACAGGAGTTCGGGAGGACTTACGTGCTTGCCAGAGCCCCAACCAATACAACCCTGCAATACGGCCAATCAACCCTGCACCGGTAGAGTCTGATTGTCGAACTGACGAACCTTGTCATACAGTTTTCCCCAGTAGGGCTTGCATGCCGCTTCGCCCTGATCGATGTTCCAGCGACTCACCAGAGCGTCTCCTTCCTGCAGTCCGGACATCAATAATCAACACAAGCAGATGGACGTCGCGACTCGCCATGATGCACTCATGAGGTGCGCTGATTGTGGCGCCATTGATAGCGATGGGCATATGCTGGCACGCCTCCTTCACATTGAAGGCGAGGCGTGCCGTATACTCCCGAGTCCCATAGCGGACGCACTGGTGGCTCTCGATCTGTCCCCAGGACAAGCCCAACACATTACCCTCCTGCATGCGGTGCTGGACTGGCTCCTCCCTCCGCTCTCTCTCGCGTTTCTCCCTTTGCCGTGCCTGCTCCTCCTGCTCCTCCTTCCACTCCCTCTCGCGCGCCTCCTTCTGACGCACCCACCGCCCCTGCTCCTCCTTCCACTCCCTCTCGCGCGCCTCCTTCTGACGCGCCCATCGCTCCTGTTCCTCCGCCCACCCTCTCTTCGCCGCCTCATGCCCCTGCATCGCACGCCTCCACCGCTCCGTATCCGCGTCATATGCCCGCTTCTCCATCTCATGCTTCGTGCGCCCCTCCTCCCACTCTGCCTTGAGCGCGTCAAGCTCCACGCGCGTGGGTGGGTACTCCGCCAGGCGGCGGTCTAGGGCGTCGGCGCGGTGGGTCTGTCTGTTGGCACGGCAGGTCTGTAGTATGCCAAAGACCACGATCCCCACGATGGAAGCCGCTACAAACAGGATCCAGACCCATTTGGGAACCGCCCGCGCCTTGTTCGGACGCTTGATCGGCGGTGGGGGCGGCTCAGTTCGATAGCCATACCGAGGGAGATCGCCGTTCAGAGGCGATCTTTCGTTAGGCCCACTAAATGAAAACCGACTCAACAAATCGTGCTCAGTGAGTGGTTCAGGTATCGAGGCATACCTGTTTTGGCCATACGGATTGTACTGGCGGCGGGCGGTATTCGGCTGGTGGTTATGCCCGCTAGCAAAATATCAGCGCATGTCTAACTGTCCTACTTACAAGCTGTACATACGAGTTCGTTTCTTGGTATGGGGTATACGGGGGTGGTGCAACACCCCCGTTGGCAGGGCGGGCCGCGCGGCCATTCTTAGCAGGCTGTGAGGCGCGGCGACCACGATTGTTCTGATTCAAGTACATCGTGCTTCTGGCACGGTTATTAGGCCTCGCGTACCCCCAACACCACCATCTTGGTAACGTACTAAGTCTGCGATTGCAGTATCGAAAGTCAACGTCGTTGACCCAACTCGCCCGCTCGAATACACTGATCGCAGATGGTGGGAGAGACGAACGACGCAGCGAGCGCTGGCACTGCGCCGCTGAGCGCAAATACGTGCACCGATTTGGATCTGGCGTGCGGACCACGGTCACGTCCCCATGCTGCAGTCCTCCGCACGACGTCGCGGCGACGTACTTACATACCTCAGACCTGTACAAGCATTCGAAGGTCACGTTCGACCGACAGAGGTTGGTCCTGAGTGTACTAGTAGTTTGCTGAGCCAACAAGTAGGTGTACCGATCGAGATCTCGCGCGGAAGCACAGTCACAACCCCACGGCACTTATGGGTACTCATTGCGCTTCGTCAAGCTTCACTGTTTCAAGTGCAAGAGCAGCATTAAGTACTGAACAAGTAGTACTGATCAAAGCTTTGAACTGCTGAAGGTTGGAAGTGTCCGAAGTGAGAGTATGTAACAACGTCATCGAGCGCCTGAGATAGCGCCCGAGAACCTCGGAGAGGAACGCACACGTGACCGCGTCGCACCCGACGCGTCACCCCGCGCGCGGCAAGTATCCATGACGCTCACACGCACACGACGCGATCCGAGAGAAAGGAGACAAATCAATACAGTGTACGCGTACAAACGAGTCGTACATATTACAGGGATACCTCTAGTCTACTAGCGATGCGATGAGATCGATTAAGTACTACACCTCCGGCCAGCGACTCCCCGAATGTCCTCCTCGACCGACTAGTAACACAGAAACACACGAGACGAGCTACAACAAAGCAATGTACAGTAAAAAGCACAACATATAGATGTACAGATCCGGATAGTAGAACAACAACAGGTGAGACGTTATACAAACCAATAAGTTAGACGTGTGTGGGTCGTGGCGGGTTCACCGCCTCCTCGTGCGCGAACGCTTGACGCTCTTCTCCGCCTTCATCTCGGCATCCAGTGCCTGTCCCTTCTCCGTCAGCTTGCGCTTAGCCGTGCGAGACGACTTGCGACGGGGGCCGTCCTCCTCCGCCGCCTCCTGCCCATGTTCTTGAACGAGGTCGTCCGCCTTCCTCTTCTTGCCTGCAACCTTGACGGGCTCCTCCTCCACTACGACGAGCTTGTCAGGCTCCTCGCTGGAGCCCACCGCAGTGCTCGAGCGCGACGGCTGGAGCGACTCCACAAGCAACGCCGCCTCGGGCGTCGCAGAGCCCTGCGCTTGTGGCGTCGGTACCGGCGTAGGCGAGGCTGTCGCGGCGGGGACGGGAGCCGGGTCCGAGGTACGCGCAGCGACGCGTTTGCTCACCCGCGACGGTGCCGCCCTTGTCGCACGGGCACGTTTGGCAGTAGGGGTAGGAGCGGTGGCGGGCACAGGGACGGGGGCAGCCTGCTGCTCCGTCGTCTCGACGTCGACATCCGCCTCCGTCCCGTTGGGGTTGGGCTCGGGAACAGGCGTGGCGAGTGCGGGCGTGGCAATTTGCTCGACCTTCGCCTCGAGCGAGGCGGCTTCCTCCGCTGTCGTGGACGTCTGAAGCGCGGACTTCTTCGTCGTCGCGGCCCTGCGCTGGGAGCGACGCGTCGGTGCGGCGGGTTCCGTACTGGCGGAAGGCCTTGTCCTGGTTGTCTTGGGCCTGGGAGGACGTGGCGCGGTGGCGCGCTCAGGCTCACCGCGGTCGACGGCCTTGCCCTTGTCTGTGCGTGGTGCACCCGCCGCTTGCTCGTCGCTGCCATTCCGTGCTGCCGCCGCGCGCGTCGCGCGCGTTGCTGGCCTCGTCCGATCTGGCTTCGGAGATTCGTCGTAACACCTGTTCACGTCGAAATTGTGATATGCGTAGCATCGGTACAGGTCGGTTCTAATGTCCATCCAGACAAAGTCCGGATGGTAGAGCAGTTGCCGCTTGGCACCTAGAATAACCCCGTAAGCAATGGCGGGGAAACGAGTGCAAACGAGAACGTACGCCATGTCCTCTCGACCGTCTCAGCAGTGCGCTTGCCAACTTTGACGTTCCAGATAGCGAAGTGAGCCGGGTGATGCGGCCAGAGCATGGTGCGAACGGCGGTGAGCGTAAAAACAACCTCACATCGTTCTAGGCTGAGCTCTTCTCCAATGAGGTCGCCGACATCCTCAGGACGGCCCACGGAGGGATTGCCGTGGGTCATCTGGAACTGCAGGGTACTTGAGGGCCCGCCTCCAGCGGCCTTCGTCTTGCGTTCGTAATCTGCAAGCAGAGCGTCGATGTAGCGTTCCACGAAAGGGTGCTCCGGCAGCCATCGACCGTCCTCCAGGACGCCGGGTTGGACCTCCCGCACGTACCGAACCTTGACTATGGAGGAATCGGTGCTAGATTCTGGAATGCGTAGTATGCGGAGTGGTGTTGGTGGTGGTGGTGGTGGTGGTGGTGGTGGTGGTGGTTCCACGTAGGGCTCGTCGCGGCAGGATGAGGTCGTGAACTGGCGAGGCATTGTGGCCCAGGATGGTCCGGCGACGTTGTCGTCGCTGTAGAAGGGATGCGCGACGCCCTCCGAGTCCATGGATGGGGCGACGTTGGTGTAGTATAGAGAGACGTTGGGTAGGAATGGGAGAGAGACTCGCGGGGTGTGTATGCGCCGAAGTGTACGATGGGTGGTAGGCAGTCTGTTCCGGTGTGCTCTCCGGCGGGGGCGCTGCAACTCGCGCAGGGAAGAGCTGATGGGTTCAGGAGAGGGAGCGATGGATAGGATGGGCTGGGGGAGCGGGGAGCGTGTGCGGTCGCCGTGGCGCGGGGGATGGTACGGAGGACAAGGGCGGGGGCGCACTTATAGCAGAGTGGCCGGCTGCCTTTCCGGGCAAACGGTGTGGCACGGCGCGTGCCCCCGCATCCTTCGATCGCCCACATCTGGAATCGTGCGAATCGCCGGACCTCGGTGACGACGCCACTCGCCTTGCATTGTCGCCCGGATAGATACGCATCGTCGTCGCCGTGTTTCAGACATCTAGTAGGGCGAAGATACAAAAAGACAATGGGACTCGGTCGACGGCGACGAGGATGAGCTGGCTAAAGCGGAAGCATCGCTCTGGCCTCGATCTCGCTTACGATCTCCGAGTCCCCAATCTAATCTTATCACCCGATCCCGGCGCTTGTACCGGCCACCATCCTCGAGGCTCGTGCTTGGGCGGCCCTGGCCCATGCGACGGCCACGCGCATCTTGCGCCGCTCGTTCATGGCTGCTCATGGCACACGGATTTCATTGCCCACTGGAAAGCATCCTAGCGCACCTACTGCGTGCCAATGCGGTGTCAATGGACAGAGGAAGGGCTGTATAATCCCACAATACCGACCACTGGCATGCCGACCTGGCAGAAGCCACTGATAGCAACTGTATGTTTGAATTTTGTGTGCGCATCACCGCCAAAAGGTCCAAGAGTGCTGAGGACTGGTCTCGTATTTATCTCTTGATGTCTACATAGATCTTGTCTAATGCTCAGTGCATGGCAAAAAGGAAAGAGCATACTTGGAGGCTATGTACCGTATCCGTATGACTGCGGTACATAAGTATTATCGAGTCGCCGCAAGTACTTGGCCATCCAGAGCATTGCTCTGTGCTCGCGCCCTACTTCTGGACAACTTTTCATGCACCATTATCAGATCCTAGTAGTAATCCAGAGCTATTTGATGATACTTCACTGTGGACGAACCTCGGAAAACTAATCCTAGTCTTGGCCCTTGGACACACTCTCAGAACATCCAGGAAAGGCAACTCGCTCTTCGCCACCGACCACCACCATGGCACCCTCTCGCGGACCTGCCGCCTTACCACGAACGTTGCACACGACGCTGAACAACCACAAAGGACCCGTGCACGTCGTCAGATACGCCAAAGGGTCTGCCAAATACGTCCTCACAGGCGGGCAAGACCGCACCGTTCGTCTATGGAACCCCGAACTCGGCACTGAAATCAAGAAGTACGCGGCGCACGGCTACGAGGTGCTCTCCGTTGCCGTGTAAGACTTGCATCATCTGCTCATCTCTCTCGCTCGCTGAAGATGCGCCTTCAGCTCTCACGATAACGCGAAATTCGCGTCCTCCGGGGGCGACCGCTCGGTGTTCCTGTGGGACGTGGTGCAGGGGACGACCATCCGGCGGATTGCGGGGCACATGAGCAAGATCTTCGTAGTCGACTTTAACGCGGATGCGAGCGTTCTCGCCAGTGGTACGTCTCCGCTTTCCTGCCCGCCTCCCCAGCTCCGACAGACCTCCAGACCCATCCAGGGTCATATGACTCCACCGTCCGGCTGTGGGACCTCAAGTCGCAGAACCGACAGGCGATCCAAGTGCTCGATGAGGCGCACGACGCGGTGCAGACGTTGCATGTCGGTCCTACCTACTTGCTCACGGGCTCGGTGGACGGCTACGTGCGCACGTATGACCTCCGCATGGGCGAGCTCCGGAGCGACTTCATTGGCCGTACGTGCGCCCTGTACGCCACAATTTCTACTCGCGCTCACTACTCCTCATCGTGCAGACCCAGTGACTTCGGTGGTACCGTCCCAAGACGGCCAGACGTATCTTGCCACAACGCTCGACGCGCACGTCCGGCTGATGGACGCGTCCACAGGCAAGATGCTGAACGACTTTCAGGGCGCGACCATCTCATCCTACCGCTGCCGCGCATGCTTCGGCCACGGCGAGGCTAGCGTAGTGTGCGGAGACGAGGCAGGGAGGGTCTGGGCATGGGATTTGCTAGATGTGCGTTGGTTTCCTGTGCGCTCTGCCCAATGCTGACGGCGTTCCAGGCGGCGCCCCTCCAGCCGAACCCGCCACCGAGAGTGCACGACAAATCCATCACTTGGGTTGAGCACCATCCTGTGGAAACGGGTGAGCTCGTCACGTCGAGTGCTGACGGTTTCGTGAAGGTCTGGCGGCACCCAACCGTCCCATAGGCAGATCGACCGGACACGGATCTGAGGTGTAAGTAACGGCGAGAGGAGAAATGCCTCTTTGGCAGAAATGTATACAGAAATCAGTGTCCACGCTTCTAGCAGTATACAACAGCAATACAAGAGTCTGAGCGAAAGCAAAAACAGTTACACGTCGAATCTCCATACCCTCACGCCGTCTACATCAGAGCTGATTATCCTCCGTTCGTCAAACACGACCGTACCCTTGACCGCCGCCGCCGAACGTAATCGCTCATCCTCACTCCAGCTCGCATGCTCACCATCCTCAACGCTCTCAATCTCGACGCCGCCAGACACCTCCGCACCTGTCCCGCCCTCGAGATCCCACACCCATATGCTGCCATTCACGCCGAGGCTGACACACCGTCCGTCCGCCAGCGCGAGCGCGGACACCGGCCCGATCTGGCCGTGTAAGCTGCGCACGAAGGTCAGCTTCGGGACTGCGGTGGGCGAGGACGACGCGGGGAGGTGAAGACGGTAGAGCTGCAGGGCGCTCGCCGTGTGCATGCTCGACGACGTGAAGGTCGACTGTGAGCTAGGGGGTGGTGACAGTGACGATGATGACGATGAAGCGGACAGGGTGGGCGAGGCTGCGCGAGAAGCAGGTAGGGGGTCGCCCGGAGCGAGGACGACCCATTTCCCATCCGTCTGCGTGTCCGCGACGCGCGCGACCTTGCGCGCCCATTGCTCGCGGATCAGCCTCAGCTTGTTCTCGTCGATCCAGCCCTGGGGGACGTCGATCGCGCGGGTGGTGCGCGAGGCGGCGACGGTCATACGCGCGGCGACATCCATGCTCACGCTGCTGGAGATGAGGAGCTCCGTAGCGCCGACGCTCCAGTGGGAGGGGTAGACGGGGATGGCGTAGGCGAGCACGAGCTTGTAGGTGGACGGCGAGGGCGCGGAGAGTACAAGGGAGCTTGGCGGGTGCGAGGTGAAGGAGGTGAGCGTTTGCGTGTGGACGACTTTGTCGTCGGAAAGGTCGTACAGCGAGAGTTGGAAGGACTTCGAAAGCGTGACGAGTAGGGGGTGGTGGTAGACGGCCTGGATGATCGGTGCGGTGCGGGTGCTTCTGGATGTGGGCACGTAAGTGAGCAGTCGTGAGGAGTGCGCGGGCGTGTGGTGGTCGACGTTGAAGATGGAGAACTCGCCCGTGGACAGGAACGAGATGAGGCGGATGCGGTGGGCGGTCGAGGGTGGCGACTGATCAAGTGCGAGAGCTGTGATGCGGATTGGATCCGACGTCCGGGCGGAGGGGGAACGGATCGTATGTGTCTCGTGTGCAGGAGATGCAAGAGTTATCCGAGGGGCCGTCGATGGGCGTGAGGATGCAGAGATGGTCATGTCGCCTGCTAACAGCAGGAAGGTCTGTTCATCAAGCAGATTATCTGCTTGGCCAGAGGTCGCCGGAGGGTGTAGTGCCGAATAGTCAAGACCAGTATGCAAGTTCTCAACGGAACAGCGGCCTAAGTGATGTGCGATGCTTTAGCTGGGGCTAATTTGGGTCAAGAGTGGACATACCTGTTCGCCAATTAGAGCTGATGCGAAACATCCACTTCCAATCCTTCACATCCTCCGACCTGGCTCGCCCAGGCAGGGGTCGGACCTCTCGCCCGTCCGCACGGCCGATGAAGCCTCTCACCCCGCGGAGTCTGGGCCGACCGTACTCGCTCAAGTACAAGTTCTTCCACAGCTATTGCTTCGCGTTCAACGACAGGGAGATCGACGCAATGTTAAGAATACGTATATACCTGGTTGTCGAGCGCGAGCCTCGCCCAGTTCCTGTTCGTGCGCTGGACGGTGCACAGGTCGGCCCACGGAAGATAGGAGAATATGACAAGAATGAGTTCGTCATAGAGCAGGCTGTCGAAGGTCGACTGATTCTGGTGGGAGCGGTGGGACCCTCCTGGCGAGTGGAGGCGCTTCGGAGGAGGCAGCGGAGCAGGGGACAGGGGCCGCTTGCTGCGTTCGGCGGACATGCTGAGACCGCGCAGTATGTATATGACCTGGAGGCTGTAAAGTCTCTTCAACCGACGTCGAAGGTGAAGATTGGTAGGACAGTGGTTTCCCTAGCTAGAGTCGGTGATTTGTCAGGATGATCGCACGGCGCGGAAGTCAGGACTGCAGTCGTCAGAAAGATGGCCTGGCGAGGTCAATGACCTGCAGTAATGGATTCCAATGCACCGAATAGTAGTGACCTATCCCTTGGTGTTAGACGTGGTAGAGGTGAGTGAGGACGAACTCGAAAGCCAGCAGCGGACTCGGAGACAGCGGAGGTCCCGAAACGGCCCAATGCGTGATATGCGTCCACAATCGCCGGCGTTCAGTGCTGTAGGCGCCCGCAGATCGAACTTGAGTGCTCCTCCAGGCTCCTCCTCCTCTCACACCACCCGTGTTGTCGTGAACACGATATCCAGTTTTCTCCGCACCCAGGAAGACGGAACACAATAAAATGCGATGACCACATACTCCAAACAACAGACGGAAACCGCCTCGCTCTGCAGAGTATCCTCGATTACGCCTGAACATGTCTCCCGAAAGCTCAGAGTCGCTGGATGGTAGCGTCATTTATTTGATACGACTATTGCGTGCACTAAGATGCGCTATGCAGGCTGCTTTTGTATGATCGGAACACATCCATAATGCTCCTAACCGAAGGGGAAAGCGCGGTATTAGTGGACCTCGCACTCTGCCTTGATCCATTTAGACCGACGCCGTGGCTCAGAGAGAGCAATAGCATTTTGATGGTCATTGGCTCGCTCGAAGAAGTCGAAGTAAGTCGTCAACGTGATCTATTCCCCGGTTTGCAGTCTGACGCGATGTTTCAAGGATCCGTATCCGCCTCCTGTGTTACCTATGCACGCCCGTCCGGTCGAGGTTGACCTTCAACTGGTACTGCGTGCCTTATCAATCAGAAATACGCCACAACTCGACCTGGAACTATGGAACAAGGCGATACGTCTGCGCGAGCAGGGTGTCGCTGAGAAGAACAGCTGATCCGCCGCGAGTCACATCTTTACCCGCTTGTGCCAGTTAGTTGTGTCCAGAGGAACTGTGAACGCGGGATAAAGCTGGGAATCTACTTGATACTCTCACAGTGCATGAGATGACTGATCATCCATCATATCGTCTGTTGTATTCACCAGCCTTTGCCCCGTGGCCTTGGTTAAACTCAACATCGTATGTACCGAGTGATGTATGTATCAATGTACGCGCTGCCACGAATGACTCGGATTTGCATATGATGTATTGCTGGGCAATGAATTATGTAGACGTGAGTTTCGTTTATTGCTTGTCTCAGTCGTTTTGATTTTCTTTGAATAGCGAGGAGCCTCCGGTCACACGGGCTGAGAACTACCACACCTGCCTTTTTTGGTGTGCCGTGCGTGATCTGGACTTTTCGATGGTCGTTCTTCGCTTGGGATCCCATTCTTTGCATCCACGTTGGCACGTTCCATCGAGCAGCGCTGCCCTTGAGTATGTCCCTCACATAACGCACGAATACGATCCACCAGAATGGGGCGCAGCGCAAAATTCCATAAGAAGCCGGTTCGTCTTCTCATCCTCGTGTAATCGTATGCGATCGACTCATTGTACACTGGCCGGTCAGCCAAAGAAAGCCACCAACGGCAGCACGAGCACCACCACAGTCTCTCATACGCCGTCAAAACCTGCTGCGTCGGTGTCCACACCCCAGGAGCAGAGGAAACGGGTCGGTCTCAAGGCGAAGGCCGGGAAGCGGCGCAAGGACGCGGAAGGGCCTGTCCTCGGCGGCGCAGACTATATCGGTGTGATGTTCGGAGGAAGGAGAAAGGCGATAGTGGAGACGGCTAAGCTTCCTCAGGACGAGTAGGGTTGAGCAATGCAATCCATGCATCTCGCGGCAGGTCTTTTGGCGCACGAGCAGGATATGCGGTACCCGCTCATGAGGGTACTGAAGGTCGGCTTATTCTGAATCAATCAGCCTGGCAGCATCGTCGCCTTCGCAACGTCGCGTTCAGCCATGTCGTGACGCACGACCTGACTATCATCTTCGAGCTTCAGGCCACTGACCTTCTTTCCCATCGAGCTAGACGTCGGTCTGCCACTCGCAAGCACCAATCGATGCCACATAGGGCCGCACGCTCCATTCTTCCGTCCACATGCCATGGGCGGTCTACTTCTCTGACTATGAATAGTACGTGGTGCGTGCATGAGTCACATACATTATTCATTGTTTTCGAGCGAGGGGTCTATGCAGATGTGTATTCGTCGTCCGATACCACCGACGATGCTATGGTCGCACCTGGTCCAGGTATATGCCTCCCGATGTTGGGCTTGACGTAGTTCTGCGTGTCAATTTTATTTCGATTAGGCTGGACGGCATGGAAATCTGAACTTGACCCGATACAGACAGTGCCCAAAGGACAATCTTCATCCGGGAACAGAGGGCAACCATTGTCCCTCTAAGCGCCTCATTATAGCCTCAGTCAAGTTTGCTTTCTCTGTTCACTCAAGCCGTGATGTAAACCAGCCGAGGGTTCGGGCGATGCAGCCGGACCGACGATCTGAGCGATGGGTGGACAAAGGGAGCCCAGAATGCATATCCCGTGGATCGTCGCCTGGAGGTATATAAGCCATGTCGTTGGTGCGCTAACTGGTCCCTCAGGCCTCAGCGTCCATGTCCTATCTCGCCACTCCTACGATCCTCCGCTCTTCAGTCGAATCAGCGTCACCCCGCCATCTCTCAGTGTACGCAGAATGCGCCACACGCCTCCCGTTCGTCTCCGTCCTGCTGTTCAACTGCGTCCGAAATGCGCCTTCGTGTCTCATGCCTCCAACACGTCGTTGGACCACCGGTTCAACTCTCCCGTCCGACATCCTACCTTTCCCAGTGTACACAGTACGCACCACCGGCGCACGCCTTCCGTCTGTCTTGCGTTTTCTTTGCGTCTGAAATGCATCTCATACTCTCTTTTCAGCTCAATTCATTGTTGGATAACCTGTTCAACCCGCCGATCCAACTCTCTACCACTCACGCAACTATCTTTCTCAACATTACGGTGTTCGAAGCTCACGCATTTACCGGCGCTGGCAGACGTCGAAGAAGCACATTGACGAAGTACCCCGCAATGACGGTGAAAGCATTCACGGCCTTGGCCATCCGCGGCTTCCTTCGCATGAACGACAACGAATGCGAGTGTCGTCGACGCCCCAAATATCCCGCCTGCTTCATCTCCCCCGCGAGTGTACTTGAGACCGCCTCGTCGCGCCAGGCCGAATCAAAAATAGCTTCGGACAATGGTGCGTCGTCCGTTTTCCGATGTATTTTCGCAGCTCACGGTGGGGCACGTAAGAAAGGTTCTCCGAGATGTGCATGGCACAGAGCCGCCATGGGTATCTACACACATCTCCACCTCGAGCAGGCTGAGTCGTGGACCGCCCCCTTCCTAACGTCGACGAGGCATTGGATACGAGAGGAGGCTTTCAGGATACAGGAGGAGCAATGGCTGGCAGCCGAGAAGGCCAGGGTCCCGCCCCCTTTGGTTCCAGTGCCATTGGAAGAGCAGTCGCCCTGTGCTACGCCGGGGTTTCACTGCACCAGCATCCGTTCGTGGCGCCGTTTACGCACGAAGGATGCAGACCACTTGCGATGGGCCACTCTGTGGACGGCCTTTGGCGATATTGGGGTTTCCAAGACGTCCCTCAGCCGGTCGAGCAAGAACTATGCTTCCTGCAATGCCAGGCCCTATTCAGTGCGTTCGTAGCCTTTGGAGAGTAGCCATTCCATTAATCTCATGGCTGATCACAGGTTCGACATCGTGCGGCAATGCCCAATATCCCATCACGCAGCTCTCAAGAACCCAAAGATCACAGTCCACTTCCGTCACGGTGCCACACGCCCGGAAGTAGAGCCTGTGGCGTACACATCGTCCGATTACCAGGACATGTATATCGTGCTATGGGCTGCAAAGCTTCGCACATTACACTCTGTGTGGTACGCCGCAGTCATGTTCATCATGGAAGCATCCCGATTGATGATTGCACGTAGGATGAGAGCACACTGGCAATGCCTGCGAACACAAACACCAATACGGCGGACAACCATCAGGTAAGTTTCATTGACAATGTTTCAGTGCTATTCCCAAGCCATTCCACCATCACTGCGTGTCTTACAAAGAAGCGCAGATGTCATGGCTCTATTCTGAGCTGGTCATACCTCCGTCAAGCTGTTGCATCTTCCAAGGTGGGCAATGCGAAGGACGCAGGGACCGTGACGCGTGTGGATAGCCCGCTGGACTATAGGACTTGCCGCTGGAACTCGACTGGCTTGCGGAGACTATCGACACGGTTTTCGAGTGGACAATAGTCGCTACACCACAATGCTCATTCTTCTACACCTGTACGTGCATATCATTCACCGTCACTTGCGGCTACCTGTGCGAACCTGGATTGACTTCAAGTTCAAGACTCAGGCAATGTTCGCTCACCCGCTCCAAAGATCTATCCGATGAACCCCTGGTTTCTGTCTGCATGGCCTGCGTGGGGTCTGCCAATTGCACGAATGCTCAGGTTCCCAACTCCACTTTTAATGGGTGAGTCTTAATGCATAATGACGCCTTCGCCACACATCGTGCTGACGTGCGCACAGCATGATGCTTCACCGACAGCGACTGAATGGGCCGGTAATGTTGTGAGCAAGTCTTATGCCAGGCTGTTACCTCTGTGGCTTCGCGGGGCCCACGACTAGCGAGTGGGCACTGTAGCATGCATTCACAACCTTCATGGGACCTACGGTACTAGTGGACTTGCGACCACCATAGTACTACGTATGAAACTACGTACAATCTCATCACTATATTGCAAGTGTTGCAACACTTGAAGCAATGTCCGTACTGTCGCATTGTTAAGGTCAGGCCGCCTGGTCGAAGACGCGACGCGACGCGCAAGTGTATATCACGTGCAACGCGTTTTCTGCCACACTCAAACTCAGCTGGGCCAATCGCAACTTGAACTCGGTTCATCACAACTGCATTCGAGTATTCGCAGAACCTTTTTCATGTACATGTGCGACTGCCATGGTTGACAGGCATGATCTTCCTCCTTCTCGCAAGTTTCGCTCGTCGCCAGGTCATCTGTGAAGACTCGGATAGCAGCTTAACGTGGGACGTGGGCGTAACTACTAACCAATCTAGTTGACGGCCCAGAGCATCCAGGAATCATCATCGCCAACAATGTCGATGTGAGTGGATTACTTCTGTTCTTGCCTGTCAAGCCTTTGCCACTTAATGCATATCAGGGCATCATGCGTTTGACGACGCGCATACATAGGATCAGCGTTGCTTGGGTTCAGTGTCATACATGTCCCCAGGCCGTGCGCACGATGATTCTCCTCATAGCTTCGGTCTGCAGAGGTGCACGAAGTCAGAAAGTTCCTGGTATCCTCGGTCATTGGTACGTCGGTGATTGTCTATCATGCATCTGTCTCATTGAAGCTCAGCGTTTATAATGGTCCATGACAACCTGTTCGAACCTTTATACATTGGCATTCGAGGACAGTTCGACGGCGGCGTCTCGTCATATCAATCCCTTCTGTCTAGTCGGGACAATCGGTGATTGTTGCCCCTCTGATAGCACATTCCCTTCGTGCATGTCACATCTATCTAAAGCGAGAGCGTTCGAATTTCGCCGTGTCAGTTTGAGTCCGCTCATGGTAGACAGCGCTGATATATAGCAAGAGATGTCCAGAGGCGTCCCAGATGCGTAAATTTTGCCGGTGACAATACATGCTCGATTGCGTTACAATTGAGCGCTGGCTAGCGTGTGCAACACCTGGCTATTACCGTTATGCTGTCGAGGGGCGCGAAACTTTCGACTCATCAACCAGGTGCGCCAACTTCTAACTCGGTCGATGCTACTCTGCTGATCATGACACCTCGTGGAGAACAGACTCCCAAGCTGAGCCGTACATCCTGTCGAAGCGCCGGGGCGCACATCGTTGATGATCATAGTGCGCTGCCTCATAGTAGCGCCTTCGTCACGGTGCTTACATGCCGTGTCTCTTTGCGTAATCTCTCTTCTGTTTGGGTGGCGTACCTCGTGTCCTGTCATCATGCAAGTTGGGCTGAAACCATTACTTGTGAGCGACCTAACCTTATGAGAGAACGCTGATCCAGAAAAGAGTTCAATAGACAAACGTTATGCTCATATCTATGCATCCGAATCTCTCCTGGTGTCTGCGCGGGCAGCTCTTCATTCGTCTCATCGATCATCTCGACTTCACGTTCGTCGAACTGCCCGAGACGATCAATGTCTGCACTCATCTGAAACGACGTCGCACGTCCATGACCTTGCCCGAGCTGCTAGCTAATCTGACGAAGTTAACCATACAACTGCAATGCACGTTCTATTTATAAGCAGTCGTACTAACCGACCTTGCGACCGCCACCATTCTTCTGCGAAGTCACCGGGTATTGCACATACACACTGACGTCGGCCTGCGCGGGTCTGAGGAAGATCGTGTGACCGACGAGCGTTGATAGACATACCACGGTGAGTCATCAATCATCTTCGGATAAGTTCAGGATGGAGTTAACAGACTGGATCACTAGGTTCAGAAACTGGGAGTGGACATTGAGCGGACATGTTCGTACACGGTTCTGCTATACTCTTCCGCGAGACGTTCGAAGGGCGGCTGCCCTGGCTAAGAACACAGGAAGACTCTGGAATGGCGCGTGCCAAGACACCGGTAAGAGGATGGCGTTCCCACAGGACTTACAAACAATCGAAATCTGAGATCAAGATCCTCCATTTCCCCACAAACTCCCCGCATCTGTCGTCGTTGGTGAGTGTTAAGTTCTTCTTCAACCCCTCCTCGTTCGAGCTTGAATCGCAACCGTGCGCACAAGCATCATTGGAGGCTGATTCGCGGACCTGCTAACAAGCGGACCTGAATGCGACGCGAGGCTGCGGCACTACAGCTGCCGTATGCGGATGGGATGTGTAATTGGCCTGCTTCCCGCGTCTACAGCAGGACATTCCCATCTGTTCGTGCAGTCCGGTATCGACACTTGCCCGAAATCTGCACCCAAACGATCGGCTCCGTCAGTCCGTGGAAGCATGCGTTACGGCATGCGCTGAAAAATCTCGGACAGTGAGCGCTCTCCGTCCCCCCTACTTAATACGGGCCTCTGACCCTGACGCACAGTCGAGGCACCTCGCTCCCATCCACTTGCTGTTCCACGGTCCCATCCGCTGTCTCCCAGCCGTTTGGCAGTGAATCCCAAGAACAGTCAACATGGCCTCCCTTGATCCCCCCAGCACTCTCATGCCTGCCCAGGTCGCTGCGGCCATGGTCGAGCACGGCATCGTAAAGCACAACACTCGGGCTGACAAATTGTTTCTCAAAGCTGTGAGTGTACATTGTCCCCGACAGCGAGCCCAGACCACGACAAATGCGTTTTCGTTACCCAGGTCCTCGCTGGTGTTATGCTGTCGTTCGGAGGGGTTCTGTCCGAGATCGTCTCTGGTGGCTCCGGAGGCATCAATGCGAGCAACCCCGGTCTTGTCAAATTCTTAGGAGGGGCTGTTTTCCCAGTTGGCCTCGTAATGTGAGTGAACCCTGCCTATCTCGCCCGCCGCGGCGCGGGTGAGCGGCAAACTACTGAATGGGATGATTGGCGCGATAGCTGATGCGCGGTTCCCGGACACTAGGATCGTGCTTCAGGGACATGAGCTGCTCACTAGCAACATGATGGTCAGTTAACATTCGATGGCTGCCTTGCAGGGAGACGTTAAGGCAGACAACGTGCACTACTAGATCTTTTCGATGGCCTGCCTGAAGGGCGCAGTCCCATGGTGGGGACTACCATTGAACTGGCTGATTGGTGAGCGCTACAGTGAACAGAGTTCTGGGATAGTGGTCTGATGCACGCTGAACAGTGACGTTCGGGAACTTGTGTGGGAGCTTGTTCTTTGCAGCCGTACTGGTGAAATGTCAGTTAGAGCGTAACCTTCTCTCCATTTGATTTGCTTCACTGAAAACTATTCCTAATAGACAGCGGCATCATCTCGACAGAGCCGTACATCTCTTATGCTCAGGACTTCGCCTTGTAAGTTGTCGCGCGGAATGTCAGCACTGTATTAACATGCTGGTTATTACAGGAAAAAGGCAAAGGAACCCGAATGGTACCAGATCTTCCTCCGCGGTATTGGATGCAACTGGCTGGTTTGCGTTGCAGTCTGGGTACGTCACGCAGAGCCTCACTAGTCCATTTTTAGCTGAACACTTTTACAGCAAGCCTCCGGTGCTAAAGACACACTGTCCAAGGTGCGAGGCTCGTTGTCTCGACTCGTGTTAACGATCTTATGGTGTGTGTTAACGATCTTATGGTCAATCAGATCGTAGCAATTTGGATTCCCATCATGGTGCGCGGTCTAGAGGCTCTGTGCTCATTTGGACACATGCCTGATTGTGTTACGCCCAACAGATCTTCGTCACGGCTGCCTTTGATCACGGTGCGTACGGTATGCGACCACCCGTCGTACTCTCCATCTAACGCACGCGCAGTCGTCGCAAACATGTTCTCGATTCCTCTTGGCATTCTCTTCGGCGCGGACGTAAGCTCATCTATCTTGCCAATATTGACCGACTTGTCAACTAATTATATAACAGTTGACGGTCGCTGAATACATCAGGAAGTCCGTGTCCAACCTGTTAATCACTCCTCACGAGCCTGTACTGATCGTCTATCCAGGTCCCTGATCGCTTCCTACCTCGGAAACATTGTTGGTGCCCTGATAGTCGCCCTACCCGCGACATATTTCTACCTCGGGGACTGGCGCGCAGGCGGCCTGCGCGGGGTCGAGGAGGGCGAAGTGTTCAACACTGCCAAGGACGTCGCTCGCGATGAGGACAGCTCTCAAGGGGGGAGTGCCAAGGCGAACGAGGAGGCCTTCGAGGTGGCGCATGCGCAGTAGGCTCGCGGCACCGACCTCAAACGTCTAGCACGCCACCTTGACAGATCTTGTATGTTAATCGTCATTTTGTGTAGTATACATCCATTTCTTCTGTGCTCTTTGCAAGCTCCCTGCTGGCGAAACTCCCTCGGAGCCTCGGAACGAATTTTGTTCCGTGCGTCGATGCGTACTGTTCGGACGCAGCTCGGCCTACGATCTACGGTGGCAGTGAGTGTTTTCCCGTGCTTCTCTTCTCTGGATTGCTCAGTGATGATGCTTTGCTTGGTGAATGTGTGCGAACGATATGGTGAGCCTGAGAACGAGCTGACGCAGCCCCGTATGCTAATCCTCTCGTATTGCACCTGCCAACTGGGCGTACTTTCGCTCACTTGTGCTCACTTGTAAGACAGAACCTGGAGACAATTCATCATAGGGGATCGAATGCGTGGGATGTGGAAGCGCTCTACATTTGTGGTTGTCAGCTTGAAGTTGAGTAATATACATAGGTCGTGTGAGCTCGAGCCTCGAGCGATGTTTTGTCACACTGTGAATGTTTAACGTCGTCAGGTGATTGCAACGTTTACAGTAAGCAGAAGCATTGTGTCGAGCATGCGACCTGAGCAAGATGACAAAACTGCGCCACACTGAGGTTGATTAACTACCTCCTGTTCCAATACAATTCTACGCTTGTTCTACACCGAGGAAGCTGGCGAAGGCGAGAGCCATGACCTCCATACCAACGCGGAGCTCCTTCTCTATGTCTATGCTCTCGTCGGCGATATGGGCTTCGGAAATATAGCCCGGACCATACACAATGGTGGATTGTATAGGCGGCGTGAGGCTATGGACGGGGAAGCGCTGCAAATCCATAAGTTAGTATGAGAATCACGGCCTCTTGAGCCACAGAATATCGCAAGCTCCTCACTTGATCGTCGCTGCCAGGCGAGCACACGACCCCGGCTTCTTGACCGGTGACTACCTTTATGGCATCTCGGAAGACGAGCGAGATCGGGAGGTTTGGGTCGACCCAGGTTGCTTCGGTGTGGTAGTCTTCCTTGTACTCGTAGTCCAATTCTTCGAATCCTGGCGTCTTCTTCATCGACTCCAGGACGTCGAAGATCTGTTTCCGCGCATCTGCAAGCGTCTCCCCTGGGACGAGACGGCGGTCGAAGGAGAGAACAGCGACGTCGGGCACGGAGTTGATGTTCTCCCCGGCTTGTAAAATGGTGAACGCCAGAGATGGGACACGCGCTACTGGCGGGATAACGTTGGCATCGCTGAGGGGCGCCAAATTGGGCGAAATCGTGGTGGTCGCAAGATGTACGAACGAACATGCATGATGCAGCGCGTTGACGCCAAGGCCAGGCATGGATCCATGGGACAATCGGCCCCGAAATGTGATTGTTCCCCAAATAGTGCCGCGGTCTGACGGAGGGAACATGAAACTTCTCTTGACAAGAGAGGTGACAGGGAAGAACCTACGTCCGCAACACACATTGGTTGTGTTCAAGGGCTCGGTGATGACGATGGCGTCAATCCTGTCAGCCCGGATGTATCCATTATCGACGAGATAGCCCATCCCGGCATTGTGTACGCCAGTCGTTTCTTCGTCAACAACCCCAGATTGTTCGATGTTCCCTTTCAGTTTCAGCCCGGCTCTACGGATAGCCTCGACTGCGAAAATCTGAGGTGACGCTCGTGAGTATCTGACTGGACTTCTGAAATACGATTGTCAGGACCTGAGCAGCGATCCCACCCTTCATGTCAGCGGTACCACGTCCGTACATTCTGCCGCCATGCACCTCGCCGCCAAAGGGTGGATACTTCCAGTTCTTCGGGGATCCTATCGGGACCACGTCGAAGTGGCCATTGGCGTGCAACGTCTTCCCAGATATCCCTTGAGTACCGGACAATCTGCCTATGACGTTGACGCGTGGGAGGCCTGAACCCATGGGTGCGAGAGTCGATAGCTGGTCTGACGGCACCTCGACATACTCCACAGCGTACTCCGAGTCCAGTCTAATGAGTGTGTCGCCGATTAGCTTCGCGCACTCTGGGTAATTCTTCCCTGGTGGGTTCGTGGTGTCGATTCGAATTAGTGACGTGAGGAATTCCTGGCACTGGGGCAATACGTCCCAGGTCGCCTGCTTAATTGCAGCTATCTGTTCCGGCGTTAAGGTACGAGAGATCGTGTGCGCTGCTTCCGCCATGCCCGAAATGCGTAGAACAGTACTACGCAGAAGAGACTGTCAGAACTGGAGCGAGAATATGCACAAATCACGCACTTTAGATGTTGTTTAAGGGGAGAGGGGTTGTTGCCAACCAACTCAGCTGCGTACTGCAGCTATCGCACGAGCCCCGGACTCGACAACAGCGGCTGACTGTGCCTATCAGCCCCGCAGCTGATTTCAGTATAGTAAAATGAGATTAATACTTCGTTCTTGGTTCGGGATCTCTCGAGATCTTGACCCCTCAAGGCCTTAAAGTCGGTACAAAAGTCTCGGAAGTTTCAAGTCGAACCATTCATTGCCACGATCTTCAAGTTCTGCACGCTATTACGCGGGATAAGTAGTGGAAAAGGAGTAGCACTGAGGTACACTGGCAACGCACGTGCTCTCCTACATGTGTGTAGCCTGGCGTCTAACAACCCGGGGCCCAGTAAGTAGTACGCTGGCCTGTCTACGCATACTAATATACTGATACTTTAGCTTGTCTATAGAGGTCGTTCACGCACCGCCCGGTGCATGTAATCAACCTTTAAAAGGGTTTCCATTGAAGTTCGACGTGTCCTGAGTTCTGACCAAACCATCCCGGCATTTACTAGTCTCAGATGATAGCGCGTGTTCGTCCCACTGTGGGGCAATGGTGTTCAAGTTGTCGGGTAGTTTTGCGATGAACAGTGCACTTTGATCCAACCGTCTTCGCGGACAATACGAGTAGTGCATCGTCCAATGAAATCCCGAGTAGAGGTTGTAGACTCGTCCGCGACGTGCCTTCAATGGCTGCACCGTCCAATGACTGAGGCCATGACCCCTTGAAGCACGCTGAGACAGGAAGCAATGAGCACGCGAGGCGAATACACGATGTTGCAAGAATAACTGACCGTTACGCTGCCAACCGAAACGATATGTGCTGGGTTTCAAGATTACCTCTCCGAAAGACCGACATCTCACACTGGCTACATCATCAACGAGATACGCTTACAAAACTTCCTGTAATCGGCACGCGATCATATGGCAACACGGCGTGCACGCGTGAAGGTTCGAGTTGCAACGTCAAGAGTAGTCGTACACCGTCAGATTTCGGCTCCTTCAAATCGTGTCTCTAGCGCCACTCCTGTATCTTCATGGATGCGAACACCCTTTGCACTCGCTTTGATTTCTCTTCCCTCGCCCTCAGAATCCGCTCGTAGACCTTGAGCTGTTGCATGAATCCGCTATTTGGCCGGACAATCTTGCGCCTTGAAACAACATGCCTAAAGGCGTCGTCCAGTGACATCCTCCTTGTCGCCATGAGGAACGCGATTGCAACGCTTGCACTCCGGCTCATGCCCCACACGCAGTGTACCATTACCTGGCCGCCGCGCTCCAACGCATGCTGGATCCAATCCGTGATGAAGTCAAGGTGACCCAGTAACCCGGCGGACCTCGAGTCTTCGATGGGAACGCAGACATGCTGCAGATTCTGCCAGAACCGCGGGCAGTCCTGCTTGAGCACGGAGACGACGTGCGTGACCCCTAGACCGCGGTGGACGGCAGGCGAGGTCGCGGTGTACATGTCGGCGACGAAAAGACCCGGTATTATCTCGCTGTACTGCGGATGGAAGTCGTCTACCGGGGTCTTTTGTATGCAGGTGGAGCGCAAGGCTCGTCGCTCGAAGTAGTCGTCGTCGAGCGTGAGGGAGCGGATCATCGATACGAGGGCATCAGCTTGGGGAGGGGACGGCTTGCGCGTGTCTACGTTCTGGAACCGAGAAATCAGACACAGAAACCCCCGGTAAATACTCCGACTCACGGTTGGTACCGGCACAACTTGCGCATCTCTAACTTGGATGTGCAGAGGCGGGGGCATAAGCGTTGTCATCGTGGAGGTCATGGTGTCGTCTGTGAAGGTCAGAGCATTGTCTGCAGGTTGTAAATATTATAGGCTTTGCGGAAGCACGGATGGGCGGATGTGTCGTGCGCCCAGGCGGGTAGTCCAAATCGGGCGGATGACATACGGTAGTCTGGTTCGGAACCAACTTACTATCCGGGAACGTCTGACCCGCCTCGTTGCTCGGACCGCGCCGAGGCAGTCAGACTCAAAACTCTGTTTGAGACTTCCGAACCGGGCGGCGTCAGCGTCCATGATGAACAGGCACACGTACGAATGTCGTAAGGAGGACTCCAGTTTGGTGGCGTCTGTCTCCCTCGTGTTATGAGCGAACCTATCGGTGGTTCAATTGACCCCGCGTATTACTGTCAGAGTGAGTGGGGCGTGTACGAGTGTCAAAACAGAGCGCAGAACCTCGCCGTTCGCGCACGTTAGGACTGAATTGCTGAGCGTGGTGGCATGAAAGAATCGGCGTGCTGTCTGGCAGCGAGACTCCAGTTCTCCCGAAGTGTGCCGGGAGCAGTTGTACGGCCTGCGTGAACAAGCGGACATTAATCCACGGGAGCCAGGAGGGAAGGCTGCGCCGAAGTCACGCACATCCAGGATTCAGTGTCAGAATTGGAAGAGCCACTGGTGAAGCAGTTTCTTGTCCCCTTTGTCCGCTTTCAGTCACATGTTTCCGTGCCACCGGAACGGCCACTTCGGTCGAGGTTTCGAACTGGACCAGTCATCTCGACCTGGCTTCCCCTCCCCCCTATACCAAACTACGGCGGTAGACCTGCTCTGATTCCCCTTTGTTGCGCAAGAACACCAAAAACGACAAGCGATCTGCGGAAACGCCATCGAACGCATCCAATCTCCCGACCTTGTGGTCGCCACTTATCGCTGATCAGCTCGCCTTTCACAGGGGAGCGCATGCACGTCCACTACTGGCTGGTGCTGTGAAACAGGTGAGCCGCATGCTTGGCACCGCGAGTATTAGGGGGGATCCAATTGGAAGGAAGAGGTGAGGGTGAGAGGGTCGACTCGGAGGATCTCCTCGCTGCCTAGTCTGATCAAGCATGCCTCGCACAAGCATGCCCTTGAACGACCATGGGATCGAGGGTCAACCTCGGTGGCAATCTTTGCGGCATTACAGGGATGTCTGTCTCTGCTCGTGGAGCGGCCGGCGGATGACTAGCACATCAAGTGCCCTCGCCGCACCATGCACGTATGGTCTCTCACCGGCCCGATAGTGCGCTCGCAGCCTCAGCGCGGAAGACAACCAGTGGACGATGCAAATCGATATCGATGCTTGTGAGGCGGTGTTTAAACGTTTGTGATGGTCTTTAGCCCGTTCACAATATAAGAGCGAGGCTCTGGCAGAAGAGCCTGCACCTCCCTCGGACACAACGCCCGCCCACATATCGCCCACCCGACAGAGCACCTCGACGCGACGGTGTCACTGAGGGCAACCCTGTTGCTCTGACCGTCCACAGTAAGTCTGTGATAGAACATCTCGACACTCCCACCCATTAATGCGCTGATCGTCTACCAGCCGACATCATCACCTTTGTTATGCCCACCCCCCAAAGATGGGTAAGACACCCTCAGAGCTGATGGACACCGTCTCTTCAAGGAACTAGCATTGCCATCGCGCCAACCTCGAAGGTTTGACTATCGCACACTGGTCTCGATCTTCCTTCTCATATGTACTGTGCCGAGAACCTTCATGGGCACTCGTCACAATACATACCATGAGAATGGAAGATTCGGGACCACGGTACAACGCTCCAGCTCTCCGCCAAGTGCAAGGTAGTGTACCATGGCCCCGATTCATATGCTCTCGCACTTCAGGCATTGGCTCGACTACCCCCGCTTACGCGGTAACGGTGCATGATTCGAGCAGTACATCTCCGAGCATCGTCATTCATGATAACTGTACTCACGAGCATTTTTGTCTGTGTTAGATCCCACCGGCAGTATGAAGGGCCCGGGAGTGGCATTCTGCCCGTGCGCACCCCTGCATCGAACGTACGTCCATATCCATAGTCCTCGCGTCCGTCGAACTTGGTTACACGTGGACATCTAGGACCTGCAAGCAGACACATCACGACGTTTCGAACTCTATTCCACCACCTGGACTGGACCTACCAGTACCACGCGGATGTGCCGCTATGCCGCAAAACGTACCGTGGCTACTTGCTGGCGCGCCAGAGACTTCGCCCAGAACGCAAGGAGTATGGCAGGAGAGGAACCGTTCATAAGGTTTGTTCGCCGCTCTCACCATCGTTAGCGATGCGATACGAGCCCCGGATCTGAATGTATCGGCGCCTTTACTGCCAGTGTGTCGAATAAAGTTGTCGGCGCCTTGCAATCCGCAAACGGCGCAAAGACGAGTTTTTCGCAGCTTTGCGCCAGTCAGCCGCATCTCTGAGTCGTCGTGTCACGTCAATGGCATCGAAGATATTATGAGGTATCGACCAGTACAAAGTGGCGACAACAAGAGCAACCGACACAGCGGCACAAGAAGCTCGTACGTAAGTTCGCGGCAGGATGATCCCAACTTGTCCAGGGTCGCCGGTGACTGTCACGTCTCGCCAGTCATGTTAGCCGGGGATCTCAGTCTCATTCTCGACTCTATACACCGCCTGGCCTTCAAATGACCTCCTCTGTCAACAGTGAGCCCCTGCTGCAGATTCTGCGCTGGCACTCACCACCATTGATAGTACAGGCGACGCACATTCCCGTTGCTGTCATCCCGCGATGCGGCTGACTGAATCGTTTCCATTGATCACGGCGCCACATCTCGCGGTATGGTGTATGTCAATTGCTCGCTGGGCATCTCGCGCTTTAAGCTTGAGTTGATTTTCAAGTGTTGGGCTGGATGGGAGATTTCGTTCGGTCAGGAGGACACGTCACACCATGCAATAGGTCTGTCGGGTCGTTGCAAATCGCACCCACCATTGTGCGGTACTGTCTCAAGCGGCCGTTTCCCGATCTTCAATGGCATTCACTTCAGTAATCTTGTGAGCTCCAGACCATGTACTTTCTCTACGTTCATGCTGACGCCCACGGACGCGTACCGACGACTCTCAAAACACAAGCACGCAAACAAGATAGATTATCCCGTTGCATCTCTTCAGTCATGCAACAACACCTTGTTTTACGACATCGCCAGCGCTGGGCGTCCAACACTCAATCATCTTCCTTTTCGGTGAGTCTCAGCACCCGGCAGGCAAGCGGTTCCTGGTCAGAGTTCTCCCATCATGGCCCTCCGAGGGGTTTGCGTCTGTCTCCAAACCGTCTCCACAAATCCAGTCACTAACTTATCTATGCTCAGCGCGGATCTTCAATGTTGTGCACGGCCCGGGAGCAAGAGATTGACCTTGTTGAACTTTCTCGCGCAGCACGGGACTCACATCGATTGTTCAACCCCGCATCCACCTCGACCCCGCAAAGTGACCGGCTTGATGCATGTGAGCATACGGTGAGCATAAGCGTCCCGGAACCACTGCGCGTCACGCAGCTGAGCTCGCATCTACCGACTCGCAGGCTCCGGAAGAGCTTTTGACGCTTACGGATTTCAGCGGTAACTCCGCGACTGAACCGACGCAAGATCCGCAAGGTCGCATGGGCAGCGAGCGGACAGAGCTGGACAGTAGTACGTATAACCTGGCATCAGCATCTCCGCGGTATTACATACCCGTGCAGGTCATTGATCATCATGATGGGATACGTCAAAGAATACATGTCTTGTACAACGAAATACAGTGTGTATAGCGCGCCTCGTATCTCTCCATCTCATGCGTCTCGTTTAAGTCGTATATCGGCTGCGATCCAGCCCACGGACGTCCTGCGACACATCGTATCGCAAACGTCTATGGTGCACTCTTGCCGTTGAGTTCTCGCTCAACCTTCACGATATCCTGGACGTGGGGATGTGCCCAGAGCGCCTCAAAGGCCTCAGGCTCGATGGGCGGGAGGGGTTTGCGCGGGAGACCACCATAGCCGTACAGCTTCTCCATGAGAGCCTTCGTTCCGGAGATGCCTGCCTTGGCAATGGTGAAGTCTGCGCGGGCAGCGATGCCCTGGAGGCGTTGGGCCTCCGGGAGGAGTGACGGATCTTTGTGGACGGCCACGGTCAACTCGTAGAGTTTGACGAGCGTGTACTATGAGGTGATCATGAGGGACCGTTATCAGCACAGCTGCAGGTGACCACTCACGGGAGCGACATTGCCCAGACCGGTGATGGCGCCATGCGCGTTGGCATACGATGCAGGGAGGAGGAAGTCGACGAACCCGCCGAGGACAAGGAACGGAGCGTTCGCGTTTGTCCGGGGATACAGCGAAGAGAATGAATCCTCGGAAACTGTTGCGCAGATCCGCGTGAGCTTACCTACGTTTCCGCAGCTGTTTGAGTTGAGTCAATAGCTGCTTTCGGAGAGCAAGGACACATTGCACTGACGTGAGTTTCACACCACAAAGGTTGGGGCACTCTGCTGCCAGTTCCGTGATAGTATCCGAATCGAGGTCAATGCCTCCGCTCGCACCAGGGTCTGACAAATATCGCGTGTGATGAGTATTGCTGGGTGAATCCGCAACGGCTCGGTCACTCACAGTTGTAGATGATCACAGGAATAGGGCTCTTCTCCGAGACCTCCTTGAAGAACGCCTTCTGCGCCTTCTTGTGACTGCCGAGCACGCCGGCGAAGTATCCGCTTGTGATGACGATTGTGTAGTCCGCACCCGCTGCTGCAGCCTCCTTGCACAGCTCGACCGTTTCACGCGTACTCCCTGTACCCGTACCAGCGATGATCGGCATCGTCTCGAAGCCTGCCTCGTCCAACGCTACCCGCGCAGCCTTAATGAGCGCAACGCGCTCGCTGTGCGTCAAGTGCACGCCCTCGCCCATCGACCCAGCGAGCAGTGGGCGCACGCCCCCCTTGGCCGCACGCACGACATGTTTCGCGAGTGTCTCGAGATCTGCGCAAATATGGGTAGGCACGGGGCAGACCGATGTCAGCCTTAGTCCCCACCAAATTACGAAACCAACGCAAAGGAAAGGTGGGGAAAGTGAACGCACCGAGATCCTCCGTCTCCGGCTGGTAGAACGTCGGGATTGGGGCGAAGATGCCGGGCACTAGAGGCCGTACGACGTGGTGGCCGTTCGCGGTTCCGTTCTGCATGACTGAAAGAGGACGGTAGGCGAACGGGGAGGGAGGTATATGACCGGGATTTGTGCATCGGCAGCAGGTACTTATGGCGACGGAGGCGACGGGGGGCCCAAACGGTCCGCCGGGCCGCCTCTCACGGTGATATCGACGTGCGGTATTTCCCGGTGCCGGGCCGAGCATGCCCTGGGCGCTCGATGGTGCAAGCGCCCAGCACAGAGCCGAGATGCGTTTCAATTTGGATGTGCAGGCCATGCGCAGAGCGGGAGTGAATGGACTTCACGCTGCATGCATTTTGAGTCGCATGAGAGACAAATTGATTCGAATCACTCGCCAGAATGCAATTTGCACCCGCTACTCGTCGCAGACGTCGGGGACCCTGTATCTCGGACTCGGGCAGATGGAGGACGACAGCTGACCCTGGTACATATCGGTACCGCCGAGCTACAAGTGTTTGACGCTCCTGGGTGTGAGTGGAGCGAGGGTTGCCGGTATGGGCGGCCGCCGGAGGCCCTGGCGCCGGTGAATGGTCGGATGCTCGTCTTGATGACCTTGTGTGCGACCATTTCTTGCAGGAGCTTTGCTGTTCAATGCCCTTGTGCATCGCGGCGGAAGATGCGTCCGAAGCAACTTCCAGGTGGGCCCCTGGAAGGGACTTGGTAAGCGGCTTTGTCGCATTCAGTACCGCCAAGGAACCAATGTTCATGTGAGCAGACCGTCTGGCGGGATTCCATCAATATTGGGCGATGGAAGGACGCTTGGAAATCACTGTGGCAATGTCGATGTCGATTAAGGTGCACTAGACGATACATTTGCGATGCTTCCTCCGGTAAATGAAGTGTAGATTGCTTATGGTAGCAATACAGACACAACGGTTCGCAACCTTAGAAACTCTGGCCCAGCAATTCGACGATTCGCGTGAGACTGACATTGTCATGTATGACTGAGCATGGCTGTTCGTACCTTACTGATCTTGTTCCAAGTTAAAGGGACTTCGCGTGCCCGGGGATGCTAAACAGCGGCCAAGAATATTTGTTGGAGGTATCTTTGATGTTGCCGGGAATGTGCGTACCTTCTACCTGGGGCATCCACCAGCAGCGCCCCGTATCCAGCTCCACATGCCCGATGTGACAATTTCACGCTTTTCAGCCGCAAGATTCACCTATCTGTAAGCTTGGGGCGTTATCATCATACGGAAGCAAGATTGCCAGCGAACAACATCACTCTGGAATTGTCCCCGACGCTAGCATGTCGTCCCAGTCGGCTGTCGAAAGGAATCGTAGAAGGTATCAATTTCGCATGCATCCGGAAGCAGCGGATCGGGGGCACACTTCCGGACAACGTCAGTGGTCTCCAACCACTGTGCTATACGCTGGCATGGCCTGGGTCACATCAGCTGTGTGTATGTGTACGCACGATACCACTCTCCAGCATTCTGAACTGTGTTGAAATATACGTTTCAAATGCCTGCGATGGTCCCGCTGCGAGATCAGGAAGTCCCGTGAATGCCACCAGCGCCGCAGCTTGCGAACTTGAAGATGTCACTGTCGTCCGTGAAATTCCCACAGGCTTTTAGCGGAGCTCCCACACCGGGTGCCATGTATCAGTTCTGGCATAGCATAACAGCGACGATAGAATCTGCGCACAGATGCATGAGGCAAAAAGCAAGATGAATAGGACGGAGGTTGGTTCACAGTAGGGTTGCGTAAGAAACTCGAGGGCGGTAACTTACCGGTAGGTAAATAACTCCTCCAGAATGTCGGTTTTGTACAGTGTTTTATACAGTAAGTAACAGGCGATCACGTGATCACGTGATTGCTTCCAGGGCGTCGGAGGCGACGTTTTCAATTCTGGTTTTCGCACTAATATTATGTTCCAGTTCTCGCGTCGGTGCTCGGTTGAGCACTGGGCACTGAGTGCTGAGTCATCAACATCTTTGTGCATTTCTCGCTCATTCACGCCCTCCGCGGTTCTGCGCGACTGCAGCCACAACGATCGCGGCCGAGCGCTACACTTACAATAAGTACAGCAAGTACATTGATTCGGTTGAGCTTCCGCATGCAATTATTCTTGGCATTGGCCCCTCAGTCCCAAAGAATATACCAACTGCTTGTCAGCATGTCATATTCTGTCCATTCGATCTCACTTTCCGAGTCGGGCTGCGAGGATACATCGCGTAGGCGCCGAGGAGGCGCTCAATGAGTACGATGCTAATATTCTCGTCCCAACAGAACCCTAGGCATACTGCCACACAAAAATATGATCTTGTGAACCTTCTCAAGTTTGAACTGCTCGTGAACAAATTGGAACCCAGCAGGTACATATGTACATGGTGTATCCCCTTGCCAGTGGGTGAGGTGCGAGCGCCAGTGGCAACACCTGCCTAAAACGGATAACGTCTCCGCGAAAGGAAACCATCGGTCATAGGACATCAGAACGAGTACTCTACTAGTGCATCTTCACCCCACCCAGCCTTCTCAGTTCTCACTGTAGGGCTGTACCAAATATGGTTGTTCGGGACTCAACAAGCAGGCCAAGTAGCACACGCCAGGCAAGACTGTGCGAGACATCTAGCACGTGACATTACTAACTTACACTTTCTTACATGTCCGATATTGGGTCAGGTAACTTACCAGTATTATACATGTAAAATACGTGTAAACAACTTACATGTAAGTTACAGGGCACTTTCATACGCAACCCTAGTTCACAGCGACTCGCCACCGCACGCTACGCGAAAACTCGGGTATAGCTATCACGTGATCGCGACGCGGTGTCGCTGCGATCGACTCGCCGCGACGCGCGTACTACTACCAGCCTGAATGTCAGGCCTTCAGGCCCAGTTCACAGCATCCATGTCCTATCCACGCTTTCTCCGTTTTGTCGTCGCTGTTCTGCTTACAAAGTATACCTTGGTTTCAAGGGCGTAACATATCATGCTGTCAATCCAAACAACGGAGTTTGATTGAGAATGCCCGGGTATAGCTGATGGGTATAGGGCCGCAGGGAGGAGATCGGACTAGTACAACACATGTGTTCGGAGCGGCTGATACAAGCTACGCGAGTCACTGTGTCCAAGGGTATACGCATGTAACAGGGTCGCAATAAAACAGAGGATATCATATAACAATAACTTACGAACGTTTGGCTCGTTTGGCTCTAATGGCCTGCGCCTTCTCTTGGGCGGCCGCCATCTCAGCCGCGAACATTTTGCCTTTCGCCGTAGCCGGGCGCGCCGACCTCAATGTACGTCTTGGCTTCTCAACCACGGACTGCGGTTCCGCTGAGCCATCGTCTTCTACGGCCTCAGATGCTTTCCGTTTCGTTCCCGCCACCTTGCCGCCAGCGCCCGCTTCGGCCACAGCCGTCAAGGATCGCGAGGTCTCCATGGAGTCGCCGCGGACTGTCCTGAGGTCATCTGGGTGTATCGATGTTGAGAGCTGAAGTAACGCCTCCGCGACCAAAAGCTGCGCAGGGACCGAACGCTCATGAGTCGTCTGAGTTGGCCGCGGCAGCTTGGGGTCTGACGATGCAATAGCATGCTGAGCCGTGTCACATCCGTCGAGCCCCAAGTCGGTGGCCATGACATCTGCGCCTTGTTCGCTCGCGTGGTGCAGTAACAGATCAGCGGTCTGTGTCCGCTCTTCTACCAGAGGCGCAAGCCTGCTCGAACGTCTCAATGTAGTAGTCGGCACGCCTCCAGAACCCTTCGCCGCGCTCTTCTTCGTTTTGCGCTCACGCAGGACCGGACGTGCAGCTTGGAGCTTGGTCTTCGAATTATCCTTCGCGATGGCTTTCAGCTTCTGTGCCCGAGTGACCCTCTTGGTAGACTGCTTCGCCTTTACTTCGGGGTAAACTGCCCGCTGAAGTATTCGCTGAGTTTCTTCGCTAAAGCGATCCCATGTCTTGCTTGACACGATATATCTGCTAGCTGCGCCTCGTCTCAATATAATATATCAACGAGCGCAGCGTGAGGAGCTTGCCTTGTACGCGCTTGACGATTTCAATGGTGCGGTCGCGCACGTTCACTCCCCAAAGAGCGAAGTGCGCCGGATGTCTGACTGTGTCCATAACTTCCAAAGCAGCGAGGGTCAAGACGGCTTCCGACATGACATCGTCCAAGGTCGCGCCGATGACTTGTCCGACATCTTCGATGCGTCCAACGTCAATGCACCCATATACGTATCTCTCTGGTTCGTCCCTAGAGGTGCTTGCACCAGTGAAACCGGTCGCCTCGGCGTAGACATTGCCTAGGTTCATGAGGTAGGTCTGCACATGCGGGTGCCGCACTGTCCATCGCCCATCTTCGAGGATTCCAGGGAAGCCAGGTTTTTCTCTTAGTAGTATTCGATGGCTCACGGCGGGCGATACTACTGAAGGTTCTGGAATAAGCGTGGCAGGGGGGATGTAGCGTGGAGTGCGAGGGTCGTATGGCTCCTCTCTTGCTGCCGATATGGGGAAGGCTGTGGCCTTAGCGTCGTTGTATGTGCCCATGGGACTTGCAGGGACTCCAGCTTTGGAAGACGTGACCTCCCCTCGGGAGAGCGCGCCACCGTCCATAGCGTAGCAGATCAGTTATATAGATGGGTCGACGGTAGGTCGGAAGCCGTTGGGTGGGAGCGTAATCTTGGGTTGACTCCGGTGGGTTGAAGTTGAGGGTACTCAAAAGACAGGCTATGGAGATGCGCGGTACTGTGGGGATCGCGGGACGGGTGTCGCGCGATATAGAGGAGGTCGAGGAAGTGTACAGCTGTGCACGCGTCGCAGCGAGAGGACTCATCTTTATACCTTTCCCAACCTGCCTTTCTCGCACACGTCCAGAGAAGCCACTGGAACACGGTTTAGTGGCGGAGACCGGCACCGCCACACGCACATAATCCTGCATTATCGGACTTACAGACAATACGCCCCCGGCCTTTCCGTTTCAAGGACAATACGTCTGTTTTAAACAGATGATAACAACTCTTGAGTACGCAGTACAAAGTGACTGTTGGGTATTGCGGAGAGCAAGGGATCTAAGTACTTACCGTCCTCTATAGCCAGGCCTCCTCCCCGATCGCGGTGTGCGTGCCAGGTGCGTGCGATTGGCGCCAACAGTGACGCTGCCGCCGGCCTCCGTACGCGTATGCCGCAGAGCTGTGCCATAGACACTGGGGGAAGTTGTCCACAAATGGACCACAATAGAGGCCGCGTCAGTCCTTCTTGGCTTGCGACCTGTTGTATTGAAGAAGCAACAGCAGACAGACCCTACACGTGTTTAGCCCACTGCCTTCGCCACTGCTAACTCACAATGAGGGTAATGTCCATCCTGACATTCCTGTGGAGCGGGATGCATCTTGGCTTGACCACAGCTGTGAGTAGCTCGCGGCTCATGCACTCATGCTCGACCATTTGGGACAGGCTGCAAGCTTCGACGTCGGAAGACCGTGACTGTAGTGAGTGTGACAACTGTCCGAGTCACCAATCGAGATTCGATACGCGTGACATTTAGGTTCTACTCACCGCTCGGCGCCTGTGGAGATTGTTCAAGTTCAAATTGTCTGATGCACTCGTAGCGAAAAATGGTACCACGGATCAACCACGGATAAGCGTGCTTGGCAGTCATTGCATGTTCATACGCGCGCTTTCGCTGACGAGCAATCAATTCCAGTGACTGGACGAATGTCGGTGCCAGTCAACCTGTCGTGTCAGTGGTCACTGTGAGCATTCTGTACCGTCGTACCGGTACTACTCGTTCGTTCGCTCCTTTATGTTGATCATCATTGAATTGTCCAGCGAGGCTCGCACCATGTACTCTAGCCAATGGTTATCGATTAACACGCATGCAGCGGCGGCAGCCACTGCGACACCGTAATGCACAACCACACTGCTATAGCCTAATAAATACACATTGTACGGAATTCCCTTCGAGGGAGCCGTTATCTCACATCGGCACCGGTTCCGCGGGCGCATATCAATATTCTGCTATATGCTAATAACGTGGTCTGAACAGAAGCCATTGCATAATAACTATGGCCCTAGTTCGCTCCCTGACTCGAACTCGGAGTCGACCGCGACTCGCTGGGATATTTACCTAGGTCTGGGTCGTGTTTCACTAATTAAACCAGAAACTGTCAGCTAAGTGTCTCGACATGAATGCGGTTACTTACTCGGTTGGCCATCACTGCTCCACAGAAAACATCAAGGGACGACGGGGGAAGAGGGTGCGGCCGCTTGAGTCGGTGCGACAGACAGAGTAGTGTCACGACGCCACATGAAGATGCCGCCACCAACGAGTGGGGAGTCCACGGGTTCTCCCATAGTATGAGTCGATGGCACCGCAGCTGTCTCGCGGCTCCATCGAAAGAATCTGTCAGCAACGACAGGAGAGGAAGAAGATGGCGCAGGCTAAGGGAGATAAACGTGAGCCAGAACTTTGTCACAATGCGTGAATGAAGCTCACGTCGTGCTCCACGGGCACTGCGCGAACCAACGTAAGGAAGAGCGCGGAGAAAAGAGTCGGGAGAATGAAGGACTTCATACTTGCGTGAGGGACTTGCGCCGTGGTGTAGTCGGTGGGCTGTGCTGCTCTGAGGCTCCAGAGAGGCTCTGCTTTTATACGCCATTGCTCCCGCGAGCCGCTGTGCGGTGTATGTAGCATTTCGCCAGCTGAGATCGTAAAAATAGTGAGAGTTACGACAGTTGTCGACTAGACGAACTGCTATCATTCGACGTCTGTCAAGTAGACACACAGCCAGTCCCTGCTTCCTGTTTGACTCACTGCTGCGGCTGCGCGTCATGTTCGGGTGTCACATCTAGAAAAGGCAAGCAATGAAGCCTGAAGACTCGTGTGAGGGCCAGAGTAGCTGTAATGTCGACTTGGTATAGGGACATCTGTGATGCTTGGGTATCAGAGATCTGGACACGAATATATGGGCATAGCGTATGGTCTACGTTACCCGGGACCAAGTGTCAAGGGCCAGGCCGCCCAATGCCAACGCGCAGGTGAGGAGGTTGTTCCGAACCATCGAACAGCTCAAATTCATGCTTGACGACGCATCCTATTTGAACGCCAATATCGTTACCGTGCCTTCTGCAATGTTGAACGGCTATATGCACAGAGATGTGGCAATCAAGTACCTCGACACCGCAAACGACGCCTTGAGGATAGCCCAGATTTTTGATGTAACGCAGTAGTAGCGCACTGCCAGTGCACAGTATAATCATATTCTCCTGCGTGATAGACATGCTTTGTCCGAGGTTTCAGCATGTTCCACGGATCCGTCACACTAAGACGAACCTAATCAAACAGCATAACGCCCCCGGGAAATGTTATTTCCTGATGATGCAAGATGTTCGGGCTACTGTTCATTTCTCGACACTGGCAGTCGGCGGCGGTGGCAGTGCTGGAGATGGTGAAAGACCGTCTGCCAGCTTTCAAGTCCTAGACGGCACATCATTATGGAACATTGACAGTTCCCGCAAGTGCGATGCACTCACCGATTCCGGTTAGTACAGCATAGTAGTCCTCGGTTGGTACAGCCTAGACACGAAGATGGTGAGATTGGATCCCCTGTGATCGTACTGCTGCATCTCGCGCTGAAGACGCACGCCGCGCATCGCGCGGAGTCATCTGTGGCGGAGTCGAAGTCGCGGTCCTCGACAAGTTGTCCTGGTGACATACCAACGCCTTCAAGTTGGTTGACGCCAACCTGAAGCACGAGATGAGTATGGACACTACCCTATCACAAGAAAATGATGTCTGTGATAATAGAGCTTCTCAGCTGGACCGTGAAACCATCGTAGCGGGAGAAAACTCATGCCTGCATGTTGTTCGCCAAACAGTTTAATTGTACACTTTCTCCGGTACATCCTACGAGACACGATAGATTGTTGAAGCGGCTCGACGTCGTAATACGAGGAACGGCACAAATTTGACAAAATTGGCCAGACTAGACACCGTCGTATACTCCGATGCGGCCAGCGAGACCGCGGGCGCCCTTGATCAGCGGCTTTGCTCAGATCTCGGTCAACATCGAAGAAAGGAAATCTGTGGTTCATGTACGAAGCATGTCAAAGTTATAGCCATAAGTTGCACTGGTCTACATCTGTTGAACAGCGCGGACGGTTGTAAATCACAGTGTAGTTTCCATCGACCTGCGAGGATAATCTTCAGCCGTTATCACTGTTAAATAAGTAGTGCGCACCTTCGCCAACGCTCACTATGCGCCGCACCTAGTAGTCGCCCCGCCCACAGTATTATCAGAGCAATTGCCATACTATGTCCATCTGGCCACACAGTTTACGATACACGGAGAATCGAGAAGCCGTGAAGCAAGTTAAGGGTAAGTAAATAGGCCGGCCGAGACTCGTGCCAATCGTAAGCAGCCCATTCTACTCATCTGCACATAATGCCTGCACTAGGATGTCGACTGAGGACTCAAAACACGCAGTGACCAGTCGAGGAGGAAGAGGAGGAGGTTATCGTCGCTTGCGAGATCATGTGATCGCGTCGCAGACGTGGGGCTGAGTGAAACCTGAGCATGTTTGTCTCTGCCCGTACTCATCGTAGCGGCGCAAGCGCCGATCCCCGACTCCTGCATGGCACACAGCTACTCAGCCTGCCACAGCAGCACCATAGTATATTATGTGTGTATTGTAATATTGTACCATCGGAATGGTATGGAGACTCAATTGGAAGCCCTCACGCCCGCGGCGGCTTCGCCGCCCGGGCGTCTCGGGCTTCCACGAGTCTGAGCTACACGGCGAACTTACTTACCGTAATACATAAGTACTACAGTGCATGCGAGGGCTCCCAACATAATAGAGGCCCTCTTGCCTTTGGGAGGAGTTATGTGGTGGTCAAAGATCCAGACGCAGCCAGATGCGCGGTCGGATCCAACTGCCTCGAGCTGCCTCGTAAGACACTCGAGCATTGCTGCGATACCGCTTATGGGAATTATAAGTCACGTGTTTCCCACGGAGGGAGCGGCATCGCCGGCTGCGAACGACTTATGGTCGACAAAGCCCTCCTCTCTCCCTCCGGTCGGAGTCGGGGAAGTACTCAACGGCGACCTGTTCTTTCCAATATGATAGCCTAACTCGTCTCTGCTTCAACCCCTGCTCTTCGTTGCAACGCAAACGTCTGGAAAAACCTCTACCCACTGCAGTGCGAGACGAACGACTTGGACTCAGCTGGTGGTTTCTCAAGTCGCCTTCAATTACTATCCCTGGCGCAAGTGCGGACGCGCGGAGCACCGAGCACTTGTGCGTGCGACAGTCGAATCCGTCGTCGTCGGCTCGCATGGCAATCCGGAGAACGTGAGATTCATTCCCCATGCCCGGAGACGTAACTCTATTGCTAGCGCCGGTCGCGTTCCCTCCATATCGTCTGCGCTCTCTCGCAGGCCGTGCTCGGTACTATGCAACGACGAACAGTAAGAGTGGGGAGCGTGGTGGCGTTGTCCGGATGAATCTCCTCCATGTTGAGGTCAATTCGCCGCCCATTCTGCGGGGCGGCGTAGAAGCGCTCATCGATATGGATAGACATAGACAGCAGCTATTGGGCCCCGTTGCCTGAAGGTTCTGATTAACGCCAGGAGTAGACGTACGCACCACGCGGTTAGAAGGCCTGGTTGTGCGGAGGACGTTATTATCCCGCGAGACCGGGGTGCGAACGCCTTGCAGCCGTTGCTGCCCACCATGTCCTCCGCCAGCATGACCCCGGCAGAAATCGCTGCCCTCTCCCAGGAGAAGTGAGTGTCGGTTGTATCTGTGTTGGCGGGAGCGACTCCAATGTTGATGTTGTTGTTGTCGTGCACAGCTTCGTCAGCAACTGCGCTCAAGCCGCTGTAGCGGGTGTGTACGCTCTCGGTCTCTCTTCTGCTGCCAGAAAGTTCATCTATCCGGGATACACAGCTTTGCTGACATATGAGTATGCGCTCACGCTGGAGCAGGGGATGCGAATCGTGCGAGGCCGGTGGACCGCAACGTTTTATGTGTTCATTTTGAACCGATTGGTCATGATCGGTCTGGTGGCCACCAATGTTCTGGAGATAGTGCCGTGGACATCCAACTTGGTGCGTAGCCTCTTCCTCGATGTCATAGACACGACCCGCTGAGGCTGCCATCTATCAGAGGTGAGAGATTACCCCGAAGACGTGGCTAAGGTGATGACACGTACCACTCCCAGCTGCCAGGCCGTAGCGGCAACATACGACCTGCTACAACTGTTGACATACATAATATGGGCAGGTCGGTCCCGGACTCTTATCCTTGCCGTGCGACGAGTTGAGCACATTACATGGACAGTGATGGCCGCCATCCGAATCTACGTGGTCGGCAAAGGGAATTTGTATCTCTCCGTCTTCGTCTTTTGCCTGGCTATTGTGCCCTTCGCCACAACTATGGTATTTAGCAACCCGCTCCGCGTTTCCTCTTTGGGCACCCTTGCTGATATCTATCTCGCGTCAGTATGCCTCAGTCATGGTGACGTACGCCGCCGTGGAATTCCCCCCCAGTCTACCGTTCTGCGATCCCACAGCGCACTTTTCCATGACATATGACAATCGGTGAGTTTTCTGTTGTAGCTGCGATTCCTCGTGACTGACGCCTTCCAATGCAGAGGTACCGCCTTTCCTTCTTGGCCATTGTCAGGTGCTGAGGACCCGCGTCGCGTATTCTTGTTGCTCTGCAGCCCTCATTGCGTCCCGGACCTGCGCGATCGCGGCTGACGTGCTTGTGCTGCTGGCGACGTGGCAGAACGCCCCGCGACCGACAGCCACCCTGAAGCGCGCCTTCGGGACGCGCACGCCCTTCCTTCTTCTCCTCTTGCGCGACGGTGAGTGAGCATGACAACCCCATAAGACACCGTCAAGCTTATATGCGTCCGTCGCGCGCTTACCCGACCAGGCGCTCTCTATTTTATGTATGTCCCAGGCTGGCTCGGCTGGTGTCCCACTGATGTTGATGGAATCTGCCAGCGTGTTGCTGTTGATCACCGTCGCACAGATAGTGGTGAACACCATCGAGGTATGATCAGCTAGCTGCCTATCGAGTGTTTCGCCCGGCCACATCTCATCTCGGGCCCGTACAGGCGCTGTCGCTCGGAACAGTTTTTCTGGTCCCGTACGTCATGTTTCCGTGCTGCGCATTGACAAGGTGCACCGCTGATACTTCGTGACAGCGCGATGTCCGTGCTCGTGTCGCGTTTCTTGTTGGACATATACCAGGCCGCGGAGAACGCCGTGACGATCTCGGACTACGACCACGACTCCTCCTCCGAGTTCACGCGCGACACGGGCCTCGAATTCGAGATGCCGGATGTGGAGTGCAGAGATACCACCATTGGAGACATGTTCTCCTACCCCACTCATTTCACTGACTCAGGACTGGGATGACTGGACCAACCGGAACCGGTAAGTGCATCGCATTCAAGGGGAGTGTCAGGATGCTACGCTGACGCGCTGTCCAAGACTTGAAGAATGACAGACAGTGTCCCGCTTTCAACATTTCCAACACCGCCACCGTCGGCAGCCAGCGTCGAGATGATCAGTCGCCCGCGCCTCACCCGCCTGCAGGGAGGTGTTCCGCGAGCCGCGCTGCCGGCAGGAAGTGTTACGTTCGATAAGGTTCGTCTCGGTACGACGGATCTGTGTAGCCTGCTGTAACCTCGGAAAATGCATGTTCATCACGCGCGAGAGCGTGATTGTACTCTGTTCACTGCTACGGTTTGGAATCAGGAGTTAGGGCTGGCCTCGGGGCATCGTTTCTGTCAAGTTGCTACATTGTTGCACCTGCGCGCGTGTGAGCCCACTTATGATCAACAGTGTTCCAAAGTGGTCAAGACACTGCCAGTCCGGTATCCGCTCAGATATGCTGTATCGTCATCATGACTCCGACCCACCCGACGGTCTTGTCTCGGGCAGGCACGCAGTCGCGCAGTGCACGGCATGGCCTGTAGCACTCAGCCCCGGACAACGCATACCGTACGCAGTTTCCCCGTATCCACATCCAGATCTCTGAATATAGGTGTCACAGGCAGCCCTCCACAAGTCGACATTAAACATGTTTCGTTGAGGTGCGACCGCGGGTACTGGCCACACTGTGGCCTGCTCCGTCTACAACGCTTGCCTTTTCCGAGCATGACACTCGAACATGACGCACAGCAGCGAGTCAAGCTGGGTCTAGTCCGGGCTGTGTGCGCCTGACAGGCGTCCAGTACGACGGTTCGGCGAGTCGACAACTGTCGCGTTCCTCTCCAAGTCGACAATCGCAGCTTGCGGGATGCTGTATACACAGGACAGAGGCTCGCGGGAGCGGGGCGTATAAAAGTAGGCCTTACCGGGGCCGCTGGGCAGCAGAATTCTCCAAGCAAGCATCATACCTCGCCAAGCACTCGCTAGATTACCGATCTTCCTTTCTCTTACAAGCATGAAGTCCTTCACTCTCTCTGCTCTCTTCTCAGCGTTCGTTCTTGCAGCCTCGGTCTGCGCTGCGCCCGTGGAACACGCTGTAAGTCCCACTCGCACATCTCAAAGCACGCTTTCGACTCACGCTCTCCCGTAGCACCCAACATCAGTCGGTGAGCCGGCCACGCCGACCCCGTCCCACCCTGTCGCTGTTCCCGACATCTTCCGCTGGCGCCGCGACACTACGCCTCCCTCCCCTCAGCCGGCGGACGGCTCAGAGGACTCCCCCCTCGTCGCTAATGGCATCTTCCTCTGGCGCCGCGACACTACACCTCCCTCCACTCATCTGACGGCAGACGCACCAGAGGACTCCCCCTCGTCGCTGACGGCATCTTCCTCTGGCGCCGCGAGCTCGACACTGCGTCCTCGCCCAACACGAACGGCGAGCCTGCAGAGGCGTCCCAGCCTCCGTCGGCCCTCGCTGCCCCCGGAATCTTCCTGTGGCGTCGTGACAACTCGCTCTCTTCGGTACCGACCCAGACGGACGCGCCCTCCGAGCCCGCCCTCGCTGCCCCCGGCATCTTCCAGTGGCGCCGTAATGACCAGGTGAGTAATCGCGCCCATGTCTAATGTAGTACCCTCAGCTGAAGCTTCCCGTATATCAGTGAACCGTGATTCTGACCTAATCGAACGTCTCAGCCAGTCGCGGTCCGGACTTGGGCCCTATTTATGTGATGGTGATCTAATTGACCTACCCTAGTAGCATATACTAGTAGCAGAACAGCAGTACATGCAGATGGACCTGTTTCCAGAGCAGGATAATAGTTCTCTCGAGGAGGATTCAATACCTAAGATAGTGTGTCTCTCGGATTGTAGCAGTACTTGTATTCGTTGTAACTTACGTTGTGTAGCATGCTGCAGTGGCTGTCGTCACGAGCTTAGTTTATTCGTATTGATTATTGCCTGAAATGAATCACATGGAGTGGATCTCGCCGTAGCCACTACTGGCCCAACATGACACTGAAACGGAACGAACGATGCAGAGCGATCAACAAAGCAGAAGAAGGCGAAACTCCGAGCCTTGACACGAGGGACACTCACTCCGACGCTCCATCGTCACCCACAACTTGGAGATCCAGACAAGCTGCGTTGGCAGTGTAGATCCCAAGCTCATAGCATCCTTCCATCCGAGTGCCACCGCCTGCGGCAAATGCTCGAGGTCGAGGTGGGGGTAGATGCGTTCCTGCAGCTCGAGGCATCCCTTCTGTTCCCCGGGGACATCGTGCATCGCATACAGAGGGGCGACGAGGAAAGTCTCCTGAGCCAGAGAGCTCAGGCCGACGACGCTCTCGAGCATATCTTCGCTCGGAACGTCCTTGAGATCCGACGACGTATCTGCCAGAAGTGACGGCTGCACGGACGTCAGCGTCTAGATCTTCTGTCCGAAGAGCTGCGATACGGCCGTGACTTGCCTGTCTCGCGTACGGCCAACAAGTGCCACGGTGGAGGATACGTCTTCCAGTATACGCCGCTAGCGAGCGTTCCGTTGAACTCGGGCGGTGCCGTGTGGTTGAGCGCTCCGAGTCGATCGTGCAGGTTCATCAGAGAGGGAACGACTCCACCCTGATGGAGGACGCCGAATGTTATGGCGAAGACTACGTTGAACACGAACCAAAATGTCTGCAGCGGAAGTCGCGCATTTGAGTTTCGCCGCATGACAGTGCCCTGGCTACGCCACGCAACTCACCCAGAATACCTTCCCTAAGCGCTTGATTTGCTGACTCCGGCCGACCAGCACGATGAAGGGGACCAAGAGCGGAACGAAGAAGCGGCGATCTTGGAGATGAAGGGCAGTCAAGACGCTGATTGAGAAGACAATGACGTATAGTGATGCTGTGCAAGCACGTTAGTGTTTGTTCGCTGGAGCTAAGACTGTATGCGTACTCTTGGAGATATCAATGTAGTCGATGGAATTGCTCTTCTGCCTTGGATCTCAGGAAGCACGAGCGGAGTTGGCGGCTTCCAAAGCTCCCGGGCTGCACGGATGCCGTAGTAGAGAAGACCGGGCCCTACGATCAATGAAAGGTTATCAAGAAGGTGGAGCCAAGATAGATGAGGACCATGGTCCGCCGGGTTACTCGTGAACAAATGATAATGCAAGGCGTTGAGCGGGGTGGAGATCAGGTCACTGGACAGCTTGCCCCGGAAGAGTATGGTGTCCATGACAGTGATAACGATGGCTAATGTGGCTGCCACCGTCAATGACACGTAGGTGAGTTCGAGCCACCGCGCCCAAATTGACCTTCGTGACTGGCCTGACGTGATATTCTGAGAGGCACGACGGATAGTCCACAGGAGTGCCTGAGCGATGATGGGTAGAGCGAACGCGAGGAACGTGGGCCCCATGAACACGCCTAGGACGCCAGATATCGCAAGGCTGATAAGTTCAGGAGCGTGGTTTCTCGACTGCAGAACTGATGAATATCATGTGTTGATGACAGTAGGAGCATCTCACAGTCTTATGCCACAGTGGGTGGACAATCGGCTTCAAAGCGCTCAAGCACGTCGCAACGCACACAGCTTCGAGCGAGTTTGAGAACGGTCGGACTTGGAATGTGAGCATCACAAATGAAGATGCCAATAGAACGACAGTGCGCATGCGGTCCGCTGGGTCTATCACCAGTTCTAACACGCTTGAATCTGGAACACATGAGCTGGAAGTAGAGCAAGGGTACGGCCTGACTTACCAAGCCACAGTGATATGTAGAACATCGAAAGTCGCTCCACGACAAACATTGCGTACGGACTAATGTCCTCCGCAATGAACCGTCAGCCTCAGCGTAGAAAAGATGGTCCACCAGACGACTTACGATTCGGCCAAAGCCACATCTGCACTGCTTGATATGCCATTCCCGAGGTATACACAGGCGTGAGGATAGACCGGCGTGGATAGCTGGGATCCCATGCCTTCGAAGGAAGAGTATAAAATCCAAATTGTTTGCCTACATAGGTCACAAAAAGGCATGTGAAGTCGATCGCGTGTGCATAGCAGAAATGCTCGGTTGCTCACCTAACGTGATTCCTCCGTCCGCATCATGTTCGTCCGGATGTATGTAACCTCGTCCGAACGCGAAGAAGAGTCGCAGTACAAGCAGTACAAAGTATGTTTGCCCCCAGCCGATCTTCTTTGTGTAGTGGAGGGTTGCAGGCATCGTGGATGTTGTGGTACAAAAGCCCAAGGGCAGACACTCTTGCAAGCGCGCTGATAGCGGGTGGTATATACAGTATGTGATACCCATGATATCCCCAGCGTCACGTCAAGTGTTCGCGTCAAGCTTGAAGCTGTCAATATCTCAATGGCTAAGAACAAGTGGCTATGAACCTTGGCAGCACGGGCCGTCGTACATTGATCAGCCCACTACGTTGCGCAGACGGACAAGAGTGGGAGACAAACCTCGGCGTGGGTTTCTACGGGCAGCCTTGTACTACCAGTACCACCTGGTACCACTAGGCCTGTATACCTAATGCTGTATATATGGTTGTCGAGCGAGTCGGTACGGCGTGGTTAGAGTATACGTGACGGGAAGATGCAGTATGACGTCACGCATCTGTGACAGTTGTGTGACCATCACGGCCTCGACGGCCCGTGCCAGTGGCTGCCTCAGTGCCTGTGTTGAAGGCCGTCGCGAACTTCACCTTGGTCTCGGAGGTCCTAACTCTTGACGAGTTCAACGTTCAACGTTCAGCACCCATGCACTGGAAAGTAAGCCACTGGTTCGGCCAGTGTCAATCGTCAATTACAATAAGGCACCATATTTCCCCGCTACCTGCTCCCCGCTCCCCGCTCCCGCTAGCAATACCTAAAATACATACATACACAGAATTCGTCCATAAGTTGAGTGTCCAAAGCATGTGAATATACAGTTACATAGTGTGCGCTGATGCGCCCATTCTGAACAGCCACATCGTCCTCCGAATCTCATACACTGACACAGGCCTTGCTCCCCAGGTATAACAGACTTGTCAAGCAGTCCCTCTGCGCAAGTGCAATTGTAGCCGTTCTTCTGATGGGCAGTTCAAGTTATGCCTGCCACCTCCATCGCGGCTGGCTCAATTAGGTCTGTCAACCATCACAAGAACGAATTGGGTCACGTCTTACCTCCGTTGGAGTCTAGTACCCGAAGAAATCAGGGGCGGGAGTTTCTTCAGCATGATATGCCGTCGTTGAAGTTGAGGGCTTATCCACGCCGCGCCTCATCAGTGAATATCATGACAACGAAGGACCAAGAAATTACTCACCGAAGTACTTATACCCGGTATGGGTTTGGCGCAACTGACGAGGATGAACAGGGAGACGACGACGATTTGTGGTATGAACTGCATTCTGGCTGGACCGAGTGGCTAGAGTGGCTCAGGAGACGAGGCAAGTCTTATGAGGCCTAGTCACTATCGTCGAGGGATGGTACGTACATACTAGCCTTCCTGAAGGCAACTTATATAGCTAGAGTGACTCACCGCCTTTGTTACAGTGCCGTGCAGGTCACGATCTCCATTGCTAACTCCCATAGGAATACCAGCAGGAGCTCTGGTTGAGTTTCAACTCACACAAGCGAGTCAAGGAGCACCGTGAGTTGTGGAGCGAGACTTCATAGCCGGGATGCTAACCCAAATCACGCCAAACTGCGCCCTGTGCGCCCTGGCCGAACGCCGGCGTATCGATGCTCCGTCGGTCTCTGAATACATGTATCTGCCGTCACTCGCTGTTCCGGTCAGTCAAGCAAATCGGTATGCGATCGATAATTGAAACCATACACTGAGTTTGAGTGAATCAGGAGGGCTTTCAAGTCTTTCCGAGTCTTCGGGTGTTTTCAGTTTTGTACTTAATAACAATTCACTCCCAAAGACGTTTCCGGACCATCCGACTGGTATCTACCGACATATCGATACGGACGCCGCCGATCTCCCAGCTACTGCATCTATCGTGCGTGGCGCTGCGTACAGCCAGCGGACCCCGACGTCGTACAATGTTTCAACTAGTACAGTACAGAGGCCGCAGCGCCTCTGCACCGCTACTATTGACCCTGCGGGGCTGCAAGTGTCCTAGTAGACATACTGTACGTCAACGCCCGACTCCTTGACTCCGAAATCGCATGAACTGAACGAAACTGAGACACAGTTCTTGAAAGCATCGACGACTCAGCGAGTTCTACTCCGGGCCCTCCTCAGAAACCCGCCAAGCTGTGTATACTTATGTAAGGGCCAGCGATCGTCAGCTTACAAGCTAAAGCGACGCAAGAAAAATGTCCGGTACATGCGAAGGCAAAGCGGTGGTGAGCATGAGTTATTTCAAATGTCGCCGTATTCGCTGTCCGTAATGAGTTACTCATATTCGTACATCCCTCAGACTGGTCCTAGCGATGCAAGCCATCGATTCGTGTCTCTGCAAGCTGCTGTGTATCCGATGTACCCGTGTCCCATGCCACGGAAGTCGGGAGTCGTAGTGAAGCCAGTTAGCGTCACTGTTTTGAGTAAGCGATGTTGTAGTCATAAGATGTTATTGACCAGTTTCTCAGGCATATTCGAGACCGACATACGCAAGTGGTGAGGGCTCTGCTGTTGCGGTCCAAATTTGCCCTCAAGCCGACGCTCTGCAAGGTACGGGCAGTGGTGGCAGCTCCGGTTGGACATTGGGAGTCATCACTAGCGCTACGGGTAACGTCGCCGCCGGGGCTGTCTACTTTGATATGCGAAGAGGTGAGAGACTCTGTGTTACGCCAGATCGGGTTTGTTCGGAGCATGCAGTGCTGTAGACTCGTGCACCTTACGCACAAGCTATGCTGCAGGTCTGAGCCCTGCTAGGATCCGGACGCCCGTGGTTATCGTCAAGTCTCCTCGCCGACGGGCATGGCAGTCGCTTCTCCCGCTCCGCAACTGCCCGACGGTCAACAGCCTCATCATATGTAAAGAGGCATGATAGCAATGCGCTCCGGATCACTCTGGAGAGTATAAGGTTATCGGGCTCAACCAGGGTTGCGAAACACAGCTCCGTACGCTGCTGTGAAGGCCTCATGACTCAGAGACGCGTGCATCGAGCTTCAGGGCCCCACAGCGAAGTTCCTGTGCACGCCGTGCTGTCTTCGCTCTGTGCGCAGCTATCGCTGTAGTTGACCGAGGGATGGCGTTGCCAGCCTGGCATATTTTTTTCAGCGCTGCGCCACAATGCTTTGATCCTTGTCGCGCCCATACCCGGGAAAGGCCTCCGTGGGTCCGGACACAGGCGACGATGTATGCGTTTGGTATGCGGGCCTATGCGGACGTCAATTTCAAACATCCGGAGCCGCCAGTGACAATCCAGCTAATTCCATATTGCTAGACCCCTCGCCGAAAAGAGTGTACAAGCGGGGTTCGTCGGCCTTGGTATTCCTTCTGTGTGCCCATCAACATTCTACCATAACGAGCAGTGTCGAGGGCGAACTAATAGACCGGAATTTGAAGCCGAGGTCGACCGGCACAGCGTGCGGATCACCTGAATACAAGGCCAGACGAAGGCCCGACGCCCTCCGCCTGTGCACACGTTTTCGGGAGGGGGCTCAGCAATATGGAATTAGGGGTCATGGCCCGTCAACACGCATGCTGGGCAGTCGGCAATAGTCCGGACTCTGGTCCAAGTATCTGCGGAAAAAGCGAGACGGCTCCGGATCCGAATAGCATCGATTTCATACTGTACAAGGTTTATACATATCTGAGCAGCGCGCCCTACTATAACAGCCCTACACGACCGAGCCAACGGCAGTGCTTGACCCTTCCATGTGGTCATACGTCCGTGCCAGATCGGACGTGAGCTGCTCAGAGTCAGTGGTGGTATTGGTGTTAACCTCCTGCAGCGCGAACGAGAGCTCCGACGAATCGGTGCCCTCCAACGTCGCATTGAAGTCAGAGGCCCGCATCCGGTACGTGCTGTCCGCCGCCTCGCGGATGTTGAGCAGGAACCGGGATACGAGGACCGACATCATTCTGGAGGCTGCGTCATGGTTCGGTCAAAGGACATTCGGATGTCCTGACTCACGGTATCAGGAAGACAGTTCCGATTGAGAGGCCTATGATTGTGAGCTTAGCAAAGTAACGTCTACTAGTATCGAACAGCACACACCGCGACATAATCATGATGATTTGAGCGAGGCTGATTAGGAGTAATGCTCTAAAGATGGATTCAGTGTCTGTCTTCGTGATAGACACTTGCATGTGTCGTACATGAAGTACAGAGCACCTGGCAATGCGGGGTAGGATGAGCGGAGTACCATACGGATGTACAGGCCACGTACCATTTCGTAATAGCAAGGCAGGTAGCCGTACGTGTACCTGAATGCCAGGACTTGTGGCATAAGCTCGGGCCCTCTAGTATACAGCCATGTCACAAGTACCACAATCATATCAGCAGCCATGGCACATGCCCGCGAGGAGACGAGAGCTACGGTAAGAAGGCGTCAAGCAAGAATAGGGACTAGAGATGAAGGCGCTACCTCTGATGAACGCAATTCAGCCTGTCGGTCAGCGGCCAATGCAACGAAGGGAACAGTGCTCACATGTTATTAGATTCATCGGACAGACGAAATATGGGCTCGCAGAGGGTAATAGTTTGTTCCACGTTCGTTGATACATATGAGATCAGTACAGATTGATACTGAATGGCAGTGAGACTTTCGAGCAGGTGAACGAAGTAGGCGCTCGTACCATGGTCGTAGCGAACGGAACCAGATCGAGGGCGAAGACAAGTGATGGCAAGAATCGGCTACCCTTGCTGACGCCGGGTTCGTATCGCTGAAATGACTGTGGCGTGCCCGTGAGTGAGTTGATGCGGTAGTTGCACAGTACGCGAAATATGGCCAACCTGCCCATTCCAGAAACGTCATTAGCTGCAGAATATCGTAAAATATTCCCACTGCTTGGCAACTGGCTAGATGCGGTTAGCGGAGTCCATTGGTCAAACCATCACCTCACCTCTGAAGCACATGCAATATCAGTTGTTGGACTGTACAATTGAAGGGAAGACACGTACCGCATTGGTCGTCAAAGGCAGCATCTCAACGACGTTTGCTATCACCAAGCCGAGCATGATGCATTGGTTAAAGATGAAGACATATAATGCATAAGTCCTTCGACCCCATATGAAATTTTCCCTTGGCCGAGGGTGCGGATACACTCATATGCCACTAGCGCTACGGTGAAAGGTGAATGTACGCGTGCGGTAGTTGCAAACCAGCACACACCTGCCACAGCAACTTGGGCACAATTCGTCACAAAGCTATGTGATCACGGTGTTAGAACAGAAAAAGGGAGTCTGGGGGGGGCTTCTTAACCTCGTATGCAGCAGAACGAGGAGCTCTCCCTCAGCTTGCGAGGACATGGTGGACAGAACCCTTCGGGGAGGTGTTCGGCATATATATATACCACCCGTCCTCTGGGAAGCAGTGATAGCTGACCACCCATCGATCCACTGATTAATTGTTGGAAAAGAACGATGATAGTGGGACCCAGGCGACAACTATAGCATCGCGTTGCCACCCATAGCACATATAAGTACACCCCTTCAGTACCGGAGAGCGCAGGCCAGAAGACATAGAGGTGAGAATCGTGACCACACTTATAAGTCCTCGACCAGCGCAGTACTTCCGCACTGAGCTCAGACGGCGGTCGCTGCAAGGTTACGTCGAACAAGGGACACCCAAGACACCCATGATCAATGGATTGACGCACGTCATGAGGGCATCACAAACACAGCAAGGAAGCTCGTACCGAATGGAAGAGTACTTGCCATATAGATTTCCGTCGAATTTGGCAGCCTGTGGAAGAGTGTTCACGGGGCACTGAGGTGTGGCGAATGCTGACTCAAGATACCCGACTATGAGCACGGAGTTTCTGCGGCGCAATTGAGTCAGTTGAACACGTTACATTCCACTGCACGGCGACCGGCAAAGGAGTGATCTATGAAGAAAAGCTCTATCATGACTTCGACTGGGAATAGGCGACGTACACTCTTTAAACCCGAATCCTGGACTGCACTTACGGGGTTCTTCGTACGCAAGCTGAACCGCTGGGACTGACCAATTGTCACCTGCCAGCGTTCGTAAAGGCCTTTCAAAAGAAAATAACTTCGTACCGAGTTGTAGACCAGACATTGACTTGGCGTTGAAGACCGTCCAAGGTCGGCAGGTAGGTTCGTAAACGCGTGCACAGGTGGAGATCGTCCGGCCCTTGTCTGACCTTCACGTCGAGCGATCCGCATCCTCTGCCGGCTGAACTCGGCCACAAACTATCGGTCCAGCTCGCCCTCGACATTCGTCGACATGGCGCGGGAAGAATCCTGATGGGACCCAGAGATACCAAGACCGATACGCTCCGCCTGTACGCACATTTTACTCGAGGTCTATGGAACTAACTGCCAGTGTAAGAACAGTGGCACGGACATGAGTAGTATATGTGTCAGGAGCAGGCCTAACTTACTCAGGTACAAGATCCAGACTGAGAGAGCGCTGCTGCCAGCTGGCAGTACCCAACGACGCGTGGTATGAACGTCCGACTCGGAGTCTCCAGTGCCTGCGAAATGACACTACATATCATCGAGAAGTCGCAGTCTTCTTTCCTCTCCGCTAGTTCAAGAACGCGAGATAGGGCATGCGTGTTTCTCGCTATGAAAGGAGCAAAGGCGCAGGGCAGTCACGCCGGTTGGACTGCAGACGCGGTCACGGACTCACGGTGATGTTGCGTTATGACGTAAGCATGTGGCGGTGGCTGCTGGCAGTCCACTGGCGCGATAATGACTGTCCCGCCTCATGCTCTCATGCGTCCTCAGGATATTCATTTTGTTTCATTGCGGCACTCCTGTATCTTGTAACAAAAGCGTCACGGAATCGCTTGAAATCGTCTTTGAGATACCTTCGCAATAAGTACTTATCTCGAGGACCAAGACCAAATCAAGGCGTACTAATCCATTCAAGTCGATATACAGTGCGCTAGGCTGTGCTGGGGACGATGGACCATCTAATTATCTGTCAATATATCAACTCCCGGTGCGCCACCTTTGGAGTGACTCTTTCTGTGTATGCGCTGAACGTTGAACGCTCACAGGAGCTGTGATGTGTTCAACGATGTCCTTGGCCGACGTTGTCCCCATCGGCGGGTCCCATGTAAGTATATGGTCAGGACTCTCCTTTTCTTTGGACCACCATTTTCTACGCATACTGGGCCGCATGCTGAGTATGTTAGCAATTAGCATATACTTGTGCCTCGACCAGCCGAGCCTACAGACGACATCGGGCGGACTGTTTGCCGCGTCGCCGCGCCAGAGCGCGCCGGGCTTGCTACGTCAGCGCAAGGGGCCGGCGCGCGCGCAACGCGCCGGCTGGACCCCCCGTGGAAATGCGATCGGGGAAGGCTCGGACTACCCTAACACGGACAGCAGCCCCGTAATCGCATTATCTTCTTACTATCTTCTGTCGATCTTCTGCACAACTTCAGCGCATTCGCCGCATTCTGTCAATAATCGCGTCCGTACTGCCACCATATTTCACTCTAGTATGTAGACAGAGTTATGAGAATCTCAAAATGGACACAATCTAATCATTGCGGCAGAGCAGTATATATCTGTGATGACATTCTCGAAGTCCATGTTTTACTGTACGTGCACTGCTGCACATTTGGCTGACCCACTACTTACAAGGTAAGTATGTACATTATGAACCGCGTAGAAGACTGCCCCTGCCCTTCATCGATTCATCAAAGAGGTCTTCGGGGTCTGCCTAGGGTCTGAGGCTAGGGGAGACGATGGGTGTAACTTGGCGGTGATAGTACTGTGTCCTGAATAGGTAGCCCGAACCTCCCCCGATCTCATTCCCACGGGGGAGTGGGCCGGCGCGCGCGCAGCGCGCCGGCCCCTTGCGTCAGCGCATGTCGCGACTCGGATCCATTTGTCTTTGGACGCATCCTATGCTCATGTAGTGCCCTATTCAGACGCGGCATCTGGTGATATCTGTGGTATAAGTTTGGTACGTGACCCACCTAGCTTCAAATTGTTTTATCAACAGTTAATGAACATTCGTTGCGTAGTTCACTTCAGCTGGGTGGCGAAGATTCCGACATATGCGCATCCTCATCTGGCTTCATCGACTCGGTCCACGATCGCAGCTGGTTCTCCGACGTTGCATTGGTTGCGTGCCATCACTATCTCTCGTGGCATCGCCATCAATGTACACGCTGTCACAGCTGTGTACATATTGCTTTGTCCTAACTTAGTAGTGTCCTAGCCCCCCCTGAGCACAGTAGGCCAGCGCTTTGCTGATTCCGAGTCAGCATGATCACGGTGCTGGAGTGGACCGCAGTCTCATTCAGTAATAGTAAGCTTCTGTCGTCGAGATTGGCTTAATAGGACGCATATATAACGACATCGAACGGGGGGGCATTCGACATCGCAACGACAGCTCACCCACTCTATCATGTCTGACCAGAAAGCCCTTTATCTCACCGAGAAGCACGGTGCCTTCGTCCTCGGCACTGCACCGATGTACAAGCCCGGCCCAGGCGAGATTCTGATCAGAATCGAGTCCACGGGGTTGAACCCCGCCGACTGGGCCATCCAGACTTATGGAATGCTCATCGAGAAGTACCCCGCGATCCTTGGTATCGACATCGCGGGTACTGTCGAGGAATTGGGAGAGGGTGTCACGCGCTATAAGAAGGGCGACAGAATGTAGGCCATACCACCTGGCTTTCTGCGGGCGAGCTGCATGCTGATGTCATGGAGCAGACTTACGAAGGGGACCATCGGCAAGTACGAACGTACCGCTTTTCAGCAATACGCGCTCGGATATGAGGATACGTCCGCAAAGGTTTGAACACCACTTCCCTTCGCAACCTTGACATAGATTGACGGGTTCCGTAGATACCTGAGGGCTTATCGTTTGACCAGGCCGCTACCATCCCCCTCGGTCTCTGTACCGCAGCCGTCGCGCTGTACCACGATGGTGTCAACGTCATTGGCGGAACATGCGGGCTGACTCCTGCCTGGGAAGATGAGGGGCGCGGAAAGTACGAAGGCCGGCCCGTCGTCGTCCTCTCTGGCGCGGGCTCTGTCGGGCAAGCGGGTGAGCCCTCTGGAGTCCGCCTATGTAGAGAAAAGTACTGATCGTCTAATAGCCATTCAGTTGCTCAAGCTCTCCGGCTTCAACCCGCTCATCACGACAGCGTCTCTCAGCAACGCCGAGTATCTCAAGCAGCTGGGTGCGACCCACGTCCTCGATAGGAAGCTCCCCTCGGAGGAGCTTTACAAGGAGATCAGGAAGATCGCGTCGAAGCCGCTCACGACCGTCTTCGACGCCGCCGGATTTCCCGAGACGCAGAACCTCGGATACGACCTCCTCGCATCCGGCGGCACGATGGCCGCGGTCAGGCCCGACGCCGTCAACCCGGATAAGAAGGTCGACGACAAGAAGTCGTTCTTCATGTATGCGGACGTGACCCTGCCGCAGAACCGCAAGCTAGGAGCGAGCCTGTTCGGGAAGCTAACGGAGCTGCTGGAGACCGGGGATCTCAAGGTTTGAGCTGCAGTTCGATATGCGTCGGTGGAAGCTGACGGGTGTCTGTGTAGCCGAATCATGTCGAAGTGGCTCCCGGCGGCCTTGAAGGGATCATTCCTGCCCTCGAGAAGCTGAAGAATGGAGTGAGCTGTGTGAAGCTCGTCGCGCACCCACAGGAAAGCACGTGAAGTGATGCGGTGCGTCCTCGAATCAGTGTCTGCGAAAGACCTGGGTCGCGGCATTATGTCCGGTGAAGTATCCCGTAGTCTCGATGTGATGTCCTAAGTACTCCAAGATTTGACCATTGACTGGCTGAATGATGTGATGCATCTTCGTCGCTTCATG